AGAGAGAGAGAGAGAGAGAGAGAGAGAGAGAGAGAGAGAGAGAGAGAGAGAGAGAAAATGACTGACGCTCGACGCAGACCTTTCAAGCATACAGTACAACCTGCACCTCCAACACAACACACTTCCCTTCGACCGCCAGCCACCACTAACATTTCGCGCTTCCAGATGCGGCAACTTCGGCCTATCTGGCCCTGCAAGCCGTGCCGCTCCTGCTTTCCCCCAAGCTGATCGTCAACCTGCTGGCCTCAGAACCACGACTGGTCACCGACGTCGAGACGTACATGCTGCGCGCGCTCGGCTTTGCACTCCTCACACTCTCCGTCTTCACATTGATCCTGACAGGCCTGCTGCCTGTAGCGCCCTTATCCAGCGCCGACAAGGGCGCCGACAACCCCTATGCCTCCCCGACTGCCATCACCGCAACCTTCTATCACGGGCTCTCAGCCTTCTACCTCTATGCGCAAGTCACACGCTATGGCTTCAGCTTCGGCTTCGGCACCGGCATGATGCTCTCTGCAGCACTGTTTTGCGGTGGAGTCTTCACTTGTTTGTTTGGGAATGAGCGGAGCAGAGTCAGCAAGACAACGGGAGCTGACAAGAGAACGTCGAATTATCCATTCACAAATGCAGAATCTGCCAAGGAAAAGAAAAAGGATAGTAAGAGGAAGTCTATGTCGTCGAAGATCAGATAAGCGATAATGGCGCTAGGAAACCTGCTCCGTCTCATATGACACGCAGAAGCCCTGCAGGCTCACCTGCCACTCAAGTGGACAATCGTACTAAAAAGCCCGTAATGATCCCCCAACTCGCCCTTGCACTTTCGTCAGACGTTTCCAATGACTACCATGAACCTCAGCTTGCCATCGCCCTTTCCCTTCATCTCCATCCTCTCCCGCTGGGCATCGTCGGCTCCCTCATCCACCTTCCTATCCTCTTCAGGATCAAGCAAATTTTCGTCTAGACCCAGTGATGAGGACTTCCAGCCCCAAGACTGCGAGAAATTAAACTTGTCCGGCGCGGATTCGTACACAGAAAGCATCCGACCCCCTCGACTCGGGCTGTAGATTTTGAAGTATGTGCGTATCGTAGGCCGCGCGTCGACATATGGAGGAAGAGTAGGGACGTGGAAACGAGAAGCAGCGGCCGCAAGGCGCTTGGTTTCCGAGTCGGAGCCGGAGTCGTCGCTACTGTGTGGTTCTTGATGATGGAAATTGGGAGTCTTGGAGTGATCCTTGGTGTTCATGGAAGGCGAGCTGCTCGTGTCTGTCTGGCTCCGCTTGCGGCTTCTGTAGTCCATGGGGTTCCTCGACGTGCGCGTGGCGGTCGCAGCATCGTCGGCATCGTCAGCACCAGCACTGCCGCTGCTGTCGAACTCATCTCCATCAAGACCATCGGGACCGCCAATGTTGTTGCGTCGACGTTGACGTCGTTCGCTACGCAAAATCATTTCTCGTTCCAATTGACCAATTCGTTCGTCAACATTGCCTTGCGCCAGACCTGCTGTGCCAGCGATGACTTCTTCGGTTTCGCGCTCTTTGGCTCGATGGAGGTAGACGCCCAGCTGCTTACTTCTCGATGAAGCAACTTTCTGGATGTAGATGTTCCAAAGGCTGCCGGCATAGAAGACAGTTCTGCTGTATACACGCCTCTTGTCTTTAAGCAGCCTCGGGTTCGGAAACTCTGCCGAGAATCGGAATGGGGGAAAGTGAGTGTACTTGAGAGTGTTTGATTCAGGCTGGACATGCGACGAGTCGAGTGAGAGTGGAGGCCGGGGCGCCGAAGTCACGGCAGCAAAGTCAGCAGCCCACTGCACATCTTCGGGTTGTAAGGTCGCGCTGAGTCGGCTCGCATGTCGCTGCAAATTGGTGTCATGCGAAGTGGCAATGATGGGTTCTGCGTTGCCGCCCATGACGATGTTACAATCCGACGATGGTATCCAGAATTTGCGTGGCCTGCCATTGCCATCCCACGAGCCACTGTCGATATCCTCGTCGGGTGCTGTCTCTTCGGTGGCTTTACGCTTCCCCTTTGATTGCTCGGTACCAGAACTTGCGTGTATAGACATCGTCGTTTCTCTGGTTGCACCTAGAGTTGCGTCTTCCGTACATTCGATGCTGAGACCAAGGTCCAGCTCGACCTCACGCGCGTTCAAGACCTTCTGTCGTAGTTCCATTTGCTGCCAGAGAGCATTACTGATTACCTGCATAAAACCTGTTAGACCAGGCTGTGAAAATCCATGAAAGCAGTGTAATGTGATCCGATCCTTCTCAGCCACTGCTCAAGAAGACGGCAATGTGTGTAGAATGAGTGGGTGAGGATGAAGGGGAGTGTGTCAGAGGCTCATACCTGAGTACTGGCTACTGGCAATCCCAAGCAGTCTTTAGCACACTGGATATACTGCAGTTGCTCGAATTCCAAATGGAGATAGTGGATGCCTTCCTCGAGCAGCACCAGCAGTGGTTCAACATCCGGATGTGTGTACAGTGAGATCCATTTCTGCAGGTTGTCGCCTCTACCAGAGCCACTGTCGCCCCTGCGGTATACGCCATCGAAGCGGATAGCCATGATGCTCGCGCTTTCGGGCACTTTTTGCAATTTTCGCCGACTTCCAGGCTCCAGGAGATTGGCAGCAACTGCCTGCTGTCTGAGCCTGCGGTCCAACAATCGTTTGGACAATACCCATCGATCGAACTCGCCGTCTATGAAGAAGCCATCGCCCCCTACTATTTCTCGGGTGATGTCGCCAGGAATTCCGTCCCAATAGCGTAGCGGCATTTTCCAGCCGTCTCTGCAGAGCATCGACTTGGCACTAGCAAGGACTTTGTCACCAGCTCTGCCATAGTAGTTCGAAGTCACGAGCTTGATCAAGGGCGACAGTGTCTCAGTCGTCATTTGGCGAAGCATCGACTCAATGGCCGAGTCGACGAGATCCTCCATCTCCAGCCAACAGCTACAATATCATCCAAGGCAGTTAGCTGATATCTCGACAGCGTGATCAAGATCAATGACTCCTCACCCAACACAGAACAATCCCACTGGATCTTGCTCCTCTTCGGCCAAGTTGCTGCATCCGTACAGTCTCTTGAGAGCGAGTTCGAATGCCGTCTGTGAGATGGAAGGGTCAATGTCTTCGGGACACACGGTCATAGATTTAGCATTTGATTCCAGCCACGGTTCCGACAATGCACTTGCGAAGAAGGGTGCTCGATCGAGAATCAGGCGATGTAACTTATACTCGTGTCCAAACGCATGTACAGTAATGTCCGAGTGCTTGCCTGAGAGCAAACCTCGACTATACAGATGATCCGGCAAGGCAGCCGCGCGATCACCGTACAACGAGCGTGTATATGGCGAGGGATATCGTGGTGGGGTGGCCCATGAGCCGCTCCTGGAAAGATCAGGTGAAGTAGTGGCGAACAGTCTGCTCAAAGTGGACAATGTGGAAGACTCGGCTCTACCGTGCCTGGCTCTGGAGGCGGACGAAGGTGGACTTGTGACATCGTCGACATCCTTGACGACAGTGGGCAGCAGATGGGGACCAACTCGACTGTCAGCGTCGTATTGCTGAGAGCGGAGGGGCAAAACACTGCTGGCGCCAAATATGGAACGAGGGAGACTGTCATGGCGATTCTGACTGGACTGATTGCTGTTGGACGGCGGCAGACGGGCGAATGACCACGGCTCGCTGGCCACGGCGGTGGAATTCCCTCTGCCACTGCCGCTGCCACTACCGCTGCCGCTGCCAGCGTCTGGAGAAGACGGCGTGGGGCGGGCGGAGTCTGTACTGTCCATGGCTGCGGCGGCGACAACTGAGGCTGCGGCGGGAGGCGGCGGCGGCGGCGGCGGCGGCGGCGATTGCGACAGTGAAACTGATAATGCCGCTGCGACTGAGACTGCGACTGAGACTGCGAAACAGGAACGAGAGAAAGGTGGAGGTGGCGGTGGCGACAATCTGTCGAGCCGGGGTCGGCACAGTGGGACGTGGTGGTACAGAGCAGCTGGAGGCGATGATCACGCGCCATGCCCAGCCATATTTCTTGTACAATACGGTACCTCCTAAGGGAGGCATACCACTGCTACAAATGTATGTTGATATGATAACAACTTATGCAGTGCTCCCGCTACCAACCTTAGGTACATGTATAAGGTAGGATGTAAGTATTGCATAAGGTCTATATAATATTGTGAATTTGTGCTTGACTTATGTAATTGTAGAGAGAAAGGGTATAAGGTTCTTCGGACGCTAGTGCTAGTGCATTACAAGTGCATCACCTTATCGGAAAGTACATTCTTATTCTGAATATGAACCTGTCTGGATGACTCTCCCGCCATCGCTACCGCGCATCATGGCGTCAAACCTCACGACAGCCCCAATTCGTGCTCGTCTCGCCTTTCAGGCAGCCTTCCAAGAGGCCTTTGTGTGTCGGAGGTGTATTCAGCAGCAAGCCCGGTCGCCGCCGCACACCTGGACGATCCAACCCAAGGCCAAGCGGCACACTCCCTTCCTCCACGCCTTTCGCAGTGCCGGCCCAGCAGGGGGAAGAGGAGGAGGAGGAGGAGGAGCAGGAACAGTAAGAACAGGATCCCGGGCACAATCCTCCGCCGCCACTGCCCAGTCGCCATCATCGCCCCTCGCAGCCTTGGGCAAAACCTTGAGCAGTACGCCTTCGAGAGCGGCCCATCCATCCACCGTGCCGACGTCCACCTTCCCCCAGACGAGCTCGAAATCAGTGGCGTACTGGCTGCTAGGCTCTGCAGCCTCCGTGTTTGGCATAGTCATCTTCGGTGGCCTTACGCGGCTGACAGAGTCGGGGCTGAGCATCACGGAATGGCGTCCAGTGACTGGCTCGTTTCCGCCTCGAGATCATGCCGCCTGGGAGGAGGAATTCGCTTTATACAAACTGTCACCTGAATTCAAGATGCTGAACAGCAGAATGAATCTGGATGAGTTCAAGCAGATTTACTGGATGGAGTGGGGCCATAGGCTGTGGGGGCGCGTGGTGGGCATCACGTTCTTGCTACCTACTGCCTACTTCATTATCAAGCGTAGGGTCAGCAGGCCAATGGCGCTGCGGCTCGTTGGTATCTGTGGTCTGATTGGTTTCCAAGGACTCATTGGGTGGTGGATGGTGAAGAGTGGTCTCAAGGACGATCTCTTCCAGCAAGGCAAGCAACCGAGGGTATCGCAGTATAGGTTGGCTGCACATCTCGGTACGGCCTTCATCGCGTACCTATGTATGCTTTGGAATGGATTGCACATCCTGAAGGAACGAAGCCTACTAAAAGACCCAGTTGAGGGTGCAAAGCTGCTTGAGACTTTGCAAAGACCTGAATTAAGAAGATTCAAGAAACTTGTGGCGTCACTTGCAGTCCTTACTTTCATCACGGCTATGTCGGGAGCCCTCGTCGCTGGTCTAGACGCAGGACTGATCTACAACGATTTCCCCTGGATGGGCCAAGGACTTCTGCCACCTAAGCGTGAAATCTTCGACCCCTTCTTTTCACACAGCCCGGATCAGAAGGACCTTTACTGGCGAAATGCTCTCGAGAATCCAGTGCTTGTCCAACTCGATCACCGGATTCTGGCGACCACAACTTTCACTGCCATCATGGCACTGTGGGCTTACAGCAGATTCAGTCCTGCCGTCAGAGCAACACTACCGCGCAAAGGCAAGGTCGGTATGCTCGGTGTCGTGCATCTGGTGAGCTTGCAGGTTACTTTGGGTATCACGACTTTGTGGTACCTCGTGCCCACTCCGCTTGCTGCCGCTCATCAAGCCGGTGCACTTGCACTGCTCTCTGGCGTTTTCCTGCTTGGTAGCAGGTTGTATGTGCCAAAGCGTACCATGCGGCTCGTACAAAACGCGCTCAGGCAATCACAGTCACGCTCCGATGCTGCGAAAGCTCTGCGGCCCGAGTTGGCTGCTCACTGAGATCAGCAAGATGACCAGGAGCACTGTTGTTGTAAAGGAATCTCCACTTTATGGGAGCTGGCGTCATAAAGTCGATGTGTAGAAATAGATTCATGGGTGCCACAATATGGCCTGCGTTGCACGATTGTGCCCTACGGTAATTCGAGTCTTTTTTATTCTTTTTCCTTAGCTTGCAAGTGACGCCAATTGTAAATTGTCGTAGAAGGATTCGACAACAATCTCTTTGACCTGAACTCACATGTAGCATGACCACCGATCGTCCTTGGCATCAAGTGTCCTAGCGTGCGCATGCAGCCGTACACAGACACGGAGGAGCCGAGCTCTGGCGATCAGAACAGCATGGCGGTCGCGGCGTGATAGCCTGTTCGGTGGAAGAAGAAGGAGAAGAAGCGAGAAAAGAAGTGCTGTGGCGAGGGAAGCTCTGCTGCTGCGATGTGGCTGAACAGATCATGCCAGAGCTCGAGAAGTTCCTTGTATGTCCGCGCCAACAGCCCCGTTTTCTGACCACAAGAGTCTGCTTCGCACCACGCTAGAGGGAGGCATCATATAGGGGCACACTATCCCAAGCAGCAGCGCTGAGCCTAGCCGCGGCTTGATTGGAGGGCATTTAGTAGTGGCCGTCATAAAAGAAAAGTAGAGGGGCGAGCACTGGTGAAGCCCAAGAAGGGCTTCCCGCGCAGTACTTGACGGTAGATGAGATTCTATGCGTCAAGACAGCGCCCATGAAGGAAGTGAGGTGACCACATGCTGAATACCTACATATACGTACTACGGAACGCTAGCAGGGCCCCAAATTCAATGATTTTCGAACACGCGAGAATCTCCAGTGCACTCACGGTCAATGTACTACTGCGAAGAGGTGCTTGAAATCGCTATGAGCAGCAAGGAGCGAGGCAAGGAACATCTCTTCGCACACGAGCGTGAGTGTGAGTGCACAGGCCGCATCGCCTACACGGCGTCTTCACTTGAGCCGGCCAGGAATATGGCTTGGCGTATGGCTTCTTCAGTAGGTAGGTACCTGTATGGAGAACAGAATGGAACGCGCCAGAAGTATACCGGGTTGTTGCCAAAGTTCTGAGCTGACGCGTCTTCCGCAGTGGCTCAAGTGAAAGCCATCGGCGTACAAATGCCCGCCCATCTTTGCTCTGTTTTTGATCCCCGAGTGAAGCTGTGTGCGTGGCTGCTGCGCGATCGGTGTGTTCTCTGCTCTTTCGCTCCATTCATCTCCTCCCAATGTACTGTCTCTTATGCACTGCTGTATCAAATGATTTCTGAAGAGTGGCTTCTTATCTCGCTCAGACCAATGCCTTGCCCCTGAAGACAGGCGCGCGTTAGTCACAGTCGCGACAATAACAACAACAACAATACTTCCGCGCCGCAGTCCCGCCTGCAATATAAAGACTCATCGATTGCGTCCAGCCACTCACAGGCCGCAGAAACGACATTCGAGCAGTTTCTACGGTGACACCATCGTCAATTCAGCTTCATACTTCCGTTTTAGGCACGCGACCTGCATGATTGCTTGCTTCACACGAGAAAGCTCGGACGCACACACGCACGCGCACGCGCTTTTCGCACTGGCTATAAAGCCTCTTCCTCCTTCGCAAATTCTCCCTCTCTTCTTCTTCTTCTTCATCGACATCGCCACAACACAACAACACCATGCACTGGGGGCTCCATTTCGTTCTGAGGGATATAACATGACATGTCATGGACTGTTCGGCCACGCAGATGAGCATGATCTCAAGCGTGTAGGATGCCGCGTATGCGGCAAGCTGTCGACAACTGGTGGTGAGTTTCTCTCTTTCCCTCCTCCTCCTCCTCCTCCTCCAGCACCAGCACCAGCACCAGCACCAGCACCAGCACCACCCCCTCTTCCTCATCTACCTTCACCTCGCTACCTCCAACTCCTCCATCGCTCCTCTCGAGCACGCTGACACCCTTCACAGCGACGGCAGGCTCCTCGACGAAGACATACAAGTGGCAGCCACAATACTTAAGTCCCTCTTCAAACAGGAGACCCTGTCTCTTACCGCGCACGCATCGCGGGTCGCAGACTGAGATCTCGTCGCAGACGACGGTCAGACGAAGACTCAGTACATGTTATCATCATGGGGTGTTGTTGGATCCTCTGGGGGCTTTTTTCTTTTGCTTCTGTCTGTCTTCGGGCAGGCAGGCAGGCAACGGGCGTTGTGATGATGAAGCACAGAAGCGTCAAATGTGATGGGTCATCTCGGTTTTTTTCTGTTCCAGCTTGCTTCACCAGCTTGCTGTGCTCAGCAAACTTGGATGGCTGTCCTTGGGACATTGCTTCGTCGAAGAAATATTGTGGCTCTGAGCAACGCCCGCCACACAACGACTCTGTTGTTGATGTCTCTTTTTTTTTCATCAAGTCTTTTGCCCTTCCCAAGGCAGGAGGTTTGGAGAAGAAGAAGAAGAAGCCTGAACTCTTACCAAACCGCCGTCCGTCTTCTGCACTTTTGCTGACTTTTGCACTTATCTGCTGCCGGATTTTGGCAAGCCCGTGGGCCCGTGTGCCTACAACCTCCCTGAGTAGTTCGCGTTTCAGTGTACAGGACTACGAATGTCACAAGCAGAAGAAGCGGACTACTTACTATCATGCTCACGCTCAATCTCGAGGAGGCGAGCCGCAGTCACGGCTGAGCTGGAGACAAGCTAGACTGCGAGTGTGCCAGAATGTGACAACATGGCCCAGACTCTAGGTACATATCGGGTGGACTTACTACGCCAAGGTCCGCCATTCCCGACTATTCATTCGGTGACTCCCTCTCGCTTGGCCTGCCCTTTCACCACTACCTTAACATCATGGTCACCGTTCTTTCCTGCTCTTCGCCACAGACATCGCACCCGGCGCCGTCCACTGCTCAAGAAGCTCGATACGGTTCGAGCTCCCTTCAAACTTTACAGGTCTTGTAGTGTTCAGAACTTCGCGGTTGGGCAGTGATAATCTACGAAGCAGTTTCATGCGCTCTTCATTTATCATAAGTCTTTGTCTGTGACTGTCTCACTTCATCAATTTGTTGACGGCCCAGTCGACATTCAGCCCCCTCAAATCGCCATAATGCTGTCCAACTCCCAGGAACACCACCGGAATTCCTGTCGAGCATTAGTTTCTACATGTTCACACTTGAAGCAAAGACGAGGGCGACAAAGACTTACCAGTGGCATGAACCATACTGACCAACGTGCCGACCATGTCGCCCACGGTATCACATTTACTAATGATAAATCCATCCATTCCCTTACCATTGCTCCTCATCTGCCCCTTACGATCCACAAACTGTTCCGCAAAGTGCCTCGCCTGGCTCACACTGTCTGTGCCCACCAGCGCCTCGCCTACCATGAAAATCTTGTCCGGATTCGCCAGCTGTCCGAACTTGGTCAAAGAGCTCATCAAACGCTGATCGTTGTGTCGTCTGCCGGCAGTGTCAATCAGTACCACATCGTACAGCATGTTGCCACCACCTGCGTTCGACGCGAATGCGACAGCTTGCTTGGCCACGTCTGCTGCATCTTTGCCGTAACCCTTTTCGAACAGCTCGACAGTCCCAGCGTTCGCTTCTCGTCGAGAGAGTTCTGTGAGGTTGCGGACATGGACCCGAAGTTGCTCCACAGCTCCCGACCGGAAGGTATCGCAGGCCACCACCAGTACTCGAAACTTGTTCTGGAGCAAAAAGTAGGCAATTTTGCTTAGATTCGTACTCTTTCCCACGCCGTTGACGCCCACAATGGAGATGACATATGGACGAGGATTCTGGCCTTCGATGGTGTTGTTGATGTTGCGCAAGAGGTCGAGAGAGCTTGTGGGCGTGAGGATTTTCGTGAGCGCTCTGCCCATGCTTTCGCGAATGGTCTTGTCGATGGACGTGAACGACGCGGTTTTGGAGTTGAGGAGATCCGTCTCCACGCTTGAGCAAAGTCGACCGGCGGCTTCGGGAGCGACGTTCTTTTCGATGAGGGAGTTTCGCATTGCTTGCATAGGCTGTTCCAGATCCTGCTTTGTGAGTGCTCTGCCGCCAACCACGTTTCGAAAGAGACCAGACAGTTTGGAAGTTGCTGTGCCGATGAGGCCTGAAACATCCTTGTCGGTGCTCGTAAAATCAGCATTCCGTTTGGACTCGGCGAGTATAGCCTCGACCTCATCGTCCAGGTCTTTCAGAACGAATTGACCCTTGACGGTGCGGTTCCCCATCCGGGTGGCGTTGACGTCTTCAACATCCAGTGCATCTTGCTCTGTACTTGGGGTAGCTGCAGCGCTATAGTCGAGCACCTCATCGTTGTCGTCCTGCGCCACTCCACTGGCGTCCCATCTCCGCTTGGCTTTCGTCTTTCCCTGCGAGCTCTTCGGCCTGCGATCGCTCTCGTCACCAGAGGATGGCAAAGCAGATGTACCAAATTGATTGGCCTTCTTCCTCTGCTTTCTTGACAAGCCGCCGGGTCCAGCCTTGGGAGCTAACAAATGGGAAGAAGCATGCAGGGGCGTGCCCGGTCTTGAGGCGTCCGGCGTTGCGACGGGAGTGTCGTCCGGGCTCGTGGTATCTCCTGCCACGTCTCTTGGCGGAGCCAAAGCAGGTTTCTTGAAGAGCGGTACTGGTGGTGCCGGAGCGCCATCTTGATCGTCTGCTTGGGAAGCGGTACTCGAAGGCGGAGTTAGCTCGGCCTGGCTTTCCGAGTCAACCTCGCTTGGTGCTCGCCTGGTACTACCAGTGTCGAGCTTGCCAAGGAGGGCATCAAAGGTCTGATCGAAGTCGCGGGTATCGATGCTGGCCACATGCTGCTGGTGCTGGGGCTGAGGCTTCAGGTCGGCGGCATATCGTCTCGTGAATAGGGCCTTGGCAGTGGTGAGGAGATTATCGACCCACGAGAGGTGGAGCAAGGACTGGTACACGGCCTACGGAGAGAGGATAGATCAGCAGTCTGTCGAGAGGTATTGGCAATCCTCTTCGGATGCCGGCAGGGTATCCCTCTTACCCACCACAAAGATCAGGCCGACGTCCTTGGCGGTGGCATACTTGAGCGTGTACTTGTCCTTTCTGTAGGTGTCGGCGGAGGAAGCGAGAGAGGAGGCGGGGTTGGAGGCGGCGGCGGCGGCAGCGGCGGTGGTCGAAGCGGTGTGGACGTGTCGATCCTCGATGAAGACGTCGTTGATGAGGCTGTTGATAACGTGCGGCGAGAGCGGAGCGTAGTGCTTGCGCCAGAGCACAATGCCCGACGACGTGACGATCTCGAAGGCGTCCAACATGTCCTTGCGGCGCTCTCTCCTCCTCTCCGCTCTTCTCTTCTCTCCTCTCTTCTCCTCTCTTCTCGAAGTATCGATAGATGTCTGGTAGGATGGAAGCTGCGAGAAGCGGAACTCTGGAATATGGGCCCTCAACCGTCAATACTGCTACGAACGGAAGGAGTGAGGTGTCGCTGTGATCACTAGCCGCGCCAAGATCACCAGGGTCCTGTCCCGTATAGCAAGGTAAGGTAGTCCCTGAAGCTTCCACGTACATCCATATTCCAACCTCCATCCTACTCAGCTCTATACACAGACTCCGAGGCAGAGACAGAGACAGATACAGTGTGAGAGAGAGACTGCCAGGCATGCAGCGACCGACCTACGCCAACAGCCCGCCTCCGCTGCACCACCCCGTCCCCCAGCACGTCTCGACGGTGCCGCAACTGCGCTCTCCTCCCCCGCCCACCTCCGCCAACAGTCAGTATGGCTACGCCGCCGGCTCCTCCGTCAATGCCGCGCAGTCGCCGCCGCAAGGCCAGCCAGGTGGAAGCTATATGCACCCGGCCTTTGGGGGCTTCATGAACGACCACACGGCCCAGATGGGCTTCCAGATTGGGAAGACTGCTGTCGATGCCGGCCAGCAATACGTTGAGCAGAATGTATGTTACCACCACCACTATCTTTTCCTCCCCCACCATCATCACCCACTTGCTGATGCATTCATCCTCTGGAACAGTTCAACCGCTATGTCAATGTCTCCGCCCTGAAACACTATTTCAATGTCTCGAACCGCTATGTCCTCACCAAGCTCCTCATCGTCCTCTTTCCATGGCGCCATCGTCCCTGGTCGCGCCAGCACGTCCGCTCCAACGAACCTGGCCAACACCCCAACTCGATCGAGTTCCTCCCACCCCGCGAAGATGTCAATTCGCCCGATATGTACATTCCTCTGATGGCCTTCATCACCTACACCCTGTTATCTACCCTCTTAGCAGGACTGAATGGGAAATTTGAGCCTCAGTTGCTAGGGATTACGTTCACAAATGGCTTCTTTGTTCTGGCATTGGAGTTGGTCGTCTTGTGGCTGGGAAAGTACTTCCTGAATATCCAGAGTGAGAGTCAGATCTATGACTTGGTCGCCTACAGTGGCTACAAGTTCGTGGGCATTATTGTCACCATAGTAGCCGCAGCCATTGCCAATCATGGCACCGGTCTGGGTGGCTATGTTGGAGCTACAGTCTTCGTCTATACGTTCTTTGCAAATGCGTTCTTTTTGGTAAGATACCTTCGTCTACACAAGACGCTATTGGCCAGCGCTGACCAGTCTCTTCGCTTCTTAGCTCCGATCGCTCAAATATGTCCTTTTACCATCCGATAACTCAGCAGGTAACGCAGGCATGCAGACGATTGCAAAGGCGCAGAGATCGAGGAGGACCCAATTCCTCTTCATTTACAGCTACGTTGTGCAATTTGCTTTCATGTGGTGGTTGAGTTCGCTGAAGTTCGGAGGAAAATGAGGAGGAGACAACGTACCTGGCGATGCGTTCAGGGGGCTTATGGCTATGCTGGAAAAGAAGATATCGACATGGTTAGAAGCAGGGAATTTGATATGGTACGAATCGCTCTATCTGGCGAGATAGGTGCACATCTGATACCAGCCAGATATGGAAGTGGCCTGGTCTTCGGCTGACAACTACGAGAACAACGCGAGAAAGAGCCACGACGGAACAGACAAAGAAACGAGGCTCTAGTAATGCAAGCGACCTGCCCGAGGCGAAGTGTCAAAACGCGAAGGCAAGCACCTGCTGGACGGGACAGCGATTGCATTCCAGCACACACTCGGCCTGCAGCAATGTTTTCTAATGTCTTTAGTGGCAAAAGGAAGTGCTAGCACCCGTTCGAAATCTGGGGCCGGCGCAAGTCTGAAGATATTTCCTCTGGTCTTCCGGCGCGTCTACTCTACCTGAAGATGGGCTCTTCGAACCTCAACCCGGAACAGAGAGCTTACGTCCTCCATCGATTGCGTGACCGCATGACATGACAGGAAGCGGAACAGCCGATTTCAATGGGACGACACTCGGCACAGAGCGCGATAGAAGCTTACCACATAGCCGTTTGTCGCCTCGATCATCGCTGCAGAGTACAACACATCCGAGCCTCAGATCAAGCAGGGCACCTCGCAAACCTTGGCTCATCATTGCGAGCGGACAGGACCTCTATCTGAAGAGCGTAAATACTCGTGCGCCGATGGCCACGAGAGTTTCCCAAGCTCTAAGGTGCCACAAAGTCAGCTACATATTGACTGATCTAGTGGGTGTCGTGTGTCCTGTCTGAGCGTTAAAGATCGGAAGAAGAGCGCAACCATAGCACAAGCAAGAGCAGTGACCGCCCGTGGCGATTAAAGGACGTATCTGTCGATCCAGTGACCAACATTGAAGTAAGGCCTCCGACATCAGATCATCGCTGATGGATTGACTCGACCTTCATCAACGGACCATATTCCGAAACAACCTCTTGCCTGACACATGTGGTATACCGTCTCATTAGCTTACCCCAGCTGTACCAGTGTCTGGAACCACTTCACGTGAAACTTGTCCCATGGAGCAGTACCACGGTTTGTCTTTCGCGGAGTAACTGCACGGTTCATTCGCTGCCCACTTGTTGTTGCATTCGTATTTCCTTCCTGCCAACTGCTGGGGTCGTCTCTGGAACGGCTGATTTCTGCTCATCTGCTCATCTGCTCCTATGTCTTCGATCTGGAAAGTAACAATACAACATGTCCCCAGAGGATTGGCTGCTGCATCGTTGGCATGCGGCTTGCACGGCCAAGTTAGGACATTGTACCAGAACTGGAAAAACGCCATTCATCGACCGAGAGCAGACCATCATCAACGGTGGCGCTGCCTCTCAAAGCCAATTTGGCATACAAAGTTTGTGTTGTTCTCATCAGTATAACGTGGCAGTCCGGCGCGATACAGTCAGTAGGTATAGGCCGTGATCGTGATGTCGCATGCGAGATGCTAAGAGCCCGCGTGGGGTGTATGCGTGCGTACCCACTGCAAACTACATGTATACCTGTACCTAGTAGGAAGACGTGGGAGGCACCACTTCATTATGCACGACTTCATAATGAAGTGGTGCCTCACTCCATCTCCTCGGTATATTAAACGAACAAAACCATCTCCCCCCCCCCCGGTCCCAGCCACCCGTCAAATGTGCCGACCGCCTGAAAAGAGAGTACATGTATGAATATTACTTATTATTGCACATCCCACGCGCTTCGTCACAATATAAGCAATGTGTATTATTCAACAGTCATCACTTTCCTACCTACCTACCTAGGTAGGTAATGTAGGTACCAACGGACCGGTCTTTATCGGCGAACTCCTACGCGTCGCATCCCACACACACACACACACTCTCTCTCTCGCTCTCTGTGTCTCTATGATTTATCATTCAGGATATTGTTCCGAGCATGTCCATGAATGACAGTTGAAGCCAGCTCGAGGAACGCCGAAGGGGGGGTCTTCAAAAACGAGCTACATGTATGTACCTGATGCATTCAAATTCGTCAATTGTATATTGCTTGCAGGTGTCGTTTCACTGCCTACCGTACCTAGGCACTTCCGTCTCCAGATGTTGTACATGTAGCTCCCCTCCACAAGTGCCGGCTAGATGACTTCCGCGGGAGACCGGTACATGTATGTAAGGTCAGGTAGATACATGTATGTACCTATGCTTCATGCCGGGGAAGGGATATGACAGATGTCATATTATATCTAAGGTAAGGTATATTAGTATTATGATGATGCCGATGATACTCTTCAGAAATGCATTGGCAGAGCAACACTCAGGGTCGGGTTCAGGCTGGAACATCATCCTATCTCAGTCACCCCCTTCTCTGTGTTACGAATAAAGGATTCTCTACTGACTACACGATGCGTGGCATGTTTCTTGGTAGGGAGGGAGAAGGGTCGGAAAGGAGGCCGGCTTTTGGTGTTACCTTATTATCCATTTATTATAGACTTCCGTAAGGACCGTAACCTGAAGTCAGTAGTCAGAAGTCAGAACGATGGGACGGGGGAGCTCCCCGTGGGCTATCTATATAACGGGCGATCGATACGCATTATGGTTATTATTGTTATTATTATCATTAGCCTGTTGGGTTTGTGGGTGGGTGGGTGAGTGGGTGAGTGGGTGGCTCCATACCTGATCTTCAGGTAAGAACGAATGCAAGACGACGATGCGGTGACAGGGGGTGGATGTACTGTATAAGGAAGGAAGGTACGGACAACGATAACGATAATAATAAAAAAGGGCATACGAGTACCGAATGAAGTACACATCCCATATTACGATTCTGCAGGCGAACGCGAACACAAGATCGGAGTTGGGGGGCAATCACAATCTTCATTCATTCCCATTCGTCCGGTAGCGATGCTCGTGCAGACAGGGCTGAGCGGATTTGACCATTTTTTGATTAGCGAGCACCGCTCGTAGTCGACTTGAAGTACCTCTACCTACATGTACTAAGATACCTGTACCTTTTACACTGCGACACAACTGCGACATCGATGCTAGAAGTCTACAAGGCAACAGATTACCTTGCCCAAATAAAGCGATGCGCGGGACTTGAGACATACCGCGGTGGTGCACTGCAATCGCATTCTCACCACCTCAGACAACCCATAAACCTACTAGAAACGACGACGTAGGAATGGAAGGACGGGGGGGCAAGTGGTCTAGACTACTCCCGTCACTAGTCCCCGAATCAAAAGATGCGAACTTCCGCCGACCCCACACCGACAGCTGACCCACAGCCACGGTGCTGGACATGCATCTATCTGACAAGGAAAGCCCGCCGAAGGCACGTGTCATCACGACTCAGACTGACAGGACACTTCAAGTTGATTGAGGGAAAGGAGAGGGAGTAGGAGGTACACATGTATTAATTAGGTAGGTAGGACCTTGTAACACTACGGTATTGTACCTACCTCCTACCCGATTAAGTTACACGAGAAGTTGGCAGCTCCAGCCTCCAGCCTCCCAGTCACAACCTTTGCGGATAAATTGATGACGGCCACGTTGGAGTACGGTGTACCTTAAACCTGGCCTCCCTTAATACAGGTCGTTATAGTTACATACCTTACGCACCAAGGAGAGAGGCAGGCCAGCAGATGCAACGTGCAGGACGGGAGTGTCACAAGTTTCCAATCCAGTGCAGTCTTTGAATCCGTCCGTCGCCCGCATCGCATCCTCCGCCCAGATCAATTAATCTTAATCAATCTCGGACGACTCAAGCGTGAACAACGCAACGTCCATGATGAGAGCACGGCTTCCTGCAGCAGACTGACTGACTTTTTTTTCCTTGGACCTTTTATTCAACAGCCACGACGCCGGTACCGTAGTACTGCAGCCTGCAGTCTGCAGTGTTGATTAATAGGTACGTACATGCCCTGTATTTCCATTGTTGCTGCAGGAATCCACGTGGGATGAATAGGGCGCCCCGAGCCGGGGTTACGAAGGAGCTGGAGGCTTGGAGTCTTGGAGAGTACATAGCTGGAGTAGAGTACATACCTTACCTAGGTACCTCATGGAGGTAGTGGCACCGTGGCAGGCTGTGTGGCAGGCACACGAATCCGCACGATGCGTCGTCGTGTTTCATCACGAGGCCTACTCCTTAGTCTACCTTACCTGTACTACATTCATGTATCCTGACTTGAAAGAGCCGATCCCGTGCCGTATTTCTGTGCAAAGCAGCACTACGGCTCGGCAATAAACTACCATTCCCGACGGTGTAGCATGCCAGGCGAGGCGAGGCCAGGCCAGGCCAGGTACGACTGGTGGTCCGCGGCGAATGTCTCGTTAGACAAGACCAGTCCTGCACAGAAGCGCATTCCTAGGACGGGATGGCTGGTACAACGACGACGAGAGCAGTGGTCCATGTGACACTCTTCTGCTGTCGCGGCAAATGACAATCCGCCTCTCTAGCCGAACTACGTACCTACCTACGGTTAATCACCCAAATGCGTTGGAGACGTGATGACGGGACAAAGCCCGTCCGTCCCACGCCATTCTTACAGCCCGTTCAGGTGTGCCAGGAGAGTAGTGAGTGCATCCATCGGTGTGACAAGCTGGAAGTGGTGTGGAGGGCGGCTTGTGGTGATTGTTTGCGCGTGCGACCAGCTGCTCGATGCGCTGGCAGTCATCTGGTGAACAACAAGTCAACACCACAACAACAACAGCAGCAGCAGCAGCAGCAGCAGCAGCCACAGACGCGTGGAGCGTGGCAAGTGGCAGCCGGGGAAGAAAACGGCCGAGCTCCACTACATAGTAGGAGGTACCAGCTCTAGCGAGGGAGCGTCGAATTGGGTAATCCGCAGCGGAACCAGACAAAGCAGATTTACCAACAAACAAGCGAAACAGGTGGAGCACGCCCATCACGTGTAGCCATCGTGCCCGACGAGCCGCCGTTTGAGAAGCAGGGAGTTGCTCCGTTCCGCAGGCCCCGCTGCAAGCAGTAGATCACGGGTGGAGATGCATGGGGAGGGGGAGGTTTTGGGTCCCCATCTGATCTGGCAGAGAATTGCTGCTGGGTCCAAGGTTCACGATATTGTTGTTGTCGACTGGTGCGGTGCGATGAACGAGAAGGTCTCGGTCATCAGAGCATGTCATGCGGAGCAGCGGTGCGACACAGGCACTGGCCACGACATGTACCTCCTTACTACTATAGTCATGGACGTAGCGACAGTACCCTCGCCTCCCCTACCGCACCGCACCGCATGGAAAGACGGAGCCCAACCGAGTCGTGGACGGCTGGAGCGAAAGGATGTGTGAGACTGAGCCTGATGAAGAGAGGCGCGTGAGAAAGGGACACGCCGACACGGCCTCTCTCATCACATGATGCATGATCCTGGGGCCAGCAAGTGTGCTGTGCTGTGCCGTGCCTCTCTCCGGACGTCCCTCGTGCACACTCTGTCTCCCCACGCGCCCTGCCGAGCGCTCTGCCGGGGCGGCGGGCGTGGCGGATGCCAGCGCCTCACTTGACTGCTGGTCCAGGCCTGGGTGTGACGATGGACACTCGGATGGAGGCCCACGGAGTCGTCCACGTCGATGTCAGCATGCGACACTATTCAGGTAATGTATTGTATGTACTGTTGACGACGTGGTAGTGACGACTACTATGATAAGTTGAGTTCCCTCATAAGCGACGAGTCGCAAACCTGGGTAGGCGACGACTGTGGATGAGAAATTCGGCGGGGGCGCGGTCTGGAACTACAGCGCAGCTGCAGCGGCCGGTGAGTGGCATATGCGCAGCAGCAGCAGCAGGATAGGCTCGGTGGGAGTGTCGTTAAATGTGACACGCGGGAGCGGAGATCGATCATGATGCTGTCGCTGGTAGGCTGTTTGTGTAGGAACGATTCACCAAACGGGGCGATCCTTGGGGCCCGACGCTCGCGGAAGCGCAGCCAGAGTTTGGGAGGGGAGTGCCTTTTTTTGCCTACCGTCGTACTACTCTGTAGATCAGCCCTGCTGTTCCATGATGCTTGACCGACCAGCAGCCAGACGGCAGCCTTTCCGTGCCGATGTACAGTAATAAGGGTAAGGTAGTAGTAATGGTCGTCGCAGCAGCGGCAGTAGTACGTTGTAGTAGTCGGAGTCGTCGTAGTGTGAGAAGTACCTAGTGTCGTACACTCGTAGTATGTAGGAGCGAAGACCTGCTCCCGCGGCCGCTCTTGCTCCGCTCTGTTCTCTGCCTGCCTGCCTGCCTTCTCTGCCTTCTCTGCCTTCTCTCCTCCTCAGGTACTTATCTGGCCCTCTCTGTATACACCGACTGTCTGTATACATACCGAACAACTCTGCCGCTGCTCTGCGGCCACGCGCCCTCCCGCTCGCCGTCGCCGTCGCCCTCGCCGCTCCGACCGCCGCTCTCACCATCACCGCCCCCTCCGCCCTGTCTGTCCTACAAACGCCGCCTCTGCCCATCGTTCGTCACACACAAACGCGACCGCTGGCCGCTCAGGCCGTGCCGAGTGCAGGCGATCGATGTACAAAGATACCTCGCAGCGCGACCACCTGACGTACCTCCTCGCCGTTTTCGGTTATTTTGCGCCCACGATACATCTCTGCCTCGCGCCCGCAACACCTGCGACGACGCCGACGACAGCGACGACGACTCGCAGCAGGTCTCGCCCCAGGCGACCGTTCCGCGACGACAATGCCGTTCAGGCCCGAACGCTCGTTGCTGCGTGTGGAGGTCCCTGCCCTCCACACCATTGACACCACATCGGTGGAGAATCTCTTTGGCATGGTCAGTTGCGTTCACGTGCATGGAGCTACAATGGCTGCAGCAGCAGCAGCAATCTTGCGACTAACGCCTTGCCGCAGTGGTCTTTATTCTCCAAGACCGGGCATGCAATACACAACGGCAGGCGCCTTGAGAACCTTTCCTGGCGGCTATGGAATCGCGAAACCTTCTGCTGTGCTCCAGAATCGCCTCCTGCACGCAAAGCCTCTGCAACTGCCGTCCGGCGTACAACGCGACCGCAAACCACGGCCACGGCCACGACCGGCGATATGACAGCGGTGCCGCCGCTCTCCACCAGCCTCGACTCCGCCTCGTCGAACGGTGACCATGATCATCCGGCATCGCCGACCACTCCGCGCAGCACTCAGCCCCGATCGACGCTGTATCGAAACGACTCGGCGACAGGGAGCGTAGTCTGTCGTGGGCGCGAGAGACGCCTCCGGCCTATTGATCTGGAAAACATCGTCCACACCATCACCGAAACCAACATGCTGGAACCGATTGAACTACCCACGCGAAAGTCGCTATCAAATCCAGATGAATGTCCTTCCATATCGGCTGAACAAGTGCTATCTCAGCTGGGCTCACCGCCGATGTCGCGGTGCTCGCAGAAATCAGATCCCACCCCCGATGCCTCTGTGTCGCAAACGACTCTCCTGGAATCATCTGCCTCGACTGTTGCATCTAACGTCTCTCAGTCGTCCGACATGGTCGGCTCGCAAGAGAGCTCTTCCACAGAGATGAGCACACACAACATCATTCGTGGGTTTGTGCCTGGTGGAGCCAGCTCGTCATATCGATCTCAGACAAATCTCGCGACACAGCCGACTCCCATCCTCAAAAACTCTCGAAGTTTTCGACAACCAGCACCGCCCAAGAAGAAGGGCCCAATGTTCACAATTGGAACTTCTTCTGGAGAGGACGAAAGCTCACTCGAGAGTCACATGCACCGCAGTGTGCTATCCGACGGTCTGAGAGCGCCAGGGAGCCAGAATAGTGATGGAAGCAAGAAGCAAGCTTCCTTCCAGGATGAACTATCTATCGCACAAGCCGTAGCAGCACGTCACAGCCCCGTCTTTGAGTCGGACGACGACGAAGATGACATTTCAGAGAGTGCGATCGAAGACGACGACGACTCTTCCGACTGGGAAGATTCCGATGACGGAAGCGGCCCATCCTCCGTCAATGAGAAGGATTTATTTCAACGAGTCGACTCGAGACCCAACCTCACCTCTCGACGGTCTCTTTTGACAACGCTGATGCATGAGCCTGACCGTGCGAAGGCCCTCGCGAATGCTGCATCGAGATCCACGCCAGCCATTCGACGATCAAGAACCGCGACTCCGAGCGGGCCATCTCTGGCAACATCGCCCGAGACAGGCTCACACTCGCAGCTGCAGGTTCCAGGCTTGGAGGTCCCTCGTTCCAAACCCATCATCATGACCACTTCCAATACTCACCAGCAACTTTCTCTCTCGCCACGCACGACCAGGCGGAACATGTTGTCCACCGAGCTCACGGAGTCATTGCGCAAAAACCTCTTATGGGAGCGCCAACATAAAAGCACGGGCAACTTGGCTGCTTTGAAGCGCAGACACACATCTAACGATGTAAAAAATCTCAAGCAGCTCCCTGAACCTGGCCCGGTGCTGTCGCAGAAGGAGCAGAAGGGCATTTTTAGCAATGAGTACTTCCATGCCGGCCTTGGGGAGTACCATCAAAAAGGCTGGTGAGACTTGAACATTCCGTCCTGCGTTCATAGCGGTTTTTCTGCACATAGCAGCATGCATTCACCTACTCGCGGCTGGTTTTGCCGCTCAGACATTGGTGGTCGTGATCACGAATTGTTGGGATTTGGACTTTGCGGAGGGACCAGTTTCGGCACGGTCCTACATACTTTACGGCCGGTACATGCACATATGATGACTACGCGGCCGAGTAACATAGCCTTGAGCATCGGTAGCTCGGCGGAAAATACGGCCTGTACATTAACAATGTAACATTATCTCTATCAAGAACTTCTGTTCTGCCAGAAGTGATGGGATTCACTCGGGGAGAGCTTGTGCTGCAGCTGCAGCAGCAGCAACAGTCGCAGAACAAAACAAGGTATTCACGCACAACCACAACCACAACAGATGATGGGGTTGAAGCAACCTCCTCATCTATCGGTGGTCAGATGCTGCATCTCATCCGCGTTGAGAGCACGCTGGTTTACGTTGAGGATCACATGTGAAAGTGGGCAAGCAGACAGGGAGGCAAGACAAGGCAAGGTGCCTGAGCTGAGCATGAGCTGAGCAGCAGACCGCCTTTCTCTGGCTGCAATCTTCCGTTTTGCACATGCATACTGATCTGCATGGGGAGCCAACAACCCCGCGCTGACATACCTCCCTACCTCCTCGCGCAAGCGGATTGCGTGTTGGGTATCATCTAGTCGTTTGTACGAAAATAACATTGAAACTCCTTATTTTTACCTTAGCATATATGTGACGGGAGGTGAGGGCTACCTCCTAATAATAATGCATGAGGTGGCTGAAATCCGTGCATACGACCCAACAACACGGCAAATACGGTATTTCGATGATAATACATGTACATTGTACAAGTCCATCCTTTTTTTAAGGTTACCTAAGCGGCGCGGCTAAAATACCTTATTATTCCCCAGAGAGACGGGAGAGAGGGTGTGTGTGTGTGTGTGTGTGTGTGTTTCCAACAAGTAGGGTACATGTAGGTAAGGTATGGGGCATGAGGTAAGAACGGCTCGAGTTGCTTGTGCAAACATATCCGAATCGTCGGACTGAACAACCTGGAGTGGTAGAACAAGAAGAATGCTATCGTTGCTGGTTCGCGGAAAAGAGGTATAGAAAGAAGAATTGCAGTGATGATCTGGATAGCGGTGAAGCTTGGTATACATGTATCATTTATATAGTATGCTGCAGCTTTGCAGCTTTTACTGAGAGCGAGAAGCACTAATTGTTTGCCCCGAAAAATAAAAGAAACTAGTGTCGAAGTCGCGATTGTTGGCACCAACCTGCTAAGGTACTTTTGACGCACACTCTTCCAGGCTGGACTGTGTCGATCCATCCCCCCCGGTGGTACATCAGCTTCGCAGGCGTCGTGGCGCAACGTTTGCTTGCTGACCTTGCGTGATCCATTGTTGCCGCCGATTAACCTTCGATCGTGCCCTCATCAATATCGTCATGGTGGTCAACATGACAGGCGTGGCTATCAGCCAAAAGAACGCATCGCTATGGTTGTTCGTCGCCCACATGGGCTCGAAGTTCATGCCGAAGTAGCCGGTCAGGAAGGTGAGGGGCAGGAAGAAACTGGATACCAACGTGAGTGACCTGACACTCTCATTCTGGCTTGCAGCTATGGTATTGAAGATGAGAGAGGACAGGTTCTCCGCAGACCGTATAGACGTACGCGTATTGTTCGACAGCGCGGTGACGTGGTCCTGGACATCTCGCAGATATATCTGCGTAGTAGGCGAGATGACAACGCTCGTGTTTAACTGCTGCACAAGTATGCTGTCAGGAGACCCTTCTTCCAGCCGGCGGCGCGAACCAGGGATACTGCCATGATCACATAGTGTTCGAACCAGGATAGCGATCGCGTTGGCATTCTCCATTAGTTGCGTAAGGCCTGATCTCAAGATGTGGAGTTGCTTGGACTGGCCGATCGTGGGATTCTCCAGAACATCTTGCTCCAGGTCGTCGAACGCTTCGCTCGCAGCAATGCCAATTGGCAGTGACAAGTCAACAACGGCATCAATCACTGCCTGCAGAAGCATAGATGGATCTCCGCTTGAGCGAACGACCGTCTGTGGCGAGCGAAGACGAAGCATGATGGGCGCCAAGACATCTTCACCAGAGTGCTCGAAGATGGTAATAATTGTATTATCACTGGTGAGAAAGGCGGAGACTTGTTCGACAGACATGCCGAATCTACCTGGTACCAGCGTGCGTCGACTCTTGCGCTCCTTGACCTCGTTACGTGCGTGTGAGCCTCTACGAATTGTATTCGAACCTTCGTGGGCGAGCTGGACGAGGTTCATCTCGACGAAGCAGTGATTGTCATACCAGTCCACCTTGGTCGTAGCATGCGTATCCATTACATCTTCAATCGCCAGAGGATGTAGGCCTTTGCTTCTCCCAAGACACTGGATGACGTCCAAGCTGATGCTATTCACCCAGATCCATCGTGCAGCAGCCCAGCCTGGCTTGGGTCGATCACGCAGAAACGCGTCTAGCTCAAGGCTGTTCACATGGTTCTCCTCGAGCCGGGTCTTCGAGTAGTCGATGATCTTGATCTGGCAGTGTTGTGCTTGTGGCGAAGTGCATCCTGCATATGAGGATAGCCCAGGCTCTGCACCAGCCGCGGACTGGAGGCCGTGTCTGGTGTGAAAAGGGCGGTAATGGAGCGGCTTAAGTTGGGGTCTGCTGGAAGTGAAAGTGAAAGTAGTGAGAGTGGGGCGCTGCTGGAAGACGTGAGGTGCTGGTGTTGTAACTAGGCCAAGACCAAGACCCAGACCAAGACTCCTCGGACGTGCTCCCGTTCGAGGCACAGATGTCACGTTTATGGGCAAGGCACGTCTCCACTTCATTATCGACTGTTCTGGGATGAAATGTATGAATCTCTCAGTACTAGCACTACTAGGAGGTAGTAGTCTGTTGTGTATGGTCCCGTTCCAGTATTATCGTTATTGTACTGTATTTTACCTGTAGTTTTAATCGCAGACTGTGCTCCCCGCATCGAACTCGGCAGTTGCCGACTTCCACCTGCGCTCCAAGTTTCACATACCAATCACCGCCAAACCTCTGCACACCCTGCCTACCTATCGCTAACGGACGTCGAAATGGCACTTGTCCCCGCGCGCAATGGCGCCAACGGCCCTCCCACTCGTGCCAGTCAGCTCGTCGAGACGAAGCAGTTCCAAACTTCCACCAAAGGCAAAGTGCCAACGGGCTACGCTGAGGAAATCGCCATTTCTGAGCACAGCTTTCGAGATCTTCACCGCGGTGTCGAGCGGCAGCACGCTGTTGGTAAAAAGCGCAAGCGAGAGACAAAGGGCGACAGCAGCACAGTGTACGGCGCGGGCGCCTACAAAGGACCGTGGGCGAAGTACGAGGAGCGGCGCATCGACAGCGACAGCGGCGAGGAGATTGAAGTGGAGGTTGAGGGTGATGAGAGTGGGGAGGAGGAGGTCATCTACGAGGAAGATGCGATTGCGCCAGTACCGACCAAGGGTTCAAAAGCAGGCACGAGCTACGACAAAGTCGGCCATGACAAGGAAACGAGCACCTTCGAAGGCTCGCAGCAGTATGACTACCAGGGACGAACTTATATGCATGTACCTCAGGATCTGGATGTAGACCTGGTTGGCGACTTTGAGAACATGAACCTGAGGTGCTTTCATCCCAAAAAGCTCATTCACACATACACAACCCACGGCAGAAACGCCCACGAGAAAGCTCTCACGTCCCTCAAATTCTTTCCCAACTCTGGCCACTTACTCCTGTCGGCCGCGGCTGATGGCAAAGTCCGCATTTGGGATGTCTACCACGAGCGAGAACTGCTGCGCTCCTACAATGGCCATACGAAATCAGTGGTCGATGTTGACTTTACTCCCAACGGCACACGCTTCCTATCTGCTTCGTACGATCGCCAGATCAAGTTGTGGGATACAGAAACCGGCCAGTGTATCTCACGCTTTGGTACCGGCAGCACACCTCATGTCGTCCGGTGGCAACCTGACGACCCCAGCGGGCACGAGTTCCTCGCCGGCATGCACGATAACAAAATCGTTCAATTCGACACTCGATTACCTGCCGATGGCGAAAAGAAGAATCCAGTCCAGGAATACGACCATCATCTCGGCCCCGTGAACACCATCACGTGGTGCGACGAGAATCGCAGGTTCATTACCACGTCCGATGACAAGAGCTTGCGAGCGTGGGAATTCAACATTCCGGTTCCTATCAAGTTCATCGCTGAGCCTTACATGTTTCCCATGGTCAAGTCTGCCTCGCATCCAGCAAAGGGCGCTGTATTACTCCAATCCTCCGACAACACCATCAAAGTGTACAACACTGGTGAGAAGATCCGGCAGAATAGAAAAAAGGATTTCCGTGGACACAACAACGCCGGATATGCGATCGATCTTGCCGTCTCACCCGATGGGGGCATTGTTGCTTCCGGCGACAGTGGAGGCTTCGTGTGTTTCTGGGACTGGAAGACCTGTAAGATGTGGCATAAGATTCGAGCTAGCGATGCTGCTGTCATATCTGTGGCATGGCATCCCAGGGAATCTAGTAAAGTTGTCACAGGAGATTTAAACGGTGTTGTGAAGTACTGGGATTAGGCGCGGTCACGTTAGAGCGCAGGCAAAGGCGACATGCAATGATGAGAGACTTCGATAAAGCTGAAACGCAATGTGCAACGAGCAAGAGCAAGTCCACGCTTTAGGTGGCAGTTCACGCAACTTTGATGCCCTGCTTGTTGTGCCTCGAGTGGGCGGGCAGAGAACGGAGCTCCTGAGTGTGCGCCTCAATATCAAGTCGCTACTGACAGCTAAATTTCGCCAGGGTAGTACTACGATGTTGAGCACATTCGGGAACAGAACTCACATGGGGTCACCCGGTGGAATAGAAGACTGAGGTGTCTAAGCATAGAAACTGCTCACATAATGAGCATTGCGTACACTTGAATCGGAGCAGGGCATATCAATGATCAATCGACCCTGATTCAGAAAGAAGCACGGAAGTTGCTCAGGGACGCAACACAATCGAAACGGCAAGAGTGACTGACTCGAAAGCGCTAGATGGCGGGGATCGGGCACAGGGCCCAGAAGTACAGGTTGGTGAGACTGGTAGTCGCTTGTGCCTGCAACGGCAAACAACGACAGTACAGACAGGCCCAAGATGTATGTTCAGGCACAATTGCTTCGAGCCTGTAAGGCACCGAGGCTGATTTCCCCAGAGGCAACACACGCACAGAGGCGTAAAAGACTTGAAAAAGTCTGTAGCAGTGACGCTTGCGCGTATGCTAAGGGTACAGTGCACAAGGCAACTGTCTCGAAGAAATGAACGCTCTTCGGGGCATAGCTTTTTGAAAGCAATCGTGATACGTTTTGGACCTAGAAAACAGCTTGGCGCTGTCCCCACTTGAACTCCTTGGTCAGGGTATAGAGCCTTGTGCAAAGCAGTGACACTGCTACCTCGGATTTCATGTCAACTCCTGTCACCTCTTGTCCCGTCTCTAGTATCCGAGCTCAGCGAGCTTGCTCTGCACGTCGCTCGACACCTTGCTTTGGGCCTCAACCAAGTTCTTGCGGGCTGCCTTCTTCTTCTCGTAGTAAGCCTGGCCCTTGACCTTGCGTCTCTCCTCGAGGCGGGAAACGACATCCTGGTATTTCCAGCCAAACTCGTGGCCTAGACGTCCGACAGTGCAGTACTTGCGACCGGGCTTGAGGCGGAGCACACGGAGAGCCTGAGGAACGACTTGGCGCTTCTTGTGGTCGTATGGTGGGGGGACGCCCTCAAAGGTCTTCAGGCGTTCGAGAGCCTTCGCGCCGCGCTCTGTCTTGTGAGGAATCATGCCGCGGACGGTTCGCCAGAACATCTTGGCTGGCGAACGGTAGTGCCATGGACCACCACGGGTTGCGTTGTATCGGGTCTGCTTGCGCATGAAGGCCTGGTACTTCACTGCAAAGGGGTCAGCGGGAGTCATATCCTGGTGAAGACCAGGCGCTCCTGGGTTAGGCTACAACGTACGCTTGGCACGGAAGAATTCTCCAGAGATGTTGAGGGCCTCGCAGCGGACGACGACAATCTTCTGGCCATTGAGGAGTTGCTTGGCCACGGTCGAGGCGAGACGACCAAGAAGGTGTCCCTTACCGTCGACGACAATCTGTGTATATCCAATCTTAGTACGCGTCCCAGTAATGTCCACTTCTGCACTTGATTCCATGCGCTCGCTCTGCTTCTCCCCGTGGTGTTTATCTGTCTCTTCAAGAGCTCTGTCGCACTCTCTCACTGCCCCATGCCCTCACGTTCACACAGTCTCTTTCAGGGATGGATTGTAGACGTACCACCGGTTCGAAGGTCGACATGTTGGCGGATGGATCGGTCGTTGGGTGAAGTCGAGTGTGTCGAATCGAAGTTTGTCGTTGACGCGCGCAGAATTTCTGGAGGTGTGTACGGTGGAGTTCGAGCTTGGCAGGATTAGTCATCCATCTTCGGCACTCTTACCAATAGAATACCGTACCGCAGCACGACGTAGAAAGTAGAAAGTACCTTACCTTAACTGGGCTATACTGCGCTGTGCTCTGACATCTGTCTATGTAGCCTTGCCTCTCATCTCCTCTCACTTGGGCAGCTAAACTTACCTCAACTCCGCCCCGCCCTCGCCCTCCGTCACTGTCACCTACCAGGCTGCTTCCCTCAGCAACCGTGGCGTCGTCCTCCGGCACTAGTCTGCTCGAGAAGCTGCAGCACTTCCTACCACTGACGAGCAACTTCACTACTGCGACCTTCGAACACGCCGCTAGAGTCGTCGAAAGCCTTCTGGGTGTCTCCCTCACGAGCCACGCTCCATCCGAGGACCCTGGTACCACCACCACCTACGAGGCGCTGTCGAGCGTCGTGTCCGACTTCGTCGCTGATCGGACGCCTCTCGAAAACACGTCCATCTTCCTTGCGCTCGCCACTTTCCTGTTCCTCATTATGTCGTGGACGCAGCGCTTCGGTGGAGGCCTCGGCCGCTTTTCTCCCTTCACACGCTCTCCGCCTCAAGGTTCAACCAAAGTCAGTGACGCCGACTTCAGCTACATCACAGCCGACGACTTGCGAAGACACCAAGCTGAATCAATGGGACAGCAACCCGCAGAAGCCGACTACGGCCCGCCTCGCGACACCGACGTCCTTATTTTGCGCAATAAAAAGAAGGAGTATGCCGTGCACTTCCCGGCATACAGCATTGCCAAAGGCGAGCTCACTGTGGGCAAGGTGCGAGATCAGGCTGCGAAGGCGACGCAGTCCGACGCACGCCGGATCAAGTTGCTCTACAAGGGCAAAAATCTGAAAGACGATTCGCGACTATGTCTCCAGGAGGGATTGCAAGACGGAGCTGAACTGATGTGCGCCATCGCCGAGGGCATGACTTCACCTAGCGATAGCGAGGAGTCCGACGACGAGTTTGCCAACGGGACCGGTACGGCAGATGGTGAGGCCAAGCGTAGACGTAACAGAGGCAAGAAAAGCAAGCGGCGCAACAAGCGAGATCAAGCTGGAACATCGACTCCACAAGCCGGTGAGCCTCCGCTTGGCATGCCACCGAACGGCCAGCATGCTTCCCGCACGCAATCGCCTCGTCCACCTGCAACCCCAGCTACACCCCTTGACAAGCTCAATGCGCTTCATCAGAAGTTACAGGAGTTCGTCCCCGACTGCGAGAAATTCCTGGCCTCACCCCCTACGGAGCCTGCGAAGAAGGACTTTGAGCACAAGCGATTAACGGAAACGATATTGACCCATGTTTTACTCAAAACTGACGGAGTGGAGACTGAAGGGGACGAGGAAGCCAGGGCGAGAAGAAAAGCGCTGGTGAAGGAGACGCAGGCGTGGTTGAACCGACTAGATGCCGCAAGGAATTCATGAGCGTGAGAGTGCTGTTATGTCTATACGGACAACCTGCTTTAGCGATCGACTTATTCCGGGCGTACGGGATGGCATTGTATTGCATGAATGGAGTTTGGGGTAGCGGCAAAATACAAGTTCGCTTCCCGATCGAGGACAGCGGAACGGATCACTTATACTCTACAGGCGCGGCTGACAGTCCAAATTCAGAGACCTATTTCTGTTGGCACAATCTACCACTAGAGTGCTAAACCCACCGACATTTGCAGTACGACGTCTCTCTGGTACTGCCAAATTCAGTATCACTTCGGCGGCGCATCACGTACGAGGCGCAAAAGACTGGCGATCGACATGGAAAGCTTCCCCACATTATTACAGGTACCTTGTTGTTTCCACAGCTCCGAATCCGCTCCCCTCCCGCAGGCCGCACGCCAACACCTCCATCCAGCCACACATGCTTAACAAACACTCCGCAATTGACGGCAGAGATCTCTCTTCTCAACTGCTTCTGCTTACCTGAGAGCACTATTAGTACTGGGCGCGTAGCAGCAGTCGCCTGCTGTTCCGGGTCACAAGTCTGTCTCACCTATACCACTCTCGCTCGGGCACGAGAGCTCATAGGTCTCTGTTCACGATCCTGCCGCCGCACCTGTCTCAGCAAAGCCGAGAAACCATTGACTAGTAGTGAGTATATCGGTCCCACTCGCCCATCATGTCGTCGTCGTCGACGGCCATGCAACGACTCTCCACGCTGGCTGCACACCTCGTTCCAGCTTCGAGCTCTCCTACAATGGCCGACAACAGCACGACCGACACAATGGCGAGCAATGGCGTCCAGCGAGCCCACCACATTCACCAGCTCAGTCCGACGTTCTTCCTACCCAGAGCAGCTGCAATCGAACCCAACGCTATTGCCTCCGTACACAAGACCGCCAACGGTAAAATGCTGCGAAGGACATATCAAGAAACTGCCGACCGAGCCAGGGGATTGGCATACTATTTGAAGAAGCATGGATTCAAGCGGGTGGGCATACTTTGCACAAATACTCCAGCCTTCTTGGAGTCAATATACGGCATCGGCGGTGCTGCAGCTGTCAATGTAGCTATCAATTACCGGCTCAAAATGGACGACATCACCTATATCTTCGATCACGCCGAGGTCGACCTCATTATTGTCGACGCTGAATTCCGACATTTACTCGATGGATATAGAAAGAATCACCCCAATGTCCCATTCATCGTTGATACAGACACCGATCAAGGCACCGGCGAGTTCGATCGTGTAGTCCAACAAGGCCTCGAAATCGACCAGCAATCTGGGAACCAAGGCTGGGCAGGCCTACAGACTGAAGTTGCTGACGAAGACAGCCTGATCGCTTTGGCATACACTTCAGGCACCACGGCTCGGCCGAAAGGAGTAGAGTACACGCATCGTTCTGCGTACCTTGCGGCACTGGGCAATGTCATTGAATCAAACTTGAATGTTGCGCACCCGAAGGCCAGCCGAGCCCACTATCTCTGGACGCTTCCTATGTTTCATGCGATGGGCTGGACGTTTCCATGGGCCGTGACGGCGATTCGAGGAACGCACTACTGTCTTCGCAAAATCGACTATCCTTATATCTGGAAGTTACTCAAAGAAGAACAGCTGTCTCACTTCAACGCTGCTCCGACGGTCAATACTCTGCTTCTCGCTGATTCCAACGCCGTGAAGCTCGAACATCCGGTTCGAGTGACGGTGGCGGCCTCACCACCAACGGCTCATTTATTCCAACAAATGGAGGAGCACAATCTACGGCCGACACACGTATACGGACTGACTGAGACATATGGACCCATCACCAAGGGTTATCAACTGCCGGAATGGGATAGACTGGAGACCAAGCAGAAGTATGCCAAGATGGCGCGACAAGGACATGGTTTCGTCACATCCCTTCCTGCGCGCGTCATCAAGACGAACCAGGACGAATCTGGATCGTGGGGAGCTGCGGAGACGATTGAAGATGTGGCCAAGGACGGCAAGGAGATTGGTGAGATCTGCTTCATTGGCAATATCTGCGCCAGGGGATACTACAAGGATGCGGCAGCGACCAAAAAACTGTTCGCTGGAGGGGTACAGCACTCTGGCGATCTTGCAGTGTGGCATCCCGACGGGGCGATTCAGATTCTCGATCGAGCCAAGGACATCATCATCTCTGGCGGCGAGAACATCTCGAGTGTCGCGTTGGAAGGCATGCTCGTGACACATCCAGATATCCTCGAGGCAGCTTGCGTGGCGGTGCAGGACAAACAATGGGGAGAGCGGCCCAAGGCGTTTGTCACGATCAAGGGAGGCAAGAAGGGTCTGACGGGCGAGGATATCATCCAATGGGCGAAGAACGCGAGTGGCATATCCAGGTTCATGGTGCCCAAAGAGATTGAGATTTTGGACGAGTTGCCCAAAACGAGCACTGGAAAGGTGAGGAAGAACGTGTTACGGGATTGGGCTCATAACAAAGGACAAAAGAGGGAGGCCGATGTGTAGATGTGTGTCGGCTGCAAAAGGAGTGTTTTTTTCCCGTGAGATGGTGTAGTCGCGTGTGTTATGCATGTCCTGTTCAAGCGTAATCATCATATAATGGAGAACGACGACGGTTCGCCTTGAGAGGCCGATCGACCACCATTGGATTTACCCTTGCGACAATCCTACTCTGGGAGGCTACACAACCTACTGTAAACTCCCGCGTGCATCTCCGAGACACGTGGAGCCTTTCCACATTTTGATTAGTTCTCATGTGCCAATGTCTGCGTGTGCTACCGTACATACATGTTTATGCAACTGATCACAGCGATGAGGATGATGATGATGGATGATGATGATGGGTGATGATGACGCTTTTTGATGGAGCGGTCTTCATTGAATGGCTAGAGGTGGGTGCAAGTGGAAGTGCAAGTGGAAGCGGAAGGAATAAAAAGAGGTAGATGTGGAAGTGGAAGTGGAAGGAAGTGCCAGTGCAAACGGAAAGAGGTGCCAGTGCAAGTGGAGGAAGGAACTGAATGGCAGTGCAAATAGGAGGTAAATGCAAGGGAAGGTGCAAGTGCAAATGGAAGTGGAAGTGACGGAGGACTGCCCGATGCAGCCCTGTTGTTTGCGTCACTTGACCAAGAAGAGGCTCTTCAATACCTCCTACCTCCTAGTAGTAGAAGACGTACATGTACCTACGTTAGCTGTAGGAGGTAGCTGCAAATGATATGCACAGCACCAGACGTCGTCGTCGTAATGACCAGAGACACCGCGCCCGTCGGAACTGCTATGTCCTCGCGCGAGGCAGCCGGGTGCTGCCGTGGCATTCCATCAATTAGGTAATTAAATGTACAAACGCCAGCAGAGAGAGAACCTGGAAGGAAGGCAGAAGTTGGTAGTAGTAGTAGCAGCAGTCGTGGATAAATGAGGCAATCACGAGATGCGAAAAACACGCGCGGGACTGGTAGTGTAGTGTACAGGTAGATAGGTAGGAGGTAGTAGGGAGTGGTGGTAGACTGGTAGGAGGTAAGTTGTCAGGTAGGTAGGTAGGTAGGAGGTAGTGGTAGAGTGGTAGTGAGTGGTAGGGATCCGTGTTTTAATTCTAGTCACCGTATTATTACCGTCTAATTTTTGATGATTGTGTGCGGCAGCGCACTGAGCCGCACTGAGCGGCGAGCGCAGTCAAGTGCGAGTGCGAGTGCGAGTGCTGAGTGCACAGTGCACACAGTTTGACAACAAGGACGGGAGTAGGCAGCACATGACTGGTCAGCGCTCCCGCCGTCGTGCATTAGCTTCGGCAAGCATCAGCAGAGAAGAGTGGAAGCTGGAGTGCAGCCTACAGGTACATAAGGGGCCAAAATCCTCACCCGCCGCCCGCTGAGCCTACGCCTACGCCTGAGCCTGAGCCTGAGCCCGCCTCGGAACAGACTCTCCATTTTTGGCCTGGGAGTCGGAGTGTGTGGGAGCGAGCGAAGCTGCGAACGCGTCGTCCGGATCTCGTCACCTGATTCGCGCGCACAACCACATTACCACAACACCGCATGTCTAGTGCGCAACTTTCGCGTACAGTACCTACCTTACCTACCTTACTTACCTACAGTGTACCTACCTGACCTGACCTGACCTGACCTGACCTGACCTGACCTGACCTTCCAATATCCTCACTGTCACCAAACACACACCAAACGCGCCAAGCACGCCAAACACGCCAAACACGCCAACCCAAATACCTATTCGACCTCAGCTATTCCCCCAGCCTGCCAGCCTGCCACTGCGCTAATTCCACCATCATCTCAATCCATGGACCGCTCCGGACTGGGCACTCTGTTCCTGCTCTTGCTCCTGCTCCTGCTCCTGCCCTGTGCTGCCCCCGCGACCACGGCCTAGTGTGTGTCTGTCTGTGTGGGTGTGGGTGTGTGTGTCTGTGTCTGTGTCTGCACCGCTTCTGCTGCCGACATGACGACTTCACGGTAAGCACCATGCATGCATGTCAACTCATATCGCACTAGCCACGTGCACGTGACGGACCGCTGCTTCCCACTCTCGCCCGTGTCGCTTGCTAATGTTGATGCTCTTCGTGCAGACTGGACCGCTTGGTCGTCCTGTTGGAGACGGGCTCGACCCAGCTGATTCGGAATACCGCCGCGCAGCAGCTCGCAGATGTCCAAAAGAACCACCCGGACGAACTCTTCAACCTACTCACGCGCGTGGTGCCCTATCTGAGGTCCCCCTCATGGGATACGAGGACTGCTGCTGCTCGTGCCCTGGGCGGCATCGTGGAGCACGCGGAAAGGTATGATCCCAATGCCACTCTGGACCCGGTCACAGATGAAGTCAAGCCAGACCCGGACTATGAATCGAACAAAGAAGACTCGACGGCATCGGCCCCGCCCGAGCAGCTCGCCTTAGCGACTCTGGATGTAGAGGCGATCTTGACCTATGGCAAGGAACTACTCGGAAGCGCGGGGAGGCAGTACGACTTCAAGCTGGCTGGTCTTAATGCGATTGAGCGACTTGCAGCTCAGAAGGCGTCTTTAACGAGGCGTCTTGGACTCGGCGGCGAGTACATCGAGGAAGACCTGGTTAGCGAAAAGGATATCGCAATCAGGTCCTCGATGAATACTCCTGCTTTGCCCCGGCTCGAGACGGATGGCAGTAAGAGTGCTATGGACGATGCGACCATGAAGTCGCCCGAGGAAGCCACCCCACAGACCCCCGCTGCCGGCGAGATGAGCAAACGACAGCTCAATATGCTGAAGCGGCGACGCAAGGAAGAACTCAAACGCGACAACAAGAAATTCAAGTACGACTTCGCCCTTCGACGTGAGAGCACGGGCTTGGCACCAACGCCGGGTGGCGAAACCAGACAAGAGATCAAACAGGAGCCTGACGCTAACGGCAATGGCGACTACTTCTCACTGGATCGTAAAGGTGGCGACGATGACTCCCAGATCGTCTCGGAATTCAAAGGCGCACCAATGGCAGAGAAATCGACGTTAGTCAGCAATGAAGATGGAAACGAATGGCCCTACGAACGTCTCTGCGAATTTCTGACTGTGGACCTATTCGATCCGGCTTGGGAGATACGACACGGCGCTGCCATGGGTCTACGGGAGATTATTCGGGTGCATGGAGCTGGAGCTGGTCGCCGTGCTTCCAAGACACGAGAAGAGAATGACAAGCTGAATTGCGCGTGGCTGGATGATCTAGGCTGTCGGATCTGCTGTGTGTTCATGCTAGATCGATTTGCCGACTATGTCTCCGACAATGCCGTTGCACCCATACGGGAGACCGCAGGTCAAGTCCTGGGTGCCGTACTTCAGTTTCTGCCGGCTTCCTCGGTACACGAGATCAATCGCATTCTGTATCGCTTGGTAATGCAGAAGGATCTCAAGGTATCCCGACGCATCTGGCATGCATGCCATGGCGGCATGATCGGTATGCGCTATCTCGTTGCGGTGCGTACTGATCTGCTCTTCCAGGACCGATCTCTAATGGATGGTGTTCTTGAGTGTGTCATGAAAGGCTTGGGCGATCAGGACGATGATGTGCGCGCCGTGAGCGCTGCGACACTTATTCCCGTGGCCAAGGAATTCGTGAATGTTCGCTCCGATGAACTCGGTCACCTTATTGGCGTGGTCTGGGAATGCTTATCCAGTCTCTCGGATGACCTGAGTGCGAGTACGGGATCGGTCATGGATCTACTTGCCAAGCTGTGCAGCTTTTCGGAAGTGCTAGCGGCCATGAAGGAGAATGCTGCTGCCGATCCCTTGCAATCCTTCGACGAGCTGGTGCCCAGGCTATATCCCTTCTTGCGACATACGATCACGAGCGTGCGATCCGCTGTGCTGCGTGCTCTACTCACCTTTATCAACATTGATGGTACGGATACCAAAGGCTGGATCAATGGCAAGGCCCTTCGCCTGGTTTACCAAAATCTTCTGGTGGAGCGCAACGACGGAGTACTCAGGTTGTCGCTCGATGTATGGGAGGCCTTGGCCAATGCCTTGGCTGCGAAGCATCCGCTAGCTTTCCAGCAGGAATTCGAGCCCCATGCTCTGCCACTCCTGTCTCTGACAACACACCCCATTGGCATCAGCCGCCACCCCATACCAATGGATGCCACACTGTTTATCAAGCCTTCTGGCCAAACCTATGCACCACTTGCCAACGCGCGCCGTCCCTCCCCTGTCAATGGCTCCGAGCCCGCTAGAAAGCGTCGCAAATCCGAGAAGAAAGAGAGCTCACTACCACCTGTCACGACCACAACTCACAACATCGATGCCGCTATCATGCAAGGCGACATCGACCTTGTTGGTGCCGATATCATGATCAGAAGCCGCATCTTCGCCACTCGTGCATTGGGCAAAGCGATATCCTTGTGGCCTACTGACCAGCGCCACCTCTTTTTTGCGCCCAAACTGCTACCTAGCCTCAAATCAGCTTACGGATCTACCCAGTTGTTCACTGCCATGGCTCTAGAAGGGTACGCGATCACGATATCAGAGCAAGACCAGCTTGCGTTGGATGCATCCACCGACTTGCGCTCACTCGTGGAAGACGATAGGCCTGGGTGGTACAGTGATCTGGCAAGCTATCTGCGCATTGCCCGTGCTCAATGTCAGCAGCTTCTCAATGCCTTTGAGAAGGAGGGTCACGTTCCAGGTAGCAAGATACCCATCATCGCAATTGTCTGCCAAGGAGAACCCGAAGCCGGGAAGAACGCATTTGGACTGGCTGATGCTCAAAAGATCGTTACAAGCGACTATGACCGCCTCACCAAAGGAATGTCAAAAGTCCAGCGTATGACTGCTGCTGAAGCACTACAGACTGCGAAGCTGGATGCAGAGACTGCTATCACGGACGCGCAAGCTGCCAAAGCGCAAGCCGATCTGCGCATTCGATCAACTGCTGCTGCTGCGTTGATTGCTCTCCATGCCATTCCGAAGAAACCACAGTTTACCATAAAGGCGGTCATGGACAGCATAAAGGAAGAAGACAACCTCGATCTGCAGCATAGGACGGCATCCGCCATTGCAGATCTCATTGCACGGCTCGTGGCGAACGAACGCCACAAAGTGGTCGAGAAAGTGGTCGGCAATCTTGTCAAGTTTTGTTGCATGGAGACTGGTGAAACGCCAGAATTCCACCCGAATGCGGACAAAGAAGTCGGCATCCTGTCGTTGCAGAAGGATGAAGACATTCAAGATCGTCCCGATGCTGCTACCTACGAGCGTGAAGTAAGGGCCGCCCGCATAACGCGTCGTGGTGCAAAGGATGCACTCGAGCAATTGTGTGTCAAGTTTGGCGCAGACATCTTCAACAAGGTTCCACGACTGCAGGGCTTGATCGAAGGTCCTATACAACATTGCTTTGCGAACGACCTGCCCATCGACATCACCGATCCCGACACCTCCATCGGCCAAGAAGCAATCGATGCCATGTCGACCCTCCGAGCTCTTGTGGCAACACTCGACAGCAAGCTTTATCCTTGGGTTTTGTCGCTGCTACCATTCATGGCGCGCGCTCTGCAGTGCAAACTTTCAGTTCTGCGCTATACTGCCGCCAAGTGCTTCGCAAGCGTGTGCAGCGTCATCACTGTGCAAGGCTTCACGATGTTGGTTGAACAAGTCATTCCACCGATCAACAACGCGCACGAAGTTGTGCAAAGACAAGGAGCCATCGAATGCATTTACCACCTCATCCAGGTCATGGGCGATAGTATTCTGCCTTATGTCATCTTTCTGCTGGTGCCCGTCTTGGGCCGTATGAGTGACTCGGATCCTGGTGTGCGACTGATTGCAACTACCGCATTCGCCACACTGGTAAAGCTGGTGCCACTGGAGGCCGGGATTCCTGATCCGGAAGGGCTGCCACAGGCACTTCTTGAAGGCAGAGAGCGAGAGCGCAAGTTCATTTCACAGATGCTGGACCCCAAGAAGGTCGAGTCATTCACCATCCCGGTCGCCATCAAAGCCGAGCTTCGCTCATACCAACAAGAAGGTGTCAACTGGCTCGCATTCCTGAACAAATACAATCTACATGGCGTGCTTTGCGATGACATGGGCCTTGGTAAGACTCTGCAAACGCTCTGTATCGTTGCAAGTGATCACCACATTCGAGCGGAGGAGTTCGAAAAGACTGGGGCGCCCGATCAGCGTCGTCTCCCATCGATCATCATTTGTCCCCCAACATTGACTGGTCATTGGAAACAAGAGATTCGCACGTATGCGCCATTCTTGACCGCTGTGGCATACGCTGGGCCCCCGCCTGAGCGGAGCAAGGTTCGTGACCAGCTCGCCACCGCGGATATTGTCATCACGTCCTACGAAATCGCCCGAAATGACGTGGAGATTCTGCTTCCGATCAATTGGAACTATTGTGTACTCGACGAGGGTCATCTCATCAAGAATCCCAAAGCGAAGGTGACCCAAGCCGTGAAGCGCTTGATGAGCAACCACCGCCTCATCCTTTCCGGCACGCCCATCCAGAACAACGTGCTGGAGCTTTGGTCACTCTTTGACTTTCTGATGCCTGGTTTCCTGGGCACAGAGAAAGTCTTCCAGGATCGCTTTGCAAAGCCAATCGCAGCGAGCCGGTTCGCAAAGTCCTCGTCAAAGGAACAAGAAGCCGGCGCATTGGCTATCGAGTCGCTGCACAAGCAAGTGCTGCCTTTCTTGTTACGTCGACTCAAGGAAGAAGTGCTGAACGATCTCCCGCCCAAGATACTGCAGAACTACTATTGCGATCTGTCTGATCTGCAAAAAAGATTGTTTGATGACTTCACGAAGAAAGAGTCGAAAGCTTTGCAAAGCATGGCCGGCAGCCCTGACAAGGAAGCAAAACAGCACATCTTCCAGGCTCTACAGTATATGCGCAAGCTGTGCAACTCGCCAGCCATGGTCATGAAAGAAGATCACAAGCAGTACAGTGCCATTCAGGACATGCTTGCGAAGCAAGGGTCGAATATCAAAGACCCAAAGCACGCGCCAAAGCTGACAGCGCTCCGCGACTTACTGCTCGACTGCGGTATAGGAGTCGCCAGCAACCAGGACGGTGGCGTGCCCTCTGCCGATCAAGCAGTTTCGCAGCACCGTGTTCTCATCTTCTGCCAAATGAAGGAAATGCTCGACATGGTCGAGAGTACAGTATTGAGGAAAATGCTGCCGAGTGCAACTTTTGCTCGTCTCGACGGATCTGTGGAAGCTTCGAAGCGTCAAGACATTGTGAATCGCTTCAACTCGGACCCTTCCATTGATTGTCTCTTGCTCACAACCAGTGTCGGTGGTCTTGGTCTCAACCTGACTGGAGCTGATACAGTCATCTTCGTCGAGCACGATTGGAATCCACAAAAGGACTTGCAGGCCATGGACAGAGCGCATCGAATCGGACAGAAGAAGGTGGTCAATGTCTATCGCCTCATCACCAGAGGCACACTCGAGGAGAAGATTCTCAATCTTCAGCGCTTCAAGATCGATGTTGCTTCCACCGTCGTCAATCAGCAAAACGCGGGTCTCGGTACCATGGAGACGGATCAGATTCTTGATCTGTTCAGTCTTGGGGAGACTGACCCCAATCTTGCCATTAGTGACAAGCCGGAGGCCGATGGCGTCGATGAATCCAACGCGGTCGACGCAGAGGGCAACATGCGAGAGAAGGGTAAGAAGGGTATCCTTGACGAACTGAGCGAGCTTTGGGACGACAAGCAGTATGAAGAGGAGTTCAATCTCGATGGCTTCTTGAAGACGATGAAGGCATGATCATCATGAGTTTCAAACCTGGGCACTGGGGTGTTACTGTAGAGCATAGCATAGCACGGCGTTGGTTGGGCGAGTTTCCGGAGCATGGGATCTCTAGTAGGACCCAGACGAGCGAGTGGTCATGTACGATCCCAAGAGAGGCTTGAGCGTTCCATTGGTTGTCCGGAAAACCAACGTCAGTTGAGATGGAAATTCAGAGCCCAAGGTAGGCACTACGTTGTTCGTACTTTTTCCTCTGCTGCCAAGCACGTTACGAGGTCAGAAAAGATATCCAAAACCGAGATGCGATGCAGATCAATCAATCATGTGGCCTCGTTCATTCCATTCTAAATGTCTCTTCATGGAAAGGCGTGATCATTGACCTCGTAGAAAACTGTACGACTTCTCGACTTCTGGAGGGAGGCTTCCATACATGTATCTTCATTTGTCACCATCCTATGAAACTCACGTGGGGAGGGGGCATTTCGTTTTTGTATATGTAGGTAAGGTACATATATCAAATACGATCCTGTCTTTGAGAGATTGATGCTCGAATATTGCAAGAATAGCTGGTGATTAAATCCTCTCGACCTGACGGACTACCTAGGTACGGTATATTCTATGTACATCTGTATTGGGGGTGGTGTGGGGGGGATTTTTCAACGCAAATGGCGCTTTGATTCGTTAAGATTTTCATCATCATCGTTAGCGCCGTAATGGGATTGCTTTCCATGAGTACATCACATGTAGGTACCCATGGAAGGTCAGGTAGTAGCATATCTACAATTCCAACTTCTCGATTCTCCTGCCCGAATTGATCATGGCGTCTGAGGTGTGTGCTCCGTGGGTGTCACTCTCAGCATCGGTGGAGCAGGAGGGGTTGGTCCTCTTGGTTCGGTTGGCGTGGCCTCAGCAACAAGTATAGATGGTAACGTGCTGATGGCTCGCGAAGAAGACGCTCCGCTGGTTGATCGTGTCTGTTCTGCCAGAGGGCTGTCGCAAGAAGAAATCGGCGATATTCGAAGTTCAGGTCTACGATCATCGACTGGTGATGTATATGGCGGTGCGTCCTCGAAGTCGCCATCGTATGTAGGAGGGTCTACGTGCGGAATGGGCTCATCGGCCAAATCGCCGCTGTGCAGACTGGTGTCGATGGATGGTCTGATCGGCGGCGCTGTGTTGGTGGTTGACGCCCTGCTACGACCCCCAAGCGGGGTTTGTCCACCGCCTCCGTTGAGGGTGACAATCTCAAAGTCGGTTCCAGCGCGTCCGAAGGGGGGAGCATCGGCCACGTCCACATACTCGGAGGCATCGTCGTCAGAGACGTCCATACCAGATCCCGTCTGTGAGACCTGCGACCGGCTGCGACGGCGCTGTGGGTGATGGGGAGCGGATTCCTGCGTCGACCATGGCCTGAGACTTGTTCCTCCCATGCTGGCGGCAGAATCCAGGAGTGGTCGACTGTCGGAGTCGTTCGAGTTGGCACGAATGCGTGTGCCATCGTGTCTGGCGACGCCCAATTCCGCGTAGCTCACGCTGCTGACTCGTCGTTCTCTCGCGCCCATGGCCGCCTGATGTTCCGCAATCATTGTCGATGCATCAGCAGCGGCGCGATTGCGTGTCGCCGCTCTGCCTTCTTGTCGTATGCGCTCCGCCTCAGCAAAGTCTCCGCGTGCTCTCGCTTCCTGTCGCCTCCTCCGCCGATCTTCTCGCTCGGCCACCTCTGTCCTGCGTTGCAGTCTGATCTGATAGAGGCTTTCCATCTCCTCCTCGCGACGCTGCTCGGCGTCTTGTTCGGTCTCGGGCATCTCAATGACCAGGTCAATGCCATCGCGTTCGCCTTCCACTGCCAGCACCTGTTCGTTCTCACGGACAGATCTAGAGTACGCTGGCAACGTCATGATAGAGCGCACGCTTGTATGTCTGTTCACTTCCGCATCGGTCGTCTCTTGCGTGGCTGGCGCTCGGTCTGCGTCTGCCGCAGATACATCCTGTCGACTGCCTCGGGCGCTTGTAGCACTGCGCATTTGAACAGATGGTGGATACGATGTGTCTTGCAGGCTCGAGCTGTACCCACCCTTGGCAGTGGCCATGCCCCGGGGTCGCCATGCCTTCCACCGGCTCTTGAGGAATTGCGTAGGGACGTATTTCGGATTATCGTGTCGTTTGCGCAACGTTCGCAGGCTCAGATAGCTAACCAGTGCTACGAGAATCACGGCCACGACGACGATGACAACCTGCAGCCTCGTCAGTACTGCGCTGCTGTTTGTCAGCCTCGGACACCGCCTACGATGATGACGACCGTCTGGGTCCCACCGCTGCCATTATGTCCATCGGGAGGGGGCACGGTAGTGTTGGTGCTGGCCTGGCGGACCTGTATGCGGTGAACGGGAGGCAGCAGCATGGCATTCAGCATCTACGAGCGCCCAACAGTGATAACACCCGTGTTACTGTTGCATGAGCATCTACCGGGAGGGGAGCGTATCCGCCTTTCAAAGGGCGATCTAGGACGGCGCCTTGCGGTCGTAAAGAAGGTAGGCCCAACAGGCGACGACGCGAATTGCGTCAAGGCGAGAGAAATTCAAGGTCGAGGTCGAGGTCGAAGTCGAAATCGAGGTCCAGATCGGACCCGCGCGGATGCTTGTGAGGCTTGCAGACTTGCACAAGAAAGCTGGAAAGCCTGGAAGTAGTGGTGGTTGGGCTGCTCAAGGCGGCTGGAGGAGGAATATCAAACGGGGGATCGAAATGCCAATAGAGCGTCAATGGGAGTAAGGTAGGGTCGATACCACAACCTGGCAGCGTTGCGGGACACCTGTAGTCGTTGTTGTTTCATTATTTATGAGAGAGATCTTTGTCTTGTAAGCCTGGTGCATGGCCATCGAAACGGTCCGCTTCGCGTGGCTTAGACTCTCGTTTTCACTCGCGTTGCACAGGGTTCCAACCCTGCCTGCGTCTACCGCACTGATCCATCGATCTATATGTGGCGAAGGACAAAATCTTCTGCCAAAGTGCCGATTCCTCGCAATGGGGGCACACTCACAACGCACAAGTTGCCGGACATATATGAGGGAGTCAGGGGGGCTTCCCTTGACGTAGCACTGCAGTGTCGTCGTCGCTGGTCGGCAGCATGTGAACGTTGTGGGTATGTGAATACATTACCTGTAATAATCATCTCGTCCGCCTCGTCAAAGGCTCTCGTCACTGGCTCACAGCGTGTCTACGAAGGGTAATGTATCTGTACATGGGCTGACAGCTGATTTCACTTGGCACCACCTCGAATAGCACATCTCGGCGGCCGAAGCAGCACCTTCGACGATTGATGGAGCGCAACCACTCGGATTACAAGCACCTCTATCGACGGACATTTCTGCCCACCGAGGAATCGGACACTACTCCCCCACGACCTCATCAAGGCGTGCTTTACATGGTATAGCAAGAGCAAGTTCTGCATAGTAAGCAACCGTAAATCGAACCCTAACATTTTGCGTTAGTGTTGTCAAGTCCAAAGCTTGCTCTGCCTTTGGATAGCACATTGATCAAGGCGGAAGTGCGTCTTGGAGGGAGTATACCTCCTAATAGGAGTTCGCGTGACTGGTCGAGCGCATCGCATCGACCCATTGCTCACATTCGTTGCGCAATCATTGAACAGTGCTGACGAGTTCCTCTGGCAGAGCTCACGCTTCAATGTTCGAATCTTATCCGCTCTCATAGAGGTTGCTACCATACAAAATGTACCCGGCTGAGCGATGCCAGTGCTGCCTCTTGACTGTCGGTGGGCGACCACACCACTACGGCGGTATTTGTGAGAGTCCCATCCTGTAGACCAGCTCCGCTACTGCTTGCTACCACGAATAAATGTAAACATGCTCGTCAGAGCCGCGAAATTGCCGTCCAAAGGATATTGATGGCACCAGAATCAAGGCCCTTTGCGCTGACTTTGCGGTGGTTTTTCCAAACGCGTTTCTAGCGGCGACAATCGGCTGGCGCGGATGAAGGGCAGCTTGGCCGCGAGGATGGTTTGTCCGGTCGCTGTACAGTAAGTTAGGTACCGTGGGTAGCGATTTCGTCATGGTAGAAGTGAGAAGCAGCACTGTGTACGGGGACGACGTAAAGGAGTAGTCCCTGAGGTTAGTAGCATCGGGTCTCGCTCGCGCCATGTGAGAACTATATAGAGAGCGAGAATAGGAGGTCGTTCTGGTGCGTTGGGTGGGCGAGTCGAGTTTGGCAACGTTGGTGCGCGATTCTGCTCCGCAAGCTCGGGAAAGGCCGGTTCGCTTTCTCAGGAGCCACAACAAAACTCTTCTTCCTTCAACTTGCACACATCTCTGCTCCTCCATCAACGGACTTCCATCCATCCAACCACTCTCCACTCATCTCCTTTTCTTGCTTCTCGGCTTTCCAGACCACATCCACCGTCACAATGGCCAACGTCCCACCAGGTATGTCGCTGCGCCCGCGCTCGCGCCGATGCCCGAACACATTGGCCGCGCATTGAGTCGCTCGCTTCAAAACGCTGATTCCATGCCACAGTCAAGCAGGAGGAGAAGACGATCTTGGGCATGCCGCCCTTCCTCGTCGACTTCCTGAGTACGTACTCCCTCTGCCTCCCTGGCGCCGCCGTCGTGCAGTGCCGTCGTCGCGATGACGGCCGTCGCTCTGCAGAAGCTGGCGATAAGAGCTCGGGTCTGGACACTCTTCCACCGCGCATCACACTGATAATGGATAATAGTGGGTGGTGTTTCCGCCGCCGTCTCGAAGACTGCTGCCGCTCCTATTGAGCGTGTGAAGCTCCTCATCCAGAACCAGGTATGCTGTCCTGCGCACGGCGCAATCCTGAGCAGCTTGCAGCTGCAGATTGCCGGTCACCTCCGAAGCTTGCAGCGAGTATGGCGCTAACCAGAATACTGTCAACAGGATGAGATGCTGAAAACTGGCCGCCTCTCCCACAAGTACGAGGGTATTGCGGACTGTTTCCGCCGCACCACCGCCGACGAGGGTGTCGTCTCTCTGTGGCGTGGTAACACGGCCAATGTGATCCGTTACTTCCCAACCCAAGCCCTCAACTTTGCCTTCCGCGACACTTTCAAGTCCATGTTCGGCTACAAGAAGGAGCGTGACGGTTACGCTTGGTGGATGGTTGGCAACTTGGCCTCTGGTGGTGTAAGTGGCATTCGACTTAAGAAAAGCCCGAAAACAGCTCACTGACGCCTCCACAGATGGCCGGTGCCACTTCGCTCCTTTTCGTGTACTCCCTTGACTACGCCCGTACCCGTCTCGCCAACGATGCCAAGAACTCCAAGACCGGTGGTGATCGCCAGTTCAACGGCCTGGTCGACGTCTACAAGAAGACCATCGCCAGTGACGGTATCCTCGGTCTCTACCGTGGTTTCGGTCCATCCGTTGCTGGTATCGTTGTCTACCGTGGTCTCTACTTCGGAATGTACGATTCCCTCAAACCCGTTCTTCTCACCGGTTCCCTCGAGGGTAACTTCTTGGCCTCTTTCCTCCTCGGATGGACCGTGACCACTGGCGCCGGTATCGCCTCCTACCCACTCGACACTGTCCGTAGACGTATGATGATGACGTCTGGCGAGGTGAGTTAAAGCAATCTTAAGACATGGCGCAGGCGGGAGCAGTGTGCTAACAGAGTCACAGGCCGTCAAGTACAAGTCTTCCTTCGATGCCGCCAGCCAAATTGTCGCCAAGGAGGGTGTCAAGTCCCTGTTCAAGGGTGCCGCCGCCAACATCCTCCGTGGTGTCGCCGGTGCTGGTGTGCTCTCGATCTACGATCAGCTCCAGGTCATCGTCTTCGGCAAGAAGTTCAAGTAGATCACTCGCCCCAACTGTTCACTCTGTCGAGCATAAGAGGCGATACGATGAAAAAGATGTTGGTCCACTTGCCGGTATGATGGTGGACATGTGGTGGACGTGACGAAGTGTTACTGCTGCTCTATCACGGGAGTGGTTTCGGCGGGAAAAGAGACGCATGGAGCGTTGCTACGCTGCTTCCAGTCGAACAGCGTTGGCGCATGTACCTTTATTCCGGCACGGGCAACACCGCTCTTCCCTGTACTACAATGGTTTGGTCGTACTAAAGGCGTATAGAAGTCGTTTTCTGTTGATTCTCACGCAATGCTCCCCAGGCCCAACCTTCGGCTCACGTGACATTCCCATGCTACTTATGTCATCGAACTGGAAAGGGTCCAGCAAGCTCCAGCTTGGTAGGTAGTGCAGCTAATGGTGTTATTCTTCTGCAAGGAGATTCAACTGTTGAAACTACCTACCACACACACACCTTGGCAACACACAACTCTCCAACACACAACCCTCCAACATACACCGCATTGGCGTACCCAGGCGCAGACCACGGTCACCATCATCATCAATATGCCACCAATCCAACCAATTCCAGTTCATATAGGTTGTTTGATGCACCATGCACTTGGCTCAATGCTCGCGCTAATGGACTATCTCGCAGACGCCCCCATCACACCACAGCAACAGCGTACCAACAATCCTCCAGCACGACCGGGTGCAGCCGCCGTGCCAGCGCCTACGGGCACGCCCTACACGCCGAATCAATACCCACCACAGCCCACACGGACGACAGCCGCCGTATACGATGATAGCCCGCCTCCTCCGCAGCCTGGAGCTGTACCCATACCACCGTCACAGCAACATGGAGCGCCAGTAACAGCCATTCCTCCGCCGCCCAAAGCTGGCCAAACAGCGACTTTACATGAACAAGGGCAGGCAGTGACAACACAGCCGCCGCAGATGGATGTGAATCTGGCCGCTCAAGGCTATGCTCCCACACACTCGACTAGCACGACAAACAACACTCCTATGAAGCTCGGCTTGGGTCCCACAACATTGAATTACGGGCTTGTCTCGCCCGGTGGAGGTGGCATTGCTGCACCTAGTCATCCAGCTGGGTATCAGCAGAACTCCATGGCACAAGAGATGAGCTCGGCTGCGAGGGCCAGTCTGGACGCAACTGAGCGCCGCGAGTCTCTTACGGGCGGGTTTGGTATGGGTAGCAGCGCCACGGGCTCACTTCCGAGTGTAGGGTCCGGGGGAACGAAGGGCATGTGGGATGCAGTGAAAGGCTGGACAAGCACTGTAGGCCAGACTCTTGCGGAGACGGAGAAAAAGGTGTGGGATAGCGTGAACAAGTCCTAAAGACACTGTTGGATACATTGAATGCCCTGGATTGGTGCACGAAGGCCGTAGCATGAGCACCCCCTTCTGGACGCTGCCTTCGAATATTACCCCAGACTTTTAATTTTTTTTAGCCAGCTACAACGAGTACTCTGAATAGCGCCCGCGAGAAAGCTCTCGGCATCTAGCTGTACCCACCACAATCAATTTGAGCAAATCGCCCGGGATGCGCAAGTGCTCACATTGATCCTCATACAGTGCCACAAATTAGCATCACGCTTGTTCATGCCCATTACAGGTAAAGCATCTCGTCTTAATTCCACGAGACTCATTCTGTGGCCAGGTGGAGGTAGGGTCGAGAGGAACGTCATCCTAGGCCGTGCAGTCTCGAGTAGGTACGGTAATTATCTGTGTGCTGATTCCCATCAGTTGCTCATGATTGGATCATGATTGTAGACTTTGTAGCTACTGGGAATGCGCCTTGGCGGTAGTCTTTATAACACGAGTAGCAGTAGATGAATTCCATCTTGACCACGATGGAGCTGAAACAACAAGGAATGGAGCATTATTTAGCCTGTTGTGTTCAGTGTCACTGACCTGTATACTTTCGCGCTAGGATGGATGCACAAGAATACGAATAATACTCACTCCAGGCTCAAAAAGATAAAGATAGCGATAGATACGTATAGGTACCTAAACAAAATGTTGGGAATGATGTGGAGGGTTCCAATTACCAAATGCCAAGTGAGGCTACGTCAGTTGCATGATTGATACATTCCAGGTTACCTGTACCGAAAATAGTCACCTACCTAGGTACCTACACGCGAACAAACGCAGAACTGCCGTTGGAAAGCTTTCGACGGGACACATCTGCTCTACCTGACAACATATCAATCCAAGAAAAAAATCCAAAATCAAAATGCCAGTGAAAGCTATTCCTGCTGAAGATGCTGATTTCGAAAGAATCTTCGAAATCACATCACTAGCCTTTGATAGGAATGAACCAGTATGGGACGCAATGTGGCCGAGCCATTGGTTGCCCCAAGGACGTCAGCAAGGAGCGGAGCGCATGCGAAAGACCAAGAACACCACTCCGGAAACAACGTATATTAAGGCAATCGATACTGAGACTGGAAAAATCTTGGGAATGGCGAAATGGAACATATTCCAGAACTACTCGCCGTCACGGAGTGAAGTACCCGACATTTACGAGAATAACCAAGACAGAGACTACGCTCAAGGAGTGGTTGATGCCTTCCTCGCAACGCGGAACCAGGCCATCAAGGAACGAGACGGCAATGTCATCGCTCTCGACATTCTGACGGTCGATCCAGCATATCAACGTCAAAAAGTCGGATCTTGTTTGGTTGAGTGGGGAACTCGGAAGGCCGATGAGATGGGCTTTGATGCGGTCGTGGAATCCAGTGTCTTCGGCAGGGGCTTATATGAGAAACATGGATTCGAGTATCAGAACGACGTCCAAGTGACGGTCCCGGGGTATGAGAATGATGCCAGTAGACCGACCGGTTCCTTTGCGTGGATGGTGAGACCAAAGACAACAAAGGCTTGATCGTAGACTGGGCTGTATGCTCTAACATCTCACCGACTGGGTCGAGTATACCTTAATTACCTAGGTAGGTAAGGTACCTATGTAATCAATGGCTATGGCCGCACGCACACGCGTAGTCGCTGCCACTCAGCATAATATTCTAGAGTATGGCATTGATGATGTTCGTCTCTGTGCACTGCATCTCGTGATATGACTGAGGTGTGTAGAGGCTCATGAAGCGCAGAGAAGCGACGTGTGGTCAAGTGAGGTTGAGGTGTGAATGCTTTTTTATTTGTGCGCCAAGGCTTTCCTTCGTCCACACGGCTCAAAACGTCTAGTCGACCACCATCCGCTGCATCTCAGCCCGCTATCTGTCTGTCGAGGAAAGTGCTGGCATAAACAACAGCATTGAGACAGTTCCTTCTAGTCAATTCCACCCGCTCACTCATCCGCTCGTCGAGGCCTTCGCCGCGACAGCAGTCCACCCACCGCAGCCATGGATATGGACAAGCTTGCAAAGATGCAAGCCTCAGTGCGCATTGGTATGACTCTCCGGAGCCGCATCTGCGCGCTCGTTCTGCACACGACCTGAGCTCAACTGACCAACTCTCAGGGTAAGCAGCTTCTCCACTACTACACCGTCCCGATCGCTCTGCGTCTCCGCGCTTCCCTCCTCCCACCTGCACCTCCACGCACGACTTGAAGAACGAACAGACATGGACCGAGTAGATTCTGACGTACATGCGGTTACAGAGGCAAAGGCACCCCGAGAAGAAAGGTCAAGAAGGTTCACAAGAGCTCCGGCGCCGATGACAAGAAGCTTCAGACTGTCCTGAAGAAAATGAACGTTCAGCCCATTCAAGCCATTGAGGAAGTGAACATGTTCAAGTCCGACGGCAACGTCATCCACTTTTCCGCGCCAAAGGGTGAGTCTGATCACGTCGGGCAGCTAGAGTGCAGGGAGGGCTACAGATTGACCAAAACATAGTGCACGCATCCGTCCCATCCAACACCTTCGCCATCTATGGCAACGGCGAGGACAAAGAGCTCACCGAGCTCGTGCCAGGCATTCTCAACCAGCTCGGCCCAGACTCATTAGCTTCTCTCCGTAAGCTCGCCGAGAGCTACCAGAGCTTGCAGAAGGGTGGTGAGGGTGAGGCGTCGAAGGAGGATGACGATGATGAGATACCAGATCTTGTCGAGGGTGAAAACTTTGAGGGCAAGAACGACGTCGAGTAAGCCAAAGATGCGCACGACATTCACGACTTCTCGATACACTACGAAAAGTGCGCTCCGGTTCTAGCGGGCAGCCTCGATGCTTGCAGAGTGGTCTGGGCGCTGCTGTACATTAAGCATTGAGTGGCCTGCCAAAATTTCAGATTCCCACGAGAACTACAAGAACTCCCATCGCTGTTTATCTGTTCGTCAGACCTGGCTTGTGCTTGTGCAAGCTATCCTCGATTTTCTCGTCTTGTAGAACCTCCCTTGCTGTCCGCCCGTGACCTGCTGTGTCGCGTTGTAAGTGAGAGGTGAAGTCGAAGCCAGGTAGCGCGCACAGGAAGGTATCATACTAAACACAGTGAAGTTCCCCCCATCTTGCGAATACACCAAGGCCAGCCTCATTCGCACTTCACTCCTCATTCGCATTATAACTATTGTTGAGTGCGACAAGTGTACCAGGTATGCCATACTTGACTTGTCCTACTAGGTCTGTATTGGAGCTTATTGCCTCGTCAGCCTCAAGCATAGTGAATTGAATTTTGGGAGAAGAAAAGACCTCGAGTTTGGTAAAATATGTGAAATAACTGGTTTTTTCCTTTCCCAACCTGTGGCTATTGTCGAAACTCAGGTACCTACATACCTGTAGCTACCGACCTGACTATGTTTTTTTTGGAGGTACTCTGCTGCGCATGTCTGCGGCAGGCATCCTGGAGGGCATCAATTGTGTTTTCTTTGCCCCAGCTACATTGTATACTTGAAGGTAGGTATACATTAGTCTATGCAAATGCCATCCATTCTCGCGACAACTTGGACATAGATCCAAGACATGATACCTAGAGCTTCTACGTCCACTCTCAACTATTTTGCTCTTATGAACATGATTGTCGTGCCGGCTTTGATTGATAGATTGTTCTTGGGAAGAGTGACAAGAGTGAATTATTCGCCAGTAACAATCAGGTGGCAAGAACTACATACATGTACCTTCGTCAAGAGACGCAGAGTGCTGGATACCTGAGCAGATGGCGGACTGCGTATTACTTCGAGAAGTGGCTTCGCATCTTGCTTGGCTCTCGAGCACAAATGAGAAGAGTAACGATAAAATGCATGTAGCGACGAGTTGCGAGGATGGCGATGCAGGAAGCAGCGCTGAGCGCGTAGACTTCGGTGGGTCTTCACATGCAGATCGCCTGGCCGGGCAACGTCCATTAATTGGTCGCTTGTCTGAAAACACTCGCTGCAACACGAGTTACACGACTCAACCGACATCCAACATCACCGCACTTTTCGTCTTCTAACCTCCTAACACCGCTTCTTGCCTTTGGTCACTCTTTCATTCGCTATCTTCAGCTAGTGCGCACCTGTTGCATTTACGACACGAGCGAGTCTTCATTGCACCCCCCCGATTCGACTTCCCTCTACCAAGACGTAAAAATGTATCAAGCGTATGCGCAGCATCGACCGCCGGGGATGCAAATCCACGCCGTGCCCGAATCCGAACGCGCCCTCGACTCGGCTGGGCGCAAACTGCCATGGGGATACGACTATAGCGGGCCCATCCAGGTGGAGAGTGATCGCAGTACACCGATGGAAAAAGGGCCTTTTGGAAAGAGCATGCGCGCTGGGAGACGGGCCAACAGCCGGTCTCGTAGCACCACTGCTGCACCTCGACAGGGTGAAGATGCGCGGCAGCGACAGGAGCAGCTGGCTGCCGAGGATGCCGTATTCGGCTCTCTGAGAAGAGTCAATCCCAACACCAAAGACAACGCGAGCATACATCCGTCGACTGGCGAAAGCATACGAGCGCCCGCCGCGCCCATCGACGGCGAAAGTGAGCCCACCGAAGTCATCTTGTACGGCTTTGGCGAGGAGCTCCAATGGGCAGCGATCGATTTCTACGAGCGCGTATCAAACGGCATCATCCTCGAGGACTACGAACGCAACCCGCTTGGCACACGATACGACGTGTCCAAGGCAAGACAAGCTGCTCAACGGAGCCTTTCGCGCGCGGCGTTGAAGAAGAAGAATGCGTACAAGGGGGGCAGTTGCTGGATCAAGATCACATTCGACAGCAGACAGGCGGCCGAGCTGGCCATCGCCAGGAGTCCACACACGATCAAGGGCTTCTTGGTGTATGCCGATTACTTTTTGGGCAGAGGTCCTGCCAGAGACGAGGCCATACACGCGACCCAAGCGGGAGCGCAGCTGACGAGTGAAGTGCTGCCACGCTCGCTGAAGACCAATGAACCGATTTTGGAAGAAGGAAGTCCCAGTGGGAGCAGCCGAACAATCACGAGTGCCACGGCTACATATGCCACAGAAGCAGCACCAAGCGGCAGTGGGAGAGGTGGCGCGGGTCTGCCGTGGAGCAATGCCTCATTGATGCAGGTGTCGCCGACGAGCAGTTCCACCATGCAACATGGTTCTCGTGACCAGTCTCACGATACGGCACCAGTGACGACGCCTGTGCCCGCGCAGACTTCCAGCTTCCAGCCGCACCAGGGTGCGCCGGTGGTGCAGCATCGGCCGAGTCGCCTCATCGAAGGCAGCGTGCGTTTGGTGCCTCGGTCGCCGGAACTCGCACTGGCGCCCAAACAGCCCAAGGCTAGCTGGACGAGTTGGCTGGGCACAGGAGAGATTATTGGCGGTGCTGTGCCTCGATTAGAGAATGGCAACTTTGATTGGGAAATGGCGAGTCTGTATTGGAAAATCTGCGCGTGGATCGATAGCGTCTTTGGGACAGATATCTGTGGGTTGCAAATGGACGAATGAAAGAGCCTATGATGTAAAGAGCAGCATCAAACGACACTGCACACTGACAGAGCCATCATTATTGGAAGCTGCGCACAGAGGAGAACACAGCCTCACTACATTACAGTGATTCACGAGCGATTGATGCGCATGAAGCGAATGACGTAAAAGATGGGCTCGGTTGTGAATGGAGAGGTGGAAGTAATGGATAGATGTAATGAGTAAAAGCGCTCGTGGCAACAGTTGTACAGTACGTATGGGAGACGAGTACATCCATTGTGTACCAGATACTAGTGGTGTCCATCGTCCATAATGTTGTAACGCCCGACAGCCAATTCGCCGAGAAACAAGCCAGCGAGCGAAGACATGAAATATCCCACGTTCAGCGTCATGACTGCCAACATGCTTTGTGGAAAAGCAAAAAGGAAATAGAGGTAATCACGTTAGTGTTTTGGTTTCCTTTGGCGTCACAAGACGGGTTCGAAAACCAAAAAAAAGGGAAAAACAAGCCACTCACAGTAAATAGCCCACGAAAGCCTGCACGGTAAATATACAAGCTCGGGGGAGGTCGGTCGAGAATCTCCAGGCGGGCAATGAAGTGTGCTGCCGGGGCGTTCGCAGCACTCGGACATTCTCATCCAGTCCTCTCGTTGTCAGCGTCGCGTAGTCGCTCTTCTCGTCTGCTGCTGCTGTCGGTGAAGTCGCATTATTGTTGTTGTTGTTGTTGTTGTTGTCGAGTTGGCCTGCTTCTCCGGCAGCCACGACATATCGGCGATTGACGGCTTTGTCATGCCACTTGGCCTCGAGCACCTGGCGAAAGGCGAGGAGAAGTCGACTGATGATGCCGAGGACAATGAGGAAGATGCAGGTTCCGGCGTATGCGCCGGTGGTTCGGGGCGTCCATGCGGAGGCGTAGAGGGCGGTGCTGTGGTCGGTGGTGAAGACCATGGACATGGAGTGGGTCATGGAAGACATGGAGGACATGGTGGATGATGATGATGATCCCGAGTCGGACGACATGGAGGAGTGGTCCATGTCCATGGTGGCTTGGGTCGCTTGTAGTCTATTAAGGTAGAGGAAGTACGATCTTGCTTGGTTGCGGTAGGCGACGTAGTTGCGGTAGGTATCTTCAGTCTTCAGATGTGTCGGAGTGCCAAAAAGGTCGTGTATCTTGCAAGTAAGTCTTTTTCCAGTGGGAGGAGTTGCCAGGTGTGCTCGAGCCTCACGAACTCAGATAGCAACAGGTTGAAGGGTACAGGTCCCAGGTCCAGGTAGGTTTAGAATATACCATCCTGGAATCCTGGATTATATATACAGGTACTGAGTACATTATGTATTTTAGCCTGAGCAGTGAGCACGTTTCTTTTGGGCGGGTGGGTCCCAGTTGAGCACGTTTTTTCTTATTGGTAGCATGATCCGGGGGGGGGCCGCCCCTTTCATCAATGATCAGCCCGAGTCCGGAGTTGCCGTTTGTAATTTACTACTGTTATTCAACGTACTACTGTGCACTACCTACTACCTACTAGACTATTAAGGCACTAAGGGAGACTACATCTCTGTCGACTCTCTGCGATGGATGCTTTCTGCGGGACCACTTGGGAAGGAGGAGAGTCCGGTACCTACTACTGCTTCCCCGTAGCTGTACCTGAGCTGCTAAGGCCGTAAGGCGGTAAGGGTGGCGAGCGTGATGCGTGATGCGTCCTGCTGACTTCAAGCTTCCAACTTCCCTTCAGCTTTTCTCCTTCTGATGTGAAGACGGCGACTGCTGGCTGCCTCTTGCTGCTTCCTTCCTTCCTGCTTCTTTCCTGCTGATCGGGATGGGGAAGCTGCCACCAGACACTCTGTCTCAGCCCGGAATGGCAGGCACGACCACCTACAAGATACCTACGATGGGCCACCATCTCCTCTTTCCAACTACCTTACCTGACCTACTTCCTTAGCCTTACACTACCTCACCTCACTTCTACACTACCTGACCTTAGCTGAGTCTTCTACTCATCCTCTACTGAGGCCAAGAACCAGTTGAAGCACCAAACTACACGCCGCCGTCGCTGTCCACGTCGGAGATGAGCGATCGAATGGGGCACCGACGCCGACCTCTTCGCAGACGCCCCGCGCTGGACGGGGACAGCCGCGTCCCCATCGCCTGTCGCGTGGGCCATCGACGGAGCAAGATCAAATATGAGGAAGTCGCGCTCCACGGCCCGGCCGACGCTGCCTCGTTTTCCAGAGTCGTGCACGACCAGGTGCGGCTGCACCCGCACGACCCCTTGATCATCGCCGTCAATGGCTACCAGCCCTGGCTGGGTCAAGTGCTGCACACGTGCATCGAAGACCACTGGTCCGATATTGCCGACCTCGATCGAGCCGTGCAGTATGCGCATACCATGCAGTTCCCCGAGAAAGCCTCCCAGCGCGGCCGCTGGGTGCCGTGGACCTTTATCATCGATCAGATGAACGTGCCCCACGTCTACTATTGGAGTGTCAATTTGGAGCCTCCGATGATGCACGACAATGATCTGCCCAACATGGCCGACTTTCGACTGCGGACGGGAGTGTGGTTCTGTGCTAAAGGTGCATGCAAGCGTGAGTGATGTTGATGTTGTTGTTGTTGTTGTTGATGATGATGACGGTGTTGCCTCACGAAAGCCTCCCATCAAGGCATATATGATGGGGACATGTTGCTTATGATACTCACATAACGGCCATCACCACAGTCGACCGCAACATTTCAGTGACGATCGTATTCACCAAGCCAAGCCCCGTGTCAGAGCGCATTGTCACCAAGCTTCTGTTTGAGTACCTGTGGCGGGACAACGATTTCGACCAGCCCCGAGAAGACGAGGAAGGTATTTGCTGGACCTTCAGTCGCCTGTACTATCTGTGCTCCGACTGGCAGAACATCATCGGAGAAGTTCTCGCCCGGCTCGATGAGGCAGAAATCAACAGTCATGGCCGACATCTACCCGTGAAAGCCAGGACCCGCAGAATGCATCGAGAAGTGGATCGGATCTATGAGATGAAGGAATACCTACATTTTCACACGCGCTCCTTCAAGAAGCTGCAAAGGCTCCAAATCGAAGTGCCCCCCGAGCAACGGAAAGATCCCTTGTGGAATGACATGGATGATGCTGTCGAAGACCTCGACCAATTTGAATCAACCCTGGATGGACTCAAGGAACGTACGTGCTCGGTACTCCTCGTCCAATCGCTATCGTCAAGAATGGCACGTCTGATTGTTCTTCGCAGGCTTCAACAATCTGATCGAGCTCGAATTCAACATCACCAATGCTATGCAAAGCGACAACTCTGCCTTTCTCTCCGGCGTGGCAACCCTCTTCATCCCTTTGAGTCTGGTCGCAAGCATATTTGGCTTCACAACAATCACATGGCCCGTCATCTGGTTTGTCTATATCGCAGTGCCCATCTTTGTCGTCAGTGTCATCTTTACCGCCGTCTTCCCCGCTCTGCGGAAATACATCCAGAAACTTGCAGAACCCGTCCAGCGCCCCATGGCCCTCCAGCCCGATCAGTTCACTATGCTTGCTGAAGAATATCCGGACGTGGTGACGGTTCCGAGGGACAGACAGGGCCGTTCGAGGCACCAGACGCCACTTCGTCAACATTCCCTTGCTCGTAAACCCTCACGGACGCAGATACGAGCATGGTCCCGACTGGGCGACAGTGAAGAAAAAGACTACTACTGAACGATGACATTGCTGTTCGAGTGCGCTGTTGGTCGACATGGTACAGGAAGTGCAACGTCTTTGGTGGAATAGCTTTTGATATGGTCAAGCCCTTTTGTGATTTCTCTCTCTCCCTCTCTCTCTCTGGGGGTGGGCCTGTCTCCATGATCATAATCATCAGTAGTGCAGATACCGTTCCAGCCTCACACGTGACCGTACACGTCTTTTTGCTTGTGCAACTCCCATGGTCCATTCATCTCGTGCTGTATCGTCCACTCCAAAGAGACACTTCAGTGCCATCTGGTCTCGATTCGAGCTGGCGAGAAAGAGAGTGTATGTGTGTGTGTTTTCTTTGCTATTGTACCCCCCTAGTCTTGCCAGTCCCATACCGTCCGTAAAAATTGTGTCATATCCACCCGTTTCTGCTTCATCTCCACCATCCACGGATGTTTGGTGATGTGCCACGGCGTCGCTCTACGGTTCGCATCTTTTTCGAGACTAGAGTACCACCAGAGACTATTAGTAGCTGCTAGCAGATTGCATCACGTGTGGGTGGTATTGATGACATAAATCATCACTCCGACTCATGTATATCAATCAGTACTTACCAACATTCAATAAAGTATTTGAAGTTGTCGCTCCATCTAAGTTTATTCTCCGGCTCATCCTTTAGTTTGGGTATAGGTTGTCGCACAATATATGTCAGCAAATCGATGAGTCCAGCTCGAGGATTCATTTCCGTGCCATCCGCAGGAAAGGGAAAGCGATGTTGTGCTACCTCCAGCAGCGTGACACCCAGGCTCCACACGTCACTCGTGATGGTATAGCTTTGCCCCGTGATGCGTTCCGGCGCCATATAGTAGCTCGTTCCTATAAACGTGTTGGCATCGCCCTTGGTGCCAAATTCGCCGCTGACGCCAAAGTCGCATAGCTTGACTTGGCCTTGCCGGGTCAGCAGAATGTTGGACGGCTTGATGTCGCGATGAATGATACGGTGCCCATGCAGATATGTCAATCCATTAAGCACGCCCTCGGCCACCTTCCCGAGCACCTTTTCGCCCGTCCTGCCGCCGAGCTTCTTGACTTCTCGGTATATGCTGTCCAGAGAGCCACCTTCGCAAAACTCCATACTGATACCTATTGTGCCGCTTGTGTCGTCCATGAAGGCGCCGTAGTATTGGCAAATGTGTTCAGAGGCACAAGACTTGTTGAATGACAATTCTCGCACAATCTGCTTCTTGACGTCCGGATTCGGATCTGTTGTGATGATCTTCAGGGCAAAGACAGTCTTGCCGCCTTTGAGGATGCACCTCGTCACTGCACCGCCCGCGCCTTCACCTAGACTCCCCAGCTCCACAAGCCTGCCCTCCTTCTTGGCCGCCTTCCAGCCGGAGTCGTCAAGATCTTCCACATCCAAGGGGCGTCCCTTTTCCAAGCTGAGCTTCTCTAGGTCTGGCAAGGCCTGCGTGCTGCCTTCTCGTTCCATGCCCACGCCAGCTGAGTGGGCGGAACTACTGCTGTACAACGAGCCCGAGGCCGACTGTGGGTCACCATCACTGCGCAGCATTTCCACGAAATTCAAAGCTGAGTAGGAGGAGGTGGTCGAGACGGAGCCATTCTGCGTCGTGTTGGCACCGAAGCTGTTGGTCCTACTGTGAGTCGACTCGTCGCTGCTGCCGCCACCACCGCCAGTGGCAGACAGTCCGGAAGCGATCTGGAGCGGGGGGAGTCTACGTTTGCTCTGGGCGGGGTGCTCTTGCGGGGTGTGCGCAGTACCCATGGGGGTGGCCAACGACAGCTTGGGAGGGTGGGCTCGAGGGGGAATGTGCAGTCCAAGCGATGGCAGAGCCGAATGCTCCGAGGATGAGGCCGTGGACATCATGAGGGGCGGCGGCGGTGCAGCAGCGCTGTTGACGGGTCGCTGATTCGGCGAGGCGGGAATGGCCAGGCCCAGTCGAGGCGGTCTGGGGGTGGTGGTGGTGGCATTATTGTTCCCTATCCCGCTCCCATTCCCACGGCCCGCCCCAGGAATCGGCGGGCGCACCAGCGGTGCCGGCGAGGCCATGTGGGAGGGGGAGTGGTGTGGTGTCCCTCGTCTTGCCGTCTGTCGACTGGACTCGTCTCGTCGTAGGATGATGTCGTGCTGGTGTCGTGACGTGTGGTGTGGTGTCGCGTCTCGTGTCGTGTCTCGTGGGCAAAGCGTGCTACGAGGTGTGGGAAGCGTAAATGTGCAATGTGCGATGGGTGATGAGTGCTCTGTCTGTGTGGTGGGTGGTCTTCAGGCGGCACGCGAACTGCGGTGCTGGCTGGTAAGTGCTGCACTCGGCTGTGCTGACCTGCTCTGCTGAGGCGGATGGGGGAAGCGCCAAGCGCGTCTGTCGAGAACAAGCAACACCGCCCACGACAATAACGATGGCGACGACGGCGGCGGTGGTGGTGGTGGCTACAATGAATGTCACCACAGCAAGTGGAAAAGAGGACACGAGAGCATGGATGGATGGTGGCAGTGAGGTGTCAGCTGTCTGTCGGTGATGTTGGTGGAGACAGCGCCAACTGACGCCTCGCCTCGCGCACAATCGAACTAAGGTACATAAGCGCCTCAGCTGCGCCTGCTGGAACCAGCCAAGCCGGTAGTGGGAACTGGCGAAGCAAGGTACTTACTGGATTCTACCTAGTTCTAATAGTCCTGAAACGACAGAACCTGTCACTGTCCCAAGGACCTCCACCTCTCTAAAGGTACCTACCTTAGGTACCTCCTATTGATTGAATTCACTCGTACTAGAGGTCAACGCTCATTCATCTACTCTACAGCCAGATCAAGCCTGCCAACTACCAACTACTTGACCTTACTAAGGGAGCCTTCATTTTCGACGCACGACGTTTTGTGCTGAGAAATCGGCACATCATTGACGTTGCTCCGCGACAGCCGTATTACTCTGCTATAATCTTGAGTCCAGCTCAGAGCATTACACAACAGACGATCCAGTATCAACACGACTCTCTAGTATCGTGCACGCAGACGACGGTCGATAGAAGAGGACGCTGCGAGCCAAGAATAACTCGATCGGTGGGAAGAAAGAGCCCTTGTCAAGTTCGTTGCATGTCCAGATGCTCTCGGGCGGCCGATGCGAATAGAGCACATACCTACATGCTAGGTTCGATACCTCCTAGCATTCAGCCTCGCCTGTAAGCGGCTCACTACGCGACGGCCGAGCAAGCTTCCGAGCAAGCTTCCGAGCAAGCTTCCGAGCAAGAATTGGCCACAGCTCTTCTACGGACGCCATCAGGAAGTCCAAGCGAGCAGCGGCTGCCGAAGGCTTCAAATTGCTTTACGTTCGACTCTGCGCCAGACAACGGATTCCCCTGAGGAGGCACTGTAGAAATTATCTGGCTACTTCGCCGCAGTCTGTTTCCCACCTCCGGTTCCCAATGATCCTGCAATTGTTACCCTAAGGTACAGTCAAATCCGTACCGTATCCACTCGATAACTCTTGGCGGGAGGATGCTTCATGCTAGCCTGCGCATATACTTCACTTATACCATCGTACAGCTGTCGGGTCCCAGTGTCCGTATCATCAGTTTCAATGAACCGCTTGTTTGGTCCTCGAGAGAGAAAGAGTAGAGCATGTAGCCGATACGCCAGTGGCAACTATGGCTGGAAAGCTTCCCTAAACTCTTTCTCCACAAAAATCGAGAAACACTCCGGGTGCATGTCCGCGCGCTTGCTTTTCAGCATCGCGGACCATTCCGTGCCCATTCCACTTATGAAGTTGACTTCCATCAGGAATGCGCATCGAATCTTGGCCGTCGTGGCATATGGCTATCCACAAGAAGACGTAGAATACTGATTCGAGACCGTGGCGGCAAGTGTGATTGTGTCCATTCAGAATGCCAATTGCTATGAACCCTTCTGAGCCGATCAGATCGTGCTACTCGGGTGGCTGCGAGAGGTCAAGTGCGAGATTGAGATCAATGAGTATACCAGTAGCAGTCGATGCATTGTCTGAGCCACGTCGCACGATCACGATGTTCTGCGGGCTGACGTCCCGATGGAGGATGTCTCCTTCCAGGTACAACGATCGCAAACGCATGTATCACGTCCCGCAAGACTGTCAGCATTTGCTTTGGCGTGTCGAATGTGTCGAGGGCCTGCCCCAGGGGTGACGTGACCACGCAATTCAACGTCAAATCGTCGAACCCAAGTTTTTGGTTGTCCTCTGAGAGTTCAGCAGGCGAGCGTTGCAAGGCCGCTCGGTCTCGCTCATGCTTCTCCATGCCGTGAGAATCGTCCAGCACCTGTATGTATGGCTCTGTGAAGATTAGTGCCTGAGACGTAATAGTGCAAAGCATTTGATGGGTCTCCAATCTGACCACTCTTCACGTTCTTGGCCCTCGCGGTCTCCAGTAGCATCCATTCGCCTTGCTCTGTGTTTTCACTCCATTCAAACTTGATCGCGAACTGTCGGTCAAATATGTCATGACCTTTGTCCCTTGAACTCACCAGAGATTTCCATTGCTACCTAAAATCTGGTCTTGAGGTGCTGAGGTTCCAATACTGGCCAACAGATTGACCACGATGTTCGAAGCAGGTTTCGTTCGTTATGACATATTGTTGGAACCCAGAGCGCTCTCTGATCAGGTTGCTGTGGGCAAGGGGTTGCTGTACACTGCCAGGACCAGTGAAGGTCCGAGAAGTGCGGATTGGATAGGCCGCCGACCGGGAGTTGTCTGGAGTTGTGACTACCGAAGCTGCTACATGTACTTTCCTACTCTTAAACGAGCAAGGATCCGGACCCAGTTACATCTTCGGGTATACAGATGTGTACACGATAACGAAGCGCCCGCGCCGCAATGCGAAGCCAGTCAAATTCGAAGTGAAAGCGCGTCAGAATTACGCTGGTTGCCCTATAAACATCGCAGGCGTTCTCCTCCCCCTCGTAACCAACGAGCGACACTTGGCATCGGGCAGTGGGCAGCTGATATAGCTCTGCAACATCGGTATACCTGTGTGGATAGGAGTTGTGTTGGTTGGGAAGTCTCAGACGATCAGTCGCAGCCAATGGCACAAAAGCACATCGAGCCTTCTATGCCACGCTGTACCACGTTTACTTGAGGAAGACCAACCTTGTTTATCACGACGGACCCATAGCAGTCTCCGACTGGAATGGCAGATTAGCGTCTCTTTTTTGAGATCTAGAACGGCATAAATGGAGCATACCTCAGGTACTTTACTAGAGGGTTGTACTGACCCGAAACATTCTCAGTGTCGATTGCGGTAGCAAGCAAGATGCTCCTGACTTGAACTTCCCTCGCACCGGCGTCTCTGCAGTGTTATGGCAAATCCTCAGCGCAATATGAGTATGGTAGATGCACAACCAATAACCAGAACGGAGTCTGCATCGCCACACGCTCCTGCGTTGGCACAGGAACAGCTGGGCTATGGTCTGGTTCTTGAAAATTTCAGTGCGATACGTACGGCCGCAGCTCGATGGATGCAATCGACATTACCGGCCGGCAAGAGTGCCCTGAGGTTCCCAGCGACCAGTGAAGCGAGTCGCTTGCTACGGCCCTGCTGAGCTGCGTGACCAACGCGAGTGCACAGCATTTAGCTATACAGTCTCGACCACATGACACAAGCGCACAGCGAGGAGCAATTGACGTCTGTCGTTCGGAGTTTTCCTTGTGTACAGCATTTTGTACAGCCAACATGCCCTTTGGGCTGTACGTCCCGATGCAGAACAGCATGGTGCCTTGGTCTTGTGGTCGTCCAAGAACTGCGGGTCACGTCGCACCCTGCAACTCGATCATGTGAAGACAGAGAGAGGGAGAGGGAGAGGGAGAGAGAGAGAGAGAGAGCGAGAAAGCAGAGAGAGCGAGAAAATGGCATCACTGTGACGCGAGAATACCGTCCGTGGAACGAGCAGTTTCAAGAAGTTTGCAAAAGCAGGATGCAAGTGGAGTGCCTGCTGATATCTTTGCTCGCTGTGGCAGCCAATGAGTCGAGCTTGGAGATGGGGTCGTCCACATATCGTCCTCTTGAAAACCTGAGCATCCTGCCGTACCGCTGCATCTGCATCCTAAGGTATGAGCACATGCATGTCTTCAGGCGCCACAAGAGAGATGTGATGCCATAGGTAGTAGCTTACAGGTACTTGCCATGCCAGGTTGTCACGGATCCAGGACATGGACATATAATACCTGAACGTGCTGCCCTCAATTCCTTCCGTCTTCTAACCATACCTAACCACATCATCTCGCAACAAACACAACTCAATCCCGCTCATCCACCACAAACATGTCCGACGCACTTCGTCAAAGCACGACCGACAAGGCTTCTTCCACGATGAAGCCAGACAGCCAGAAGTCTACTGTTGAGTCGATCGGCGACAAGGCGAAAGGTGCTAGCGACTCGATCGCAGGCAGTATCCAGCCAGGTGAGGGCACTGCGTGACAGGCACTGGTCCTGTACGTGTAGAGTACCTCCTACTGATACATACATAAGAGGAGCAGAAGTCCACTACCCAGAAGGCTACCGACGGCGCCGAGAGCTACACTGGCCAGGCCAAGAATGCACTCGGACTGGGAGACAGTAAGTGAAGGAGGCAGAAAGTCGGGAACATGATCTGCGAGGCCATGGCTGACTCCAGTGTGCAGAGAAGTAGCGCTTCCATCAATGCATAGGTCAGGTAGCTTTGGTCTGTCGTTGCGTGCACACGAGACCGGAACAGGGTCGGAAGCCATGCGAGGCAATGGAATGTAGTGACCATGACAGCTAGAGGAGGCATAAGTGGCAGGGTCTAATCCGGCAGCAGTAGGAGGTACATGTAGGTAGCAGAAGAATGCAGTCGTCATCATGCCATGACGGCAACATGAGCTTCCATATGCCGTTGACACCCGCGAGAGCACCGTGAGGAGGAGGTGGTGGTGAACTGGTGATGGAGTAGGAGGTAAGGTCAGGTAGTAGGAGGTAACCTGAGGTAGTGAGGTGGTGGGGTGGTGAGGAGGTGGGTCCCATAGACGAAATGGTCCGCCGAGTCTAGGGCCCGTTATGGTTATTGGGTTGATGAGTCAGCATGTGAGCTGCCCTTAGGAGGTAGGAGGTACAGTAGATTCGGCGGGAATGGTTCGTACTACGGAAGTCGGTGGGTGTCCGATATCTCCCGAGGAGCATAATAGATGTAATTTTTGATGATTCCTGCATCTTCAGCACTGGACCGACCTACCTTACCTAACCTAGTACATGTAGTGAGCTGCATATAGCACATGTGCACTTCTTACTCATATTAGCCATGTTCCGAACGGTGCTTCCTCGTGCGTCTGCCACAGCCAGTGCACTACGGCCCAATGGCCCCGCAAGAAGGAGCTTAAGCTCCTCGGTGGTGAGAAGCAGCGGCAGCAGCAGCAGATGCACAAGGACAGGACCAACTACCAGTGCATGTCGGCCGCTCCTCCTCCAGCTCCCATCGACTCCCTCCGCCGCCGCCGCCGCCGTATCCTCGACAGCACCGCTCCCATCGCCGCCATCGATACAGACACAGACACGAACATTCGCTAGCTCCGCTAGGATGGGCCGCATCGAAAGCGACGCCTTCGGCGAGCTCGAAGTGCCCGACGACAAATATTGGGGCGCGCAGACGCAGCGGTCGCTTGGGAACTTCAAGATCAACCAGCCCCAGGACCGCATGCCGCCGCCCATCGTGCGTGCTTTTGGAGTGCTCAAGGGCGCTGCGGCCACGGTGAATATGAAGTTTGGCCTGGACCCCACCCTGGGCAAGGCCATCCAGCAGGCCGCCAGCGAGGTGGCATCGCTGAAGCTGGAGGACCACTTCCCTCTGGTCGTATGGCAGACGGGTTCTGGCACGCAGTCCAATATGAATGCCAACGAAGTCATCTCCAACCGTGCCATCGAGATCTTGGGCGGCACCATGGGCAGCAAGAAGCCGGTGCACCCCAACGACCATGTGAACATGTCTGCATCGTCCAATGACACCTTTCCCACCGTCATGCACATTGCAGCTGTGCTGGACTTTGAAGAGTCGCTGCTCCCTGCTCTCAGGGCCTTGAAGGATGCTCTGGCTGCCAAAGCGGAGCAATTCGGTCAAATCATCAAGATTGGACGAACACACTTGCAGGATGCCACTCCTCTGACTCTCGGCCAAGAGTTCTCGGGCTACGTTACTCAGCTAGAGTACGGCATTGCCCGAGTAGAGTCCTCGCTGCCACGTCTAAGGCTGCTGGCTCAGGGAGGCACCGCTGTGGGCACTGGGCTGAACACTTTTGAGGGCTTCGCAGAAGACATTGCTGCTGAGGTGACCAAGATCACTGGACACCAGTTCTACACCGCACCAAACAAGTTCGAGGCTCTCGCCGCGCACGACGCCATTGTAGAAGCTCACGGTCAGCTCAACACTCTTGCCTCATCGCTCTTCAAGATCGCCCAAGATATTCGATTCCTCGGCTCTGGCCCACGCTGTGGTCTCGGTGAGCTGAACCTACCAGAGAACGAGCCAGGTTCATCGATCATGCCTGGCAAGGTCAATCCTACTCAATGCGAAAGCTTAACCATGCTGTGCTGTCAAGTGTTCGGCAACCAGGCCGCTACCACTTTCGCCGGCTCGCAAGGTAATTTCGAGCTCAACGTATTCAAGCCAGTGATGATTCGCAACCTTCTTCATTCCTCTCGTCTTCTTGCCGATGGCATGAACAGTTTCCGCGAGCACCTGGTAGATGGCCTCGAGGCCAACGAAGAGAGAATCTCCACCATTATGAAGGAGAGTCTGATGCTGGTCACCTGCCTGAATCCAGTCATTGGTTACGATATGGCTTCAAAGGTCGCCAAGAATGCCCACAAGAAAGGCATCTCGCTCAAGGAAAGTGCCATGGAACTGAAGGCACTGTCCGAGGAGAAGTTTGATGAGGTCGTCAGGCCAGAGCTCATGATTGCACCAAAAGCGAAGAAATAGACAATGATAGCGTGTACAGCCCTGGATCAGGCGAGATGCTCAGACATGAGGAGAGAGATATTGCATGTTGTAGGCTTCAATGTCGATTTTTACTTCATCCAACAGCACTATGAGCTCCAACTTTGCGAGCCGCTGACCTGCGAACAATAGGACCCGACCCAGCTGTATGTTACACTAAAATATTGGATGATATTCTGATACATCTGTAAAGTCTTCGACATGAACAAGATGATAGCTTCGACCGCGACATCCAAGTTCGGATAAAAGTATCGACCATCATGCTTGGGCTCCGTTCACACTCTTGCACCACAAATATTTGCACTACTTGTATTCCCGGATCGTTCATACAGCGAGATACTACGCGCCGTTCTCAATGACCTCCAAAAGGCTTCACGAGACGCAAGAACTGTGAAACTAATTCGGGTCATGATATTGACCAGCGTACGTTGTAGCAGGCTTTGTGAAATGGTGTGTGTACACTAGCTTTGTCTGCGACATTGCATAATGACAGAGCTAAACATCACGGATGAGGCACTCACCCGCAACGTTACAGCATTGATTCGGGCTCCCCTTAGGGAGGAGACTGCTGAGCTACCTGAAGATGCTGCCGTTTAAGAGGCTGATGAGACAGTCTTCCTGACTGGACAGACCGCATGCGCTGCTAGCAGACTCGGACATCTACGTCTATCTCGTGTCCGTCGCTCTCGGCCGCTATATATCGATGACACGTCGACGTGTGAGCATGCTGCTCGACCAGTTCACTGCCTCAGGATGATGTTGATAACTGCGACCAGGCTTGGACGAAGGCATCGCTGAATAGGGAGTTGGGCATGGTCGAGATGAAGACCAGAGGTTGTCCATACGAGTCGGGGAACCAATGGTACTGGAATGTGTGCCTCTGCAATCCATTTCCACCATGTAATCGTGGTCGCCAAAACCCATAGATCGTTTCGCGATCCTTTTTCGTGTACAACTTCAGGGGCATATTCGCGATGGGTCCATTGCCAACAAGCAGCGAATGTCGCATTGAATACCAAGCTGTAGCCGTCCTCAGAATCTCATCCCTTGTATGCAGGCGTACTGGTCCCGCGCTCATATTTTGATCACTTCTTGATGATTGTGATGATATCTTCGTCGCCCAGCTCATGGCTGAGTCCGACGCGTTGGGGCTGATGTTTGACACTGCGACCGTAGACGATGGCTATCCGGAATTGATCCACGATGGTCTTGTGGATCGCGTTACAGAAGTCTTCCACGGTACAAGCTGTACTTCGGAGAACGACTGGCGCAGTATAGTCGGGCATTTTACCCTTTGGTTTGGTATACACTCGGACTAGATTGAGCTTTTCCCACATTTGCTCCAAAAGTTCATCAATGTTCCAGCCGTGTTCTGAAGAAATAGGACAGGCATTGGGGATTCTGTATAGTAAATCCAGTTCTTCGATGGAGATTGCATCGATCTTGTTGAGTGCATAGATGACAGGAATGTACGCCCGACTCTTTGCTTCGATCACGTCGATCAGATCATCAACAGTAGCATCACATCGGATGGCCACATCGCAATTAGCCATCTTGTACTCGTTCAGCACGGCTTTGACTTCTTCGTTTGTGATAGATGTCAAAGTCTGGGTGGTTGTGATGGAAATGCCGCCCTTGTCCTTTTTGGTGATCTTGATGTTCGGCGGCTGCTTGTTTATGCGGATACCGAATCCTTCGAGTTCACTCTCGATGATGCGCTTGTCCGTAAGTGGTTTGTTGACGTCCAGGACGATGAATATCAGATGGCACGTCTTGGCGACTGCAATGACTTGCCTACCTCTTCCTTTTCCGTCCTTTGCCCCCTGGATGATACCGGGAAGATCGAGAATCTGAATCTTGGCTCCATTGTATACCACTTGACCGGGCACAGTGGTGAGCGTTGTGAATTCGTATGCCGCGGCCTCGGAGTGCTGTCCCGTCAGCCTCGACATCAGCGTCGACTTGCCCACCGAAGGGAACCCGATGAAGCCCACGGAGGCCACTCCAGTACGGGCAACGTCGAAGCCTACACCACCTCCACCACCGCTGCTCGTTGGCGTAAGCAGTTCCTTCTTCAGCTTGGCGAGCTTCGCCTTCAGTTGTCCCAAGTGAAACGATGTGGCCTTGTTTTTTTGCGTCTTGGCCATCTCCTCCTCAATCGCCTTGATCTTGTCGATGGTGGTCGCCATGATGGGCTATGGGGGGTGGTGTGATGGGCGTGTTTTGGCGGTTACCTGAGGCACTGAAATGCTGATGTTCGTGAAGGGCGGCTGATCGCGCACGTCGTCTGGCGGAAGCAGTGTACCTTCCCGTGCACAAGGCAAGTGCAAGTCACAAATTCGGAAGTGGAAAGTGACGGCATTTTGGCGGGGGCGAAGGCGCTATCACGTGCAAAAGGCTAAAACAAGTGGGATAAGAAAAAATTGGCACAATCATTGGATAAGGTACCACCACAGCTCCCAGACAGAGCAGTTGCATCATAGGCCACACGCACGCCCTTGTACATGTGAAGCACATGTAAGGTAGTATGGCTCAATGCTCGGGACTACAATGAGCATGAATAATATATATATTATGTAGAAGTTGCCCCAGGTAGGTTGACTCCATTGGCCCCTTGCCTGGCAGACGCCGGCTCAAGTGCTCCAAATGGCAAGCTGCCGGGGCCTTCGTATGAACTGCTACCTTACTATTATTGCACCTGCGCATTCGCACCCCCAAAAAGCGCAGATAGTGGCTATTGCATTGCACGCTCATCGGCTCGTCGGCCGTGAGGGTTGCCCTGTGGCGTGTCCATGTAGGCAATTAACCATGCGTACCTACTGAAGAAAATTGCGTGGCACAGTCGATCTCCAACAGCACGGCGGTGTAGCCACTGACCGGGTCTAAGCGGGCCATTTCGCTGAGGTGCTCACATGCCCGCCAGTACCCAGTACAATTCGTGGAAAAGAGCAGCGTTATCGGTTGGGCCCGGAAGGGTTTGGCTTGCGCGCCTTACAACCCACCGAAGCAGCAGATAGCGTGGTGCACGCACACCGTACACACCAGTAACTGTCGCTCACACCCAAGAGAATTGTCACGCCATATCACCAGCACGTCGGCCTTCCGCGATATCTCCCATCACGCTCTCCATCACCAGTAAACCCTCGTAGCCATCGAGAATGTCGACCACGGTAGTCCGATCTCCAAGCAGTGCGGGGTCTGCAAAGGCAGCTTCGCTTCACGACTCTGCCAGAGACTCGGGCTCTCCGGAGCCCCAAAACCCTCTTGATGGCTTCGGCAGCCTCGTGGAGAAGATCGAAAGCATCCTGGGTACCGGCGAGAGGATCCGTAGTGAAGAGGTCGACATCGATGCTCTGATGGCGGCGATGGAGGCTTACACCTCCGACGAGTCCGAGTGGTCGCAGTACGCATTCGCAGATGCACAGAAAAAATACACCAGGAATCTGGTCTCAGCAGGAAACCATCTAGGAAATCTTCTGGTAAGTAGATGAAGAGGAGAGGAGGAGGTTGCAAAACCAGAAAGAATGCCTTGCCATCTGCACGCTCTCCCAATGCGGCATGGCGCTGAGCACGCCATTTCATCGCCAAGCCAAAAGTCAACCACCGTCCGGACTGGCGAGAACATCAATGGAATAAACCTACCTATGTTAAGCAACTTTGACTGCATGTGATCACAATGATGAACTGGCTGACCCCCATGTGTCTGTATAGGTCCTTGTGTGGACACCAGGTGAAGACCAAACTTCTCCCGTCCACGACCATGCAGATGCGCATTGTGTAATGAAGATACTGAAGGGCTCTTTGACCGAAACGCTCTATGGATATCCTTGTGAAGCAACATGCACACCACCCACGATGGAGGTTGATAATGATGCACCGAGCTCAGGTAGTTCTACCGGCCACAAGTGCTGTCATAGCCGTCGCGACCCCTCTGCTCAATCGACATCGACAACGACCGCCTCCTCAGAGCTGCCGGTGAAGAAAAAGACAACATATACCCGAGATCAAGTCACTTATATTTCTGATCGTCTCGGTCTGCACTCGGTTGGCAATAGTCTGGGTGAAAACGACTTTGCCGTCAGCTTGCATCTCTACACTGTAAGTTTTCATTGTCTCGTGCAAACGCAGGCTCGTGTTCTTTGCGACGACTGTCGCGGACGGATGGAGACGGAAGTGTGTGATTAGGTATCTATCTACTACACATGGATGGCTAACGAGTGCCGCCAGCCTCCAAATGCTGCCACATTTGGCTGTTCGACCTATGATCCAGTGACTGGCAAAAAGTCTGCAGAGAAGCACAAGATGAACCACTTTTATTCCGAGTTTGGCGTGAAAATGTCAGATTAAGAAGCAAAAAAAGATATCTGAGCATCCATCAATGCTTGCAAGCATGATATGGAATGCCGTGTGGGGGCGGCGGGCCACAAGAAGGGCGTTGACATGGGGTTATCCACAAGGGTGTCGCTTTGTTTTGTGCGACTACCGATTGATGCAAGTCTTGCAGTAAGGTACTCGGGCTGCCTATTACTATGATATGGTTCTCAAATGGCGTATATCGTATTCAAGCCAATTCCGAAATTCCAGTGAGCTCACCAGCTTCCCTGTATGAGTGATACATGCCTAAGGTACTGTAGGTATAGGTACCTACCTGAGCCAGCCATCCATGGATATGCTAAGTTGCAAAACGGAACAAACAACGCTGTAACTGTATTGTATACATTGTATGTCGGTATACCTACCAGCAAAAAATGTAGGTAGGGTAGGTAGGTACCCGAGTCAAACATGGGTGAGACGGGACCCTTTCACACTTTTCATCTCAATAAGAAACATCCACGTGTTTCACCTTACGAAGTTTTGACGAGAACCACAAAAACCAAGAAACTCCCCCAATAACAACAGAGAGTCATCGCAGTTCCTCGGGAGACGACTGTCCGAAATCTACCTTATGACCTCACTTGAGCCGTGCAAGTAAGGTATAAGGTATACATGTAGATAGGTAGGTAGGGCAGTACCGGCACGTGATAGTAATAAGAAGGCATTAATGGACAAGGTATTGGAAAGTTGCCCGCTATTGCGATAGATGATGAATTTGGAGGTGTACCTACCTAGGTAGGTAGGTACATGTACCGGACCGACTGTATAAGGTATGTACCTAATATACCTTACCTACCAGGTAGTCTAGGAGGTATGTGCGTGACCTTGGGCTGTTATGATAACAATACCTAGGTAGGTAGGTAATAACCTATTCAAGAGTAAGCAGTTGCGCAACTGCAAGTTGCATGGTGCACATGGCTTCCAAAGGTACCTGACATACCTACCTGACCTCCTCCTTTGTCTTCTCCTCTATAAGGTACCTTCATGTAGGTAGGTACCTCCTACTTACCGACAGCTGGCCGCAGTCAGGTCCGCTCTACGTGACCGGGTTAATGCAATATCGTTTGAAGCAGGTACAAACCGGTGATCTGCAACAGTCGCTACCTCCTACCTCCACCGTACAAGAACGATCATGAAACTTCAAATGCTTTTGTGGTGGTGATACAGGTACATACAGGTACATACCTGACCTAAAATGACCGAAACACGTCACACCTCTCAGCAGCTGGAACTTGGAAATTGTGCTTATCAGGTCGCCCGCCACGCGAGAGTGAGACCGAGAATCTGACGCCTCCGATACGCTTGCGGATGAGTGGATGGGTGAGGTGGGTGTGTTAGTAGGGCAGGTAAGGTAGGTAAGCAAGCAATCACGGCATTATTGCAGACTGGTCGGTCGCATCGTGATGGATGCACGTGATGGAAGGAATGGGTTTCTCGCACCCATCGAGCCAGCCAGGTTATCATAGGTGGAATTCCATTGTGAATCATTTGATGCCGGTGGCAAACGAGCCACTTGTTCCTAGCGGAAGCTTCGAGTGAGCTCGAGCCCTGCTATGTACATGTACCTCCTACCTCCTCTCACCTCCCTAAGGTATGGATGGATGGCATGGACCTTTTCGGCGTGACGGTGGTGAGAGGCGCGCTACCTATCGTTGCAAACACGGGCACTTACACACACAAAGCATGACAATCCGAGACGCACTCACTCCCACCTTGCCCCGTGGCCACCGGGCCTTGTTCTTGTTTTGTTGTTCATGTACAATCAATCTTACGAACAATAAGATCCCAGATGTTCCTGGAGGTTCGAATAACCTCTTCGTCCTGTTTCAAGTAAGGCAAACGGCCAAGTAGCGTCCGCACCGATCTGCAGGACCGCCGCGCCGTCATGATGTCCACGGTATGTCGGACAGCACTTGCATCATCGTCCGGGTTTGCCGGCTCCCTCGTCCCGCCAAGGCCAAACAGACAGACAGACAGACTAGGTAAAGTACGGTCAAGTAGTAATAAAGGTACGACGAGGAAGGGGAAGGGAACTCGGAAGACGGATGGACCTGTCACGCCAAGCACTCGTTGACAAGGACCAGCCCAGCACGCCAAAAAGACGCGTTGAGAATCGCCGTGAAGGGACCACCTCCAGGTGGTGTGGGGAAGAAAGTCAGCAAGCGACCCAATCGCCACCGTCGGCATTGGCGCCTTGCTGGCCCCTTCTACTCCCCCATTCGATTCACCACTTGCCTTGCCACTGTTCGATTTCACTCGTGGGTGCTTGGGTCGTTGCACCTCCGGGCGGGGGCGCTATGTCCCGTATAAGCTTTCGGCGTCGCTGGAGGCGATGCTGCGAACGGGGAATGGTGTGTCTCGGAGATTCCAGGAGCGCAAACACAGAATCAATTTCATTGAGCGTGCAAACGTGCGCGCGCAGGCATTCGCTAATCGCGGCGTGCACAATTGTCCTCCCGATGTGAAGGGGAGGTCAGGTAGGCACAGAAGGACGTCTACTACGACTACTACTACCTCCTCGACTAGTGTTGAGGCGTGTCAGCGAGCGGTGATGGCCTGGGATGCTGCTGAGGTGTGTCTGCCCGGTCAGGTATGTGCAGTCGTGATTATTTCTATTCTCACCGTCTTTCCTTTGCCCAACCTTCTTCTCTCTCCCGTTCTGTCTCCACTCGAAGTGGTGATGGTGGTGGTGGTGGTGGTGGTTCTCTCTCTCTCTCTCTTTCCCAATCTCTCCCTCCCGGTCAGTGTCAGCGTCAGCGCCAGCGCCAGCGCAGTGGGCGACCATTGGCGAGCTACGTACGGTAGGCTGGATGATGTATGGCCAAATGGTCGCTTGGCGCAAATGCGATCATCATGCGCGCAGGGAGAGTGTCGGCCGGCGTCGAGCAATGGAGACGCAGAAGTGGACATTCTTGCTGCCATTGGATTATTGATGAAGGTCGCGTACGTCGACATACAATAGCTCCGTACGGAGTGGGAGCCAGGCCCTAGCGCCTGCAGGCGGGAGTGATCGCCAGTGCGTCTTATTCGCAGGGCGGCGTCACGGCGTGGTCCTTTGTTTCGGTCCACAAGTTAGGGACAAGGCCAGCAGCCTGCGACCGCTCTTGTGCGCCCAAGGCCCAAGCCGATGTGGGCACCCTGCTGCGTTTTTTAGTGCTTCTGGCCTGGCTCGTGTCGTTTCTTGTGTGTGTGTGTGTGTGGCTCTCTGTTTCTGCTATACGGCCTGCGCTTTTCTGTTCTGCTGAGTCTGCCGAGTCTGCTCAGCTCTGCTCTGCATGGCTCTGCATGGCTCTGCAGTTCTGCACACCGATTGTGTGTACGACGACGGGGTACCCGAACATACCGTGGTTGATGCTGGACCATTCCGGACCACTACTACCTGTACCGACCTCCTACCTACCTTAGGTACTATAGATATGTATACCGTGTCGTCGTTTCTGCTGCGCAGTGCACGTCACTTGCACCGTTGCACGTACGCACGCAGGCACGCACGAACGTACAGACTTCACTTGCACCCGTCTCCTGCCCTGCCGGCCACGAGAGCCGCGTGCAGACGAGCCGTTGGCGGGAGGCCTGTCGTTCGCCTGTCAGTCAGCTGTGCTGTATGTGCTGCGCTGTTGCTGTGCGGGTCCTGCTCTCCATCCTGTCAGTGCCTACCAGTGGCCTCCCAGTGCCTTGCCTGCCTGTCTGTCTGCCGGCCTGTCTGTCTGTCTGCCTGTCTGCCTGTCTGCCTGCCTGTCCGCCTGCCCGCCTGGCCAGAGCCCGCCAAAAAATCATCATCTCCCGCCTTCCAGGCACATTGTATGATACAATGCTACTACCTGCTGATCCACCCCACGCCGGCCTGTCCACCTGGAGGCCGCGCTATGGCCTCTATGGCCGATCGGATTCGAAAGGCCGGCAGCCAAGCAGGGATGCACACACCAGACAGTGCCATCCATGCCCCCTCCTCCCCCCCCGGGCCCCCTTCACACGATAGCCAACTTCGCGCCGAACCGCTGATCCCGTGCGTCCTGGTATGAACCTAGACAGCCTAGGTACAGTATGTAGTCGATGGACGTACCGCCTCCGCAACTCTCTGCACCTGATCTACCACTTCGCTCGACTCGTCGTCTCCTGGAAATTGCTGCTACTACTGCTACTACTCCTACTATTCCTACTACTGCTACGACTACTATCGATCCTGATTACTGCCACAGGCTGCATATGAGTGCCTCGGGAGCCTTCTACCAGAATAATGCTCCCCAGTAGCCCATTGCAGTCCCGTCGCCGCTTACGTGCTCCTTCTTGTCTTCCCGAAGTCACTGCATAGCTGCAGCCGCCGTCCTGCCGCCGTAGGCCCAAGCCACAGGCGTGTAAACCTGCTGCACTCGGAGGCAAAGTCTACTACCTCCTACTGACTCCATAACGACCACCTAATCCCGCTCCTACTCCTACCACCTATTACTATTACTATCACTTTGCTACCACCACCATCATCACCACCACTACTACTACCGCTGCCACTGCGACTGCGACTGCGACTGGCATTCTCATCACTCCACGGGGCCATCAGTGCCAAAATCAGGGGGAGAGAGGTGGCGCTGCATGACCGTCGATGCCATGGCCGACGATGAACGCAACACCGCTTATCGATCGTCGCCGCCGAGTAACTGGAACCACTTCCCCATCCATCCTCATTCCCATCACGGAACTCCAGCGCAGGAATACCAAGGGTTCAGTTTTGCGTCGCCCCAATTACCGATGGAGCCCAGCGCGTTCGCCAGCGGCGTGCAACAACGATCGATGCACCATCACTTGCAGCCGCTGGTGATGCCCCAGTGGCCATCGATGCTCAGCAGCCAGGCGCACGCGCCGTACCAGTCCATGTATCAGCAACCGATGCAGACCATGCATCCGGTGTCCACCGGCCCACTCATGACCCCCCTTTCAGCAACATCAACGAAGTCGACCTCGACGCCGCGCAAGACCCTGACTGATCTGGATCGGAAACGAATGTGTCAATATGCTGAAGAGCATCCCAATAGCAAGCAGACCGAGATTGGAGGTACGTCGTGTGTGACCGGACGACACGCGCGCCTCGAACGGCTGCTAACTGATCAATAGCCATTTTTGGGGTCGAACGGAGGTACAGCGACGTGTCGGAAAGTGTGGATTGATCGATGCTGACCCTGCTAGTACTGTGTCCAAAGTGTTGCGGCAAAAGGAGAAATTCCTCTTCCAGGACGACGGTAGTCGATCACCCGTCAAACGCGCAAAAGGACGATCCCCTGACATCGAACGAGCACTTGCGGTCTGGGCGAAGAATCAGGTTCGTACGTGGTTGCGGGAAACATCAGGGGTCGCTTGCTCATCAACTCGTGACAGGAGAAGAAAGGGAATCCTCTATCGGACGACCTCATCCGAGCTCAAGCGCGGGCTTTTGCGGCCACGACCAGCTCCCCCGATCATCTGGTCTCGTTGAGCTCGAGCTGGATCGGAAAGTTCAAGCTGAAGAACAATCTGCTGGGTGCACGATCTCGTAAAACATCACTTGTGCCTGACGATCCTGATCACCCAGCTGCAGCTTCCTCCTCTTCACACACTCCAGGGGACCTTTCGCCCACGTCACCGTCAGCACCCGGCTCTCCATCGCCCATCGATTTACAAAGCGCACAGAGCTACGAGAGCCAGAAGCGCGGGAGTCCAGACGACTATTTCGACTTTGCTAGCAACAGAAACGGGCCGCACCACGCACAGAGCACGACGTCGCTCCACAGCGCATACACGGAGAACGGACCATCATCGTTCTCGCCCGGTCCTCTGAGTCCTACCACATCTCCCTTCTTCACGCCCGATTCAGGGACAGCACCTTCGCCATTCGTACCACCGTCATTGCAGGCACGTCCCATCTTGGTTGGGCCGTCGAGTGCCGCCAACTCCCATCGACCGCGTAGTCAGACTTTCCCCTGTCTGGAACCAGCTTACGTGTCCAGTTCAGGGGACGCAACGACTCCCAAATACAGTACCAGCTCGGACTTGAATGCATCCACGCAAGGTCCACTCGACGCATTGACGAGTCTCGACGAAGCAATGAGCATGCACGATTCGGAGAGTCGTCCGCCGACCGTCACGCCGTTGGACACCATGCGACCGCCTCCACTGCCCGCGCATGCAGCGCGACGCGAATCGGGGCTGGCACCAGGATTAGCGCAAGGAATCACCCCGGAAGAGGCCAGGCAGGCACTGCGGGTGGTTCTGCGCTTCATCGAACAGCATGGCGTGGTGGACTACCACGAAACTTTGACCATGGGGACATTAATGGAGAAGCTCAAGCTGCAGCAGCCGCCCGCGCGCGCGCACAGCTAGCTAGCTAGCTAGCTGATGATGATGATGATACATACCCTATTTGATACCACCACACCTAGTGTGTGCTTTGAGCTTTGATATGAGCCATTCTCATTCTATTACTTGGAGATCTTGTTCAAACCGTACCTTATATTGCTTCTTTGGGCAGGGAAAAGGGGGTGGGCAGGGAAGGGGAAAACAAAAGAGCTGTTATTACCTACCGCTCGTGTCTGCGGCGGAATTGGGAAGGAAGGGGGGGAAAAGGGGTTGGGGGATATAAATACTAAGAGGTAGGTACTACTGCATGAACGTGGGACATCCTTTGAGCACAGAAACGATGATTTGCATTTGAGTAGGTGGGAAAGAATTTCAGGAGGTACATGACATGTACCTTTTAGACGGTTTGCAAAGGTCCGCTCACGCGGCGAGAGAGATGGAAGAGGAGAGGAAGAGGGAGAGGGAGAGGGAGAGGGAGAGGGAGAGGGAGAGGGAGAGGGAGGGAGAGGGAGAGAGAAAAGAGAGAGTTACACAGCGTACTTTAGGAGGTAGTTGTCAATTGTGACGAACAGCTTTCGGACCTGTTTTGTCTTGTTTGACTGCAACTCTGTGTGTATGGCTCGTTGACTACGGCTCATCACCTGTAAGGCTATCTAGGTAGGCATCTACTGTACCTGTCAATCTATCTCTATCGCACTTCAAAACAAGAGGTTGACTCATCACATCTGGTGTAATTACTAATACTAAGGTACTACTACTACAAACTACAACCTACAAACTGCCCAGCTCTGGAAACAATCGAACCACGAGAAGCTCGACCACACGCACGACGAGATGTTTATTCAGATAGGCAAGACCAAACAGGTCCAAATCCGACTCGACATCCGCTCTCATCTGATCCATGTCTCGTGTGGCAAAAAAGGTCGTCCGCACAACATCGGGAATGCTGTCCACGAGGGCCGCAGCGCATTCGTGCTTGATCTGCGCGATTTCGTCCTCTGTCGGGGTGGTACGTGCAGGTGCAAGGATGTTATTGGGGAAAATGGCGCGTCGGGCAGCTTCGAAAAGGGTCGGAATCCATCTCGAGGTGAGCACGCGTTCGTGGAACTGCATCGATAATAACCTGCATGCAATGCACCTCTTGTCAGTATGAATTATGATGGATAATTACGGTATGTCTGACTGTTGGGCCGAAAAAAAAAAGAAAAAAAAAGAAAAACGCCCAGATTGACGTGCATGCTGCCTCCCCCGTGTAGGATGATGGATGGGACAGGCAAATGGTGTGTGTGCACGCAGACACCAGTCGAACCAGGATCAGTCCCACAGCTCGTCTGGGTTCTCGCATTATTTGGTGCTAGCGAACGAATGAAGGGCTGGGAGTCCTGTGTCGCGATATCACTGGTGCCCACAGCAACTTCGGCAGCAGACGTGTATAATGAACTCCGGCGCACTAGCACGAGTCGCTATTGACGCTTGCGCCGTGATGGCTCTCGGATCGTACCATGGCTCGTAATGGGCCGACCCGACAGCCGCATGGCGCAGAGAACCCTGCCGGTTGGTGGTGACAGACCAATCCCCGAATCCTGAATCCTGAATCCTGAATCCTGAAAGAATTCTTGATAGCCTCAGGCGCCTATACTGCTTGTAGTCGCATGCACTTCGCGAAACTTGGATGCCCAATTGGGGACAATTCGCAGGATGATGATGTCGGAATTGGCGTGGTGCGGCGGCAGCAGGGGGGTGGGGCTGCATGTCCAAAAGCAAGCAGTCGTGTTGTTCATGATTAGTACGGCGCTTCGAGCTCTGGTCATGATAAGCGTGCCAAGCGACATGCAGTCGAGTATTGTATTGAACACGCTCTCCCGCAAACCATCAAGTCGCGACATGACATTGGCGGACGTCCACGTCAGATGACCGTGGAAGCATGCAGGCTGCCGGTGTGGCTTTTCGCTGTGACGAATGAGGGGAAGCGATGCAAGGGTGCACAGCGTTTGTTGACTGGCGCTGAGTGGACCAAGTTGTGGCCGACAGAGTGGGGAACTCATGACATGCAGGCTTGTTGACAATAATGCAAACGAGAGCGACTGAAGGAACGTAGCGACTCACCTATCCAGTCTACTGTTCGCGCAGCCGACCTGACCGGGCCCGTATAGGGCCAGACAACGTAGCAGTGATAGGAAGCCAGACAGCCACGGTGCCCGTCTGTGGAGCATGAACAGCTCAGACATGCATCCCCAGACGTGCATATCGATGATCGGTCGCGTCTCCATACGCGTCTTGTCGAGACTCGGCAGAGAAGCAGCAGACGTTCCGGTCGATCCGTACAATGTCTGCATGGGTGGCAATGCCCGCGCCTGGATCGACGAGGCGCGCATCAATGCAATGGTTGTGCAACGCAGGAAAGTCCATAACATCATCATGACTTGTAGGACGGTCCAAAAGGTATTGATGGCCACGTCAAAGCGCCAATGGAGCCAGTCGTAGCGCTGAGATCTTCTTGATGCTGGTGCATCACCTGAATATCGATGGTCGTTCACAGACGGGCTCAAAGATTCAGGGGCCTGTTTTCTATGATCTTCGCTCGGGCGTAGTGCGCGCAATAGCTTCGCGATGCCATCCCATATCAGCCACGGTTCGCAAGCCTTCCCACATATCCCGTTGTGAAAAATCATTTCCGAGAGAATTTCCGACACCAACACTTCTAGACATGGATTGTGCAAATCCTCTGGCGGCAATACCAGAGGCAAGAGTCGATCCACGAGAAGTAAGCACCACGCAGCCTCGCTGTCCTGCTGCTCACGCTCGGCCATGGCGTGCGATGGGGCGGGACCGAGAGCCACGTGGGGGTGAAGGGACTCATATCGCAGACACACTTCTGCGGTCGTAAATCTTGAGATTCGCGAGCCGTAAGATATACGAACCGCTATTGTGCGTCAGCCTCGCAGATGTTGGGCAGGACGGCCAGAAGGACTTACCGTCTACATGCTCTGCCAGCAGTCCAGGAAGCTCATGCAGCAGTAGGTATTCCAGATCCACATGACGAAGACGTTGCTCTAGTTCTCTGGTGCAGTGGGCAATGATCTGCACGATCCCGGCCACAAATTCCTGATCAGGCGTGATGCGGCTGTACCAGGACTGAACGAAGATGTGGAGAATGACGGCGATGAATGCATACAATTGAACATCGACCTCGTTCGAGCTCGTGAGTGGCGGCAAGAGCTGCTCGAGAGCCTCGATAGACGGTGGGTGAGCAGGCGATTCCGTGGCTTGAGCGGGAGTCGCTGTCGCGGTACATAGCACGCGCTTGATGTATGCCGTGGTAGCCGCGTCGGGGGTGGAGGAGGTGGTGGTGGTGGTGGTGGTGGTAGTAGCAGTAGTGGCAGTGGCAGTGTTGAGCTGGGTGGAGTTCCGGGAGTGGTGTTCACTCAGTCTGCTGCGATGCTGGGCTTGTCTCAATGGGCGTGTGGTGGCGGTGCCTTGAGCCATCCTGAATCGCCGTGACCACTTGTGCTCCGAGTGGCCAGCAGCATTCTTGTTCCAGGCGCTTCACCCAAATTTGTCTTCAGCAGCGTGGGGACCAAAGGTGAGCCGAAGGACGATGAGAGTGAGTGAGGTATACTTGGCATGGAAGAGATGGTGTTGGATAAGGTACGATTATGTACCTTATTGACAAGGCAACAATATTTGAGTTTCGCCAACACACGCGACTCCAGTGCTGAGTTCTCCACCTTCCAGCCTGGCCCCCGGCCCGGCCTGGTTGGTCCATCATCTCTGGCGCTCAACCTCCAACGCCGAGCCCTCCACCGTCCCGTTTCAATAACCACCAAGAACGTCGACGGGAACAATAAAATTGAGGCCTCGCGGAGATGGCCACAACGACGCAGGATGAGGTGGACAGTACGTTGATCCGCCTCGAGCAAGCCATACCTCACTGACTAGCCAAAGAGGATCTCCGCGCCATCATTACCAACCTTTACATCGTGCTTTGCCAAGCACACGACTATCAAGGCTCGAATACCAACCAGGCCATGCAAGCCGAGATGTAGGCCTTTTTTCCCACTCATTGGATCATCAACAGTCCATGTGCTCACGCCTGGACAGCATACTTTTGCTCCAGAATTTGAAGAGTCTGAGCCAGAAGGCCCAGCTTCTGCCTACGCACTTGCCCGTAGAGATCATCAACTACGTCGAGAACTCGCGGAATCCGGATATCTACACGCGCGAGTTCGTGGAGCTTGTGATGCGCTACAATCAGCAGCAGAAGGGGAGGAGTGAGGCTTACGGCCAATATCACGACATTCTTGCCGAAACGATCATGACCGCCATCCCAGACATGGCAGCCGACATCAAGTCGGTCGCTGCAGCATCTGGTAGACCGATCAGCTAAGACCCGATCAAGCTGTCATCAGAGGTATCGGACACAAGGTTCTGAGCTTGAATTGCTGGTGACTTCGTTCGTCGAAGCAACATGCGCAGTCTGCCTTCGTTCTTACCACCGCACGGCCGATCTACTCGAGGCTCTCGTCCTTCGAACTCCAGGCTCTCTGACATCTCAATATGCCCGAGATGGCTTCAGCCCTGTCTTTTCTATCGCAAGGCAACGAGACCGCGTCCCCACCGGTTCTCACCTCACGAACGAGCAGATCAAATAATTTATTTACATCTGGGAAAGATGGAAGCACTACGGCCATAATTGAGAATGGGGATTTACTGGACCGCTGATGAAATGAGGTGAACACGCAAGTGATTGGCTTTGCGACAGTACTGGTTAGCATCCGTTGGAGGCAATTGTTGCTGCCGTATCGGCATGAGGAGAACCAGAAAAGAAGATGAGCCCTTCCCGCAGGATATAGTACCTAAGCATGAATCGCTGTTCCAACATATCGTCTTCCTACACGTCGGCGGGTAACGCTTACCATTCCTCTAGAGCCCAGCTGCGCGTGGTGATTAGAGTCGTGTATATTAGAGACGGTGAATAACGATATGTGATTTGTAGACACCTCGTCCAGAGTCAGACCCGCGTTCAGTTGCCCAAGATACAAAGTAAAGCATGCAGGGTGGAGAAGTTTGGAATAGGCTCTCGGGAAGTGGGTGCATCCCGTCATGCCGTCTGTTGTTGTTTTGATCTCACCACTCTCGACAACATAGCAACCCGCACCCACCACGCACGCGTTGAAATCCGTTCCTGGCGCGCTATTGACATTGTCTATGTTAATCGACAACACATTGCCGGTATAAACTTATTCGGACAGCATCGTCCGAGCGACATGTCGCGCTTTTCGCGAGGACGAGCCGCTTCGCCGCCCTACGACGACAACGTCTTCGCGACTGCCACGGAGACGAGCTTCCGAGAGCAAGACCTGCTGCACTCAACACCGCAACGCGACGCGTTTCCGCTCCACTACCATCCGCGCCCCTCACCCTCGCTGTCGCCAGGCCGTGGTGACGATCAGGACTCGCTGGGCAGTGCCGACATGTCAATTGAGCTGGGGCGAGGCGCGAAGCGATTTCAGCACGATCTGACCGATATGTCGTCCAACGCCGTCTTCAGCTTCGAGCATACGCCGCCTTTCCAGTCGCGAAGCAACAGCGAGCGACCTCCGCCCGACAGTGCGCTGAGGAAGCAAGCGTCGGTCCGCAGGGCCACGGCGTCGGCCAGAGCGAACGATGCTCTCAAGAGGACAACTACTCCACGTGCCGTGTCCGACACATTGCCTCGACGCCAAGCCGAGGCACAGCCTGTGCAGCCCACGGCCACATTCACAATGCGAGGGTCCCGCTTTGCTAGTGTACGACAAGTCTCATCTCACTACCATGTGCCCAGGCATTACAGTATTGAGGAGGGCCTCGAGAATGCGGGCCAAACCCCACGCAGAGCTGCTGCCGGAAATCCCACCGTCCAGTCCGCGACCTACACAACCGGCCAGTCGTTCATGCTACCAGATCTACCTAACATCACGGAGCTGGTGTCGGGCCGGAACGAAGGGACACCGATGATGAAGCGCACATCGACAACATCTCGGACACGTTTCGTGTCTGACACGCATCGCGCCGTCAACTCTCTATCTGTTCCTCAAGATGAGCAAGCAATATTCGCATCGTTGCAAGTACTGGGCGGTAGAGTCGCAGAGCTGGAACTTGAGAAGAGCGAGGCGCTAAAACATGTCGAGCGATACGAGCACGAAGCAACAAACTTGAGATCACAGCGAGAAGAGCAGCGTGCAGATAGTGGCATTGGTTCGGAAGACGATGATTTGGCGCAACCCGCACATCCAGACGAGGAGAGGCTGAACGCCAAGATCACGGCAGGTGAGGAAAGGCTGCACAAAATTGAGCGCAAACTGAGCGTATCAGAGATCACGATTACCCGTGTTAGCAGAGAGCGCGATCACCTTATTCAGCAGCTCGCCTCTGCCTTCCTCGCAAACGAGGAGCTGGAGAAGGACAACGAGTCTCTCCGATCAAAAATGGGCGATGTGCTTGCAGAGAACGAAAATCTCAAAGCTCGCCTGCAGGATCTGACAGAAAAGAATGCCCTTGTAAGCAGCGAAGTAGAGCGTCGGAAAAGCACTCAAAAGGGAGGGACGGCAGCATCGAGCAGAGCAGATCGGCGACGATCATCGGGCAATGCCCGACATGATGACATTGCAGAAGGTCTCACGTTTAACAGCACCGTTGACAATGGGAAGGAAAGCCGAGATGGTGTTGAGGGTCTCCGGGATGTGGAAAGCACCAGTCTTGCATCGAGAGTACAGCTCGAACTCGAGAGGCAAAGAACAGCAGCTCGGGAAACATCTCGGGGGTCTCATGAAGGCCAAAAATCCACTCGACAACGCTCGCGATCTAGATCACAGCATAGAGCCCAGGAAAGCAGAAATGAGGATTCCATTGGTCCCAGACGAGCGGCCACGTCTATGGCGTGCGATCGAAACGATCGTTGGTTCGCTGCAGAAGTCACTGGTCAATCGCAGCAATCTTCCAAGTATGCCCAAAAGTTCGAGGAAGACCTCACGCAATTGACAGATATCGATCCACTCACTGTAGCCAATCTACGTCGCAAGCTCGAGGAGGAAATGCGAGCCCGACATAGCGAGAAGCAAGTCCGGGCTCAGAGCGAAGCGGACTTCACTACGCGCTCCACTACTCAGCATTCCATTACTCGCAAGTCCTCGATGAGAGACGTTACTGCTGGCGCGGTCGATGAGATTGCGCAAAGTGATCACGCTAAGACTGTCAGAGTGCAATCACCACATACCGCGGACGAAATCTCGCACTCTGGTCATGACGACATCTCTTCCTTCGGCAACATGAGCCGCTGCCGTCGGCGCTCCTCAGCAAGCGAAGGTCTTACTTCAGCCTTCATCATCCCAGACATCACTGTCGCGATGGACCCGGTCTCTATGTCTGTACCTGTCACTGACAGGCTGGCATACAATCCTGAAGCCTCGGATGTCACCCTACGCCCAGTACAGACGCCAGCGCTTGCCCTGTCGACAGTGATCAAACACCTCGAAGCTGAAATATCTCGCATCAAAGCAAAACGCGATGTCGAGAACGCGGCATACACAGCGCACGATCCTGCATTGGCGAGGCGGGCTAGACTTGCTTGCCTGGCTAAAATAGATGGTCTGACAAGTGAGATCGAGAGGAGGAGTGATCAGGTTTATGCGTTGTACGACGCATTGGAAGCACACAAGGAGGAGGTGAAGCAAAACAAGCTTGCTCCGACCTCTGAAGACACATGTGATGCTGGGCAGGACAGCGAGCTTGAATTCGAGGGTTTTAGCGAGACTGGAGATAGCGAGGCCCAGAGTAGAGAAGCCAGAATTTGAAGGGCAACAGCAGCAGCTGAACGGGAGTTGTGAATCTCACAGTAGCGAACTTGATCATACGGCTGGGTGTTGGGGTTTTGCTGTGTATAATGAAGTTAGCGAAGCGATCGCAGTATGCATGGACAGGCAGGTTGTGGCCTTTGATATGTTCTGGCCCGGTCTAGTCATCGGCTCCCTCTTGATATGTCGTCTACCATAGCAGTCGTACACATGGTTCACGAGCATTCAGATATTTTACGCTTAATGCGGAAGACTCGTTGCAGGGATGGAACCAGAGGCATCAGAAAGCCCAGGTGTTGCCACTCACTGTACGGGCACGGACTGATGGCAGTGAGAGCTAGAGGATGTGTGGTTCGTTGCAACATTCAATACCTTCCAACCAGATGCAACTAAGTTAGTGCCAATAGTGGTTCGAACTAACTTACCGTATGCTCTACTTCGCTCCGCTCCTCGTGAGGTTCGTGTCACTACCTACCGTTGTAGAACAACTATTAATAGCTTACCTGACTTAGTATATGTACGACGGGACCACCTCCATGTAGCTAGTACCTCGCCGTACCTCCACGTGCATGCAATTGCACTCTGTCCACAACCATTGCCATCACCAGCGACGCACGCACCCCAACTTCGAGTGCAGACATCTTGCCTTACACCACACCACACCTCACCGCACCTCACCGCACCTCACCCTCACACCTTCACCCCTTCGTCCCTTGCCACCTCCCTCGCGCCACCTCCGATTTGGACTCGATACGACAAGGTGTCCCCTTGCTTCCCAGGGCTTGGCATTGCACATCGATCTTCAGCCTCGTCGGACGACCTCGTCCCTTTCATCCCTCACTCGCCAGCTTCATACTCGTACCGAGTATCTTCCAGTCCGTACACACCACCGCACAAGCGCTATTGCGTTGACTGAGTGTGTCTGCGCACCTCCTGCAACTCATCCGCCGCCTGCAAGTCATTGACCTCTACATCCAGGTTGACCAGCGCACCTCGTCCGCCTTCCCCTGCTTCGTGCAACCTGCCATGGAGACTGCAGCAAAGTACGTTGTGGTGGTAGCAGCTGGTGCGGGCTTGGTTTGGTACTACACTTCGACAGATAAGAAGGGGCAGAAGCCAGTTGCAGTACAAGACGTGAAGAAGGAGTCCAAAAAGGCCGCTCGAAAGGTCCAGAGCGTTGCAGATAAGGCCGTCAAGTCTGTCGCCAGTGTGGGTGCTGCTGCATCAACCGACACCCAGGACACCACCGCGCTGAGCGGTGCATCGAACAAGCGAAAAGCAAACACTCAGGTTGCCATCCAGACCCACGCTGCGCCGATCGCGGAGAGAGACGATGACGACGAGGCAATTGACGAGTCCACACGACAGTTTGCGGAACGAATGAGACAAGCTAGGCAGGGAGTCAATGTCAACAAGACTGACCGAGGAGAAGCCCGGGTCAAGACTGTAAAAGCCAAGGGCAGTCAGATCAGCTCGCCCGGGCTGTTATCGGGGTCGTCGCGAGCTGAAGATGACCACTGGGCCCCGGCAGCTTCCTCATCGACGCTTAAATCTAGCGGCATCGATGATATGCTGGAGAAAGCGGCCCCGGGGCCGAGTTCGCTGCGGATCACTGCGCCAACCCAGCCTACTAAGGAGAAAGTCAACAGGCCCAAGAAAGAGGAGGTCGTTGAGACTAAGAAGCAGCGTCAGAATCGCAAAAAGCGTGAGGAGAGACAGGCCGCAGACGCGGAGAGTCGGGCAGTACAGAGGAAGCTCGAGGAGCAACAGCGTCGCACCGCGCGCATAGCTAGGAACGAGCCAGCTAAGAACGGTGTGGCCGCTGCACCAACGCCACTCGATAACCCTTGGGGCGAGTCGAACGCCCATGCTGAGGCACAAGTATTAGCCTCGAGCAACCAGGGCCAACTGCTTGATACATTCGACGTCGAGTCCAATAGCAGCTCAAATGCTGGCGAGGTCAACAGCACTGCTGCCACTTCGACCACCGATCAGGCACCTTCTAGCACAATGATCGAGGATGGGGACTTTCAAAAGATCATCGAAGAGAGTAATATTGAGGACGGCTGGACTGATGTCAAGACGTCAAAGAAGAGCCGCAAGCAGCAGGGCAATGGCGATGTGACTCCCACGCAGGCAGCGGGTATTTCCAACCAGAGCAAGAAGCAAAGCAAGGTCAATGGCAGGTCAAGTGGCTTTGGTGCGCTTCAAGACGAGCCCGCAGAATAGATGATGGGCTTCCTTTTGCTAGAGCACTTCTCGTGGACGGCGTTTGAGCGTTTCTTTTTTTGATCTACACTGTTGTCGCGAGGTCGTCGATAAAACATGGCACCAGCGAACGCTGCACAGGGACGGTCGCAGTGGAGCGCAGCAGGCTTGCAGACAGCAGTTTTGGATGTACTCAAGGCAAGGCTATGGGATCTCGTCTGTATTACTGGAATACGGATTGCATTCAACAGAGTGTTTCAGAAGGCGACCATGGCTTCTTATTAGAGCGCGGTCTTCACAGCACAACGTAGGCATCCGTAGGTAGCTACAAAAATCAAAGCCTATTGGCGTTTGGGAAGTTGTGGTCTGTGGTCTGTAGAGCGTCAGCGAGCGCAGTTGCGGCAAGGTCGACAAGGTATGCTAGGTCAAGTAGGTACATGTAACTTTGGTGTAAAGGGACCTGACGACTGACGTGCCAAAGAAATGTCGCACTGAAAGGCCAGCTGTTGTCTATTAATACTCCACGCTCACACGTAGTGTATTCGACCTACTACATGTACCTTAGCTACCCGCCCCACACTCCAAATTCCCCAAAGCTCCGGTCTCCTTACATTGTCCACGCATACACTTCCACTTCCGTCCCTATCGACTGCCACCACCACCACCACCACCCTCCGGACAGCGAAGAGCGAGCGTCAGGCACAACACCGCACCACCCAGCCTGCCCCAGGAGTCGTTGTGGTGAGAGCAGCAGCAGCAGCAGCACTCCCACTTCCCGTCCTTTCGTCGGTCGGCGGTAACCGCAATCCCCCGACGGGCGTGCATTGAAGAAGCCAGCAGAGGCCATACCATATACCATACCATACCCTACCCGACGACTACGTTGCCAACCTTACAACAGAAATCAGACATATCGAGTGGGTCACGCGTCGACAATGGCGCAGATTCGCGGCACCGCTGGCTACCACCTCGGCAGCGGCAACAACGCCAACCCCAACCACGGCGGAGGCATGATGAACAATAGCTTTGGCAGCGGGCCTTCGTCGTCCTCAGCCACCAATGATCCATCGCCGCTGGACGCCATCCGGGAGCAGACGAGTAAACTGGAGGATCTGCTCGACACGTATTCAGACCCGCTCAAGCCATATCTGCCAGCCATCGGCCGCTTTCTGATCGTGGTGACCTTTTTGGAGGATGCATTGAGGATTATTACCCAGTGGAGCGATCAGTTGGAGTACCTGCACACCTATCGCTACAGTGAGTCTGCACCTGCCACACTGCATGCACAGCACCTGTGGGGCAATCGAGCTGACAACAAACGTCTGCAGTGCCGTGGGGCATCAACCACCTGTTCCTCCTGATCAATGTTCTCGCCATGACCGTCTCCTCCGTCCTCATCATCGCTCGCAAATACTCCGAATATGCCGTTGGTGGTCTCATTGGCGTTGTAGTCACACAGGCCCTCGGGTATGGGCTGATCTTCGACATCAACTTCTTCCTGCGCAACCTGTCGGTCATGGGCGGCCTCATAATGGTGCTGTCCGACAGCTGGGTTAGGAAGAAGTTTGCCCCAGCAGGGCTGCCCACACTGGATGAGAAGGACCGAAAAATGTACTTTCAACTGGCTGGCAGAGTACTTCTCATTTTCCTGTTCATTGGATTTGTGTTCGCTGGCGAATGGAGCCTCGGTCGTGTGGTAGTCATTGTCATCGGTCTCGTAGCCTGCGTCATGGTGGTCGTGGGATTCAAGGCGAAGTGGAGCGCCATTGTGCTCGTGATGATCTTGAGTGTTTTCAACATTTTGGTGAACAACTTCTGGACAGTAAGTGCACACTGTTTTCGTTTCTTCACAACTGCCATGACCCACATGTGCTGACCATAGCTCACTAGCTACACCCACATCACCCACACAAGGATTTTGCCAAGTACGATTTCTTCCAGATCCTGTCGATCGTGGGTGGACTGCTTCTTTTGGTCAACATGGGTCCGGGACAGGTAAGCTTCGACGAGAAGAAAAAGGTCTACTAGACGGTCATCCATGTGCATCTCGAGATGGCATGGTGGGAGTAAAAGACTCAGAATATGCACTAGTCTCGAACACTAGGTACCTCGAGACGTGCACGGCGAGAGCAATGTGGTCACATTTGGACACGAGAGAGGCGAAAAGGGAAACAGTGCAACGCGGCGTAGTCCGCTCCATGGAGCATGTAAAGGAGGCTGCCAATGGATACATCGAAAAGCTTGGCATACATGTCTCGTGCAATGGATGTGAGCTGTCATCTGCACCCCCACTGCGCTTCCGCAATGTCAACTGCCCGCCCGCTTTCCCCCCAGCGAAGACAACGTGTTCGTCCTCGGTCGCATCCATTGTTCGTCCCATTGCGAGCTGAGGAGCTGCTCGGCGTACATCATGCGCGAACGCGAATGCTCACCGTGCCAGACCCTATGACAAAGAGATATCGCGGCCATGCGCGCTGCCTGCAGTGGCCTGAGCCTCCCATATGCCTAGATCCTTCCCCTCTCGATCCTTGCGATTGTGCCACTTCTTGCCTTCGGCCTTCAAAATCAGCATGCTGCGGCTAGTGTGTGCAAAACTATCCACGAGCTCGCGCATCCGCCCCGCAGCCACAAATGTCTCGGACAGGTGGTAATCATCATTCGCGATCGTGACGCTCAGATCCATACTCTTGACCAAATGTTCCCGAGAGATCATGTAGCCAGCAGCGTGATGCACGGCATTGTATGCGATGATGAGTTCGGGGAAGTACCACTTTCGAATCAACTCCAGATCCGCAGCTTCCTCCTCGTCGACAGGGTTCAATAACAAGTTGCCTTCGACCACAGGCAGCATAGCTTCATCAACCGCCTCTTTGGACGCCTTGAGGGTCGGACCAGCTCCAGAGAGCTTAGGTTTCTTCAGCGTGTATGCCTCCTCTTCAGCTCTCCAACTCGCAAGAGCTTGAATGGCGGTCATGACTAGCTCCAACTCGTAGTACGTCCGGCTCTGGCGGGCGAGAAGCTCCGTCGTGGATCCTTCGCCTGCCGAGAGGTCAGAGTCTGGGTCCATGGGATTGATGGATTTGCCAATGACTTGATAGGACTTCCGCCTCGCAAGTGTCTCATACGGAAATTCGTCTACGATGTACAAGGCGCAGCCCAAGCGACCTGCAACTACAAGGTGGGTCAGCTTTGTGAGCGGCGATCATGAATTCGAGAAAACTTACTCAAAGCTTTCCTGAGAGCCAGCGACAGGTTACCGAAAGTCTTCTCCCATTGCCCGTCGATGATATTGAACCACCTCAGGCTTGCGACTATGGCACGATCGTCTTCGATCGAGTGCTCAGGCACAAAGTCACTAGCAATACGCTGACTCGGGTGATGCGCCTCCTGTGAGGTTTCTAACATCTTTAATGGCTTCTCCATCCTCCCGAGGTCATTCGCCAGGTACTGATCAAGCATGTAGCCAAGCTGTTCGTTGAGAATAAAAACAACATCCAAGCCATACTGCTTCAGAAGACCAAGCGTTTCTTGCTGCTCCCTCTCGTCCGTGATGTCCTGCAACACGCGGCTCATCGTGGCCACGTACGCACCCTTCGAGAGACGGGATGCGTAGACTGGAATGAGGTCACGTTTGCCTGCCGCTCGCAATGCCTGAATGTATGCCACGATTGTGTTCTCCTTGGCTGACTGTGCCTCCCAGTCGAGTTTCTGCGGGGACAAGGTATCCAAGATAATGCCCATATGGACCACTATGCGAAGAGTCTGGGGATCCAAGGCAACCTCCATCTCGGGCTGATTCGATCGTTTATCATCCCAAAAAGGCTCGAGATGCACGATCATCTGCTCCATGGAATGAAGCTGCCTGTCTGCATACGCGACCGCAAACCCAAGGGTATGAATTAGGCTGCCGATATCGTTGGCAATGAGATAGCTTTGTATGATCTTCATAGGCTGGACAGCCTCCTTTGCAGTCTCGGGCTCTTTCCGCAACCTGGCGAGGAGGTCATAGATGGCTTGATCCGGGTCCTGCAACTCCTCCTCTGTGACGCCACTTCGAGCAAACGGCGCACGATCGGGAAAGTTGTTGACAAGGTAAAGATCGAATTGCCGTACCAGATAAGAGCTGTAGTTCGCATAGAGGCGATCGTCCAAGGTGTGACAGACCTTCTGCATGGCATTGACAGCGCCACCCAGCAGACCATACACTGCAGCTTCAAAGTCACTGGTGCAGCCAGATTGCGAGGCAAGGTAGCACATCTTTCTCCACGCAGAGTTCGAGGCCACATCGCTCCCGTCTGATGACTTGCCGATAACGATCGCTCTCCAGCTTTCATTGCGCTGCTCGCACCATTCGCTGACTTGTTCCCAGCTATGGCCTCGCCTAAGCATTTCCCAGCATGTGATCCAAGTTGCGCGCTCGAAGTAAGCATCCGGCCTCTCTAACGATCGGTCTTGCCTGGTTGCGGCATCTGGATCCAAGCTTGTCACGAGAGCTTCGGGATTGTCACTGCGCTTCAGATGAGGCAAAGGCATGGCATCAGGTTCAGGCCATGCTCTCAGTCGCTTCTCATGCTTGATCCTCTCTCTCGTATGCATCCACCCATTGCTCCATAGTCCTCGCCCACGTCCAGCTTTAGACTCCAGCTCCTCTACGATCCCGGCCACCTCACTGGCCTGATGGTTGGCAGACTGCTCTAGCCATTGCTTGACCAGGTGCCGCTCCTTTGCGACATCATCCGTCAAAAGGAAACGATCCCACAGCGCCGCCTCTGAAGTATACCGGTGCACATCGCCGAGCTCCCTGAGCCTATCATCTCGCTGTCTCTTCTGTGCGCGCTGATCCGGGTGATGATGCAGCTCCAGCATGAGTCTGAATAAATCCCAGATATCGGCCTCCTGCTGCCACTTTCGCTGCTGTTCCACCTTTTCCTTTTTGCTCTCGCTTACACTAGCAGCCAGCCTGAGGCTCTTCGTGGTCGCCAGTACATCTGTCGAAGTGGCCGTTGAGACGTGAGCGGCATTACTCCATTCCTGCCGCAGCAATTGAGCCCTTTCTTTGCGATGCTCGATATCCAATTTATAGGCCGCGTCCTTGGCAATGTTCTGGTATTCGTCCACAAGGCCGAGTACGGCATCATATGTGCTGCTCTGAGGCAGAGAGTCCAAGAACTCGTCCAGTCGCTCTGCAAACGTCTCGACTTCCTTGCCAACGCGCTCAGCCATGTCACGCAGGTGTTGTGAAGCATCGCGCAGGCCAAGATCCAAGGGCGATTCATCACGCTGCTGGCGAGTGGTCGTTTGGGGCGCGTCCTCATGTCGTGCGACTAATTCCCAGCCCGACGCGGCTTTCGTAGAGCGGGTAGAGCGAGTTTTGCGTGCTGGCGGCTTTTGTATGGGCCCGTTCCGAGTGGACAAAGGCATCGTGGTGGTGGTGGTGGTGGTGGTGGTGGTGGTGGTGGTGAGGATGGTATTGGTTGCCCTCGCCGTGGGTGTGGCTACGATATGGGTCTGGATATGGGTAGGGCGAGGCACACTACCTAATGGGAGTGAATCTGCAGAGAATAACGCGTCAAGCTCGCGAGAACGTATGGGTACCTCTAGGCCAGTGCCAGATAGGGCAGACAAGCACGGTGAAGCTTAAATCACACTAGGCTTCTTGTGGAAGGTCCGGTCGTATCCCCACCCTATTCCGCTAAGGTATGCATGGCTTTGGTATGGGTCAGCCAGCCAGACAAGTGCAAGCACACGCACCGAACAGGTACATGGAAAGGAGATATCGACATGGCGCCGCGATACAAAAGCGATACGTGGTGTCGGTTGGTACTGGCCATTCTGCTTACTATGTCAGACGTGCTGCATGCGTGGACCAGCGTACGTATACAGACAAGCAAGCAGGCAAGCAAAACTCCTAGCAGGAGGAGTTTAGTGTTGCATGCGCGCGGCTGATACTCAACATGGCACTTTAATAACTGGAGTGCAGCATCTGCTTGCGTGGTCACGCCGTAAGCCAGTCAAGGCGGCACTGCTCGACAAGATCAAGGCTGCCCAGCACTATGACGAGTGGCTCGAGGCCGCCCAGGCATGTGAGTGACGGTGATGATGTTGGTGATGAACAAGACGAAAATGGTGATGGTGATGGTGATGGCGAAGGTGATGATGGCGGTGATGAAGATGACAAGGTGCATGTTGAGGCAGTCAGGCACTGATCCGCTGCATATCAATAGTGGACAATTTGCCTAATGCATACCGGTGGCGCATCAACCCCATTGACTCGCGCTATGATTTCCGCCTGCTGGAGGAGCGCAGGCGCAACCTCTACCTCAAGCGCAGGGACGATGATATACCCGAGTTGACTTCGTACCTACGTGAGTATCACCCGCCGCTCGAAGGCATATCGTGATCTTCCAGTTCGGGCTATGGTGGCAGCTCGAAGACAGACATTGCTCCAGCTTACATGTACCTGCTTCGGCTACCTGACATGCCGGCTGACCTGCAACGTGCTCCTCTAGGACACGGGCTATTCCGTAACATGTATGGCATCACAAAGCTGGCTCTGTATGACAAGACGTATGCCAGCACCAAGGAAAACATCCATCTGTACGTGGATGTCACAGTCGACAGTATCCGCACCATTGCTACATCGGCCACGAGTGAGACCACGCGCGACGGAAGACTGAGCGCCCAGGAGCTGATCGATAATGTGCACGACGCCAAGCAAACCTTTGGGCATTCTGCCCTGATGCTGCAAGGCGGTTCCATATTTGGACTGTGCCATCTGGGAGTGGTCAAGGCACTGCTGCAGGAAGACTGTCTGCCTCGAGTGATAGTCGGCACTGCGACAGGAGCCCTCATGGCAGCACTCGTTGGCATACATACCAGAGAGGAGCTGCCAGAACTGCTCTGTGGAGAGAGACTCGATCTGTCTGCCTTCGCTGCTTCTTCTCTCGAAGCCAAGAGACGCAACGCAGCAGAGCTCGAGCTCCTTGGAAAGGATGCGCCAGCGGGAATACTGCCAAATTGGTTCCACGTCCTGGGCCGGAGAATTGAAAGACTTGCCATGGAGGGCTTTATCTTGGACCCGGATGTGCTCAATGAATGTATCAAAGCCAACGTGGGAGACATTACCTTTGCCGAAGCCTACCAACGTACCGGCTGCATTCTCAATATCGTAGTCTCGCCCCCAACGGAAGATATTCCCAGCCTGATGAACCACCTCACTGCGCCAAACGTGCTGGTACGCTCGGCAGCCATGATATCACATGTCACCAATATTGTGTACCAGAAGAGCAGGACGCCTATTTACCTGCTCTCTAAGGATTCGGACGGAAATATTGAAACCATCATGCTCCCTCCGCCCTCCCATGAGACCGCTCACCCCGCTCAGCGACCTGGCCTTCGTTTAGCCCATGACCATCCGACACGCAGGTTGCGACAACAGTTCAACGTAGAACACTTCATCATCTGCCAAGCACGTCCCTACCTCGCACCATTCATCCAACCGTCCCTGCCCTACGTGCGCGGAGAGGGCCACAGCTGGCTGCCACCCCTGTTCATGGGGCTTGTAAAGCATACCCTCCAACTGGCCGATATTTTTGGCGTTCTCCCCGCCAACATCAGCCGCATTCTCAGCGACGAACAAATTCAAGGAGACAAATTCATTCTCGTGCCGGAGCTGGCGATTACGGACTGGAGACGCATGCTCAAGAACCCCTCCAAGGAAGAGGTCGATTACTGGATCCTGAAGGGTGAACGATGTGTCTGGCCCAGTCTGTGCGCGTTGAAGGTGAGAATGACTGTCGAGAACGCGCTTGCGGAGGCTTGGACGAGCGTCAAGAGGAAGAAAGGAGGGAACTGCGGCGCAGAGACAAACACTGCTGCTGATGAGCGGAGCTTGATCGCCCTACCTCCGCAGCCAGTATACAGGGCCGACCAATAAGCGCGAAGAGACCTGCGCCCGCATCGGCTTTACATAATATGGGACATACACGTACACTGCATGAAAGGCGTCTTGTGGGAATTGCATGTAGCAAAAGTAGTTCAAAAGAGGCTCTAGTGTAGCGGACAGGTCGACTGCATCATGAAACTGCTTGCTAGAGTGTCAGATATCCGCCGGGAACAGCCCGTACAAAGCTCAGAACATCTCCATGTGGTCTCCTCCAGAGACGGCAAACCTTCCCATTTGCACCTCGGATCGACGATCGAGTTCCTCCGCATATTCCCTTCTGACGTCCTCCAGGCGAACCAACCTCCTTTTCGTCCCGGCCGGATGCACGCCTTCAATGGCCTCCGCAAGCAACCAGGCTTCGCCCTCACCGCAGCAGACCAACGTGTTTATTAGAAGCACGTAGACTTGAATCAGTGTATCATCGTCCGGATCCTTCATGGCATGAGGATTCGTGAATTTCAGGTACTCCAGGTGCGTGTAGAGCAGAGACGCCGCACCGCGGAAGTCAGAGTGCTGTATCCGAAAGGCGAATAGGATCTGGTGGTATGGTGGGCCGGATAGCTGTGTATTGGATGTACCCATACTGGATTTCGCGAGCCCGAGAAGCTCGGCATCTACTGTCTGGACAAGGTCCTCCGCAATCGGCAGCGATAGCAGGTCCGGAACTGCATCTTCCTTGATGCACCTGCTGATGAGGATCCTGAGATTGGATCTACGCACAATTGGGTCCATTATCTGTGCCAGCGCACTGTAAGCTTCGTCGAAGCGGTTGATCTGATGTGAAGCACTAAATAGACGACCGAGAATGCTGTCATGAGCTATTTGTGCTTTGAGATAATAAAGCTCTTCCATCGCAGCGCTGATTAGCTGTGGTATTGACAGGGCAGACCCCTTTTCCCGCTTGAGCTCGTCGAGATCGTGCAATGCTTGACTCACATCACCGCCCGTTCGTAAATGTCGGAAGGCTAGGTTCGCGTATTCTCCTGTGTATGAGAAAGCTTTCACGGATTCGTAGAGGCCCGAGATGTGCTGGAAGTACCGAGCTAGACCTTGACCAAAATACTCCATGTCTTCGACGGAGAGGACGAGGTGTGAAAGGGTGCTTGCAGCATCAGGTATGTGGGAAAGCTCATCCGCAGCGTCATCAAAAGCAAGGCTGGCCATGTCGAACTCTCCTCTGGCCATGTGGACACGACCTTTGAGATAGGTAGCCCATGGTGTAGTCTCGGATAGAAATCTGACGAAGTCCAGCGCAAGGTCCCACTCCTTGTGTTGAACGAGATTGGCCATCACGTAGTCAGTGAAGCCTGTCCAGTTTTCGTTGGGGTCGATGCCCAGCGCCCATGACTTGCTCCACGCCGTAACCAGCTGGGATAACAGACGTGGCTGTCCACCTTCCAACGACCTCCAATCTCCGATGAAGAGGCTCTCATACAACGTCATCGCCATCGGCTCCTCATTCGTACTGCCCACTTTCTTTGGTTCGAGACGCATGTGCTCAACGAGCCACAATCGCAGCTCGGCGGTCTTTAACCTGAAGATGATGCTATCATACATTTCACAAGGATGGAAATTTTCGTCGAGCTCCTCAGGCTCTAGATCGCCATGCATAAAGAGGACGAGAGCAAGAATGTCCAACAGAACGGCTTGTGTGTCTTGTAGCGTTTGCTGTGTGATTGCTATGGTCAAGTCCTTGCCATATCTTTGCAAAGCACGACCACTGTCGGTGCCTTGCAATGTCAGATCAGTGTCCATAGCCTCCAGGACCATCAGAAGAGAGTCATCGTCAAGTCTTCCCAGTCCGTTGAACACAGTGGCAGCCTCAGTGATAGCGTCAAAATCCTCGTTGCTGATCTCCTCGCCGATGTTGCATTGATCATAAATGTTTTGTATGCCGAGAAGTGCAGACTTATCCGCACTCTGATCAAGCGCTTCCGCAATGGCAGCTCTCAAGAGCTTTTCCTGGGAAGACGGTGATAAGCATTGCCGGAGTTGTCTTGCTACCGCAAGTATTTGGCTCTTTAGCAGATCTTCATCAGGATTCGGCCAGATTCTGGTCTGTATTTCCTGATTCAAGACCCTGCTGTGCCTGCCCTGGACGAGCTCCGAGTTGTAGGCAACGAGCTCAAATTCACTGCTTTGCCGAATGGGCGCAACCACGTCAGCACATACCGACCATGGCAGGCCGTCATCATCATCGTACGCAAAGCCAATGGACGCAAGCCGAAGCGCGTGCAGGTGCGATAGTAGCCTAAAGTATATCTGCCATTGCTCGCAAAGTTCGAGCTGATAGCGATGGTAGTCAGGCTTTTCGTGATCATGTCGGCCAACAGTGGTCTTGGCGATCACGGCGCTGACGAGACGTCCCTTGAGTGGCTCCTCCATTTTGTTGATGCCTCGTGATGCGGTTGATACACCGCCCGTTTTGCGATACATCGCAAGTGCTGCTTCTAATGAAGCTTCGCTGAATCGACCAGGGTAGAATAGGTACTTCAGCCACTTCTCGCTAGATGTTGCTGTGGTTTCCGACGTAGGATCCAGGTCCGCAAAGCTGGGTACACGTCGCAAAGCCTCAATGCTAAGGGATGAGTTCTCAACACGAGTCCAATCATTCTTCCAGGCGTCACTGAAGTCGTTCGAGACACCGTTCTCGCCCAGCAGGTCAAACGTGACCACGAAGGTTTCGCATACTCCGCCACTTCTAGCCCTCAGCCACATTTGAGAGCCGTTCCACTGAGGCCCAGGGCTGACATGGAATTGCTCCAGGTTCCACAATGATGTTCCTAACATTTCCGCAATGGGGGCGTTGAGTTTTGCCTCTGGGGGCTGCGTGTCGACGAGGATGAGTTTCTCTTCTCTGTGCGTGATCGCGAAGAACCTGAATTGGTGGTCCCTCGGGGAATAGCACACCAAGAAGTATGCAGTGCCTGGGACACCCATTGAGTCCACCACTTGTAGCACCGTGCCTTGCCCAGGATCAATGTGTGCTTGCTTCCTCCTATCTTCCTGCCCAATGCTGTCTTCCAGGAGGTCCATACGGATTGCAGCTTTTCCAGTGTTGGTATCCCAAGCCTTCAAAACGTGGTCTATGCCGACAGTCCAGATGTGCTTATCATCCGGGCTCATCGCCATGGCTATCATAGCGCTAGGCATAAGATGAAGCTCGCCGTGCTTCACCGTAGTCTTTGACCAGATCCCCTTCAGGCCGGTCAAACCGCTCCAGCCGCCTTCGCCAACATACAGTTGGCGCCATTGGCTACCAGACTCATCTTTGCCACGTTCCAGCCGTATGAAATCGCCATTCTCCAGCGACACGAGTAGGAACAGGCTTGAGACAGCAGTGATGCGGTAGGCCCTGTGGCCCAAAGGGTAGTGCTTGTACACCGATCTGGGGTCAAAGTCCACGGGCACTGTCTCGCGCAGCAGTAGATCGCGTCGCAATGTCACGGTGTATAGGCCCTTGGGCGTAATCACGAAAACATCGAGCGCGTCCCTGGCTTCATCATCTGCAAGCGCGACTCCACGGGGGATGATAGCGTCAGACAGCGAGATACGGAAGGTGAGCCAGCTATCGCTGCAGCATTCGCTGCCAAGGTGCCGCCGGTCCTGTGCTAGATCGATGCATTGTAGCTCGAGAGTGTGGCGATCGTTCAGGACGCGCCAGAGAAAAGTGCGCGGCGCTCTGCTCTTGGGCCGGCTGAAGACTGAGCCTTCAGTCGCGAGATGTTTGCGCGCGTATGACTCCTCGTCGATTCCGCTGATATCCTCGAATGCTCTTTTGCGCCCCGTGCCAGCTCTGCCGAGGCTCCTGTCGCTGATTTGGATGTCAAGCACAGAATTTGGTGTTGTTGGCGCTATTGAAAGTCGCGTTTCCTGGTACAGCGTCGGCGTGTGCAGCACAGCACTGCTCATGGCGGAGATAGCCAATTCGACGGCGGGGGCGGCGACGGCGGAGCGACGGAGATCGGGCTGTGGCCGGGAGGTGGAGTGGTCACAATGTTCCGGAGGAAAGGCACTGTGGTGTTGTTGTATGTCGCTGAGGTGAAACAGCTTGAGGTGACTGAGGTGGAAGCTGGAAGTGACGGTAGGATCGCGAATGTGGAAATTGACGTGGATTCAATCAAATTGATGGGTAAAAAGTTCTACCTGCTAGTAAGGTACAAGAGGTACCTAGGTTGCCTAGGTAGGTAAGAGGTAGGTACCTAACAACTAAAGCAGGGCCTTCTGCACAGTCTACAGCGTACATGTATATGTCGAGAAGACATTATGTGAATCATCAGGTGTCGTTAGCAGAGCCATGAACGCGTTGCGCGAGTACAAATCAAATAACTCCCGTCCTCTCGGTGCACCTCCCCAATGCTACTCCAGCACGCTCTAATGCATCCTTCTACCATCAATCCTTTTCCAGGTCCTTCGGCTGAGGATCGTTGATGCCCGCCTCCGTGATTGCGAACATGCAATCGCTCTCCGGCAAGCAGGGCGAATCGTAGATTTTGCATATTCGCGTTTCGCCGCGTCCTTTTTTCAGCGACAGTCGAGTGGTCGATGCGTGCGCTATGATGTTACCTCCAATCGGCTTCTTTGGATCGGGATTGAACATGGCCGATGGACCTCCATCGACTTGCGCGACCACTTGATTTGTGATGACCACTGCGATGCCGAACTCGTCTGCCAGACGCTGGAGTATTCGCATGAATTTGGCGAGATGAGTCTGACGATTGGACAACTCGCCACGCCCTATGAAGTCCGTTCGGTACAGAGAGGTGGCACTGTCCACAATCAGAAGTGAGAAGCGTGTTTCCGTCATCATTTGAGCAGCTTGGTTGAGGAGTTGCAGCTGATGGTCGGAATTGTAGGCGCGGGCATAGGCGATATTGTCCAAGACTTCCTCGCCTGACAAGCCATATCGATCGGCAACTGAAAGCATGCGGACTGGTCGGAAGGTGCCTTCGGTGTCAATATAGAGGCATTTTCCCTCTCCGCCTCCCATATCGAATGGCAGTTGACATGTGACTGCGAGCGTGTGGCAAATTTGACTCTTTCCGGTTCTGAATTCGCCAAAGAGCTCGGTGATGCTGCCAGTTTCAATGCCTCCTGCGAGTAGCGTGTCCAGTTGCTTCGAGCCAGTCGTGATTGATATGAGCTCCGATCGCCGTGCATGCATCTCCGTCGCGGTAGTGAATCCCATGGGCACATGCTTGCTCGCTTCTGTGAGCATCTTGGTGGCCTTCTGTTCCGATACGCCCTTGATGGTCTCGAGCAGCTTCTTCGGTCTAGTACGCTGTCAGTCACTCGCATCACGAATGTGCGCCGCGAAGAGGACCTACGTGTATGCCACACTCTCGACGGTATTGTAACCCGCCTCTACAAATAACGAGATATCTCGCTTCGTGAGGCCGGCGACGCCCTCGAGACTGGCCAGCGGCGTTGGTGCGCCTGGTCCGCCCGCGAGACCATCCTCATATCCAGACTGCGATTGCTCCTCGTCCATGTTGGCTGCTGCTGGTGCTTCTGTATCTCCGTATAGAGTGGCTTCTCTCCGGACAGAGTTGCTTCGAGTACTACCTTATTCTAGTACTTGGGTGTTGTTGTTGCTGAAGGAACTTGTGCGATTTGACGGGATTGTTTGGTGGCGAAGTGACTACACTACAGTGGAGGTGCTACCTAGTTCTGGTTCTACGCGCCTTGACGCGCTTGCCTTGACACGCAAGCGCGGCGCGCATCCACGTGACTGTAGTCTTCTCCATGTCTGCCTCTGCCGCTCGTCGCTCTCTGCCTCTGCCCATTCGTTGTAATGGCCTCGCACACCGCCGCTGACACCGACACCTCTTCGGACCCCCCCGTGCGCCTTTCGCTCCCGCTCGACTTCCAACAGGACATCTTCCACTCTCTCCGCGCCGAAGACGAGCTGCTCATACTCGCCAGGGGACTGGGCCTCCTCCGCCTCGTCACCAATCTCCTGCACTCGTACGATGCCTCGGGTCACAACCTTGTCATCCTCGTCGGCGCTGAGGATCGGGAGAATGACTGGGTGGGCGAGTCTCTGGCTGAACATGCTGCCGTTTCGGGCAGTGCAAAGTGCCGTGGTATGCAGCTGGTGAACACGGACATGACGAATGTGACGCAGCGCGAGAGAATGTATAAGCGCGGAGGGATATGTTCCATCACTTCCAGAATCCTCATCGTAGACTTTCTGTCTGGATTGCTCGACCCTGCCACAGTGACTGGCTTGATCGTCCTGCATGCCGAAAGGGTGGCAGCTACCAGCCTGGAAGCTTTCATCGTACGCATATTCCGCCAGAAGAATAAGAAGGGCTTTCTCAAAGCCTTCTCTGATCAGCCAGAGCCTTTCACTTCGGGTTTCCAGCCGCTCACGAACATTCTGCGCAACTTGTTCTTGCGCAAACCGGTACTGTACCCTCGCTTCCATGTGGGCGTTGCGAAGAGTCTAGAGGGCAAGAGGAAGGCTGAAGTCATCGAATTGGAAGTGCCCATGACAGAGGCTATGCGGAACATCCAGAGTGCGGTGCTGGAATGTGTCGAGGTCAGTATTGCCGAGTTGAAAAAGATGAACACTGGGATCATTGATCTGGACTTTTCCGTGGATAGCGCACTACACAGATCCTTCGATTCAATCGTGAGGCGACAGCTGGATCCGGTGTGGCATCGAGTCTCTTTCCGAACCAAAATGATTGTACGAGACTTGACTATGCTGAGGACAATCTTACATTCTTTGCTCGCGTATGACGCTGTAGAATTTAACAGATACCTTGATACTGTGCTTGCGGCGAGTCAGCCGCCTCCTGGAAGCTCCCGGAAAGAGGTGTCGCCTTGGTTGTTTCTGGACGCTGCTTCAGTGCTGCTGGATAATGCGAAGGGGAGAGTATACACAGGCAAGATTACGGACGGCCCACTCGCCAATGTGGAACATGAAGGTCTCAATCCAGTTCTGGAAGAGCTTCCAAAGTGGTCACTTCTCGCGGAGATCTTGGAGGAGATCGAGCGAGATGTCTACTTCAACCCACAGCCTCAAGACGAGTCCAGTGGCAGTATATTGATCATGTGTGGGGACCATGGCACCTGCAGACAGTTGCGAGAGTATCTTCAGACCATGCGAAATGAGGTAGATGGCGACAAGGCTGCGGACGGAAGTGAGGATGGATTGCCTAAGGAGAGACAGCCGAGTGGCAAGTATATGATGCGGAGAAAGCTGCGCAACTATCTATTATGGAAGCGGGACTTTGCTCGCGTGAGCAGTACGCTATTTGCTGCCAACGAGAAGGAGATTAATGGTACGGCGCGGCACGCTTCTGGTCAAATCAAAGGCGGAAAGCCGCCACCTAACAAACGCAGACGAGTACGTGGAGGTGGTGCAGTTGGAGCAGCACCTGGTCGAAATGCTAATGGGTCGCTCTCTGTTGCTGGCGACAAAGAGTCTCATGTCCAAGCGTTAATGCATGAACTGGCTGTGAATGACTTTGCGGACGACGTGACCACCGCCAAGATGGATCTCGGCGCAGATCCCCTAGAGGATATGGACGACTATTACGAACTTTATGACATGAAAGATCTTGTACTGATACACCCCTACGATGGCGACATGGACGACCACCTGCTTGAAGAGATCAAGCCACGATACGTAATAATGTACGAACCCGATGCAGCATTCATCAGGCGAATAGAAGTGTATAGAAGCAGCCATACTAGTAGACAGGTCCGGGTGTACTTTATGTACTATGGCGCAAGCGTAGAGGAGCAGCGATACCTCAGCACAGTGAGACGGGAGAAAGACAGCTTTACCAAGCTCATCCGGGAAAGAGGGAACATGGCGATGACCTTCACCCACGATGTCGACAATCAAGACCCCCAGGAGACGTTCCTACGGACTGTCAACACACGCATTGCTGGTGGTGGACGGTTGATGGCAACGGCCGAGCCTCCGCGGGTCGTGGTTGATGTGCGAGAATTCCGCAGCAGTCTGCCTTCCCTCCTGCACGGACGCAATATGGTCGTGATACCTTGCATGTTGACAGTTGGCGATTACGTCTTGACACCAGACATCTGTGTGGAGCGCAAATCTGTCAGTGACCTCATCTCATCCTTCAATAATGGCCGATTGTACAACCAAGCCGAAACAATGCTTCAGCACTACAAGTCTCCCATGCTCCTGATCGAGTTCGACGCACAAAAGGCTTTCACGCTCGAGCCCTTCGCCGACCTTTCCTCCTCGATCGGAACGGCGAGCGTAGTTGGCAGTGACCTGCAATCTAAACTCGTCCTGCTGACTCTGGCATTCCCACGACTCAAGATCGTCTGGTCGTCTTCGCCTTATCAGACGGCCGAGATCTTTGAAGAGCTCAAGAACAAACAAGAAGAACCAGATCCGATCAAGGCAGTGCAGCTGGGATTGGAGCATGGAGAAGATCCCGAGACGAGGACATTCAATCAGACGCCACAGGAAATGTTGAGATGTGTTCCAGGCGTATCAAACAAGGCATTGAACAAACTGATCCTGGAATACGACAATGTGCAGGCTGTATCGAATGCGGACGAGGCAGAGTTGGCGGCATCGATAGGGAAAGAGAACGCTAGGCAGATTCGAAATTTCTTCGACCGCAGTGTCTGGGAAGAAGATAGGGGGGACTGAAGTCTCCGCGACAGAAAAATAGCTTCACTAAAATTCTCAACGCTCTTGAGCGCGCTTGATTTTTACGTGCTCGTCACACACTGCTACCATGCGCAGCGTCGAGTTTTCAAATGAAAGAGGTTCTCTAAGTTCACGGCACTTACTGTGAGAGGCGCGGGACAATATGCCCGCCCATGGCTTCGTAGTGAATCAGCACAACAACGCTATCTCATGTGTCGATGCTTGATAGTAGCTGCTATTTGCCCGCATCGATGTTGATAAGCTCGAGAGTACGTTTGAGCAGATCACGGGTAGCAGCCACAGCGCGAGATAAAGGTACCTTAGGTTACAAAGTGTGACTTGGCGGACGAGGCGCGATGAGCATTGTATAATAGTATCACAGCCTGTTTATACTAGTAGTACAGAGGTACCCAGTTGCTGACGATGGGATGCCCTCGCTGCCGCCATGCTAGGGCTTCATTCCGGCCTTGGTCGTCGCTCCTGTCGACTCGTGGTTTTCATTTGATACTCTGCCTCAGCTCATCTCTTCGGGCCTGCGATTCCGCTTCCGCGGCTCTTCTCCGCTCAAGCTCGGCCGTGACACCCTCCGCCCGCTTCTTGGTCAGATCATCTTCCCACACTTGCCAGACTGTGATACGCGTAAGCCTTTGTCCCAGAAGTCGATGGGGCTTCAATATAGCAACATGAGTATAAATAAGCCTCAAGGCTCACATTGGAGCGCCGGGGGCTTGAACTCTGCCACTTGTGTTGTTGAAAGTGCAAATGTCACTTGGCCATGAGGTGTTGTAGGCCTGAAACTGAGAAAGGAAGAAACGACTTACTGTGCTTGTCACTTTTCGAATATCCCTTCAGCTTGCTGACAAAGGTATCAAAGTCTTCTTGCTTCTCCTTTCTTCTCTCCAGAGATCTGCGCTGCAGTTCGGGGTTGTATTTCTGTTTGTTTGGCTCCCGTGTCAGCGCTTGCCTGCCGCCTTGAAATCGCTCTTCATCTCGCCACCAGCTCACCATGAATAACTCCTCTTCTGTGGGAGTGACGTAGTATATCAAAGCTGGACCGCCGATACACATGATCCCACCGCTATCATCTCATATCAGCACATATATCGTTTTCGCTCGCATACACTTCCCGCAACGGTAACATACGCAGCAACCATCTTGACCCAAGTGACGGTCCTCATGGTGGCGACCTTTCCAAATATCCGAGTTTTCACAAGCTGGCACCCGCACTTTCTGCCCTCTGCTACTCTTCCCAGAGCTTCGAGTTCTGTTGTGGAGTGCGTTTGGAGGCAGCAGATGAGAAGGTGCAATTGTCGATGATCCGAGGAGAATCATCGATGGCTTCATCGTGATATTCATCCGGCATCTCGCTGCTACTAGCAGCCCACGGCCCGGCCCGTGCCTCAGCTGGCCGTGGTCTAACCCCTCTCAACATCAGATGTACCTTACCTACCGACCTATACATGCACTCCCTCCTACCTACTTAGCTCTTGCAGTCCGCGAGCACCAGTGGCAACTTACGACGCTTTACGAACACAGGAATCTTTGCAGTCGCGGTGCACTCTCATTAAAGCTTCATCATGGCGAGCAAGACCAGGACTGAGGACGGAGAGGCTTTTGGCCTGCTTGAGACTGCATTGAGAAGACAGATCAAGGACGCGTTAGGCGGCGTCAATTCGTCCTATGATAACATTCAGACTCGCCTACAGAGCATCGAGCAAAGACTTCCCGAGAACCTTCGATCTCGACTCGATACGGTCGAAGACCACTGCAAGCACGAGGATGCTATGGACATTAGCCAGTCCCTTGCCCAGCTCACCAGCAAAATCTCGATGATGCAATCGCAAATCGATCTCCACCAACGTAGCCTGGAGCACATCTGCAAGAAAGACCCTGCTCCGCCTACTCCGCCTGCTCTGCAGAACTCAGATTCTGCTGTTCAAGACTTGATGCAATGGATGGACCGGTCTGAAAGCGACCAACGCTCCCAAGCAACACTAGAGATGTGGTCCGCAGATGAAATCGCCGGGGAGCTGCTCCATCGTCTTGCCAAAGGCCAACAGTTGGCTTCTGAATTGGCGGAGCGAGTCCACCTAGCCACTGCTGCTAGAACGATTCCTTCCGCAGAGACGGCGCCGCAAAGCGCATCGCAAGTCAACACCCGTACATCAGAATCTTTGGCGGAATCTCGCAAAAGATCTGCATCATCTGCTTCTTTCGATAGCGCAGAAAACGGAGACGGCGAGAAGTCGGCGTCGAAGCGTTTCAAGTCCGCTCAAACAGCGAATGGCAGACGTTCGGGCACGTGGATGATTAACAGACTGGAAATCTCACAACCAGCGACAGAGACTGAGCTCAGCAAGAAAGAGCCCAGCAAGAAAGAGATGAGCAAGCAGGAACTCAGCAAGCAGGAGTCCAGCAAGGAGTTCAGCAAGGAGCCCAGCAAGAAAGAACCTGGTAAGAAGGAGCCCACATGCAGTAAGAAGGAGCTTAGCAAGAAGAAGTCCAGCAACCAAGGGCTCAGTAAGGAGCTTAGCAAGAAGGAGGTCAGCACGAAGGAGCCCGAACTCATACCAAAGGACGAACCGCGGAGATCCTCTCGTCCACCAAAGCCATCTCGCAATCCAGAATACATAACCTGGCTTGAAGTCGAGGCTGATAAGCGTAGGAGAGTGTTTGTTTAGAACTCGAGTAAGGTCAAACTTGAGTAAGGTCAGTGCCCTTGGTTGCAGTAGCCAAATCACGAATGACTCGAGAGATATTCTCGAGACTAGGACAAGTAGGTAATAATTGGAACGTATTGACATTGTTGCTTGGTCTACGCATGACACGCCCTCTAGATTGGAAGACTGACGGGGTTCATAACGGTCGAGCCGCCGTCGACAATCATGTTTGCACCAGTTACATAGCTCGAAAAGCCACTGGCCAGGAAGCCGGCCACTCTTGCCACTTCGATAGGAGTTCCAGGCCTCTCCAAGCCAATAATCTCCTTTTGCTTTTCTCTACTCTGCAGACTGGCAGGTGGCAGCTGATGCGCGATGCCCCGCTTGTCTTGTTTTTCGAGGTCAATACCAATATCTATCTGGCCTGGCGAAATGCAGTTGATCCTGACTCCAGTGCCTTTGAGAGTGGCCACTCCAGAGCGGACTACACCCAGCGCGGCATGGGAGGCCATTGTGAATGCAGGACCCCAACATCCCCCAATGGTAGAGGCGACCGAGGAGACAACAATGATGGACCCATAGGCTTGGTCTTTGGGTGCGGCATTTGCATAGTTCCCTTTCGGCGTGGTTTTTAGCATGGCCGGGGGAGCGTATTTGAGAGCAAAGAAGGGTGCCTAGGCCACGTCAGTACCGGGTCCAGGATCACGGGATGCCTCTGTGTGCTCCTCACCATGCTATTTGCTTCAAAGAGTTTGAGCAAATCTGCCGGAGTGGTGTCTGCAATCGAGGATGGGCCTAAGAGGCCGGAGGAGGTTACGTAAATGTCCAATCGCCCCCAAGCGTTGAGCACATCGTCAATGAGCCCGAGAGTATCTTGCTCATCGGCGAGCTTGAAGGGATAGCTACGATGGAGTCAGTATAGCAAGCTCTTAAACACATCGCCATATCGTATCGCAGATGACTCGTCATGGTTGGTGTCAGCATGGGATTGAGAGACTTGCCCAATGACCTTTGTGTTTGGGTATTGCTTGTTGACGTCTTGCTCCACGCGGGCAAAATCATCACTGGGCGTTGACGAACAGGCATAGATACACGCGGCACCGTGTGCTGCAAGCTCCAACACGATCGCTCTGCCCACGGGTTGTGTGGCGCCCGTAACGATGCACACGAAGCCATACAGCTTGCCGTCTGTCCTGTACGGCGAGAAGTCGGCGGACTCTTGGTGTGCAGCAGCGTCGACAGCAGCAGGAGCAGCAGCAGCAGCAGCAGCCATGGTATTGTTGTATGTTGTAACTTGGTTTTCACTCTTCGGTGGAGGTGTTGTTGTTGTTGTTGTCCTGGTGCCCTTGTCGAGGATGATGATCACGGGTTTCTGTCAGTCAAGTAGGAAAGAGGATTGAGCATACCTTTTGCAGCAACATGGCAGCAGCTCCAGCTCTACCGTAGATTACATAAGGTGCGGGAGGGTGCAGTGGTGCATGTGGTGATGGTGATGATGATGATGATGATGATGATGGGCGTTGTACACGTTCAACTCCACGGACTCACGGAGAAAGAAGCATTAAGTTGTTTATCAGTCACTGCACGATAAGGATAAGGACAGGACTCACGGAGGTAGAAGAACCAGACGGGAACCCCCCATGTGTCAGCAGATACAGACGATCCCTTTATGCATCGAACCTAAAACAGCCCAGTTCCCTCTACAAGTATACCTGATAGCCGTCCTCCTCGTCCTCCCCTCCCGGCCAATGCGAGTGGAGGCATGAGGCATCTAGGAGGTAAAAGGACCTACCTACCTAGTTCTAGTTCTCCGGCGGTACCTGTTCTAGCCAGGTATCTTCCGTAATGTGCACTGCACAGCCTTGTGCCGAGCCCACTGCAACCTCGTCTCTGCTCACCTCAATAATTAATCCTCTCCTCCCCTTCCCTTCCCTCCCCTCCCCTCCCCTTCCCTTTCTCCCCTTTCGCCATGTCCGACGAGTCCGACTACCAGCGAGGACATGCCCGTCATGACACGGCACTGATCCATGGTCTATCGCAGGCAGAGGTGCAGAAGCTGTCGGCATCGTGCGTCGAGGCCAAAAGCAGGGCGTATTGTGAGTGGCAGCACGGGCTGATCCTAGCCGCGAAGAGGCGTGCGTGCGTACGTGCGTGGCGCGACGACTGATGGACCGTGACGGACAGGCCCATACTCAAACTTCCGCGTTGGTGCAGCATTGCTGCTGAAAAGCGGCGAGGTCGTGACCGGCGCAAATGTCGAGAACGCGGCGTACCCCGTGGGCACATGTGCAGAGCGAACCGCCATTGGGACGGCCGTGGTACAGCATGTGAGACTTACACACTCATGCATGCTGTACAGTACAGACTACTGACACTGATGGATGGCAGCGCGCTGCGAGAGGGGATATCCGAGCCATCGCCGTGGCGACAGACATCAGCCCGCCTGCAAGTCCCTGTGGTATGTGCAGACAGTTCATCCGGGAGTTTTGCGAGGTGTGTGTCCATGATACCTATGATGAGCGGAGAGAGCAAGTCCACCAGCACTGCGCCACTGACATGGAAACCCTGCAAGCCCTCGACACCCATTCTCATGTACGACAAGGACAACCATTCGGTCGTCATGACACTGGAGCAGCTGCTGCCCATGTCCTTTGGGCCCGATCAGCTACAACGGTAGAGCGGCGAGGCATCTCATATGTAGCGTGCGTGGTGGGAAAGTGTCCTGCGAACGGGCGAGGTATACATGTAGTTAGGTACTGTACGGTCTCTAGAGTGTGGCAGGATGGGACAATGGCGGCAGCGACATATATCCAATGTACCTTAGTTGTACACAATCACATAGCCCAAGGTACACACATATATACTTCACAGAAAGATACATGTACAGTACATGTAAGGTTTGTATGCATCAACTCATATTGATGCAGCCATGCACCTTCGTGGTGACGTCGTGCCGGCATGCAAGTCGACACACATAGGTAGTTCCAATCCAGTGCGATTGATCACTGACACTTAGTAACTCACTTTGACCTGCATACCTTCTCTTGTCGTGCAAGATGCGGTCAACATTATCCACGTTGTCGACCAAGATGGCGACGGCGGCGGCGGTGACGATGCCGGCGGTGGACATGAGAACGGCCGACGTGACGTTGAGAAGAAGGTGGAGGACGATCACGAGCACGGAGACGAGAACGAGAAAGTACAGCAGCGAGCGACAACCGCCCACCCAGACGACGGCAACGACGACGACGACACACTACTCCATCTTCCCCCAGACATTTCCTCGCGGACCACCACCACACACGTCCTTCTCGCCCGACCTCCGCCAGCTCCGCAAAGAGTACCTGCAACTCCAAGCCAAAGCGCACCCAGATGTCGCGTCGGCCGCTCACAAGAGCCATGCGGAGGCCCTGAGCGCGCGCATCAACGAGGCCTACAAGACGCTGCAGGACCCGCTGCGACGAGCGCAGTACTTGCTCGCTCAAAAGGGCATCGATGTCGCCGACGACAGCGCGAAGCTCGACGCCGAAACAGACGGAGGAGAACTGCTGATGGAAGTCATGGAGGCTCGCGAGGCCGTCGACGACGTGGACGACGAAGAAGGGCTGGTGAAGATCCGGAACGAGAATAATGCGCGAATCGACAAGAGTGTTCAGATTTTGGAGTCTGCGTTTGCTGAGGAAGACTTGGCTACTGCTACGAGGGAGGCGGTGAAATTGAGATATTGGATGAATATTGATGAGTCGATCAAAGGCTGGGAGAAGGGCAGTGGCGGCGGTAATAATCATCATTGAACCCGTGACCTACATACAGTATGAACACGGTGGTTGTGATGGTGCAGACTGGCTGGCTGGTCTACCTATGTTAGGTCCATGTAGGTACCTGACCTACCTGACTTTGCCGACATTGGTGCTCTTCGCATTGAGGGACGGGATTCGGGAGTGAAGTATGAGGACAGACACAGAATCACCCTGACCCTAGGTGGTGGATACTGGTAACTCGTCAAGGACCGCAGTAGGACCGACATCTCTTCAGCTGCAAAATGCAATCAATAAACACCCAAGGTGGACGAAATGGGCTGCGCGCGGTCCAAGAGCTCACCAGAGCGACCTCTTCCACTCGATCGTCTAAGCAGATGCCAACATCTACTGAAGGGTCAGATCGATGCACTACGAAAGCAGTCGATATGGCAGGCGAGAATGTCCTCGTGACCTTTTGTCCTGGATGTACCAGTCAAGCAAGCATACCAGGTACATTACCTTACATACCTAGGTAGGTAGGTACCTTTGAAAAAGTGCACCACTCGGGACTGGGAGCCGGCATTTTGAACACGGGAAATACAGTATGTACCACCATGCTTCTCTGTGCAGCGTAACTGTCCTACATACATGTACATATCCCTCCGATACCTTTTGCGATGCGACGTGCCTGCGTGGATGCGCAAGGTATAAACTCACTTCTTCAACTCCTTCAGCTCGGGACTAAGCTCCAGGTCGTCGGATTCCTCTTCAATGGAGCGTTCAGGCCCAACATTGCTCTTTGGCCCCTTCATCCCGCGAGTCCTCTCGAAGAAAGTACTGACTTCGCTCGACCAGTTATCCTCGTCCACCTCATCCTGAGCACCCTCCTTTTCCGCGACGCGGCGGGCCATTGCAGCTTCCCAATCAGCCCTCATCTCTTCCACCCTCTGCTCATAGTCCTTCTGCGCATTGTAATTTTTGGCACCACCACGCATCCGCTCCCACAACGATAGATGCTGGGGGTGAATGGCAACACCATGGTACTCATTCTCGCGACCCGCGCGAATGTATGCCCAGCGGCGTTCCTGCTCCTTGAGATCCAGTCCTGTGGTATCAGGCAAAAAGACAAATGTGATGAGAGCTCCGGCAAGACCGAACCAGGGCACGACCATGAATCGTGTCGGCACATCAATGTAGTTGTACAAGACAGCTGCAGTGAGAGCTCCCAATTTACCACATGCAGCACTGAATCCATGTGCAGACGCACGAACTGGCGTGGGAAAGACCTCAGCGGCGACCAAGAAGGTGACGGAATTGGGCCCGAATTGGTTGAAGAAGGATGACAAAAAGTACATTGCCATGAACTTGTGCACGCCGGCTCCTTCTGCATAGTAGGAGTAGTTGAATGCGGGAATGATGAAGCAGATGAAGTCGCCCATGAATCCCACAATCTGCATCCATTTGCGTCCATAATTTTTGTTGTCAATCAGGAACGAAGCCAGATAGTAGCCCACAAGGGAAACACCAATGTTGAGTAGATTCCAGAGCCAATTGACCATGACCGAGGATGTGTCGCCGGAGAGAGTGGAGATGAACTCGGCCTGGAAGAGTTTATTTCCGTAGAAGAAGACATCGTTGGCGTACCAAGCAGCAGCAGTGGCAAAGACACGACCGCCAAAGTAGGTAAAGGTATAGCTCAGCGACTTGACATCGTATCCGGTGACGGACTGCTTTTTCTTGGCTTGCTGGAGCACTTTGGAGGCAGATCGCATCTTGTAAGTACGATAGTAGCAGAGCCAGAGGGTGCCCACGGCGGGAATGGCAAATGACACGCGGTAGGTCCACTGCACGAGGGTCTTGTTGTACGGAGCACCGCTCTTGCCGCCGTGGAAGATCAGCAGGAGCAGAATGAGGATGACCTGGTTGGCCCATTGGCCCCAGCCTTGCATGAGGAAGGCCGAAGTCACCTTGCGGCCGCGATGTAGACGATCTTCTCGAGTCGAGATCTTTCCGGCTCCGACAGCGTTCTCCATACCAGATGTCGCTGTCATAGGATACTCTCCTCCCACGCCGATACCGTAGAAGAACAGCGACCACGTGTAGCAGATGACCCAGCCGTTCAAAGTCGTTCCCCAGGAAGCTGTGAGCATAATGAGGCCCAAGAACATGATCACGGCATCCTGAATCAGGCCCCACCGACGACCAAGCCAGTCACCGAGAACACCAACCAGAATTTGGCCCACAATGATGCCGAGAATCTCCAGGTAGTCCACGGCCTGCACCCAAGTCTTGGTGCAGACCTTGTAATTGTGCCAGCAGTCCGGGAAAGCTGCGGTGAAGAGGGGCTTCACATTCCCGATGGAAAACAAGACGTAACTACCATCAATCAGATCAAGGGTCATTGGTTTGTAGGTATTGGCACACTTTTCTCGTGTGCGACTGCAACGACTCACCCTTCAAGCAAGAGACCCATACCAGGAATCACCATATTCCGGAAGTAGTAACTGACGGGACTGAGAGGATCGGCCTTCATCATGCGGCCGATGCTCTGCACCTCCTTCTTGGCTTCTGCAGAGTCGACTTTGTTGACAAACTTGAGCCTCTGGGCGACCTTCATATCCGCCCAATACGTGCCGTTCTCGTCGTAGCTGTCGTCGGGTAGCAGAAGTGATCGAAAGACTTCTGACTCGTTATGCTTCATGTCTCCCAGATCGGCAGTAGCGACATGTTGACCACCCATATTGGGACCATGGGGGGCGGCAATGCCGTAGTCTCTCATCGATGCGTCGGTCATCGTGACGGTCGTGTCCCCGAGTCGAATGAGCGGTAGGTAGGTAGGTATGTACCTATGTCACCAAGAAATGGCCTCGGCGCTGCTAGGTCCGGCAGGTATCGATGAAGGACAAGCCCAATGTATGGATCTATCGTCTAGGCAGTCCCGTGTGCGGTAGGTATTGATATATAGTCTGGGCGTTTTCCAGTGTAGTCTCGGAATTTGATATATTCGATGCCACTACTACACAAGCCGCACCAGAAACCAGAAACCTCGGGGGGGAGTATGGCCGGTTGATGGGGGCACGTTGTGGTCTGAATGCCCCTCTATGGCCGCGGGCAGATAGCAGGTCGAGAGTAACGGAAGGTACCTATGGCGGCGTGACTTCCAATGCTCGTACAGCCGCGTGGCCCCTTTGTCGGTGTCGACCGAACCTGGAAGCTACGTCCTACGCTCTTGCGATGCTGACGGCAGCTGGGTAGCGATTGCCTGTTAGGTGAAGTGGCCGGAGACAATCGGCCAGTCGGCGATTGGAGAGCGACGGGGGAGGCTTTTGAGAATTGAGAAGAATGATATGGAGGGGGGTGGGGGAGGAGGTAATAAGGTCAGGTTAGGTAGTGTACGGTAAGGAAGGTATTACCTCCTAGTAAGGTAGGTAGTGTCAGGTAGTTTTCACAAATTGCAGCTTTTGGGCGGGCAATCTGGGATGGAATAGACTTTGTCTCAACCAAGGACTATGCTGTCTGTGTATGGGCAGCTCGGCAGCTCCAGCAGCACGCGCACGGCAGCAGAGACGTCTGGCAGAGCTGGTCCCTGGACGGTGTGGACTGGAAAGGAAAAAATCTGCCATCAGTAGGTACATGTAACGAGGTAGTAGATCCACTGCCACCGTCGCCATGCGCCATGCGCTATGTATGCCGACGGGACGTCCGAAGGCTCGACTGCCTACCCACACCCACATACCGCCTTCTTTCTCTCAACGCCCTATTTCCAGCTTCGCACGCAATCGGTACCTTACGGTAGGCAGGCAGGGCACGAATCGCCATGGCTCCTGAGACTAGCAGCCGCCTGGCTTGCTTTCTACACACATACAGTAGAACTATACATGGCCGCCTCGTGCCCTTCTTCACAGCCATCTCCGACCCCATGGGCCATGGCTGCAATGATCAGATTATCTCGTCATGATCTGATATCATCGTCATCATCATCATCATCATCGTGACAGGCTCGGGGCGCCTTGTTGAGCCGTCGTGGCGACGGATGCAGCGGGGGTCCAAGAGACTAGAGAGAGACACGAGAGTGGGAAAGAGAGGGAACGAGAGAGTGAGAGAGAAAGTGAGAGAGTGAGTGAAGAGATTTTTTTTTGAACAACCAATCACATGCTCTGCTTCACGCACGTTGTGAGGGCTCGTCGGAATTAAGAAAGAGAATCCTCCTGCAAGCTCCAATATTTCTCGCTGTTGATCATATTATGCCCGAGCCAGACCAGCTGCTTGCATTATCCACCGAGAATGGGTGCGAAGGGACAGGACGGGCTCGCTGCTCCGCCAGACGGTGCATCACCACGTTGCAACAACACACGAGAATCAATTTGTGTCTTCCTCGCCCACTGCATTATTAGTGTAAGGATCAGGTAAGGTACAGGTATTACATGTATGCATTGTATAATTCTGGTTTTTGTTGACGTAGTTACCGGTGCTAGCTTCACCTCTTTTGCTTGGCGGCCCAAGCCTTCACTGAAGCTTGGAAATAGCTTAATACCGTCGGGATAGCCTTGCCTTGCTCTCAATCCTATCCATGCCCCCCAGTCACAAGAATGTGAACTAGGTTGTAAGGTGCTGAGAAACGACAAGGTGTTTGAAAATGGCAAGGATCTCACGCACTGCGGCTCTGGAGAAGGAGGACGTAGTGCAACGTGCAACACGGATCAAAATTCGGATATGAGTCTTGTGCGAGCATGGATGACTGCACTGCCATGGGAAAGGCATACATGTATATCTACCTGACCTGACCTGACCTAACCTGACCTGACCTGTACTGGTGGACTCACAAATTGTTGTTCTAGCTCCGTGTCAATGTACAGAGAACGGATCACGACTGCGAGGTGAGAATTCCCGGCTACTCTTTTTTCATGGATGACACCATAACGTGCGGCACAGCACAGGGCTCAGACAGCGATGTCCTGCGACGAGTGCCTTTGGTGTTTTCTCAATCCTGTGGTGGGCGTGTGAGAGCACTCCTCAGTGCGCCGGGCAGTTGGCAAGGCGATGACTTCACACGCATCCTGCCTCGATGCGGTACACGACAATCATCGCGAGAACAGTCGCCCAGGCGCGTCTGGGGTATGCGGCGATTCAAACAGATTGGGTTCTCGGAGCAGAAAGCTAATGCATTTTGACTTTGTGCCGCCATCACAGGGCTTGTGTAGGGCTGAAACTTATCGTGCAACTTCATAAGTACTACTCAGGAGAGATATAGCGTCAACAGTGCGAAGCTTGATAGCGTGTAGTGTTTGTTTGCAGTTTCAATTCTCGTTCGTCTGTGTGCTGTGCTGTGCGGTACTGTACTGTATCTATACCTGCGCTAGAAAGCAGAACATTTTATTAAAGGCCCGTAGGCGACCAGAAGTCCAACATCGAATGCTCGATCCGGAGCGCACGTGTCTGTCATCTCACAGTGCGCCAGAAGGCCGAAAGACCCGCTTCGGCGCGTCATCCTGACCATTCGTCACAATCCCAGGTTCTATGCGAGAACAGCGAACATGGCGCCGAACACGGCAGCGACGCTTCCACCGATTTGAAGGGCGGTGGCTGCACCAGTCGCCGTCGCGATGGCAGATGTCGAGGAACCGCCGACAGCGCCAGCTTCGGTGGATGTTGCAGGCATCCCGGTGGCCGTGACCATGGTAGTGTTGGAGCCGGTTGGGTATGGGGCAGGAGTGCCGGCGGCGACGGGCGTCGAGACGTAAGCAGATGGGGCGGCAGGGGTAGATGCAACTGGACCAGCGGAAGTGTATCCAACGGGGCCAGCAGGAGTAGATGCAACAGGACCAGCAGCAGTCGATGGACTCACGACAGCGGAAGAGGCCGACTCATACACTGGAGCAGATGGCTGCATAGCGGATGTCTCGACCGAGGAGTAAACTGGCGCGGATGGAGCCTCAGAGCTGTACGGTGCTGGGGCTGGCGCAGACGGAGCCTCAGAGCTGTACGGCGCTGGGGCTGGCGCAGACGGAACCTCAGCGCTACTGGCAGAGGAGTACGGGGCCGGGGCCGGGGCCGAGGGCGCGGCCGCAACGCTGGTGGTAGCCTCTGGAGCAGGAGTGTAGGCTGCTGGGGCAGTCGGGGCCTGACATGCTGTTAGCCATCCTCTGCTTGCACAGGAGTACGTCCTAGTCTCTTACTTGGATCTGTCCGTCACCTGTAGTGTCATTAGCCATCGGGACCGTGTTGTTCAAATGCCTCGAGAGAACTCACCAATCTGTGTCACAACGTAGCCGCTTGGAGAGTCGGCGCATGCGACGCCAGCAACGGCGAGGAAGGCAGCGAATGAGTAACGCATGTTGTTTGTGGTGGTGGGATTACTTGATTATGGGTGTTGAATACTGGGGTTCTGGTGATAGCGACGGTGGATGTTGGAATACAACGAGCGGCTGTTGGAGTAAGGTAGAATCGAGGTGGTAAGAAGAAGTGAAGGTGGTGGAGGAGGTGGTGGTGGAATAGAAAAGAACTGGATGTTTTGTGGGCCCGCGTCGCGTCGGCTGGGCCCATACACGCCAGGGGGCCTAGCGTCAAACAATACCACGCCAAACCAATAAGCGATGACATTCGCGGCGGCACGGATCCATACCGGGGATCTGCCGGGCCAGGAACAGGAATCCCTAACCGCCGCGTTTCCAGTAAGTCTTTGAGAAGCCATGGTAAGGTAAGGTAAGGTATGTTTATAAACACACCTCTCACCCCCTCGGACCACTGCAGAACTCGAGGGCAGCACAATCGCCAGATCTTCCTGTCTCGTCTGTGGTCGGCCGTCGGGTGCCATGCCTACCATCCCGAGATACATGTCTGTACTTTTGGTACATAGGTACAATGTAGACGAGTGAATGCGGGTAGAGGAGAGTGGAGTCCTGGAGTGGAGAGGATTGGCGCAATCTGGAACAGGGGCATCATCCGTTGTCGATGTCGGGTGTGTTGAGTGGGACTGTGGGTTCATCCTGCGGCAGGATACCAGCCTCTCTCTTTTCACCCACCGGTCCCGTGGAACCTCGAAGAACTCTACGTCTCTACGGAACCCGCCGCTACGTGTGCTATGTACGCAAGGTCGCATCACTCAATGTCCCAACGAACGTCGACACGCTGAAGCCAGTAAGGTGTACGTAGACACCACGTAATTTCAATAATACCTAGGAACGGTTCGATCAGGCGGCACGGATAATACAACGCTTACTGCTTCAATGTTGCTGTTATACAATGGAGTTGAGCTAACAGCAGCATCATCTCAAGAGTAAGCGTACCTAATGCCTAGATCATGCACGTTGTAAGCTTTGGATTCTATACAAAAGCGACAACGACTAGGTACATGTATCTATGGGCATGTAACGTTGTATAGAGAGCAAAGGGAGTCTGGAGTAGATTCAAAATAGGGATCGATGTACGGAGTACTAGAGGACTGTTCAGTAATATATGGTGTCGGCCAAATTTTCATTATAGGTACTACGCTAGGTGGGTGCTCGGAAGAGCGCCACGGATACTCCTTCTTCCTCTACTACTTCTTCCTCTACTTATATACGAGGCTAAAGAAAATTAATACTAAGACAAGAGAAGAGCGTAACTTAGGGTTAGGATTAGAAAAAAATATGATGCCAAGACTATAGAAGTGCGTACCTTAGGATTAGGACCCAAAAAGATGCAGTCAAGACGAAAGTTGGCTGGCTCATGCAGGTCGTATTAATTTAGATGAAGGCTGAGGGATTCGAACCCTCGCGGGCAAAGCCCATGAGAATGCTCTCCAACTGTGTTGGATAAGTCGAAACTTGAGTCACACGCCATAACCACTCGGCCAAACCTCCTTGGAACCGGCTTCTCAGCCAATTGGATGCAATTGGTGAGCTCGTGTTGTATATACAGTCTGTGAAATGAGAGACTCGTCCACGGCACAGGACTAGTACCTCCGGTATGCTTCCACATATGAGCAGTAACAAAGGAAGATTGAGTTCTGGAGTTGCGAAAGGGGCAGCCTTAATGCAACGTGAGTGAGCGACAAGCTGAGATCTACTATGCTACCTTCAATGAGCCTCACCTCAGCATGGACCGGACACTGGTTTTACGAGATGCTTGTCGGACTCGCATGTGGAGGTAAAAGCTCGAGAATAGCATGCTCTTCGAAGCTAACGTGACCAAAGAGTGCCAGACTACCTACGCCACGTTGAGTACAGTTGAGGCATTCGTATCGAAGCCAAAGAAGATTGTGCAAAGCGGGAAGTGACGCAAAACGATAGTGCGTGCAGAGTAGTACTTGTTGCCAGTCTTTCGCAGACGGCCCGTTGCCAGAGATCTTAGTTGTTGGTGTAATGGGCGAGTTGAGCCTCGGAGGTACTCCCTCCTCGGTTCTCGGACAAAGCAGGCGTACGAGGAAGTGAGCGTCTAGGTGTGCAATTACTTTGCCGACACCGCCGTAGCCGTGCGATGTCCTAAGCCCGACGATGATGTGTTCGATGTCGTGGTACGTCAGAGAAAGATTTCAGCTGTTGTAAGATTGGCGCTGGCAATGGATGATGCTCGAGAACGTTTCTATGTACATTAGTACCTTACAAGTACCTGTACATATAGGTTGTCAGCACGTAGTGTGCGTCATTCATTGTTGACCTAGACGGCGGCGGAAGCTCCAGCACAGTTCTTTTCTTCTCTCTTTGTTTATCTTTTTTTTCCCCTTTTTTTTCGCAAAAATCTCTGCACGAACATGAACTTCACACTCTTGTCGGAAAAACGTCACTCCGCCACCAATGTTCGCCCCCCGGGCCCCCCACCTATGTACATGTATGTACTTGCGGAGAGCGAGCATTACACTCACGTTAGGAGGTAGGAGGTACAGGTAGGAGGTACATTCTGCACGATGATCATGATGCCTTCCCCCTCATCTCCAGCCTTATCTGCACCTTACATAAGGTACACGGAGCCGTTGCCCACGATACATGTATTTGTCGAAAGCGGAAGCAGCCGGACGGCCGTAGCAGATCAGACCCGGGCCGCGGGTCGGTAAGTGACCAGCTCATCATGCCGGTTTAGTAGGCATGGCATGTACATCATTACATGTGCCTGCTGGCGTCGTGCGTTTTCCGGCAGCAAAAGGGCGTCAGCTACAGTACAATTGCGGAGCTCCTCGAATTCACTTCCGCGGCGCTCAAAAGAAAAGAGCGACATCGGCTACAAGGAGGCCAATGGATTGAACCCTCGGGGATCTGCGGTTTGACGTGGTATCTACTTCTAGACCTCACCACCAAGCCGCTTCTCCTCGCGCCACTGCGGCCACTACACTACACACCTAAAGTACCACACGCCAGTACCTTACTTACTTTTCTTTTTGCTGCACCTCAAACAACCTCCTACCTACACCCCATCTCCCTTCACGACTTCAGCAGCAAACATCCTTGAGACTGCCGCTCGTACTGAAAGGACTCAGTTTTGCACGACACACTCGAATCTCGTCTCGACGGTGTCTCACTTTACCCTTCGCTACGACACCTTATAAAGCGCATACAACACACTCACGACATATACGCGGCTGGGCTTGCAACGTAGCGTCACGGCTTCGTCCATTGACGCTTCCAACGTAGCAAGCCTGCGTCTGGTGCATTCATCATGTTTCCCATTCCAAATCCCTCCGATTACGATGTCTCCACGACGAATGGCTTCCTGCCGACCCAGGCACCACTCGAGCACCTGCCACAGTCGTACTACGAGCCCTGGGAGTATACAATGAAAAATCTGCAAGGCCTGATGTTGAGCGGGAGACTTGGCGAGACTGTGGACAAAATGCCTGTCCTGTCCACTGAGCAGCTGGTAGGCGAAGCGCAATGGCGGCGTGCATATAGCATACTGGCATTCATGGCGCATGCATACATATGGGGCGGCGACAAGCCTTCCGAGCGGGTGCCACCATCTATCACAGTTCCATTTCTGGCGACATGCAAGACGCTAGAGTTACCTACTGTGGCGACTTATGCTGGCCTTGTCCTGTGGAACTGGAAACCAATTTTTGATGCTGAGCGCATGGACACGTTGGCCAACTTGGACACGATCGAAACTTTCACCGGGGCGTTGGACGAGAAGTGGTTCTACCTGATCAGCGTTGCCATCGAGGCGAGAGCAGGACCCATTGTTCCACTCATGTTGCATGCAGTTGAATCTGCCAGAAATGGAGACGCCAACTCAGTCACGGAATGTCTTCGCACGTTTGCAGAGCGTCTTGACGAGCTCGGTGTCATGCTATCTCGCATGTATGATAATTGCGATCCTCACGTGTTCTATCACCGCATTCGACCATTTTTGGCTGGTAGCAAGAACATGAAGGACGCAGGCCTTCCCAACGGAGTAGTATTCGACAATGGCGGCGCGATCAACAAGCAGCGCTACGTCCAATTCAGTGGTGGTAGCAATGCGCAGTCGAGCATTATCCAATTCTTTGATATTGTACTTGGTGTTGAGCACCACCCGACTGGGACGAGCAAGCAAAGTCCGCAGCCTGCTGAACGTAAGGCGAAAAAGGCAGCAGCACCCAACTTCATCCACGAAATGCGCCAATACATGCCTGGCCCTCACGCTCGATTTCTCGAAGCGGTTACACGAGTGGCCAATATCCGGGCGTTCGTCGACGAGCACAATTATGATCGAGATCTTCGTCTCTCTTTTGACGCCTGTGTTGCCATGCTGAGCGCCTTCAGAGACAAGCATATTCAGATGGTCAGCAGATATATCATCATCAAGAGCGCCGAAGCAAAGAAGGCTGCGAACAAGGCGGACGAAGCTCGGCAACAGAAGATCAACATCGCGTACCGGCGGCGCAAGGCGACATCAAAAGATGAGGGGGGTAGGGATGTGGATAGATCAGAGAGAGGGACTGGTGGCACCTCGCTCATTCCATTCTTACGGCAGGCCCGAAACGAGACAGGCGAGCAGGCCGTAGAGGCTTGGACGCGCCGCATCTTGAATAACAAGGGGAGAAGTTGTGCGCGCGATGCGCACGAGCGCCATGTCGAGCAGGGATTGTCTGCCGTGTGGAAAATCGACAACGGCGGGATATGCTATCATTAGACGTGACTGCGAAATAGCTGCACAATAACATATTCCTCGGTAGTCAGGCTACATAAGGTAGTCGATTTGATTCATTATTGTAACATGTACTTGTCGACAATGAAAGCCAGTACTGCACCGTGACCCTACAGGCGCCGAGCTCGGAGCTCGTCAGGAACGTCACTGTATACCTTAGCCTGTTCGTCACGTCGCGCAATGATGCGGAGCGACCCCATTTGCCCGAGAATTTGTATCTCTGTGTGTGTGTGTGTGTGTGTTGTGGGGCCACACCTGGAAATACACAGCTCCCACGTGAGGTCCACGTCTTTCTACCTGTCGGCACTGCTGGTTCCGGTGAGTTGGAGTGGCTCAGCACCAGTCCCTCTAGGTACCTGGTACCTAGGTAGGAGGTAGCACTCAATAGATAAGGTAACTTATCGTACCACTTCCATTGATGAGGACCGCACGACCACCGCTGTTGCTTGGCGCTGCTACTACTGTAACTCTATACCACTCTTCCCCTGCAATAACAACCTGATCGCCAGGGCAGGTAAGGTAGCTCAGGTATCTACCCTACGCCACTAGCACATACTGGACATCGTCGCTGTTTTGTCGACAACACACTCGTAGCCTGCAAGGCCAATGGAAGACGGCGCCTACAACAACAACGACGACGACGACGACTGAAACACAACTTTGCCCTTGTTTTGCATTCAACCTGCAGACGACCGGACTCGCAGGCACTACCTCCTACTTCGCTCTTGATCCTCCGACCGCAATGGACCGACAGATGCCTTCTCCCTTCGGCAAACAGTTTAATGCGGCACAGAACAACGAGGACTGGGAGGACTGGCTGCGGTGGGATCCCACTGCTGAGCCTACCTCTCCCGACGACACTTTCCACTCGGGCTCCTCCAAGAATGACTCGCCGATGCAGGAGTCCATCTTCCCTCTTGCGGTCCCGGGCACTGACGATGCGTCCTTGATATCCCCACTTATCGTGGGCGACGAGAACGACGGCCTGGGCTTCAGCAGTGGCAGTGGCAGTGGTGGTGGTGGCAGTGGTGGTGGCCTAGATGCAGACTTCACGCTCTTTGGTGCGGGCGACATTGACGCCGGCTTCGCCTTCTCCCAAGCCGCAGGGCTAGACGACTTTCCAGGCATGACAAAAATTGACACCACCCTCGCACAATGGACGCTGCCTGCGAACTCTGCAGCAGACCCTGATGCTGCTTTGTCCGCCACCTCGAGCAGTCATGCCCATGGTCCGCCCTCTTCCACTACTCTGGCGGTCACCACCCCAAGCTTGGATCAAAGCTCCCCATCCATCAACGATTCGCGGAACAGACAGAGCACATCCTCTACCTCGCCCCATCCGCCCAATCCTGCGAAGCAGAGGGGAGGTCGCAAGCGGAAGGCTGAAGCGCAGCCAGAGTCCAATATGGGCAACGAGAATGGCGGTTCGCAGGATGGTGATGATCACCCCAACAAGAAAAGCACGTCTCATAACGTGATTGAGAAGAGATATCGTAACAATCTGAATGACAAAATTGTCGAGCTGAGGAATAGCGTGCCCAGTCTGCGTGCCATGGGACGTGCCAATCACGGAGATGGCAACGAAGACCTAGGAGGTCTTACTCCTGCCCACAAGCTGAACAAAGCCACGGTCATGGCCAAGGCTACAGAGTATATCAAGCACCTCGAGAAACGTAACAGAACCATGGCCGATGAGATGGATGCACTCAAAGAGCAGCTGGCAAAAGTCGAAGCCGCTGTCGGAAGGTCCCGGCAAGCCAGCGTCGCCAATAGTCCACTGACAGAGACCCAGCGTTCGCGCGAGGCACCTTCGTCTGGTCCACTGACAACACCTAACTTCCTCAATATCCCACAAGATCAATCTAGGTTCGGGCAGCCCGTAGTGCAGCAGCAATACATGCAATTGCAGGCTCAACCAGCATATGCTCGTCCACCTCACCCCCCTGCAGAGGCGCAGAACCACTCGCAGTACGCCAATGGCAGAGGAAAGACATTCATGAACAAGATGATGCTGGGGACTATGGCTGGTATCATGGCAATGGAAGGATACAGCGAGCATCAACAATCGGGCGATAATACTTCCGGCCTCGCCTCGTTTCCAGCCGTGCTCTTGAAGCGTGCGATGGCACGACCACACTCGGCATCCTCGACTGCGACGCTCTCACGATATGGCTTTTTGCCCGTAGTAAAGCTCGTCATGGTTGTTGGCATACTCCTGTACCTGCTCGCACCACTGCTGCACTATTCACCACGACGCAAACATAAATTATCGGCTTCTACGTGCTTGCCCAAAGCACCCTCACTCGCGTCGCCTGTTGAGGTTCGCAGGCAAGCATGGCTTACAGCCATACAATCGGTCTGGGTTCCGAAGCATTTTCTGCTCGAAGTTGTCGCTGTTGGTGCAAAGATGTTTCAGCTCAGCTTGCGAAGATTTGTCGGGGCTGAAACTTTCATGGCAATCGCTGGAAGCAACAAGGAAGAGGAGGCCGCCCGTATCAAGGCCTGGGACATTGCTATTGACGCTCAGCTCGCTGGAGGTGATGCCCACGTTTCGTATTACCGATTGCTTCTGACGCTCATGGAGAGCGGTACCTTGCCAGACTCACCCGCACGACTCATGCAAAAGGCCGTTCACTTCCGTGTATTCTTCTGGGAGGTTGCTAATGCAGGCTACGGCAATATTCTTGGCTTCAAATCTTTCACTGAAAAGGTTGGGAGGATCTACTGGGACTCTGCTCGTCGTCAACAGAAGGATCTTATGCAAGCCAGATCAGGGGCTCGGCCTGCACATGACGATGATGTTGACATTCTGCCCGACCATCTTGCGAGATTGGTAGAGCTCGACTGTGATGAGGTGCTCAGTGATGATATGATTCAGCGTGCATGGAATCTTGCATGGAATAAGCCCAGTGCCCATGCTATAGAGGCTAACGCGGCAAAGGACAGCGTTGTGGAAGATCACGCTATCCGATCTCCCATCGACGCCGTTGCCGCATGGTACGCAAACACGACTATTGATGACACTTTGGCAGACTCTCTGAGTGATGACGTTTCCTCATTCGACACGGAATACTATCTTGGCCTTGCGCTGAGTGTCGCTCCGCCTGCCTCAAGCACGCATGTACGAGCACTTACAGCAAAGGCAGTGCTCTCGAATAGCAACCGCAAGGCCAACATTGTAGTGGCTCTCGAGGCACTGCCTGTGTTATGCTCGACAGGTGGCATGAATCTGGTCAGCCACGCGCCAGCCTCGCCGGATGTCTTTACAGCCTTGACACTGGCCAAACTGATCTCGCTGACGGCGAACTCGTCGCCCCAGGCAACTCGCGAAAGAGCTTCCAGCGCACTCAACGGTCTCAAGCTTGCGCCAGGGCAGTTTACGCTTCTAACGGCAGTCGCCGCGTATCGGCTGCTGCGCATGCTGACGTCTGGCAATGCTGCTTCTCGGGCAGAGGAAGGGGTTGAAGAATTGGCAGGTAGCCTTCGAGTGTGGGCTGGAACTACTACTGGTCGGGACAGCGGACTCGGCCACGCTGGACGCACGAAGATTGTCAAATTGTGCTTGGACCTTGCGAAGCAGTTGGGAGGTTGGGACGATGAGGATAGCGGCTATTCTTCTGCTGATGGCGCTCGCACGCCGCCGAGTGCCACATGTAGTCCCACGCGTGTGATTACGTAGAGCCATTTTAATTAGACTTTTGTCTCCCGTTACCGCGGCTTGCATGTGACATCTGGTACCTTACCTCCTAGACTTGCTGCACCTGCATACCTAGGCGCCGGACACACCTAGCGAGGACAACCGCACCTACACACACATACATGCATACCTTACACGCGTTGAGCCTTTGTCGCCACTGCTAGGTGATACGTCCGCGATCATCGCCGCCATGGCAGAGCCGGCGAGTCCTCTCGCCAACCGCGACGAACCCATCCCCGTCATCCGCATTGGAGAAGGCGGCGAAGACACGTCTGATGCGGAGAGCGACCAGGCGACCACCCGACGACAACGAGACCGACTGCGGGAGCGTGCGATTCGCAGTTCGAGTCGGCTCCGCGAGAAGTTCGAGGGCGACAGTGAGGGCGGCGGCGGCGGCGGACGACAGAGCTTACAGGACCGCCTTTTCAACAGCGTCCTCAGCCAAATTTTGCCGTCTCCGCCGCCCCAGCTCGACAGCCCCCAACACGATCTTGATGCCGGCTACGACGAAGGCGATGACGGCGATGCTGATGCACCGCCGAGGAAGAAAGACCGGCGGAGCAAGCATTATGTGGACAAGCCTGAGTTCGGGCCGCGACTCATGTAAGTGCAGCACAGTGAACATACAGTGGACCTCATCGGGGCCACCATCTTTGACGCTGCTAGGACATACAACTTCCGCCGCTTCAACGCGCGCATTGGCGTCGTGTTCGTCTTCGAGAACATGCTCATCCGGCTGTTCTCGTGGCGCCAGACGACCGCAACGCTGTCCTTCCTGGCGGTTTATACTCTCATATGTCTTAAGCCTCACCTACTTGCGGTGCTGCCATTGGCTCTGCTGCTCTTTGGCGTGATGCTGCCGTCTTTCCTCGCTCGACATCCGACGCCTGCCAACGACCCTCGCATCGAACCCAGCTACCGCGTTCCAGCGACTGCGCCTGCCAGCCGGGTCAAGCCCGCGCCCGACTTCAGCACCGATTTCTGGCGCAACATGCGCGATTTACAAAACAGCATGGAGGATTTTAGCCGGCTGCACGATGCTGCGAATGACTACGTCACACCGTACACGAATTTCAGTGACGAGACGCTGAGCTCGGGCGTTTTTCTCATGCTCACCACATTGAGCATCGCGGCATTTGTAGGCAGTAGTCTGGTGCCATGGAGGGCAGTCGCGCTGCTGGGAGGCTGGGCGGCTGTACTGTCGGGTCATCCTCAGGCGCAGAAGGCGCTTCTTACTACGAAAAACCTCAAGCAGCTGCGACAGCATGTGCACTTGCTCCAGAGCACGCTACGACACTGGGTTGAGCGCGACATTGCCATGGACGAGCCTGCCGAGCTGCGCCAAGTGGAGATATTTGAGCTGCAGAAGCATCACGCAGGAAGCAAGACGTGGGAGTCGTGGCTGTTCAGCCCATCACCCTACGATCCGCTCTCACCTCCGCGCATCGCAGATATTCGTCCGAAAGGTACGCAATTTTTTGAGGATGTACGTCCCCCGCATGGGTGGCAATACAAGGAGAAGAAGTGGACCCTTGATCTGTTTAGCAGAGAGTGGGTGGAAGAGCGGATGATTACTGGAGTTGAGATCGAGACTGCGGGCGAGAGGTGGGTATATGATATCCCGCCCGAGGAAGTGGAGCTTTTGGAAAGTCTTGGTAGTCCTGGTAGTACCAAGGACAAGCACAAGGCGAGGAATATCCCCAGAAGTGGGTGGGAAGAGGGAACAGGACATGAGCGGCGTGGAGAATGGAGACGTAGGCGATGGACGAGGCTTGTAACGAAGAAGCGAAGCAATGAAGATGAAGACGAAGACAAGACGCAAGACTGATTCGTCTACATTCTGACACATGTACCTGAGATAGCATCTACGAAGTTCCCTACACTCCCTCCCATGCTCTGGTAGGTTGCTCCGTTCTCGACGAATGCAAATTTATGGAGGGTTCAGCTTTGACCCGACCTAGATAACTGCAGCGGGGTCGATAAGCACAGATCGCCTTTCGAAGGGCGTCAGGAGCTTTTATTGTAACCTTGCGCGCGCGCGAGAGAGAGGTATCCCCATCGCGTGCATCACCGAATAAACAGTACTCGCAACCGAGCGTGGGCGATTGACACGGTGAGTTCTCGAGCACAAGGCTGCCCAATGCCCCACGCAGAGCTATTGCAGCAGCAATTGGTGAGTATGTAATTCCATCTTGCACAGCGACGGATACGAACAGCTCAAGAAAGCCTTCCTGACATCCCCTTCACCGTAAATTGTGGGTGCCCGTGCATGCTCATGGGTCATTCAAGGTGCATGAGCATTTCCACTCCGCACGTCTACGGTACATGAGGATTCGATCGTCCATATTCGCGTCCCTTAAGCAACGCCAAGCTGCCAGTCCTCGAGCTCTGCCACAATCTCTGGTAGCATGCCTTCGACGTCTTCTTCTCGGACATCCAACGCTCCGGTAATCAGCCGCTTGTAGTCCGTCTGCTTATCATTCATGCCAGCATTGGAGAGTGCTTGCACAATCGCCGTAAAAAGAATCTTGCGCTGCTCCACGAGTTCATGAAGCTCCTGCACAAGCGGTAATTTCTGCGTCACCTGCTCATCTTCTTCGTCAAGTAGCATGTCGTCAGGAGGTGAGTCTGACTGGGTCTGCTCTTCCTGGCTGAGGATTTGTTTGAGTTCGGCGTCTTCGTCTTCTTGCATCAAAGCCTCGTATTCTTGCATCAGTGCTTCCAGCTTCCGCGATAGCGCATCGTCGTCTTCGGCATCGTCGTCACGCTGCTCGAGATCTTTGGCAGTCAGCTCATCTAATTGTTGATGTAACATATCAATCTGCACCGTGCGTTCTGCAGCCACTCGCTCAGCCTCGAACCTTTCGGCCTCCTTCTCTTCAATCTCCGACTCGAGATGCACTGCGAGTTGCTCTGCTTTACTTTTCAGTGCGGGCATGATTGCCGAAGTGAGAGAGAGGGCGGCTTCCGACTTGAAGTTGCTACTGTTGGACGAATGTGAGGCTTCACCAAAGCCAGCTAGCAGGGGGTCGATCGCCGCACTCTCACCTATACCGTTGACATGGGGTCGCACTGGACCGCCGAGAAAAGTGGATCCCCGACTATCATTCTGGAATGGAGAAGATGATAGTTGCCGATTGTTACTCCGCTCTTGTCGGCGTCGATTCAGTTGCACAATCAACGAGTCTGCTGTCTCTCCCATGTGATTGGGTATTCCGACAGCGGCATTTCTTCCGATCAAACTTCGTACACATTTGCGAGCTCCATTACGTGCTGCGATAGTAATGGCAGTATCGCCATTGTTATCTTGCGTGTCTAGGACGCGTTCTATGCCGTCCGGGCCCATGACTTCGGGCATTTTGTTGAGAATGCAGTCCATGTAGTACCGGGCGCACTGATACTTGCCCTTCCGTTCCGTAATGTTTGCAATGTGGTGGAAAACCGTCTGCCCATACCATTCCTGCATGTTCACGGTCCGAATCAGCAAGCCGGCAAGCTTGTCCATGTTCTGGCGGTCGTAGTTGTTGGTGAAGAGAACGGCACGCATCAGAGGAGTCTCTCCATTTTTCGACTGCACGTCCACGGCGGCTTGCCGTCGAATCAGGTCCTTGACCACTTCGAGATCGCCCATAGCGGCAGCCCAATGTAAGGCAGTATGTCCCTTGTCGTCAATGGGCCGGTTGAGATCCGCGCCTTGGGGCGGTAGTGGAGCCACTGGCAGCTGGTCTGGACTGTCCATAAGCATAAAGTAGTCGAACAGCTCATCTGCCCACAGCTGGTGCTCCTTGTCGGCCTGAGACATGGGATCCTCCACCCTGCGGCGTTTGCGAGCACCTCCCGTATACTGCGAGTCGTAATCTTCGAAAACCTCGGATACGACCGTCACGTCATCAGGTGTGTCTGCATCGTGCATGCTCATCTGGTCATAGTCGTGCATGCCAGCAGAGGCGGCGCTGCGCTTCGACGGCGGTTTCATGGGCGATTCCGGCACCTTCTTGGGCGCAGCGCGTCGCGCAGTGGCGGTCGCGGTGCGTGGTGCTCGCGGCTTGGACGAGGCAGCAGTGGCGTGCTTGGGGGCGGGTGGTGGACTCCTGTCGCCAGGCACGTAGTCAAAGATGGGCCGTAGCTTGTCCAGTACGCCGTTCTTCTGCGCCAGCTCGCGACCATCGGGCAGAGGGATCCATGTTCCTGCGCACACGTCGCGTGATCAGCAATCGCAGCCTCTTTGACGCGCTTCCCTGTGCCTTTCCGTCGTTGTGATCGGCCTTGTCTGGCGGGCGGAATTACCCTGGTATTTGCCATATCCACCTTGCACCTTCTCGTGCACGCCCTTCTGCACCTCGCGCTCCAGGATACGCGTGCGCGCCGGCTTGTCGTAGTCGGCGACTTTGAGGATGTGCGTCGCGTTGATCCAGTCGTCGGAGCGCCGGCGCATGATGTGGTTGCCGCTGACATTGTACTCGTACACCGGCACGTTGCTGTACGTCGCGCTGTAGATGCGCTTGTCGTCGGGCGCCATTTTGGTGATCTGCGTGTCGTGATGGTCACTGTCTGTGTAGGCCGCACGCGTCGTGACTGGAGGGGAGGGAGGCTTCGGTCGGTGTCGGGTTAAGGCAGTGGCATGGGCGGTAGGTCGGGATACTGGACAGTAACATGAAGGTACCTGTGAAGTGTTGCCGCTGTCGGATCATGGAGAATGCTGGAGCCTCAACCTGGAGGTAGGAGGTACTCGGGAGGGTCAGCCCAGAGCCAGAGGAAAGTAGAGGAACTCGCGCCGGGTCACGACTCACGTCAGGATACCAGGTACCTAGGTACATGTAGCTTAACCTTAGGCAGTAAGGCACAAATCTTGACCGGATATCTAATGCCTCAGGCTGCCACATTGGGAGGCCACTTTACTGAGAAGAGATATCCCGAACAGTCATCAATTCGCTGCTTAAACTGCTTTTCACTCGCGTCTCTGCCAAACCCCATTGGGACTACCCAGTCCAGCCCAGTATTCCTCCTGAATTTACAGGTATTGGCGCCGCAACACAAGAATATTCACTTCATATCCCCCCACGGCACGGCCCAACATGCCCAACGTCGATCTGATCGACCACTCGCCACACCACCCAGAGCCTGCGGCCCCCATCGCCACCGCCTCCAATCTCATTCTCATCGACAACTACGACTCCTTCACCTGGAATGTGTACCAGTACCTCGTGCTAGAAGGCGCAACGGCCGAAGTCGTGCGCAATGACCAGATCTCGCTGGAAGAGCTGATTGCTCGCAAGCCCACTCAGCTCGTCATCAGCCCGGGACCGGGTCACCCGGAAACGGATTCGGGAATCAGTAAAGATGCCATTAGGTACTTCAGTGGGAAGATACCTGTTCTGGGCGTCTGCATGGGCGAGCAGTGTATCTACTCCGTCTTCGGTGGGACCGTGGAGAAGACGGGTGAAATCCTCCATGGCAAGACTTCTCCCCTGAGGCACGACGGTAAGGGCGTCTACTCTGGCCTACCCCAGGACGTGGCTGTCACGAGATATCACTCGCTGGCTGGTACGCATCCTACCCTGCCTGAGAGCCTCGAAGTGTCGTCGTGGATCGCCGTGGGACCGGACGGTGGCAAGGGTGTCATTATGGGCGTCAGGCACAAGGAGTACCTCGTCGAAGGCGTGCAGTTCCACCCGGAGTCCATTCTAACGGCGGGAGGTCGACTCATGCTGAAAAACTTTCTGCTCATGCAAGGTGGGACCTGGACCGAAAATGCTCGTCTGCAGGCCGAAGCTCAAAATACCGCGAACGGATCGAAGTCACAACTAAACGGGACGACGAATGGGGGGAACAAGGAAAACATCCTGCATCGCATCTACGACCAACGCAAAATCGATGTAGCAGAGCAGAGGCAGCTACCCTCTCATCGAATGGAGGATTTACAAGCTGCATATGAGCTGGGTCTAGCTCCCCCCTCAATCTCATTCCCAGACCGACTCCGGCAAAGCCCCTTCAAACTTGCTCTCATGGCTGAGATCAAACGAGCTTCTCCCTCCAAAGGCATCATTCAGATAGACGCACGAGCGCCTGAGCAGGCCAGATTGTATGCACTTGCAGGAGCCAGCACCATATCGGTGCTCACCGAGCCGCACTGGTTCAAAGGCAGTATCGATGACCTTTGCAACGTGCGGAAAGCAGTCGATGGCATGTCGAATCGACCTGCACTGTTACGGAAAGAGTTTGTATTTGACGAATATCAGATTCTTGAAGCGCGCCTTGCTGGTGCCGATACCGTGCTCCTCATTGTCAAGATGCTCCACCTGGAGCTGTTGACAAGGTTGTACAAGTACTCACAGTCCCTGGGTATGGAACCACTGGTAGAGGTCAACACCCTGGAGGAAATGGAGATTGCAGTGAAGCTGGGCTCGCAAGTCATCGGCGTCAACAATCGCAATTTGACTAGCTTCGAGGTCGATATGGACACCACAACGCGACTCGTGAAAATTGTGCCGAAAACGACAATACTTTGTGCGCTTAGTGGCATTGCTGGACCCAAGGACGTCGAGCCTTATCAGCAAAACGGTGTAGGTGCAGTATTGGTTGGCGAGGCACTGATGCGAGCCGCAGATACTACCAAATTCATCAGCGAACTTCTTGGATCCAGCGAGGGGTCGATCAAGACGAACTCACAAAAGAAGCTCCTTGTCAAAATTTGCGGGACACGAACCCCCGAGGCCGCAAAGACGGCCATTGAAGCCGGCGCTGACCTGATTGGTGTAATCATGGTGACTGGCAGAAAGCGATGTGTATCTGCTGATACGGCTCGTAAGATCTCCGAGATAGTGCATACCACACGTAAATCAACCCCATCCGTGACGGTGGTCGCTTCGAATGAGGCGAATGCAACAGCCACGAGCTTCTTTGCTCATGCTTCCTCGCACCACGTTCAACACCCAGATCGCGCCCTGCTGGTTGGCGTGTTCCTCGACCAACCACTGGATTTTATTCTCGAACAGCACCGATTGATTAATTTCGATATCATTCAGCTTCATGGCTCGGAGCCGCTGGAGTGGGCTCAGCTGATACCTGTGCCGGTGTTACACAAGTTCAACCCTGGAGATGCTGGATTGACGACCCGCGGCTACCACTCATTGCCGCTGCTTGACGCTGGTGCTGGCAACGGGAAGCAATTGGACATGGCACGGGTCAAATCATTGCTCGAAAGCGATGGTGGTCTTCAGGTCGTGCTGGCGGGGGGACTGAACTGTGACAACGTATCGGAAGCTTTAGCAGCGCTGGGTGATGCCAGGTCACAGGTCGCTGCTGTGGATGTGAGCAGCGGCGTCGAGGAAGACGGTGAACAGGATTTGAGCAAGATCAGAGCATTTGTGAAGGCGGCGAAAGAGATCGCACTATAGACATACATCCATGTGGAAGCTTGTTCGAGCTCCCTGGCTTCACTGTTCGATCCCAGCATTTCGTGACCAGCGTGCACAAAAGCGCTACACTCTCCGCCGCGAGTTCGTGACGATATCTCCAGCCTCATCGTGGAGCAGATTTGACTCCATCGGCGCAAACACTGCATTAGTCTCAGACTGACATTGTAGGCAGCACCACAGCCGAATGCCTCACTTCATTCACTCCTATGCTACCCCTCTTGGCGCTCTTGGTTGGCGGACTTGGTTTTACTTCACTTGCGGTCGTATTCATATCTCACTGTGTTCTACGGCAGGCGCGACAGTCAACCCTCAGGATATAATAACAGTGTCTCCTCCGTTGTCATTGCGCCACGCTCGACACATCCACATCTTTACTCCATCGTAACCTAGTCTCAAGCAACACTCCGAACCACCTTTGGAATCTGCGTCAAGATGGTGCACAAAGCATTGTCAGGTTGCGTGATAGTGACTGCCGGCACTGGCGAGAAGGACTGGAACAACAAGCAGCTCAAAGACTGGATCGATAACGCTTCTGGCACATTCGAGCGCACGATCACTGATGAAACCACTCACTTGGTTGTCACTGAGAATCTGTGGGCAGCAGCCGGCCCGCTGGTAGAAGACGTGATTGCACGCAAGAAGAACGGTCAGAATATCAAAGTCGTTTCGCAAAAGTGGCTCGAAGATAGCCTGCTGGCGAAGTCTAAACTGAAGGAGAAACCTCACGAGTTTGCCGTCCCCGGCTCGGCCGACCGCGAGGGTGGACCTGGCGATATTCGATCGCATACTGGGTTGATCAAGGAACTGTATCTGGAGAACACCGAACTCTCCGCAGCCCAAGAGAAGATGAACCTCAAGCAGCAGCAGATGGAAAATGACTTGGCCAAAGAGCAATTGGCGGAAAGTGAGCGAGAACTCTCGAAACACATCAAGGCGAGCATGAGCGTCCCAGAACAAGCTGCGATATTCAAGAAGGGCGCGCAGAAGGCGAGGGCCCTTCTCGCGAGTAAGCGTCTTGTGTTCCTCTGACCGTACATTGCGATCATGCTAACTATGAGCTCCCAAAGGCAACCATCACATCTACCAAGACCCCACGGGATTCCACTTCGATACGACTCTGACCAAGGTCGACACCAAGAATAACACGAACGAGCGATACAATCTTACCGTAAGTGTAAACCGCAGCGTCTGGCTCTACGAGGACCACAACATAGGTACATGGTAATCCACTGACTCTTAACAACGCAGATTCAGATCTTCGAGTCCAACGCCACGCCTCACACCTACGCCTTCACCACCTCCTTCTCTGGTACGAGGGTGCCGCAGGTAATCAATACGATCGTAGGCATTGGCTCCAACCTTCCAACGGCCTTTCGAGCCTTTCGAAACGCGTTCAAGGAAAAGACCGGAATCGAATGGAATGACCGCATCAAAGTGGCGAGAGAGAGGTGAGATCAATTGCGCTGTGTCAACGACTTTCTAACCACCAACGCACCATCACTAATGGGATATAATAACACACAGGGAGCAAGCACTCAAAGCTGCGAAGAAACTGGGCATGGCCGTCGCAGGTCCACAGACGACCGAGGATTTTCGTTCCCAAAAATTCCAGTACTACCCGCCCGCGTACGGCCCCATTGGTGAACTTGTCACCTTGCAATCTCCGTCACCACTACAGCAGCAGCAGCAGGAGGAGGAGGAGGAGGAGGAGGAAGAGACGATGGGAGAAACCCTCTACGACGCTTCTCGGCAACCAAATTTGGCTCCACGCTCCGAAACGCTTGTCAGAGCAGACTTTGACCCACAGGATCTCGCCAGATTCAACGAGGCTCAGATGGTGGATAACGAATCTGGGGAGAAGTTGGATCCAATGGCACCGCCGTATGAGTTCGGAAAGAGCAGAAACTCCGAAGAAGACTTGAGCGGATCTGCTGTCGACGTCGGCAAGAGTAACCTTCGAGCTGCGGAGGACTTGGTAGTCGAGACGGATGTGAGCAGCTACATGCCTGCGACTACGGACCAGCAAGCCTATGCGCTTCCATCACTACTGGACCATCCTGAGCACAGTCGTGGCAAGCGCAAGGACGGTTCGATTGAGCTGCAGCAGCAGAAAGAAGCCAAGAAGCAAAAGATCGATATGGAGACTGGGGAGTATATGGTCCAAGATGTTCTTGGCGATCAAGATGTGGCCTAGGACATGTATGGACGAGACTGCGCTCGTCGCAGAATTGGGGTGGGCATTCAGAATGGCACATGCTGCTGTACACGACCATCTCAAAGAATAGGAAGGGCAGTCAACTCAGTGGAGTCGCCGCGCGCTGCGACTGGGCTGAGCCCTGAGCTTGCGGGCACCGTGCGTACCATATTCAGCGAGCATGACATCAATAGCGACCTACTTCTCCAACACGTTAGGGCGGCGCTGCAGTGCTTCAGCTGGACCTGTTCCAGAGTGGTTGGGTACTTGTATGTACACTGGCCACGAGACACCAGCATAGCCTTCTCACACTTCTCCACGATGCATCGTTGCTCATGCCCAGTCAGAGGACGAGCCTCTAATTTGATCGCTGTCCACCCTTCTGCGCCCTAATCTCGTCCATCTTCTTCACACGTAGCTTGAACTCCTCGTATTGGCACTTTTCGTACGAATGCCTCTCGTCCTGGCCCGCGCGTTAGCTTTTCCTCCGCCTCTCCACCTACCAGCACAATTTCCTGACACACCTGACACCGCCAGTTGAGGTAGTAATTATCGTATCGGCACTTGTTCAACGGGATGAGGAGATGAGCGCATGAATCACGGTAGGCCAGCGGAAGTCTGGCGTCGCTCATTTCCTGTCGCGTGGCTTCTGTAGTCGCACTCGATCTTAGCATACGCTCTACCGAGGTCTGCTCGGACCATGCGAGTAGGGAGAATGGGGTGGTGGTGGAGGAGGAGAAGGAGGGAGAGGGAGGAGGTGGTGGTGGTGGTGCTGATGCGTGCGGCGACTGATTGCTGGACGTACGGCGAGTGGTCGAGCCATGACTGAGTCCCACGACGGCCTCCTTGACACTCTCGGCCGTGTCTACGATTTGCTCCGTGACGGTCATGGTTTGATGGGTGGCGTTGCGTCGGTAGTGAAGTACAGAGTGGCCGTGGCATGCAAAGCAGTGCAGTGCAGTGCAGGCAATGGATATGTCTAAAGGACCGACTAAGGTAAGCCTGGTAAGGTACCGAAACCGAAGAACAGGCGAGGTTGCGTCCCGTCCCGTCCCATCCCGTCGACAAGGTAGGCAGTTCTGCTACGGAGGCCCAAAGTGGCCAGCCGCCACACGTCACCCCCGGCTTTCTTTAGCTTCATTTTCCTACTACTTCCACCCTTCTACCTACTATATACTACTATATACACTCGCTATACGCTCGCCGCCTACCTTGCCGTTACCGCCGCATCCGTCGCTACCTACTAATATGCCTCGGACGTACGTACCTAGAGGACTACGCGCTATAGACTATAATAACTATTAGGTCTATATCGCTACGTAGCTCGCGGAAGGTATCTTATAGAGGCAGATTATCGCTAATCTATACTAGTAGTTCGGTATTTCTATCGTAGAGCGTATATTCGAACGACGGCTATAAGCCTAAGGCCTTACTATAGCCGCCGTACCTTTATATCGTTAATAGTATAATATCTTCGACGAAGACGATAGCTTGCGTATACGTATAGCGTATACCTATACTAAGCTACGACTTATAGATAGTAAGGCAGTTACGATTCTAGCGATTAATAGCTAGAAAATTAGTATAAGGACATATCGGCGTATACGTAAAGAGCTAGGGTTTAGGAAGCAGATACTAGTAGTAGAGTAAGTATATACTAAAGAGTTAATCGCTATAGTACTCGTAGACGAGCTCGCTAAGTCAGAGGTAGAGGTATATAGTAGGAGGAACCTATATATATATCTGCGTTTAGAGATAAATATAATTAGGAGGTATATAGGCGCTTACCGTCTACTCGCTTACTAAATCGCTATCGGCTAACCTACTTAGGGACCGTATCTACCGTATTGTTAAATTGCTTAATCCCGATAGTGTTTAGCGGCGATACGAGAAGGCTAGAGAGTACTATAGTACTATTATTATACCTAGGCCGTTAGCGGCAATTTCAATAGATACGTACTATAAGTTCGAGTACTAGAGTATTTAGATATATAGTGCAATCGACGTATACGCGCGGTATATAGAGTAGATTTACGTTAGAATTACTAGTAGATCGGCCGTTTCGGTGCTCGCTTAGTATATTATAATACTACGCTATAGTAGATATGTACCGGTAATTATACGCTCGGATCGTAGAGGTAAGATTATTCTAGCCGCCGACGCGTACTATATAGTACGTTATACCGCTTACGACGTCGAGAATACTAAGTATAGTACTCGCGGCGAGGCCTCGTTACTACTACTACGATTCGGTAAATACTTCCGATATAGTATAAGTAAGATGAATTAGCGTATCGAGGCATAGTAGAATTAGTAGGCTAAGGCGCTAAATAGATAGCGCGCGTACTTCTATAGCTTAAATACTACGAACGAATTTGACCTAGAGTTATTAGGCGATCGTATTACCTTCCTAGCGATCTATACTACGATTCTCCGTAAGATAGTAGTAGGATTCGTAAAGATATAGAATTACTATAAGATTCGGAGGCAAAACAATCGGCTATACTCGATTCTAGGTATTCCTTACGTATTACGGCATTATCTAGAGCTCTATAGCGCTACGTAGTAAGGTATATATATACCTAAGGAGGTTCTACAGACGCTCGAAGGGATACTAGAAGGGTTTAATATATATACTCGCTCTACTCGTAGCCTGCTCGCTAACTTAATACTATAGACCTCGAGACCTTTCTTCCCGCCGATACCTACGAATAGTACAAAGCGAGCCTCCTCCTCTATAGCTTCGCGCTACCTATTAGTAGTACGTCGTATAACGTAGCGACTAGCGACCGTACGTACCGTACGGCCTATATTACCCTACGTAGCCTAGTAAATAACTATATTAGCTTAGAACAATAGCTAATACTCGGTATACTTCTAAAGCTATTAGTAGTAAGAGATTAGATACCTACGCGCTAGACAGCGGAAGTATTTAGAGATATTAGTAACGCGCTAATTGCAAACGAGGATTTAGGTATTATCGAGTTCTATAATAATCCGTAGGTTATAGGGCTAGTATCTCCTCTACGAGTATAACTACAAGCTAAGCGAGCTAAGCCCTCCGGGGTATATATTACGGTACGTACTATTATTTGAATTCTTTTCTATATATATATATATATACTCTCTCTCTCTACCGACCTATTTACTATAGCCGACAACCTACCTAGCCTCTAGGCTAAATACTATCTAGTCGTACCGTCGATTAGATATAGCGTTATATTCTATAAGTTCAATTTCTGCTCTTAGTACTATTAGCTTAATCCAAACCCTCTATGTACTAAATTTGTATACGAACTATTACGCGTACTAGAAAGTAGCCGTCCGGTTACTAGACAGCCGCCGCCGCCGCCGCCGCTATAGCCGTAGCCGTCGCAATCGTAGTAGCTAGTATCCGCGTACTAAGTAAAGGTTAGTTGCCTTAAAACGATCTATATAGCGAGTACTTAGCGACGGTTAATAGGGTTTCTAGACATTCGCAAGGATTCTATAGTACGCGAATACTATATATAACAAGGCTAATATCGCGTTTAGGGCTAAGGCCGCTATAGCCGTCGTACCGTACGCTAGTACGCTACCGCCGACTATACGTTAGTAGTATACGCCGGCCCTACCGTCGTCGCGGTTAAATCCGCTACCTCCGGCTATCTCGTTTAGTATTAGCGTTATAGTATATATATAGCGAGTTACTACGCGAGCTCTAAAGAATAACAACGAGTAGAAGTACTACGATCCGGTTGCCTATACCGACCTCTATAACTATTAGACGGATCGCGATCGAGTAGCTAATAGCGCTAAGAAGCTATTAATAGAATTTATACTCGCGCGATTCGAGCTAACTAAGTTACCTATATAGCCTATTATAGCTATTAAAGACTTCTACAACGTATTCTTCGTACGATTATTCTATTTAGAGACTAATAAGCCGAACCGTATATTATCTACGAGTATCGTAAGTGCCGACGTCCTCGAGTCTATAGAGGTATTTAAAATACCGCTACCTAGCAGATCTACTATACGTACCTACGAAGCTATTATCGTCGTTTAGTAGTACAAACAACTAAGGCAAAAGCGCAAGGATAGGGAGGGTACTATAGTATTACGCGCGATACTATTATACGCGATACTAGTAGCGAGCGTAGCGAGTAGCCGTATAACGCCCGTAGTATTAGAAGTCCTTAAGAGTATCGAACAGCTCTACGCCGATAAGTACGACGACGACGGCGAGGATAACGACGAGCTTAGCGAGGCCGACGACGACGACGATAGTATACTAATTATTAAGAAAGAGAAGGCATTATAGATAGAGAGCGTAACTAACGCCCGCAAGCTACCTAAGTTTGTCGAAATCGATAGTAATACCGATATAGACAACGCTTATATTAAGAAAGAGAAGGTATTATAGATAGAGAGCGTAACTAACGCCTATAAGCTACCTAAGTTCGTCGACTTAGAAGCGACGCTAGTAGCGAGCGCGACGAGTAGTACTACCGGTATAGCGATACTAGTAGCGAGTATAACGAGTAGTACTACCGCTACGCCTACGGCTAAGCGATATAAGCTAGCGGTTCTAATCGGAGAGAGGGCAATAACTAGAGCGCTAAGCAAGAAATAAATCGCCGCGCTTACTATTAGTATCGATAGATATAAGCCCGTAGGGCCTCCGGGGCCTAACGCTACGGCGGTTACTATTACTACCGCCGGCGCCGCCCGGTATTACTTATATAGAGCGTAGATACGAGTAGAAAAGACTAATTTTTATAGCTATCTACTACTATCGACTTATATCTATAACGGTATACCTATATTGTAGAGTTTGCGTAGGATCGGCGGACGATCCGATTAGTCGGATATACCCGGCGCTAGCTTATATTCGCTAACTCGCTATAGAAACGCTATAGATCGCGCGTAGCCTACCTAACTTGCTATACTCGCTATAGTATATCGCTACTATATATATAAATAGGTAGGTAGGTATATATATACCTATCTACTAATTATTTGTATACGGAATCGTAGTCGATTCCGGTATCGATACTCTACCCTATAGCTATACTGCTATAGCTATATTATAGACTATACGCCGGAGCTCGTCGACGTATAGTATAAGCTACTCTACCTAATCCTCTAATTTGCCCGTCCTATCTTAAACGGTCCCTACCGTAGCCTATAGGCTATCGACTATAGCCTATAGCGCTTTAATAGTAGCCTCTAGCTAGGCGATTCGCTACGAATCGCTAGGGGAATCGTTAATAGGTATCCCGGCCTAATAGCCTAACTTAGTATATCGCTTATAGTAGGCGTAGATAATACTATTCTTTATATTTACCTTATACGGCGCGTCGCGCGGACCGCGAGTATACTAGTAATACGGATTTAGTATATCAATACCCTCTATAGTCTCTATAATTCGGCTAGCTTAGTCGAACTTCTATAGGTTATTTTTCGCGACCTTCTTCTTCGTCGTATCGTCGCCTACGGCCTCGTCTAACTAGCCCTACTATCTTTCGACTAAGTAGAACTAGAAGTTGCTAGAGTCTATAGTAGTAGGCCGGCGCGGGTATAGATCGGGGGTATATACGGCCCTATATATAGCGAGTTAGCAGAGATTCTAGTAGAGATTTAGTAGCGAGTAAGGCTAGCCTACCTAGTATCGTCCTCCTTATCCTCCTTATCCTCCTCCTTATCCTCCGAGGTATCCTCGGTATCGGTATCCTTATCTATAGCGTCGCCGTTATTTATCGTAGACATATTCCTACTAAGCGCTACTAAAGTAGTAGATACGAGGAATCTATAGTATATTAGTAATATACGAGTTTACGCGCTACGTAATAACGTACTAAGGTTCGAATAATATAGTTATCTACGTCTACGGCAGTAGAAGAGAGAGAGTAGATATATTATAGTAGTAGATTCTTTCTTCGAGTTGCTATAGCGACGGCTTTATTATATAGGTAACTTATTATTAAAACGACGGATCCGGCGACAAAGAGAGAGGTAAGGTAGCGACGGATGCGGCGGTAACGGCAAGGTAGGCGGCGAGCGTATAGCGAGTGTATATAGTGGTGTATAGTAGGTAGAAGGGTGGAAGTAGTAGGAAGATAAAGCCAAAGAAAGCCGGGGGTGACGTGTGGCGGCTGGCCACTTTGGGCTTCCGTCTTCTGCGCAGCTCGATTAGCTATTTCCTAGCTCGCGTCGCGACAAACCGCGATAGTAAATCAACCATTGTCTTCATTACCTACCCACCACCACTACCTGACCACTGACCCACCACCGCTACCACCACCGCTACCACCGCCACTACCACTGCCGCTACCACCGCCATGCGCCTCGCCACCCCGGTGCACTCTCATAGCGATCTCTGACGGCGCCTCCCCTCCACCTCCCTCACTTCCGCTCCACAAGTCTGGTCAGAGAGACTACGCGCAAACAATGTCCAGCAGCTACTTTCCTGCTCTCGACCAGTACCTTGCGGGTGAGACACCTCTCATATCGTGGCGGACCGCGTATCGCGCCCTGTGTGACGAAGCTGCGGCCCTCGACAATAGTTCGCTCCATGCCTTCTTCACCGACGACCATACTGTTGCCCTCCTAGCCAACGCGCTAAGCCCTTACGCACCGCCAAGTGCGCGGACTGCCGGCGAGTTTGACACCAAAACTGCCCCCATACACGCCGCCCAGCCCAAGAATGGCGCCTACAAGTTGGACGAGATCAAGGAAGACGCCAAGTGGCTGTCGCGAGAGCTGCACGTGGAAGAATTGGCTGCTTTGCGCATTGCAATGATTGAGTGTCAGGAGAGACCGGCAGATCAGCTGATGAACGCGGCTTGCAATGGTACGAGTGTGCTCGAGGAAGTCATAGCAATGCCAGCTTCTACTGCTAGCAATGGACCTGCACGACCAGCTCTTACATTCGCAGACCAGCAAGTACGGAGACATAGGCTGTTGCTTGTGTACCTGAGCGAGAGCAATCATATGCTGCGCCTGAGCGCAGATTTGATGAGTCGATGTGCTGTGAGCAAAAGCATCGTTCGAGAGCAGCCGGCCGCGGCTTCGTGGATTGATCAGATCGCAGCAAAGGTCACGGATACCATGTGCCCAAAGAACGGCAGGAATGAGGCTGAAGCCTTCATCGCCAAATGTATCTCGAAGTTGGACTCCGTGCTGGAACGCGGGGATGCCTCCACCTCGTGGCCCAAGGTCTTCGCGGACGATACCAAGGCACCCGGCTATGTCGACTCGCTTCGCTATGAACTGACGCACACCCTTCGGCTCTTGCTCGCTGCTCTGTACCAGTATGATGGTATTCCTAGCGCTTCGGCGCTCCTCAGCTGGTTCGCGTTAATGGAAAAACACTTCTTCTTGCAAGGAAATAAGCACCTTCTGCCGCTGGATCTCGATGTGCCCCGACTTCTGCTATCGATCGTGTCCGTGGAGATGATGAAGTTACAGCTTGCAATTGGTGAGATCATGCAGGCCGCAGACGTGGACACTCCTACCTTGACAGGAAGCCACTACCTCAACGACGAGGAGAGTCTCAGATCATTGAATCTCATCTTACACAGAGTTAGTCTTCGTGGAAACAACATTGCTGCTCCGGCTATCCTGGCCTGGAGCATCATCACTTCGGTCATAAGGGACATTGCATTATCACACCGAGATCAGCGCGAATTCCGCAACGAGCATGGCCCCGACGACACAGTGGAGGGACTGGCTCGTCGTGCTTCGAGACGTGGATCGCGCAACGAGCCACTTTCCAGGTTTGAGAAACTCTACTTTAAGCTGCAAAGCTCGGAACTGGACGGCGATGTCAGGGACGACCTGCCACGAAATTTCCTGTTGAGATCTGTGGATCATTTACGGGTCTTCCGTCTGATTGCCACTCTGGCTACAGTCATCACTACGACGTACAGCTCAGATGCCGAAGCCAGTACAGCATTATTTTGTAAAGAGGCCTTGTTTGATTTGACCCGAGAGTCGTTGTCGTTTGTGCAGTATGATGAAGAAGTCTTTGAGGCGGTGCTGTCGCTGTTGACGCCAGCAGAGCACTGCCCCGTCTCCAAGCAGCAGACGACTGTGCTTGCAAAGAAACTGTTGGCAGATTATGCCCTACTCAGACCGGCTTTCCTGGACCAAGCGTTAGCAAGATTCCCCTACGAGCTTTCACCATTGGTGAGACTGGGCACGTTGTTGGCCAACGCGCAAGGAGATGCGCAGGAGCCCGAAGGAATCGCAGGCATTTTGCATCGACTGCGGACATTCACGCTGCAAGTGCCCGCAGAGTTCAGATCGTATGAGCTCATCGACGAAGTGGACGACAACAATGCTATGCGACTGCTTGAAGCACTGCCCATTATCACTCGGCGCGACGCTGCTGCGGGCGTTCAGCAATTGCTTCTTATGCAAGACAGTACAGACGCCGAAACGCCTGAGCAATACGTACCTGCGGAGACTACAGGCAACATTATTAGGGAGAAGCGACCCATGGTGTTCATGCTGAATCACGATAGCTCTGGGCTTGAATACCTCAGTGCGCTGCTTTTCACGTTCACTAAAGGTAGCCAGGTGTCATGCGCTGCAGAGCAAGCGACATTGGACCTGTATGCTGCTGCGGAGATCATCGCTCTCTTCACATCGTTGCTGGCCGCGTGCCTGGACCAATCAGATGGCGCTACAACAGCTCGCGAGCTGATGGCGAAATTTGATGCCGGCTTGGGCAACAGCCACGACATTATATCCATCATTGCCGACCTATTTGAGAGTGAGCTCCTGGCCCATATTGAACAGGTTGCGGAAGACGGCTCTCTACCAGTCGTCGCTGCTGCTGCAGAATTCCTCAACATCATAATCAGAATCTCGCCGGAACGGGTTTGGTCAATAGTCGCTAAAAGCAGTTTGCTTGGACTTGCAACCGGTGCGATCTCGTTAGTGGCGGTCGTGAATGGCTCGGAAGTGCAGCTGGGCCAGTATCGCTTCCTGCAAGCATGTGTCGAGATGCAGTCGCTTCTGCTTCAAGATGCACTCGCCGGTCTGGCCAAACGCAATGCTAGAACGAGTGAGGTAGTCAAAACTACCCGCTTCAGTCTGAAAACCAAGCAGGACTCGCTAGATGCAACGCCAGCTCGGACCATGAGCGTTGTGCTCAACGCTTACCAGAAAGTTCTACTCGATGCCTATCAAAGCTTCTCGGACTGGAAATGGGAAGACCTCTCACAGCGGTGCCGCCTCACAGTGACTCTGCTGAAAAGTTTCTCCGACATGCTACGAAGCACGTACGGCCTCAATGTGGCGAAAGCTGTTTCTCGACGACTCACCTTCGTCATTGCACCTGCTGCCAACTCTATTGTCGATACATGTGCCTCCAAAACGGGAAGCAATCCAATGGCCAGTACACTCCGTAGGATTTTGCAGGAAACTTTGCCAATTGCAGACGACGCCACTCCGGTTCAAATACGACAATTGCTCATTGAGCAGGCGCGCGCTGTCTTCGGCTTTCTCGTCATACTTCTTCGGGTTGCAAAGCACGGAAATGACCTTTTGGGTCAGACTGAGGCCCCGGCAGAGTGGCACAAGGTTGTGAAGCACCGTTCCTACAGGCTTGCAAGTAGCATTCTGCAGAATATGCCTGCCCTCGCGTCTTTGCTTGCGACCGAACATGCCATCAAAGCTGACCTCTTTACCTTGTTTGAAGAGCTGGTGAGTGCCGTCGGTGCTGGCGATGAAGATCCACCATCCATACTTGCGCAATTCGATACAGATGCGGCACAAGCTTTCCTTCAGGTTGTGACACAACTAGATCGGCCGCTCTGTGAATTGCAGGTCGAACGCAATGCGTGGGACTTCCTCGCCGTTGTCATGGACAGCAGGCAACAATGGTTTGCCATTTATCTTCTCACTGGCAGATTACCGAAGAGTCGAGCTCACCGCTGCCATGAAGAAGAGATCAAGGGCAAGCCAATCCTTGCTCATGTGTTGAGTCAGCTTGCGTCCATTGAAGACCTGCAACCGCAACGTGCGATCGGTATGTTGAGATTCGTTGCGATCGCTCAGCAGACCTGGGCATGGGCCACGAACGAAGTGAGGTCACACACAGACTTTCTCACAAACACAATGTCTTGGTTGGGCTCACTCCGCGGACCGCCAAGAAATCCAACTCCCGATGCATCCATCACTAGCGCGAGAGAGCATGAGATGGCTGCTCATCTGTGCGATATTTTTGCCGTTAATTTGCACGCGGGTCTCGAAATTGGCGACAGGACAGTGTTGAAGCTGCTCGTGACCAAATTGGACTTCTTAAGGGATCGCGGAGCTAGAGTGGACGAATGGAACAAGTCGCTGCACAGGAGCCTAGAGACTAATCTCGCCAGATCATTCCCAGCCATCGATCTGTCTGATTTTATGCGCACTTCCGTCAATCCGGCTCCTTACGGCAGAAGCTACGTCTACGATACCGACATCGCTACCATCATATTCCAACACAATAGAGCATGGGATGGGGCTACAGCAGATCAAGGTTTCGCCGATGAATTCGGTCGAGCCAACGCTAACTTGAGCCTTCTACATGCACAAGCTACGTTACTCAAGAGTTGGAAGACCTTGGCTACTACACTGTGCGACTGTGCGGAGCAAGATCCTTCACTGCCCCTTGAGCTTGCCAAAGTCGTAGAGCAGTGCTTGGTCGCGAGTGTCGAGCCTCAGCTCGACCAGCCCGGTATGGCAGATGCCATGCACATGCGCCTCGAACTGGCCTTTGTGCTCACCTCCAAGTTAGTGGCTCTCAAAACAGAAGATGATGCTATGAAGAGACTTCTGCCAGCTGCATGGACACTGGTCGCAACGTTCCCAGCGGACTACGATATAGCCACACTCCCAGAAGAACTGCGTTACTATCGGCAACTTCTTCAGGTCTTGTACCTGACTATCCTACCTCACAGTTATGTTGCCAAGACTCGAGCAGACGGAGAGATGCATTCACTTTCGCCCCAAACGGCATCCATCCTTGTTAATATTGTCGGCAAAGTGATAGCACCAGGCTTCAAGGCACTCTGCAGTAACCTCCATGGCAATGTTGAGCTTGCGCTGCCAGCAGATTTCGCTCTGCTGACAGCACTTCTCCAAGCAATCTTAGCCGTGCCAGGCATCAACTCGATCCAGACGCTCCTGTCGGACGTAGTGGTTGGCTCCAACATCATCCGGGGAGCATTGAGCCTATACTCCTGGGCAGACAGACTCTCCAGTGAGGACACGCAAGATCCTATCTATGGCGAAATAGCGATCATGTTCCTCCTCTCACTGTCTACTGTACGACCAATAGCTGAACAGATGGCTCTAGAGGGGGTTCTCGCCCAGCTATCATCAGCCAATTTATCCTCCTACTTCAGAACGCACGGCGGCAAAGGGCCTTTTGACGAACCTCAACGCATGTTTGTCATCTGGACAGAAGGGTATTTGCCGTTATGTCTCAATTTGCTGGACTCGGTTGGTCCAGCTATTGCAGCAGAGATTGCGGCTTTTTTGAACGGGTTTCCTAGTCAGCTTGACCGCGCAGCACATTCACTGATCAACGAAACACCTACGGCACGAAACCCTCGCGCTGGGACAATCACACTTGGCACTGTCTCCGAAGCTCATAGCTTGGCTATGATTTCCTTAGTTCTGAGCTCCGACACAGCGAGAGGCGCGGCGGACGGCATCAATGCGGCAGACATTCCAGACTTTCATTACGATGGGCAGAGTGTCAAAAGCTTGGTAGAGTCGCTCATGAGGAGCAAGCGAAGTTTGATTGACCGCATAAGGCCGGCAAATCCGCTTGAGGAAAGATGGATGACCACACCAGGCGTGGCGAATGCAGATAATATACTGGTGCAAAAGATCGAAAAGGAACTGTCGAGTATGCTGACCTGCTTTAAGGGGGTGGAAGGAGTGCCATAAACGGGATGTGAAGACCAACCAATATCGGACAGAGCATGAGCGTTGAGCATGGTGTTGGGATGGAGGCCCTGCGTGACCACAGTACCATAGTAGCTTCCGTGAGGAAATGATCTTGACAACATCAAGACTTGTCAGCGAAGTTTTCCGAGGCCTCGTTCGCTGTAAATCGCATGTCGCAACGTAATGTTCATTGGAAACGGTTTCCATTCATCGACAAGATGAGTGCATATTATGCAGGCGCATCAGTCGTGCAGAGCAATGCCGCCTGTTGCTTCCGCGCATGGTATTTTGAACAAGTTGACGGTAGGAGGTAGCTCTCACGGTGTATAGGTCAATATGTGCCATGGAAGTCGTTGCTTGGGGGACCTCGAGCATCATGCTCGCTATCCCCATCCAGCCACACTTCTCCTCATACTTCCGGTGCCATCACCACCACTGGCACCCATTCGCTTGATGCAGCCGTAATGCACCACAGTACCGTCCGGATAGACCCTGACGGCACTAGCGCCGAACCTCTTATGACAGACTTTGCAATGATCATCCTCTCCTATTCTCACACGTCTATTTTTGCCCATAGGCTTCTCGTGCGCGAGGCCATCGGGACCAAGGAGTAAAGTCCTTTCAGTGTTCGTGCGCCTGACGCCCTCCAGACCACGAACCACCATGTCTTCGCGTAAAATTGAGGTGGCATTCCTAATGCGCCCTCGGAAGTAGTCCTGCAGTTCTCTGACAGCAAGATCATCCGGCATCAAATCGAGGGTACTGCTGGCTGGGAGACGGGCTCCATGTCTGCTAAGTAGATCGAGCGCTTGTGGCCACTGTTTCTCCTCGCCGGCAGGAGGTCGAAGACAAAGACCGAGGAGGACGGCGAATATATTCGATTTGTCGTCCGTCTCGGTGGGCTCTACTTGACGAAAGCGTTTCTCATGCTTGGAAGTACTATCCAAGAGGCACGCTTCCTGTTCAGCCCTGTCTTCCATGTAAATCTTGTTGCAGTATTCTTCTGCCTTAGAAAAGTCCTTGATCTTGAAGGCGTAAATGGACAGCGCCTGTTTGTGGTTGCCCATTGCGCCCAGCACGATGGCGCGAGACTCAAAGAATAATGAAGAGTCATGGGGAAGCTGTTGAAAAGTTTTGCGCTTATTGTACGAGGAGCTTCTGAGTAGGAAGTTTTCGAGCTTTGTTTGGAGGCCATCACGATACGTATCAGCAATGTCGGACTTCTTAAGTTCGGCAAGGTACAGGTCTATCAAGCGTTGGTGGAACTCTCCGCCGTTGTCGCCAAGCTCGTTGATAATGTGCTCCAGGTATTGGATTTCCAGCTTCTCGTCGCTTTCAGCAAGGAACCGAAGAACCTGCTGACGCGGGAGCCGCTCAGCATTATCAGTGTCAGCAACGAAAATATCCATGCCTATCTCTGGGCTTTCCTCAAGTGGCCATCGCGCGTACTCGAGGATGAGATCTACGAGCTCGGGTGGGAGCTGTTTGAGATAGGCTGCAGTGCGCTGCGGTCCACGCATTGCTTCAGGTATCGCACCGCTTGCCTGTCCCTTGCCAAACTTGGCCAGTAGCTCCAGCGCTTGGCGATGCAATTTCTTTCCATGCAAGAAGTCAATCAGTTCACTATATCGTTCGCCTTCATAGAGCGCCGACTGTACCACATCTGGATCACAGAAATTGTCGATACGGAAAAGAGATCCCGCCAAGCTTGGTGTGGCAAGCATATAGGCACGAAACAGTGTGGTGTCGACGAGCTTGGCAACCTTCAGCAGCTCTGCTTGCCAGTCGACCTCCTCTCTGTTCTTGTCGAGAAGCTCTGGCGCAAGCAAATTGCTAAAAGACGGCTTCCCGGTTTCACTGTCGAAAGTCGGTGGATTTTCTTTCAGTGTACCATCGTAGTCCAAGTAGTTGGGGACACGTCTTCTGGAGTCGGCCAAGAACCCTACAAGAGCTCTCGCTGCGCTTTTGAGGTCATCTCCTTCTAATGGCTTGTCGGGAACTCCAGCGGCTTTGGTACGACTGCTGGCGTTATCAGCGTCGGCACGCGTGGAAGACCGGATTGAAGCAACATCTGAATCCACCTTCTTGTGACTACCGGTCAGCTTGCCAAACATGCCTTTTACAGGTGTGACCGGGACGAGTCTAGCGCTATCTTCGGCTTTTTGTTCAGTGGTATCGGCAGCTTCTGACTCGCTTGCATCCTCTGTCAAGGACGAGAGATCCCCCGCAATGCTACGTGGGTAGAGGGCGATGACACGCTCTGGTGTGGTCTGCGCATCTGTGAAGAGGTCACGCGCCGCAAGGTATTTCTGCTGATGAAAAAGCGCGATGGCTTTCTGCGTCATAATTTCTCGTATGCGTCCAGCCTTGTCATCGATCAATGTATCCTCCAGTAGCTCTAGCAGACTTACGGCCTCGTCGAAACGCTGCTTTGAGACGAGCTCAGTCAGCTGCGAGGGATAAGGCAGTGCATTCATGCGCCAGATGGTACGTTCGGAGGCAACCAGAAAGCCCTTGCCAGCATGAGCCAGACTGATATACGGCTGTGGCACATGCAAGATGGTCGCGCCAGGAACGCTGATGGTCTGTAGTAAGGATAAAGTCTCTGGATTTCGTATCTGTAAGGTACCTTTGTCGGGCGGCTGAAGTGCTAGGAGATATGGATAGCTGAAGCCAATCTGCTCTGGCGCGAGAGCCCAAGGCACCTGACGCTTCTCAAGCGGCTTGCCATCGATGGTTACAAATAGGGTATTGACGTCCTTGGCCAGGAGGACTTGATCTCGAGACAAGCCTGTGGCCATCGGTTTTGGCACCCAGCTTCCCATTCCCATGTAACCCATGCCGCTGCTACTGACTGCACCAAAGCGCACACCTGCAAGCTCACCGGAGCCTGCATCGGTTGCCGCATTGGCGGTGCGCTTGCTGATTGGTACCACTTGTTGGGTGAGAATATCAATTGTGCTAAAGCCAGGATCCATCCCAGCAACCAAGTGCGTGCCATCAGCCCATATCAAGCTCTTGATGCTAGCCTCTAGGCTGATCTCAGCCACATCTGGCAACAGCTCCATATCCTGCCACATCCAGCATAGGATCTTGCGCTTGGCGCCCACCGCAAGCCTAGACACGAGGCCGGGAACGTGGGTTTCGGGGTCCTTGACCACATTGCTGGTGACGGCGAAGCAGACGGCACCCTTGGTGCGCTCCAAACGCTCCACGAGCTCGTACGTGTTCAGATCGTGCAGGGACACGTACGCGTCGCTCAGACTGACGAGTAGGTTGGCCTCCTTTACGATAGCAAGCTGTTGCACGGGCTTCTTGCTGAATTTATCTTCCTCGCGCAGCACGTCGACCAACTTCGTCTTGGATGGGCTCGAAGGGACGTCGCCAGCGGCACCACCACTGCCGCCACTGCTGCTCTCTCCGCTGCTCGCCGACTCATTGACGAGGAGCACGCGGAGGGCGCCCGTGCTGAGGCCTGCCAGGATGCGGTCGCCGTAAGCCAGCAGCGACTCGACTTTGGCCTTGTCGCGCGTGCGCACCTCGTAGATGGGCTGGGCCTTGAACGCGGACAGCATCGTCGCGGCTGCGGGAAAGGGTGCGTGTGTGCGTGCGTGCGTGGATGTTGCGCTACCGGGAGATCATGTTTGCATGTGACGGTGACTGGAGAAGTCAGGTAGATACCTCCAAGCACTGAGTGCAGTACTCCGTAGAATGGTGAATTCGGGTAGAGTAGAGAAGGGCAGAACTGAGGTGAACCAGAACAATCTTACTAGCACTACCACTAGTGGTGGTGGTATCTTACCAGGTAAAGGTAGGAGGTACATGTATGTACCTGTAGCCTTCGTAGGTGGAGGAGGTAGGGTCTGCAGCCACAAACCCTCGCTCCACCTCCACATTCACCTACTTACACCCAAACCACCCTTGCCGCTCCTCTTCCTCCTCCTCCTGCACTTCCTCCTGCTCTTGCTTATCCTCCACCGCTGTCGACGCTCATGGAGAATCTCAGCCTTCATGATGCAGGCCCTTTAATGCCGCAGGGACCGCCTCGTGCGTCGCCCTTCACCCTCCTCGAGAGGCTCTCCATGCCATGGCTAACTTGGCGCAGAACTCCCACCTCAGATGTTTACCACTGCCGCGCAGCTTCTGGACCTTACCGACAGTGAGTGTGCTCGCCGCCGATAATACAAACGCCGTTGGAGACGCTCCGACCGTACTAGCAAGTGTCTAGAGAAGCTCATGGTGGCCTTGCGCGATGGGCGAAAGCTCATTGGAGTTCTGAGGAGCTGGGACCAGTTTGGTAGGCGCTCTGTGGACACACTCACCCCGGGGAGACATTGATAGCGGGTTAGGCAATTTAGTGTTGCAGGACACAGTGGAGCGCTTGTTCGTGCACCACCTCTACGCCGACATTGAGCGTGGCCTGTTTCTGGTCCGAGGCGAAAACGTGCTGCTGCTTGGCGAGATTGTACGTAAAGTAGCAGGCACAGTCTGCAGGTAGGCGTACTATGGGAAGTGTTGCTGACATGCTGACAGGACCTGGACAAAGATGACTACGTCCCCGAGCCATTCGAACAAGCATCTGCAGAGAAGGTGTTCCAGCTCAAGAAGCTGGAAGAGCAAAAACGAAAACAGACCGACAAGGTCAAGCAAAAGAAGCTGGCGGAGCTTGGCTTCGAAGGTGAGCACAGCGGCGAAGTCATATTCTAGCAAGAGAAGCGCTACTTGCTACTGCTATGTTACATACTCCTTGAACATGCGGGAGTCCATCCGGAGGCTGGCAGCAAGAAACATAAAACTGGCTGTTACATGAACGACGCCTTGAGTGCCATGGCCGTCCATCTCGCCATCTCGAGGAGCAGAGTCAATGCTTTGCACAGAGAGTTTTCGTTCTTCATGCTTCTGGCTTTCTGGTATCTTGCCCCGTCTATGCACAGGGGTTCTCTGCAAAAGCGAGAGCAATGGAGACCGCAATCGCAAGAGGCGGCCTGTTAGTACGTACTTGGCCGATTCTACTTCACCTGGCCTCATCTCTTGCGACTCCAGGCGCCCAGGAGTGCCGGGCAAAGTTCTGATGTCCAAACCCCGTGCCAGATACCACAGCAAGCTCGGCGCTAGTGTTACGCGGCAGAGTGCAGAAGTGGTGTCGAGACAGCCTCTGTCTAGCAGCATCGCAACTCAAAATTTCAGCGTTAAAACGCCGCATGTGGCTCTTGCGGGTATATAGGATGATCCAGAACAGTATCAAAATTATGACAACCTGCCATATCAAGAAAATAGACCAGATGTCGGTGTCACGTTTCATAAGTCCCGCGTTTTAGAGACTTTATTATTATTCACCTCCGGGTGAACCCCCGCTGTCCGTGCTAGCGTGTTTTCCTACACCTGCCAAAAGCTCGACCTCCAAACTTCCTCAGTGAACATTGCCCACGCCATCACATGCCACCAACAATCGTGTCGGCCATCGACGTGAATGCGCTTGCTAAATGGAGGGTGCGATATAGGAAGACAGACTCTCCACACACACTTCACTCGGCGTACCTCGCGCGATATACTACCTAGGACAGGCGCGGAAGTCGAAGTCGCGTCACCACGCAAAATTGAACAAGGTCAGTCGCAATATCGCCGCGCATCCATCTCCCTCATTTCTAATCATATTTGCCCTGAGAACACTCGCTAGCTCGAGTCAAGCGGAACCTGTTGAAAATTCCGCATGCTGGGATTTGCGCACTTGCGCATCAAGTGAATATCTGGCCACCCGCCAAGGAATTTGTGGTAAGGCACCTGAAATCAACTTTACCTTACCCTGAAAGCAGCATCTGTCACCACCCCACAACCACACTGAGAATTTCGTCTTTTGTAGAGAGCATGTACTGACATGTCGCAAGGACTTCTCGCATGGCCGCGACAACAGCCGATGGATTGAGCAGACGCCGATCAAGCAAGAAAGCGCCCGAATGTTCTTCCGCAGACGATATCGACGTGAAAAGGCGCGTCCCTCTCAGGCCGCACCTGAGAGCCCCTGCAAAGACAGCTCATCGCTCTCTTGCTCACCAGTCGGGCGCTAGTGATGCAGCGAAGCACGACGTGGCTCGTCGTCCACGGGGCCGGAGTGGCAATGTAGGATTAACTCGTCTTGCTGCAACGCTGAGGGCTAACTGGACGTCAGGGACCCACCGAAGTGGAAAGCCCACTTCATGTCACTTCAGGTGCGGACGAGAGTGACGGCGTCGATGACGAAGGATCGGTGGAAGAATATGACTTTACCGCCGAGCCTTCGGACGATGACGATGCGCCGGAGAACGACATGGACGACGATGCGGATTCTGCTATTACCGTGTCCTCGGACCCTCCCGCTGCTCCAGAATCTGAGTACGCTATCAACAAGCGACCATGGCTGACCTTTCCTGAAGACATTCGTAAGCAATGGGAGATCATGTACTCCAACGTAACACCATACCCAGTCGCCTCTAGTTGGGTGGCAACGGAAGAGTATCAACGAGAGAAAGACAACGAAATGCTGAGGTACATGGAGGATTTCCCGCTTTCTCAATGGGTGATTCCACAACAACAGGCAAGTAATGCTTACAACCAGCTCGTGGAGCGGATCCGATGGCGCAACTATGGTATTCCAATCTATGGACGTGACAGGGTGCCCGCAACTCCAAATGCTCCTGCTGCTCCACTCCCACCACCACCAGTGCAGGGGTTGTGTCCGCCACCGCCAGGTCTAGGACCTGGTCAACTTCACCCGCATTCTCTGTACTCGCCGCAACCCTATCCGTCTGCACCGCCTCGGCAAATATTGCCGCTTCACATGCCCCAGCACGCAGTTCAGCAGCCAATGCAGAACGCCATGCCGGTACAGATGCCGTCCCCCCAGCAGCAGCAGCAGCAGCAGCATCACATTGGTCTCGCTCCGCACCCAAATCGAGGCCAGCTTCCCCCAAATCTCGTTGCGGTCCCATCTCAGCCATACGCTCAGCCGATGCCAATGCATCATGGGCCAACACATCCAGGTATGGGCTACGCGATTGGTCCTCCTCAACAAATTTCGTATGGCATACCATTGGGAACATACATGGGTAAACATATGCCGTCAGGAGGGATGTATACGTCTCAAGGCCCGGCACCGCCTCGCCAGCCTAGGTATGTGACAGTGCTTTGCTCGTCCAATGCGCATATTAATGGTTGTCTTAGAAAGCCGCGAGAAAAGAAAGAAACACCGGCTGTTGGGACACCCCCTCTCCCCCCTCCCACGCCTCCTTACGAAAATCGAGTCAAGCCCGTGTCTGCTCAGAAGGCAGCAAAGAAGCCCGCAAAGGCTATCGGCTCTAAATCAGGCCGCCGATCTCAGCGTCGTCCCGCTGAGGCTGATGACTTCCCTTGGACTCGGAAATTGAATTTTCGCGAGGCGAAAGAGAACGCGACGTGGGACGATTCCATCTACAGTCACGAGACACTGGTTGCGATGCAAGCTGCCAGAGAGCATAACGCTAAGCTCATAGACAGTGTCGATTCGAAGCTGGGTGAAGCACAGCGTACGTCCAACTCTCTGCATGAATACTTGCCTAGTCGAACTAACAACTGATCAGGCCAAGCACGCTCCAAGAAGAAAGGGGCGTTAGCGGAGGAGGATGTGTCCAAAGCTTCGCTCGAAGTCGAGGCCAAGCCCAGAGAACGTAAGAAGCGTGGGCACAACAACACGTACAACAACGATGCCGGCGACCCCAACCACTCTGCATCGTACTCCTGGGCCGACGAAAGCGCTGCCAAGGTGGGTAGAGCGATGGGATATGAGATTCCCGATGAGGCCATTTACCAGGGCATGGAGGGCCGGCTGTCGGAGGAGCAGATGGCCATGCTCAGAGTCGTGTGGAATCCCAGCAAGAAAGGCGGGCCCGAAAATCTGAGGCCAGCGGTGTTTTCAGTCAAAGACAGCGTTCTGACTCGCAGGCAACTCGAGAAGACACCGATCCTGACACAACGGGCAGCCGAGTGTCTGGTGGACTTTTGTCCGGAGATGTTGTGGCGCGGCACGCTCCTTCGTGTCACCAGCGAAGGTGGGTTTGGTAATAAGGATGTTCGCGATCGATTCTGTCGCAATGGTAGTTACTGTGACAAGGCCACGATCACGAAGCGCATCTCAGCCGCGCTGGGACAGAAGCAGGTTCAACCGAAATCCAAGGGCTATCAGGAAGGAGAGTACGAATGGTACGAGCAGAATGTCAAGGACTTTACGAACTACATTTCGTATTTCGGCCGCCGGACCGGTCACCGCAACATGCTCAAGATCCAGATGCAAGGCGACAGGAGGAAGGCAAAGCTCGAGGCCAACGCTCGCGAGAGGGATCGTACCTCTCCTGAAGAGAAGAAGGAGGAGGGTGAGGGGGAGGGCGAGGGAAAGGGGGAGGAGGGTGAGGGTGAAGGTAGGAAGCGCCGCAAGCTCGATGTCCGCGGTGCATACAGTTCTGAGGCGGCGCCTACTTCCGATGGCAACGATGGTGGCGGTGAGGAGAGTGATGGTGAGAGCGCAGAGGAGGAGGAGGAGGCCGATAGAGACGGGGACGACGACGACGAAGACGACGACGACAATAGCGACGACGACGAAGATGGCGATGCTGTCTCTGCACAAGACTCGGACATTCTCGACGAATTGGACAACTCGGACTGATGAAGGCTCATTCTGGAGGGTTCGTATGTGGGGCAGACGTGGCAGGTGTGGGTTAGGCACGAGGGGGCTACCCATTCGTGCTTTCCGTTGTTCGTGCGCTGTCCGTTGAGGAAGGCGCAACGATGAAGGTTGATAGAAATGGAAGGTTCAGCATGAGGACAGAAGAACCTCCTCATATTGCACGGTACCTGTAGCGTTTGACGGGAGGGAGACGAGTTGACAGCATCAGGTGCAGGTGCGGGTGCGGGATAATGGTCGGGTATTCTACCTCAGGAGGTATTCTTCTTAATTATTTTTTCTTCTTCTTTTAACAGTAATGTAACTGAATACCTAGTGTGAGTGTGCTGCATTTTCAATCGTTCCATGGCTGCCGAACTATTAAGCGACCTCGCGCTGGTTGTAGTCCGTCTCGTTTTCTCTAATGAGATGTGAGGTGGGAAACGAGCATCGTGGGGATCCAAGATAAGCAACACGCATAACGGGTGGTTTGCATCTACCACTTTGGTATAAGAAAAACGGTGATTTGGCATGGGTGAGGCAGGGCAGGGCAGGGCAGGCATCTCGGTGTTCGACGGCACGGCGACAAGATTGAAGAGATCTGCTGCTGCTGTAGGCCTGTAGCCTGTAGCCTGTAGCCTGTAGCCTGTAGCCTGTTTGTTGGGCTTGGGAGAAAAGGCGGCGCTAGTGCACGGTCATTGATTGTATCTGTGTATGAGAGAGGGAGAGGAAGAAGTCGGTCAGTTAGCTACTAGGAGGTAGTAGTTCTAAACGGAAGTTTGACGGGAAGCTTGTTTGGCGAACAGGGCAGAACAAGGCCATTTCTTGTTCTCTGATGGACCATGGGAGTGATTCGAGATCGGGCCAATAGGAGGGGGAAGGGGGGGCGTCTGCTTTGCTTTCATGGATCATCATCTGTTTATTAGGCTGTGTGCTAGTGTTAGTGTTAGTGCTGTGTGCTGTATGCTGTATGCTGTATGCTGTATGCTGTGTGCTGTGTGGCAGTGTGGGCTTGTGTGCTGTGTGCTGTGTTGCGCTGTCGTGGCAACCACAAGCCTGTTTGTTGTCAGACTTCTGCAAGCTCTGGTTGCCATGCTAAGGTATGGCGCATTTGAAATCGTGACGATCATGATGATGATGGTGATGATGATGATGATGAGGTTAGAGCTGCATCTAGGTACAGGTACTGTAGGTACATGATCTCGCGATGGTGACATGCTGTGCTCACGCGAAATTTGGCGCACCCCCAGGGGCGGTACCGTAACAACAGAAAAAAAAAATAACAACAACAGCAATAGCAACAACCTAGAGCTTCCAATCCGAGGGAAATTACGCGGGCGCTGTGGCGCCGTGTACCGTACTTTGCACCGCCACAGGTGAGCAGCCGGGCCCTTGGCGTTCATCGGTCCATTAGACCATTTCGCTGTTGGCTGCTACCTGATGGGGGGGGCGGCAAGGAAAAGCGATGCAGCAGATGCAGCAGTTCCAGCAGGAACCCAGCAGGAACCCAGCAGAATTTGTCCAGTAGTAGGATGGATTGGATGGCATGGCTCGTGTCGTTTGGCTCCGTTGGTAAATTGGAAAATCGGGACGGGAAGTGACTCGGGAGACAGAGAGAGATGCACATAGGCTAGACAGGGTGACAGGGGTGACAGGCATGGTGAAATTACGATGGCAGGGCAGGACAACCCCTGCACAGCTGGATCGATCGCCCAGGTCCCGCCCCGTATCAGCCATGTGAGACAGCTCGCGCCACTTCCACCGCCAAGCACCAACGTTTGCCGAATCCATGCCGACTGCATCTCATGAAATGATGATGGAGGAATGATGATAGATGGGATGGATATCTGCCTACTGTAAAATGACGAACAGGCGGAGTCTTACGTGTGCTCGTGGTAGCCTGTGCAGAGTCTAAAGCAGTGGTAGACTTGGTAGACTTGGTAGACTGTAGGATATACTTCAGGTAGAGTAGGTAACGACAACAATTAAGCTATGTAGCCAACAAGTCAATGGACTCAATGGCGCGCAGAGTGAAGTCATGTCTCTGACCTCTCTGCGTTTTTTGTTGGTCGGGGGCGGGGGCTTGAGCTGCAATTTTGTCCCAGTTCGGCCTATCAGACGCCTCCCAGCGCCAACCTACAAGTCACACACCAGCCACCTGCGCCGACCCTTACCATGGAGACCACGCCTGCGCCACCGGAAGCCTGCCGAAACTTGGATCGAGCCCCCAGAAACTTGGATTAGTCTGCAACTCAATCAACTCCATCCATACCGGAATGGCTGAAGCTTTCTCAGGTGCAAGCGAGCGAGCGAGCGAGCGGTGCGCTTTTCCAATGCACTGACTGCAGTGTGCCAGTCATCTCAGAAAGCCCTTCGGCCCCTTCCCCATCCACGCCCACGCCCACGCGCATGATTCACCACACGGGCCACAGCAGAGCGCAGTCCAGTCCCGTCCAGCCCAGACCATGTGCGTCACAAGCCGCGGCTAGTGAGGTGGGCGAGCGCGAGTAGTGAGAGAGAGCGACGGCCCAACCCAGAGAGAGAGCGCGCGCGGGAGAGAGAGATAGAGAGGGGACCTGGAGTGTGTGTGAGAGAGAGATTGATGGAGCGAGTGTGAGCCGGCAGGTGCGACACATTCATATAGAACTAGCAACTGCCCCATCGCGGCAGCCTGCACCTGTACCTGCTCCTTCCCCCTTCAATTACACTTCAGTACCCGTGTACTTACCTCATTAGTACCACTTCCCTCCCCAGTATACATAACAACATCCTCGCCCGCCCTCTACCCTCCGTCCCCGTCTCCATCCTCATTGCCATCGCCATCTCAGTCCCCATCACTACCACCCACCACACTCGTCCACCGCCAACGAGCACCATGAAGGCCGCATTCACCGTCGTCGCCATTGGCGCCTCGCTCGTCGCCGCCCAGGACCTATCCTCCCTGCCAGCATGTGGTGTACGTCGTTCCTCCCCCTCCTCTCCCCGTCTGCTGCTGTCCGCGCGACCAGAGCGAGCGACATCAATGGCTGACCACGCAACAGATGACTTGCATCACCAACATGCTCGGTTTGGCCCCATCTCTCGGCTGCAGCGGCACTGACGCCGCTTGCCTGTGCCGTTCCGCCGACTTTGGTTACGGTGTGAGGGACTGCGCCAACGAGGCATGTGGCAGCGCCTCGGATGCCCAGCAGGTCATTGCCTACGGCACTCAATACTGCTCAGGTACGTCGCTTGGCCCAGCGTAGAAGTGCGCGTCCAGCACATGTGCTAACGGAACAATTAGGTGCGCTCGGTGGCTCCGACGGCAGCGCTGGCGCAGCTGGTGCAGTCGCCCTCACCGCCACGGGCCCTAACCCAGGTGCTGGCTACGGCGGCGACAACATGACCATGAGCATGACTATGACCACTGAGGCCAGTCCTAGCTCGACCGAAGGCGGCATGGGAGGTGGCATGGGAGGCGGTATGGGAGGCGGTATGGGCTCTGCCATTACCACGTCTGCATTGACTGCCCTCGTTTCCGGCACCGATTCGAGCTTCATTACCACCACTGGTTTCACCACCATTTATGAGTCCAGCGGATCTGGCACCAGCAGCGGTGCTGAGGCTACTGGCACCAACAGCGCGGGTATGACCACCGATGCCTCCGGTAACGTCATTGGAGGTGCAGGTGGTGCAGGTGGTTCAGGAACCATGACCGAGACAGCTGCTGTAAGTCCAATACATTTGTCGAATGTGAAGAATGAACCCAGTGCTGACCCTCGACCGTCCAGTCTGGAATGTCAACCGGTTCCGAGATGGGAGGCAGCGCTACGTCGTCGGGAGGCAACGCCGCATCCAGTGCTACGTCGGCGGCAGGCAGCGCAGCTTCCAGCGGCACTTCCTCCGGCAACAGCGCTCCTCTCGTCACTGCTGCCCCTATGCTTGCTGCCGGTGTGCTCGCCATGCTCGCTCTTTAAGTCTCAGAACCGCAGAGGGTCTTCATACTTTGATTACGACTTACGAAATATGCTCCAGTCGACGCGCAGCGCGATGGTTGCAAGTTTTGGAACACACGCGATGATACCACTTCCGGCGAGCTTAGCGTTGATTCCCCATCATACGTCGACAATAGGACGATGTTAATGTGTAACAGCCCGATAGCCATGAGATAGATTGGGATATTGATGTTTGATATATTCAGTCGTGCTGGCCCATTCCTTTCTGTCAGGTGGTCGCTGCGTGGAGGAGGTGGAAGCTGCGCTGTTTCGCTGTCGTCTACAGGTTGCCTTAATCCGAACTAGGCTTACATAACCTTACCCCATTGATCGGATCGATAGCAACGGTAGCAACGGCGTGGAGTCTGCCGACTTGTCAGTGCACATCGCGAGTCAGCCATCAACCACTCACCTACTCATGGGTAGATGGAGTCTTGCCCATCTGCATGATGACACGGCAGAAAGTACATAAATGCATGCACCATGCAATGAAGCAAGCTATTTCATGCTCGTCCTGGACAACTGACCTGCAGGACCTGACTTGGTACCTACATAAGTTACCTTACATGTACATACCTACACCACCACACAAGACTGATTACAATATGTACTACCAGCCTTTGAAACCCCCGTCTGGTCAGCTCGACAAAGAGGAAGAATTGAGCAGAACAATATGAGGTACCTACCTCCTACATAGGTGCCTAAGGTAGTCACCCGAAATCTGTCTGATCCGTTGTTCTAGCTAAGGTATTATTATGTATTGGTACATTTATTCATTTCAGCGCAAAAGTACAACAACTCCATGGTTAATGTATGGGGGGAACCTCCTCGATTCCCCAAAAAATCTTCCAGCCCGCCTTCTTCGCTGGCAGTGGTATTTTTCCTGTAGCCATCCTCTCACAAATCATTACAATTCGACCCCCCTGCCTTGCCTTGCCTTGCCTAGCTAGGTAGCTCATCATATAGTACTCCTCGGACCCTCAAACTCATAGATTGCTCCGCTCTTACTTAAGACCGTAGCCAGACCAGGCACAATTTCGGCCTGGAAGGGCTCGAAAGGTATTCGCTCACCATCGATAGCAATGAGCCCGCCTTCGTTCACATTTCCGCCTGCCGTTCCTCCCAGCCACCTTCTCACTCGAGGCCCCAATTTTTGCGCGGGTACGGGCGCCGCTCGCGGGATAATGCGATACGCCAGGACCTTGCTATACGCCGCTTCGGGAAAGTTGATCATGCTTCCATCTTCAACCTTGACGAGCATCTTCAGGCACGTGGAGCGTTTGATGTTCCCCGCGATCGCCATCATGTCCATGCGACCATCATTGGGAAGGGCACAGGCGAAGAAGGGGGCGTCGGGGGACATATAGCACATGTTTCCTACATAGAAATTGCCAAGTTTGGGCATATCTATCGTCTTGAATGCAGAGTGGAGAGGATCGGTTGCCACGCCGTATTGAAGTGTGGGGAGCCCAGAGTCTTCATTATTGTCATCGGCTACATTGTCGTCTTCACGGATTGAGGCATTGAGGTTCTTGGATCTTGCTGCTTCGTGCTCTTCCCTAGCATGGCGATATTGTTCTTTGATGACCCGCTTGTCATCAGTATCTGTCACGACACTGACTTCAGCTGGATATATCGTCTGGCCTAGCATCCTCACAAGTATGCCCCATGTGAATCGGAACGAACCCATCCACCGCAGGCTCTCCGTCCCCAGGTCAGTATCAGCAATCACGCCCACTGCCTGACTCAGAAAACTATACAGTTTTCTGTCCCCCTGTGTGATCGCAACCAAGTCCAGCGGGGTCCTGATACCCTTCACAATCTCCACCGCAGCCAGACTCGGACTGTCGGTTCCATTGAGATTCAGACTCATTGCATTGCCACTTCCACAGGGTATTTGCACGACCGCCACCTTTTGTAGAGCTCGACGCGCGTCTTTCCGTTTTGCAAAGCCATTGAAGACTTCGTGGGGCAGCCCGTCGCCTGATGCGCAAGCAACGACGTCGTACGACGACAAATCCAATTTCTCTGCAACGTCCACAGCATGGCCTCGGTAGCTCGTCCGTTCCACGTCCACGGAGCACTGAGCTGCAGCAAAGATGGGCTCCACTTCCCTCGTCCACAGCTTTTGGGCGTTGCCGGTGCCACCAAACGGGTTCACTAAAACCTTGATTCGTTTCCGTCTCTTCGTATGTACTGGATATGCGCGGCCCATCAGCTTCTGCACCCAGCGCTGCGCGTGAGCATGTGAGCTCTTATCCGTCACAGTGTAGTTGATCACGCCCACCCGGCACGCCTTTCCCCTCCTGCCGACGGCGCGCGCATAGTGGATGGTGAGGTCAAAGTCGTCCAGGCTGGCCCAGAGCACGTTGTGTAATGCGATTGCCCGCGTGGTCTTGCCAAAAGGTGGCAAGAGCCCGCAGCAGTTGGAGATAGTGCGGCTATCACGAAAGCCCTCGTCGAGAACAATAAGGCTGTCGGTGCCTAGCGTGAGCGTGGCATTGCGGTCAACGGTCAGCACCACCGCGTCCGCCGCCGCCGACGACGATGATGACAATGTCTCCGACGGGTCGTCAAACGGGTTCGGAGCAAGGTGCTTCTTGGTACGCATAGCCATGGCCACAAGGCGGAGCGAATGGAAGCCTCACGTCCTGACGAGGGCGGTGGCTATGGCGAGAAGTGCGAGAGGGAGACGTGAGGGAGGAGGAGGAGGAGGAGAGAGGGAGAAGAGGAGAGGGAGAAGAGGAGGAGAGTGAGAAGAGGAGGAGAGGGACACGGTCCAACAGGAGAGTAATCATGCGGCTGGCCAGGCCGACGTACAGTAATGTGTCGAGAGGCGGCCTCGGAAGCAAATAATGCCTAGCAACGAGGGAGGGAGGGAGGCATAGTAGACTAAGGTGTCGGATGTCGGATGCCAAGAACGATGTGCAGTCAGCAGATACATGTATGTCCTCATCACAAGCATACCACGTAGTAATATAATGACAAGGAGCGGTGTATATAGCAGTGGCGTCTACAGTTCGAACACAGCTCCTACATGCCGCCCATCGCCAACGCCGTTCCTGCGCAGGTCTGCAATGTCCACGCGCCATCCCCTCCACTGGTCCAGGCCCCTCTTGACGTCCTTGATCCTCTCCAGCCGCCTCTTCTGCTCCTCTTCTTGCGCCAGACGGAACGCTTCTTCGTCGAAGCCGCCGTCGTCGGACATCAACCCAATACTCAGCGCCCTATCCCTCGTCTGCTGCGGCCGCTCCCTGCCCGTGAAGGCGTTGATGCCAGATGTAATGACCTCCTGGAACGTGCTCGTCTGTCTCGGCAGGCTGCCTCGGTGTCTGCTCAGGCCATCGGGAGTGTGAAGGTCCACATCTTCCAGCAATCCTTCATCATGCATTCCCTGAAGTTCTACGCGCTTGTCTCTCCAGACACCGCGACGCAGATCAAAGTTTTCCGCTTCCAACGCTCGCAGACGAGCTTGCAGCTGTCCTGTCTCGCTTTCTGATTCAGACAACTCGAACTCCTCGAGGTTGTCTGGCCGAACGTGCGATGTGCGCTGAGTCTGTCGCTGGAGCTGGGATCGTAGATCTGTGACTTCCCGTTCTCTAGCTTGTGAGGATACTAATGACTCCTTGTGTAATTTGGTGAGCGCTTCAATCTTTTGCTCGAGAGAAATTACTCGCTGAGCGGCCGCTTCGGCACTGCTGTTGGCAGTTCGGAGATCGGATTCAAGAACGCTTATGCGCTTCGTCAGAGCTTCGGGGTCATCACGGGCTGACGCAGTCTCGTCGCTCGGAAAAGAGATAGACACTCGGAGGGCATCAAGCTCCTGCTGAGCCGTTTTGGTCCGCGCTTCAGCGAGGTCAGCGCGCTCTGACAACTCCTGGGTGGATGCATCGCGTTCCGACAGCGACGACTCGAGTGTCGATATCTGGTTGCGAAGGTTGGATATATCGAGCTCCAAAGATTGAATTGTCGAGTCTTTAGATGCAAGCTGTTCTGCTACCTCTGGACTCGCGCTTGAAGATGTCCGGCGCGTCGTAGTCTTCTGCTCTTTCTGCACTTGTGCGAGCTGTCTGTGGGCAGATGCAAGCTCGGCTGTCAGTCGCTGGTTCTCCTTCGCCTTGCTGCGTAGCTCAGCGACTTCACCACTGCCCTCACGCAAGCTCTGCAGTTCCTCCTCGGCCTTGCTCAATCTCTGAATGTTCGCGTCCTGCTGCTCTTTCAGCGACTTGTTTTCCCTTTCCAGCTCTTCGATCTTGGACGTCTGTTTCTTATACAGGTCTTGCACCTCAGACTGGGCAGCCGACGCCTCCTCCTTGAACGACTTTGAGCGTTCCTTTGCTCTCTGCGACACTTCAACTTGCACTTCCTTCTCTTCCTGCGCATCAGCCTCGTCCTCTACGTTTGTTGCGCCCTCTCCCTCCAACAGTGCTGCATCGTCGCTGGGTTCCTCAGCTTTCGCCTCTGTGTCCTTGTCTGTCTTCTTCCGGCCTCCCTTCTTACTATCCTTGGTCTGTTTCTTCTTCAACTGCTCGAACTGAACAGCTCGGTGTTCGTATTAGCCGACGCGCGTGCAGGTTACATGTCGTTGCAGACGTACGCGCTTCTTTGCCGCAGCAAGCTTCTCCGCCTTTTCCTTGTCTTCGTCTGCCATATCAACAATCACGGAGACTTATTGGCGATCGATATTTGTGGCCACGTAACTTGCTGTGGACGAAAGGTCGATGTTGATGGGGTGTGAAGACAGCTGTACGACCTCGCGAAACTCAAGCTAGGTACCGTACCTTACCTTAAGGTACCTTAGCCTTACAAAAGGTACAACGATACCTAAGGTACAGTACCTACCTAGTACTTTACCATAGAATACGGCACTAAACCTGCCGAGCCCGCTCAACACCAATGGAACCAGGACAGCACGAGCAATAACAGGAGGCGGAAAATCATGGTAGGAGGTACAGCAGTGTCACTTTCTGGAAGTCACATGATACCGTATATGGCAATACAACGACCCCTATTTGGTTAGCAGAGAGACGGCTTGCTGAAGACCCTAGAATGGTGCCCACCGAGCACACGATGGTTGATCTGAGCGAAGTGAGCACATGGCGGGGGTAAGGCATCGGCCAGGCGTACAGCGAGAAGAAAGGTAACAGTCTCATGAAACCGTGAGTCATTTCCGTCTAGGAGTATTCTTTCTTTCGTCGCTATAAAACTAGACCCTCAACAGAGCCCTATAGATTCTGCATGCCCAGTCTTTGTGAGCTGCGAAGTTTTGAGGGTGCGTTGCTCAGATGAGCTGTTGGAACGCCCGGTTGAGAGGCGATCTCAGAGGCTTGACCTCCTTGTAGAAATCAATAGTGGCCACAGCACGCTTCGCGACTCCCTCAGGTGTGAATTCGAACTTTGCGTACACCTCCTTGTAAGGACCTGAAGCACCGAAGCGGTTGAGGCCGAACTGCTCGTGAGAGTACTTCTCCCAACCCATGGTGCTCATGACCTCAACAGATAGCGATGGGATACCGTCTGGGATGACCTTGAGCTTGTAATCCTTTGGTTGCGCATCGAAAACCTCCATGCAAGGCATGGAAACGACCCGTGCCGTCACACCATTCTTCTCCTTGAGGTACTTGGCAGCCTCCAAGCACAGCGAGACTTCGGATCCCGTGGACACGAGAGTGATCTGCGCTCCTTCGACCTCACTTGCAACGTATCCACCCTTGATGCCGTTCTCAATGGTGGAACCCTCGAGCTGTGGCAGATTTTGGCGGGTAAGAGCGAGAATCGACGGCGTCTCCTGAGAAGTAAGGGCTACGTAGTAGGCCGCAGAGGTCTCGTTACCGTCAGCTGGACGCCAGACCATCATGTTCGGCAGAGCGCGGAAGTGGGCAAGTGTCTCGATAGGCTGGTGAGTTGGTCCATCTTCACCAAGGCCAATGGAGTCGTGAGTAGCGATGTAGATGACGCGCTGGCGAGAGAGCGAGGAGAGGCGGACAGCTCCAGCAGCGTAGGATACAAAGTTCAGGAAGGTGCCACCAGCCGGAATGAGAGTACCGTAGGCTGCGAGACCGTTCATGATACCAGCCATGGCGTGCTCACGGACACCATAGCGCAAGTAGCGACCACTCCACTCACCAATACCCAAGCTTGGTGGTTGGAAGTCAACGGCACTCTTCCAGCGGGTGTTGTTGGAGCCAGTCAAATCTGCCGAACCGGAGAGGAGCTCTGGAACGGCTCCGTAAATGGCCTCGAGCACAGACTCGGACAGTTTACGCGAAGCTACAGCCTTGTCGGCAGGCTTGTAGACTGGAAGCTTGTTTTGCCAACCTTCTGGTAGCTTGCCAGTCAATCGGCGCTTGAGATCAGCGCCGAGCTCCTTGTGCTCGCTACAGTACTTCTCGAGCAGCTGGTTCCACTCCTGCTCGGCTGCAGCACCTTCGGCTGCGTGCTTGTGATATTGATCGTAGACTTCTTGTGGAACAGCAAAGCTCTTGCTTGGGTCGAAACCGAACTTCTCCTTGACTTGCTTGCAATCGTCCTCCTTGAGAGGATTACCGTGCACGCCGCCAGTACCCTGGAGGACAGAGCCAAACCCGATTGTGGTGGTAAGTCGAATCATCGATGGCTTGTCGGTGACCTCCTTGGCCTTCTTGATGGCAGCCTCAATGCCCTCGAGATCATTATCGCCATCCTTGACCCACTGCACGTGCCAGCCGTAAGCCTCAAAGCGCTTTGTGACGTCCTCAGTGAAGGCGCACTTGGTGTCACCATCTGCGGGGGGGAGTCAGTTGGAAAAAGCGGCTTGCGGCCCATTCTGAGTGACTCACCAATGGAGATGTGGTTGTCGTCGTAGATGGCAATCAGGTTGCCGAGCTGCAGATGACCAGCGGTGGAAGCAGCCTCGCTGGCAACGCCCTCCATGGCGCAGCCATCGCCGAAGAATGTGTAGGTGTAGTTGTTGATCAGCTCGAAGCCAGGCTTGTTGAAGACAGCGGCGGTGTGTGCCTGTGCGATCGCAAGACCCACAGCGTTTGTGAAGCCCTGGCCAAGAGGACCGGTGGTGACTTCAATGCCGGGTGTATCGTGGGACTCTGGATGACCGGGAGTCTTGCTGTCCACCTGACGGAACGCCTTGAGATCGTCGATGCTGAGGTCGTAGCCGAACAGGTGCAACAGGGCATACTGGAGCATGCAGCCGTGGCCGTTGGAAAGCACGAAACGGTCGCGGTTGAGCCACTTGGGGTTCTTGGGGTTGAAGGTCATGAACTTGTTGAACAAGACGTGGGCGACGGGGGCCATGCCCATGGGCGCACCGGGGTGGCCCGAGTTGGCGGCGAACGTGGCATCGACCTACAGGAGGCACTGTGTCAGCGGGTGAAGGGCGAAGTCTGGCGTGGGTGATTGCGCGTGCTGGTTTGCACGCGAGAATGGGAGGGAGGAAAAAAAAGCTGTATGCAGCGGTGATTCGGTTGAGAAGGAGGGGCAGCACTCACGGCCAGCGTCCTGTGCTCGAGTTAGCAGTTGCCATTGCAAGCTCGGGTTGGGGGAGACGACTGACCGAATGGTGTTGATAGCACGCTCGTCGGTCTTGTCGTAAGGCATGATGGCGGTTCTGGGGGGGTGTTGTCTGGTAGAAACGAGACTGGAAAAGAACGGAGGTGAAGAGTGCGAGATTCTGAGGTATGATCTCACCTCCGTGCTCGAGTTAGTAGGCGGGCGGGAATCTCTTGGGTGCAGCTTAGTAAGCTGGTTCTAGTGGGGCAGGTCAGGGTAAGCAAAGGCCGATCGCCGGTTTCACAATAATATGACGGCGGCTCTCGTTAATGTATGCGTTATGCTGGTGGACAAGAGAGGTCAGATCATCAGTCGGGAGGTTGTACAGCGACGGACTGTCACTTTACCTTAATAACACAAACACGACCCACCAATGCCGACGGAGATGCACCACACATGGCACATGCTTCCACCCACTCTCTATCTTTCTATGTGTGAAGCGCTGGAAAAGACAGTCGCGTCGGCTCGGCCGCGGAGAAGGGTGGGCGTAGCGTAGTGGGGTGAAGGCCTTGGCCCTTCAGGTTCTTTATTTTTGTGATGAGAGATGGTAATAAGATAGTGGCAACTTGAACACATGTCCCTACCTCAGGTAGGTAGGGACCTAACAATGTACCTGAGCCACTTGGCTTCCCTTTCGACGCCAATATATACACGTACACGGCTCATATGCCTGTCTATCCAATACTACTGGTACAGGACCTCCGTGGCCTTTTCGCTTGAACGCTGCAAATGTCGTCGTCGTTCATCATTTCATTCGTCAGAGCGACTTCCTCGGGAACAGGAAGCTCTCTCAATCGATACAAGTACAAATCGTCACTTCTTCGAGTACATATAGGCGTAGACCTTCCGTGAACCTTCCGTGGACTTCCGAGGGGAGCCGCTGGGCTTGTCATTTGGATCCTTGATGGATCATTGTGCGCATGCCGTGCGGCTATGCTGCGCATTCTCGACAGTTTCAATATAGTTCCGCGGGCGAGAACAGTAAGCAGAGTTGGAGATGTATATACTCTTTTGGAGGTCGTTCGCAGCTGTTTCGCCTCTGCGCTTCGCGGCCAAGGTCGAGCTGCTCAGTGACGGCCTATGATTTCTCATTTGCTGACATCCCGGAGTGACCGTCTTGCTACTGGCTGTAGCAGGGTAGCCGGAGTACATTGGCGACCTGGGAACTGCTTGATTGCTCGACCTTGGGATTCTTGGATATCGTATGTGAGAAATTGGTGATTCAGCAACAGCAGACAAGCGCTTATCGTCCTCCTCTGGTGGCGTCAGCTCGTCTGGAAGATTGCTCTCGAACGAAGTGCGTCGTGAGGCTTCTGATCCGACGGAATCTCGAGCAGTTTCTGGGAAACATGGAGCCGGAGACACAAAAATGGCCTGAGGTGATGCACCACTATCTGAGCTTGCATAATAGTCCAACAGACTGATCTTGCTTGATAATGTACCTGACTGCGAGCTGCATCGGTCTTCGTCTGCCATATGAACTGGTGGAGGTGGTGGCAGAAGTGGCCAGCTTCCAAATTCGCAAGCATACGGCACACGGAGATGTTGCTCAGGGATGACTACAGCCAGAGCAGGCTGTGCCAAGCCGCGCAATCGTGTCTGTCTGGTTTTCAGAACTGCGGGGTGTGCAGGAAGGCCTGGTACTCTTACACGCGGCAATATCGAGGTGTGCTCTCCCTCAAACAGAGTCGCAGGTGTCGATACCGATTGCGAATAGGTTGTTGCTGGTGGCGGAGGCGTGGTCCCTGGTGGCTCCGGAAGTAATTGAGACACAGTTCGTGTGCTCGTGTTGCGCCTCGATTCGCTCCACTCTGTCATTTGTTCACCACGCTGTTCGTGAAGTCGGTGGTGCTGCGAAGGCCATACAGTGTCATGCTTCTCATATGGTAGCTCAGTGTGCGCCGGAAAGTGGTCGTTGAAGATTGATTGATGAACACCTTCAGAGTCGTGAAGGAACGGCCAATATCGATTCGAGCCTTTGTGCACCAAGTCATACGATAGCCGGCTTTTTCTTTCTCTGCTCGCCTTACGTCGCCGTATGCACGATAGCTGCCAAATGAACAGGTCGAGGTAAGCAAATATCTCTAACCGAAACCCAACCCGTCTTTACAGATAAATCTTTGAGCTTGTCGCCTCGATCGACTCGAGCCAGTGAAACAACAGGAAAGTAGGGAGACTCTTCGGATAGCGAGGACTTACCAGGTAGACTATGCTAACGACAATAGCCACACCCGAGACGACGCCGATCGAGATACCAACAGCTTGCCCACTTGTCAAGGTGGACTTCGAGGTGGCAGTATCAGAAGGCTTAGCAGCTGGAGTGCTCGTGGCTGCCGACGCTGGCGTGCTGGCAGCCCTTGCCGACGTTGAGCTAGCTGCATGCCAGCTGGTCAAAGTCCTAGACGCTGTTTGACTTGTGGGAGAAGACGTCCGCAATGGCGCTGTGCTTGTTGACGACGGCGTCGTTCCATACACAGTGGTGGTGAGAACGGTATGTAGACCAGGCACGGCATCCGGTGATTTGGAGCACACATTATATGCGTCGATCGCCGTCTGATCGTCGACTGTCTCTGCACAGTTTCCACTCTTTGCACAGATGAGAGCCATCTCGCCGAGCGTGTAAGAATCATTGGCATATCTGTTACACAGACACGAGCTGTCGCGACACGCTTCGGTATACTCGTTGTCGACCCAATCGCTGAGGCAGGTGAGGGCGCACGCTGGCACAGCATCCTGGAGCTGCTTCGGGATCGTGGAGTCCGTCGTGCTCGATCTCCGCAACAAATATGGTCCTGCAGAAGAATGGAGCCGTAGAGGCATTGTGCTTTGACGAAGCGTGCACGAAATATGAGCCTCTGGCTACACACCTGTACATGAAAGTTGTACAGCCGTCCAGCAGCGTCGAAGCAGGTACATGTATACAACTACACAAGTGAAGGATGAAAATATTGGAAAAGGGTTGAATTGGCCAGGAGGGCTGCGACATAGATACATGTAGCCATCTCGTCGGTGGACATGTATATGGCTGGCTGCCGCCGGGCATATCGTCACCGTAGCACCTATGGGCAGCATAATGCAGACGCCAGCGGCACCTGTGTTGTTGTTATTGGGAGAGCGTGGGAAGTAGCAGCGTTAGGTAATGGAGGATGGGCGCGTAACGGAGAACTAAGGTAAGGGTCAGGTACTGCACCCTTAGCCATGTGCTGTGAATCCTATAAATAATAGCGCCCACGGGAGCCGCCGCAGCCTGCAGGATCGGGGCTCGGGGTCTCGGTTTCGGAACTGCGATCGAAGCATGGATGTTCTAGTTCTCCCATATCATCATCCATTGATGAGTCTTGCGGCTCTTGCCCGCCCATTGACTCATCCAAGGACAATTTACATTTAACAGACTGGACCCCTCTTCACCACACTGCTGACGACTGAATATTGACGACCATCATCACCACCACCCACACCACCCACACCACCACCACCACCACTACTACTACTACTACCACTACCACCACCTACTCTCTTTAAGCCGTCTGATCCCCCACCATGGCGGAGGGCATCAGGAAGGCGTTCGCTCGAGCGAAGAGCGAAGGCCGAGCAGCGCTGGTCACATACACCACCGCTGGCTATCCCACCATCGCAGAAACTTCCGATATCCTGCTGGGCATGGAAGCAGGTGGTGCAGATGTCATCGAGCTGGGCACGCCTTTCACAGATCCCATCGCCGACGGCCCCACCATCCAGACTGCCAACACGCTCGCCTTGGCCAATGGCACCACCACGACGTCCTGTCTAAACATTGTGAAAGAGGCGAGGGCCAAGGGCCTGCAGGCTCCGGTGCTGCTCATGGGCTACTACAATCCGCTGCTGGCGTACGGCGAGGAGCGCATGCTTCAGGATGCAAAGGCGGCCGGCGTGAATGGCTTCATCATGGTCGACCTGCCGCCTGAGGAGGCCGTGCGATTCCGCCAGCACTGCAAGAACTACGGCCTCTCCTACGTCCCGCTGATTGCACCGTCTACAAGTGAGAAGCGCATGAAGCTGCTGTGCAGCATTGCCGACTCTTTCATTTATGTCGTGTCGAGGATGGGCGTCACTGGTGCTACTGGCGCGCTCAGCACTGGACTGCCGCAGCTGGTCGAGCGTGTTCACCAGTACTCGAACGGTGCCCCGGCTGCTGTCGGATTTGGCGTCAGCACGCGAGAGCACTTCGTCGAGGTCGGGCAGGTCTCTGAGGGCGTGGTCATCGGCAGTCAAATCATCACAACCATCAAGAACGCGCCCTCAGGGCAGGGGGCGAAGGCTGTGGAGGAGTACTGCCACAAGATCACTCAGCGACGGAACTCTCGACAAGTTCCCGACCCCAGTAACGGGCATAGTATCTCCACCGCCGCGAATACGAATGGAGACGGCAGCGGCTGGATCAAGCAGACGAACGGCGAAGCCCCCAAAGAAATCTCCACCGCCGACCCCACAAAGGAGCCTGCAAGTCATTCCAGCCCGACCAACGGCACTGTTCATGTAGACGGGGTAATCAAGGATTCGGATACAAAGGGCCCTGGTCTGGCTGACCAGCTCGAAGCATTGAACACAGATGAAAAGGACCCTGAGTTGGTGCCCTCACGCTTTGGTCAATTTGGCGGACAATATGTACCAGAGTCGCTGATGGACTGCCTGGCAGAATTGGAACGTGGCTTCAGCGACGCGATCAATGACCCCAAGTTCTGGGACGAGTTCCGATCATATTACCCTTACATGAGCCGTCCGTCCAGTCTGCACAAGTCGGAGAGACTCACCGCTCGAGTGAGAGAAGAGAGTCAGCCCGGACATGGCGCAAATATCTTCCTGAAGCGCGAGGATTTAAATCACACTGGTTCTCACAAGATCAACAATGCAATCGGTCAGATACTGATCGCTCGGCGGTTAGGCAAGACTGAAATCATTGCAGAGACTGGGGCCGGGCAGCACGGTGTCGCCACTGCCACTGTCTGTGCCCGATTCGGCATGAAGTGCACAGTGTACATGGGCGCCGAGGATGTGCGAAGACAGGCACTCAACGTATTCAGGATGAAGCTGCTCGGGGCCTCTGTCGTTGCAGTAGAAGCTGGTTCGCGCACACTTCGTGATGCTGTCAACGAAGCGTTGCGGAAGTGGGTGGAGAAGCTCGACACGACACACTACATCATTGGCTCTGCTATCGGGCCTCATCCGTTCCCGACCATGGTGCGCACATTTCAGAGCGTGATTGGCCAAGAGACGAAAGAACAGATGCATGAGCTGACGGGCCGCTTACCTGACGCTGTTGTCGCGTGTGTCGGCGGCGGCAGCAATGCTGTCGGCATGTTCCACCCCTTTTCCGAAGATTCTAGCGTCAAACTCCTCGGAGTCGAAGCGGGTGGTGATGGCATCGACACACTGAAGCATAGCGCGACGCTGTCTGGCGGCAAGCCTGGTGTGTTACACGGCGTGCGAACGTATGTGTTGCAGAGTGATGAAGGCCAGATCAGCGAGACGCATTCCGTCTCGGCAGGTCTCGACTATCCGGGAGTTGGTCCAGAGTTGTCGGGTTGGAAGGACAGCGAACGCGCCAAGTTCATTGCAGCGACGGATGCGGAGGCCTTTATTGGCTTCAAGCTGCTGTCGGAGCTGGAAGGTATCATTCCCGCGTTAGAGACGAGTCATGCGGTGTATGGCGCGGTGCAGTTGGCGAAGACGATGAAGAGCGACCAGAACATTGTCATATGTCTATCGGGCAGAGGCGACAAGGACGTGCAGTCGGTGGCAGAGGAACTGCCACGGATCGGGCCTAAAATTGGTTGGGATTTGAGGTTCTAATTGTTCCTCCTCGTACTGTTTGTTTGTTTGTTTGTTTGGTACTGCTTACTGGCTGCATATTAATCGTTGCTGGGGGGGCCTTTTGGGTTGCTATCTCTGTATCTTGTACATTACATGTACCTCAGGTAGGCGACTGTGCGTAAAGCGAGACGCACGATGATCATTCGTTCGCTACATGGCTCTTTTTGACAATACCTGAAGAGGGCTTTTCATAGATGTCAAATCATGACCCACGGGTCGAAGCCAACCTGAGCTTACTTAGGTACCTTACCTTACCTCCTAGTACAATGTACCTCGTAGTTGTCTGAGCCTTTGAGGAAAACCATGTCAATCGCCACAATGTCTGCCATTCCACTCTCCATTTTCCTGTAGACAAACTGATAATTGTTATTACCTTAATGAGGTAACAACTCCACATCTTTCGCCTACTAACTACCTGTACCTTACCCCTCTCGCGCCTCCAAGCCATTTTACCTGAACTGGTTTCCACAGTACCACCTAGAACGTAGGTGGAGGTACCTCTTAGTTCACTCCAGAGCCCCACTCACCGAGGTCCCTCATCCATCATCTGCCACACACCTCCTACCTCCCACCTCCCACCTCCTCGTCATCCACATGGCCGACTGGTACTGGGAATATGTAGGAGGTACCTAACTTTGAAAAGGAGGCCAAAGTACATAAGGATCAGGTAGGTACCTGACCTTTTTATACCTCCCCTCCCTCTGTTTTCCCCCTTCCCTCTCCTTTTTAGGTATATTGTCTTTTTTTTTTCACCCAAATATGACCACTCCAGAGATTCCCAAGAAACACAAGGCTGTCATTTATGATGAGCCCGGCAAGATTTCTACCAAGCTCGTCGAGCTCGATACACCCGAGCCCGGTCCCGGCGAGGTGTTGATTAATTTGACTCACTCTGGTGTCTGTCATTCGGATCTAGGTTGGTTGGAACATTGATTTTTTTTTTATATATGTAGCATGCGATCGAGTGCAGTCTACTAACAACACGCTACTAGGTGTCATGACCAATCGATGGGCTGGTAAGTGAGATTCGATGGTATTCTTTTCTTTTTCGTATTGCATGACAGGAAACAATTGAAACGTTCTTCTTCTTCTTACAGTGGCGGGCGACTGATGAAAACAATGTAATTCTCCAGGCCTCCCATTCCCAACTCAACCCGGACAAGTCGGTGGCCACGAAGGCGTGGGACGAGTGGTCAAGTGTGGACCCGGTACAGAACACAGCACCGTCAAAGTCGGAGACCGGGTAGGAATCAAATGGATCAGTGGCATCTGTGATAGCTGTCCCGCCTGTCTGGCCGGCCACGATGGAGTGTGTTTCAATGCAAAGGTATCAGGTTACTACACACCGGGAACTTTTCAGCAATATGTCCTAGGACCTGCCAAGTATGTATCATGAGTGAGGGACTACTGCTGCTGCTGCTGCTGCTGCAATTGGTGTTCGCGAGAAAAACATTGAATCTGAGCTAATTATTTTCTCCTCTCTCTCTCTCACAGCTACGTGACACCCATCCCGGAATCTCTCCCCTCGGACGCTGCGGCCCCAATGCTCTGTGCAGGTGTCACCGTATACTCTGCCCTTCGAAAGTCCGGAGCGCAGGCGGGTGACACAATCGCAGTAAGTTTTGAAAGCAAAATGCCAATCATGATTCCCCGTGTGTCCGAGAAGAAAGCCTTCACTTCTTACCTGCAACATTTGAATGACATTTTTTTTTTCTTTTCTTTTGATGATAGATTCTTGGAGCTGGTGGTGGCTTAGGTCACTTGGCTTGCCAAATCGCTGCGAAAGGCATGGGAATCCGAGTCATCGGTATTGATGCAGGCAACAAGAAAGATCTTGCCATGGAGTGTGGAGCGGAAGTCTTCATCGATCACACACAGGGCAAAGCTGAAGAGGAGGTCAAGGCCGCGACTGGAGGATTGGGCGTACAGTAAGTCACTCCAAAAAAAAAGAAGGCCGCATGAAGAAAGAAACCCGACATGATGAAGTTCTGAGAGCTACCTTATTTGTTGACTGTTCGGTGTACTAACTACCTTCTTCTACTTTTGTAGGGCAGTGCTCGTCCTGACAGCGGCCAATGCGGCTTACGCATCTAGCATGGGCATGCTAAAATTCGGAGGCACGTTGGTCTGCGTGGGTCTGCCAGAAGGAGAGCTCAAGGTAAGCGGCCAGTGGCAAATCATGGGCATGGGCATGAAACCACATCAGCGTCCATGACAGCTCGCTCTATCAGACCATCCATCTGTGCTACGCTGACTAAAGTCTTCTTATCGCAGGCCATTGCCACCGCTTACCCACAATTTCTAGTTGCCAAAGCACAAAAGATTGTGGGTGTGGCAGTGGGTAATCGCAAGGAGGCCATAGAGACGCTCCAGTTCGCGGAGCGTGGCCTGGTGAAGACGCACTTTACTACCGCGAAGCCGGAAGAGCTCACCAGCATCTTCGAACGAATGGACAAAGGAGAAATCAGTGGTCGCGTCATTCTCGATCTGTCCTGAGCGTAGCCATATAGCAGCGCATAGTCAACGGCCTTGAAGTCTCTCACATCCATCCATCGTCACGCACGGCAAGCCCTTGGTGAATCTTCGGCAGAACATTTCACGTGATATTTTCTGTATGTCGTGGCAGCATTACTAACTGTCTACACAATGTCATTCTAGTCGCGCTTGCCAAAGACCTTGTCGTAATTCGTGAGGACATATCGGTAGCGGACCGTATTATCGTAGACGCCCGTGACAACTTCGGCACAACCCTCTGCAGAGATATCAACTTTCTTGATCCAGCTCTTGATGTTCTGCTTCGAGGCGAGATCAAACATAGCGAGCATCTCGGGGCGGTTGCCAATGTGCGAGGCGCCAATATAGCAGCCTACAGAACATCAAATATGATTAGTAATCGTCGACTGAGGTCAAATCATATATCCGCCGCCACATACCGTTGCCTGCAAAGTCCTGGGCCATCATCTCCGGCAAAGGATGGTCACCCAAACCCACGTTGTGGAAGCGTCCCATAACCTTCATTGTGCCAAAGTAGTCTTTCAAGTTGAACTTGTGAGTGGCATCGGCGCTGCAAGCAGACAGAGTTAGCACACGTCGCATAAACATGTCTGCTCCTCAGTACTGACCAGTTGAGGATGAAGTCAAAAGTAAACGCCAGATCCTTGTGCCAATCCTTCTCACTGGTGACAACGAAGTGCTTGGCACCCATCTTGAGCGCATCTTCCTTCTTGTTCGGGCTGTGAGACAGAACGTATACCTCGGCACCAAGTGCTGATGCCCAGAGGACAGCGAAATGGCCGAGGCCACCTAGGCCAACAATAGCGACCTTCTTGCCAGGACCCGCTCCCAGGCGAACAAGCGGGGAGTAGACAGTCAAGCCAGCACACAGCATAGGAGCTGCGACTTCGCTCTCAATGTTGTCTGGGATTTTGAAAGTGAAGTACTCGTGAGCTCGAATGTGCGATGCGTAGCCACCCTGTCCGGACAGTACTGTCAGCTTCCGATCTCGTCTGTTGAATGTCGGAAACAATCACACTCACCTGCGACACCGTTCCATCTTTGTATTCCGCACCATATGTATCTACACGGTAACAGTTGCATTAGAATGGTACGAATGGCGGCCACGAGATATGGGACCTACCGATTTGATTGGGGCAGTAGTTCTCCTAGAAGAAGTTGTCAGTTCGAGAGTGTGACTTCAATGTTGTCGTGGGGAAGTCATACTTGATCAGCCTTGCAGTTGCCACAGGTGAGGTCGGCTCCAATCTGAGCTCCCACGCCTACGCGATCGCCCACCTTTATGGTTTTGACTTGGCTGCCGACCTTGATGGCTCTACCCACCACCTCTGCATTGCGTCAGTGCTGGTCAAATATACATGTACAGCAATGATGCAGTCCACGAACCGTGTCCAACACAAATGGGCAACGGGGTTTCTCCCCATCCACCTGAGCTGTGACAATGTCAGCGCTGCCGATCCATTCGGAAGCTGAGGTATTCAAGAAGTACATTGTGTGTACATCCGAGCCGCAGACACCACAGCACTCGATGGCAATGTCGATATCCCGGTCCTCAAACGGCTTCAGCTTGAATTCCTTCTTCTCGAAGTTCTTCCACTGCTTCTGGTCGGAGATCATGAACCCCTCGGCGGTGTCTGGATATACCATGTTGGCGGAGCTCTGGTGGCGGTTACCAGGTAGGGCTTGGTGGGGGGTGTCTGTGGTGAGCGTGTCGATGGAAGGAGGACGAGGAAGTGGTGGAAGGTAGTGGTAGAGGTGGTGGTGATGGTGGTGGAGGAGGAGGAGGTAGAGTAAGGTATCTGTAGGCAAAGAATTATGCTGCTTTGGCGGGCAGGCCGTACCTAATCAAACAGTGCAGCAGAACTTCTCAGCTTGCAGTTGCCCAGTGGGATCTCGGAGCAGCGTGACCTCATTCGTCGTAATGGATTAGGTTGTGATTCCGCTTTCAGTTGGGCCTGGTAATGTGCCTTCCCGAATACTATATATACCTGTAGGTACATGGACCTTAAGACTACATGTATATGGAGATACCTGTAGTTCAATCTTCCCTCACGATGGTCGACTCGTCGAGCACATTGTGATACTACATCCTATCCTATTCTGCCCACGCTCTTGCAATGTGAATTTCCAATAAGTCCAGGTTGGTCAAGCTCGACATGCGGATATCGCTGCTCGGGACAAAGACGACCGGCGGGGCAAGGTGCGTCCAATTGGCAATCCCACAGTCCAGATCCATATTTACGAGATGCATAAGCCTATTGTGCACAATGGCGAGTAGTTTGTGTCGAATATATCACTCAGAATTGCCATAATAGCAGCATACCAAGAGGGCATAAGGTAGGTACCTATAGGTACTATCAATGTTAGTCGACTGAGACATGACTGGGTATGTGGGCATTGGTTATGAGGCGTGGATATAGCTTCTAGCTAGGAGGTACTAATAGCAGGAAGCTAGGAGGTCAGGTAGGTGTAGGGTATGGTAAGGTATGTACATGTAGGTAAGTTGCTGTTGAGGCGGAAAATGCAGATGTCATTTCAACTCAGCCTTCCATGTCATCAAATACCTGTACCTAATAAAAGGTACCTACCTCCACCATCAAAATGTCGTCGAATGTCAAGCGGATATATCCGGCGGCTCCGCGGGGGAAGAAGTGAGAGGGGGGCGACTGGTAGGAGGTAGGTAGGTAGGTACCGTACCTGAGGTAGGAGGTAAGAGGTAGGAGGTAGCGGGGTGGAGGTATACCTACCTAGTCTAGCGGCGGAATACATGTAGCTATGCACTGCATAAACTTAGGTATGAATCAAGTACAGACTGCAGGTACCTCCTAGGTTAGGATTGGACTGTTCGGACGCGGACTGCAAGGGAGAAAACATGCCTGAGGCGTGATTGAAAGAGTCGTTGGCAAAGGAGGTTTCGACCAAGTCCTACCTCCTATCAGGCGGCAGAAAAGTGGGTGAAATCAGAAAATTGAAATGGTCGCAAGGTCGCTGCAAAAACGATCGATTCACATGTACTCCCAAGACATTGTACTTCTACCAAGCCACCACGTTTCCTGGACGGTAAAACTAAGGTGATGAGGCGGCACTTGCCTTTTCTGTCGAAACCTTAGTTCTAAGCCACCGTTTGTGCGCCGTGCACTGCATCACAAAAGACAATCTCCGACTCGCGCATCCATCATACCAGCAGATCAGCAGATTGGCAGATCACAACAGACGGACGGGACAACCTGCCTCCCGTCCCATGATGAGGTGATGGCATTCTTTGGCATTAAACAACGCCTCACTCTCTTGCCTTTGGGTACAGACGATGGGGAAATTGCTACCTCCTACTACCGCCTTCTACACAGCACACGTGCAAGGTGAGGTACTTTGTAGGGGGTGTTTCTTATTGGTGCCGGACGACTGGAGGTGATGTGTTGAGACTTGTGGCCCGATCAATACCTAGTACTGTAGGAGGTAGGAGGTAGCTGGAGGTGTGCCTGAGCAATTCCACGTCATGACCGCATTTTTGCATGATAGAACACTAATAAACCTGGTTGATGACGAGCCACACGCCACACTTGCACTAGGGAGGCAGGAGAAACGCCATACTCTAACTAGGAAAGCAGGATGCACGATCCCCGGAAAGAGGCTCAGCGATCGGAAAATTGCGACAGACAGACAATGAAAAAAAGACTTCACACAAGTCGGGAAGTGCCAAGCCCAAGGTGGAACCTGCGTTCAATTGCCCAAACAAAAGAAGTGACGTAGGGGGATCATGTTCCCTCTACATGCATCAAGGCACTTGCAGGTCTGGTCAGGTCAGGTAGTACCTCCTCAAGTACATCATACATGTACCTAGGCACATCAGGCATGCACATACCTGACATTACCTCACTTACCTCCTCTACTACCTACCTGTACCTCTACGTCCTGCATATATAGGTCGGGAAAAGGTCGCTATCCAGTCCATTGCATTGCTCTGTCATCACCCACACCACCACCACCACCACCACCACCACCACTCCACTCCACCATACATACCTGACCGCGACGCAATGGCTCTCATCAAGGGCGGCTTCCTCCGTCTCTTTCAGACCTTTCTGTACCTACTCGCCTTCTTGTGCGCCGCCCTCATTCTCGCCATCTACAGCTATTTTCTGGCTACCCTCGCCGATCGCAATGGCAACATCATGACTTGGGTCAAGGCCGTCGAGGGCATCAGCGGCGCTGCTGTTCTCTACACCATCTTCGCCGTTCTCCTCACCTGTTGTCTGGGAGGCATCAGTATCCTGGCCTTCACTGCAATTGTACGTGGCTACCTAGCTAGAGGAGCATTGCGTGTGTCTGTCTGTACCTCGCTGACAATATACCAGCTCCTGGATATTGCCTTTGTTGGCGGCTTCATTGCCTTGGCCGTTCTTGTAAGTTGTCAAAACGGAAGATGGTGACGCCTACTACCTTCTTTGTCACTGACTCCTCTCTCTCTCCACAGACGCGTGATGGCGCTCATTCTTGCTCGGGAATCGTACGTACGCCGTTGGGCACTGCCCCAGCTCAGAGGGCGTCCGGTAGCTTCGACGATCAGATCACGTACCGCGTCTCTCAGCGCACTGCTTGCCTCTTGAACAAGGCCTGCTTCGCTGTCAGCATCATCGGCGCCTTCTTGTTCCTCGTCACCGCCGCCATGCAGGTCGCTCTCGTGAGACATCACAAGAAGGAGAAGCGCTATGGTCCGAGTAAGTTCAGTCGCGTCCCAGGTATTGACATCTGCTGACTAAGTATTCTCTGCGTGCGTAGGCCCAAAGAACAATTACACTAGCGGCTACGGCAAGAAGAAGTTTTGGCAGCGCAAGCCAAAGAATACTACGACACGGGACGCTGAGATGGCTGGTGGCGCTGGAGGGCTTGCCGTTCCCCAGCACGATAACCGCGCCTCGTACGAAACCGGAACTACCGTCGTCGGGAACAACACTCTACCTCACGACAAGGTGGAGCAGCCTCCATACGTTCCCCAAACAGCGACATCCCATTCAGGTTACTACACTCAGCCACAGACGGGTGCAAATCCGTATGGCACTACTGGCACGGCTACTAATTACTGAGCAATCGCCTCTTTTCTGTAACCTGGGAAAATGACTCAGCAACTGTTGGCGTACCTGTGTCTGTGTATTGCAGAAGTGGAAGAAGGTTGAACCAGACATAAACAGCGGTACGGCGCAGGGACTTCACGAGTGTACAATTATGACGATCAGACCACGAGCAGATACCTTAACGATCAGACGAAGCGTACCTGGTAGGTACGATATAGTACCTAATCACACTAATATAATATGAGTTTGTGAGACAATACCCATCACGTTCGGTCTCTTCTCCTTCTCTGCATCCGGGAGTGACATTCTGGTGATCTACAGGTGACTGGGGTCATTCTGTATCTTGTTCTGTGAACGCATACTTTTATCACCTTGCTAGCACATGCCGAGCGCTCCTACATTTGTCGCAGGGACATAACACCTCATGCTTCAAGGCTGAGTTTGAGCTGTCTCATGTGGTGCTTCCGTCATCTTTTAGTATCGGCATCCGCCCCTCGTGTATTCCAGACTACCAAACTCCTATGTAGCGGGGTAGGTAGTAGGAGGTAGTACTAAGGTAGTATATTCGCTGCCATGAAATACCCTTAACCCATACATACCTGGTACCTTACGAAGTTACGATACCTTCCACATTGTTGGCACTGGGATTCCCGCGTGCCGATGTTACTGTAGGAGGTACGCCTGAGACAAGTCTGAGAGTAACGGCAGCAGCTGTAGCTTTACTGTAGGAGGTACGGGAGTTAGGAGGTAGTACACTAGAGGTAGACTGCGTGCTGTACACCCGTGTGTCCACTAGAACTATACCTACCTAGCCTACCACCCCCTAGGTACGTTCATTACATGTACCTTAAGGGCCTGTTCAATAAGGTGTCGCCGACCTGCTAGGTAACCTGCCGCGGGTTGGTTTCCACGTATTGAACGCTTTTATTGGTGATATATTATATACTTAATATATTGAACGCTTTGGCAGCTCTATCTACCTGCTACATGTTCTTAAACCTACCCGTAGGTTGCTAACCTGCTACCGCAGGTTGGCAACCTACGACAGGTTGCCGGGTTACCTAAATAGGTAACCCGGAACACCTGCTAGCAGGTTTCTACAAATGCTGCTATTTGGCTACATTGCTCTCAACCTGCGGATATTTACAGGTATACGTCGTACGAATACCTAGGTAGGTATCTATTGAACAACATATACTACGAACGATACGGCAGGTTCTCTAGGACGACCGGAAACCTGCAAAAACTAATATCCCTACTTTGCCGCGAATTCGTATTCTATAGAACCTGTCGACTGACCTGCCGTACTGCTACGCAGATTGGTTAATACGTTATTGAACAGGCCCTAACAGGTACAGTAGCTCTAGGGGATGACGTCGAGCCGGAACTTCCTACATGTGGCTCTGTCCCCAAGTACATGTACTTTTTTGGTGCATCACTCATATCATAATATGTGATGACCGCGTATCTCCTAGTCAAACGACACTCCTTCCTGGATCTGTTTTCCCGTGCCCGCTGGCAGTGAAGACAAGCTAACATGACAACGCCTCGAGTCTTTGTGATTCGCCACGGCGAAACAGAATGGTCACTCAATGGCCGCCATACCGGCATCTCGGACATTCCCTTGACAGAAAATGGCGAAAAGCGGATTCGAGCCACGGGAAAAGCTTTGGTGGGCGACGATCGTCTCATTGTACCGAAGAACCTGGCCCATGTATATGTCTCACCGCGGAGGCGTGCTCAGCGGACGCTGGAGCTGTTGGGATTAGGGTGTGAAGAAGAGCTTCCATGGAACCAGCATGGCAGGCTAGAAGAGAGTGCACACAAGACTGAGGCCAAGGTGGAAGTCACCGAGAGCATACGCGAGTGGGACTACGGCGACTACGAAGGCATCACGTCCCAGGAGATCAAAGAGCAGAGGAAGCAAAAGGGCGAGAAGGAGTGGGATATCTGGAGGGATGGCTGTCCCGGCGGCGAGAGCCCTGAACAGGTCACTGAACGCCTCGATGCCCTCATAGCAGATATCAGAAAGCGATTTCACGCCCACGCAATAGGCAAACCCAAGGGCAGCCAGCGCGAGCCATTTGGTAAGTGAGAATGGGCACCATGCCATTCTGAAACACGACCAGATTGGAGTCGCATGGAGTCCGGGCAGCTCAGACGCTGACTGCGTCTAGATGTGCTGGTCGTGGCCCACGGACATATATTGAGAGCCTTTGCTGGTCGCTGGGTCGGCAAGAATATTGCAGAGAACCCGTCACTGATTCTCGAAGCTGGCGGAGTCGGAACACTGAGCTAGTAAGTGCACCTCCACCAGGCATTGATTTCTATATGCCGTATCTATGAGCTTGACAATGGAGATTGCTGTTCAGCGGGAGGTATCTATTTGCTGACCGTCTCTCGAACCTTTAGTGAACATCACTCGCTAGATGAACCGGCCATCTTGTTGGGTGGTGCCTTCATGAGTGACGTTGTGGAGAATGCTGAAGATCACGAGAAGACACGGTGAAAATTGAGCACGCCACGCTGACTTCAAGTCTTGTATAGCAAAGAGTGCAGTGGTAGAGCTATCCGCGAGAGTCAAAACAAGAAGCTTCGACGCCCAACCGTTGCGCAGTTGCACACGGGCAGATCATGCACTTGTGGTTAGACTTTACTCTCGCAGAACTACAGACTAGAGACCTACCTTTACCTATAATATTGAGCATGTTCACTGTAGAGTCTAACACTTGCTCTCTGCATATTGGTTCTTAGGTATCAGGACACTCAGGCTCACGCCTACTACCGACCATCACTCAACAGTACCAGCACGGCGAGGATATTCAAAGACCAGCTTAAGCAGTTTAGTGTCGGCAAAGACGATGGACTAAACCCCTCGCTGCAGGATATAACACACAGTGATGTCTCCATACAACTCGTTGCATAGGTAGGTATGCCGGTGGTGCCCTGTCGCTCAAAAAGACATTGTCGTCCTCTGTGAAACAAACAACAGTTTATAATGCATGCTCTTCACACACTTTCCTTGATAATTGTTTTCAAAGCCTTGACATAGTCGTCCACAGTCTTTGCACCTTCCAGCGTAATATCCCGCCTCTTACCCTCAATCACAATATATGGAACAGCATCAATCCCATTACCCGCTTGCTCTCTAATCAGCATCTTCACCTCCTGCAAACCCTCGTCTTCATCCTCCACAAACTGCTCTGCCTCTCCCACATCCAGCCCAGCTTCCTTGGCCGCCGCCATCAACGTCTCCCGCGAGCTCGGATGCCTCTCCTCTTCAAAATACTGTCGATAGAGACTCTTCACCAACCGATCCGCCGTCTCCGGCCCCTTCTTCTCCTGCCAGAACTGAATCATCCGATGCGCCATCAACGTACTCGCAATCGTGCCCCCAAATTTGAAATCGATCCCCTCGGATTTTCCATACGAAGACATCAGCATCATGTATTTCTCCATCTTCTCCGCGCTGTCGCCATAGCGTGTGCGCCGATACCACGCATATTTGTCTTCGCCTTCCCGAGAGGCGTCTGGGTAGAGTTGGTAGGGCTTGTAAATGACGGTGAAGTGTACCGGGGAGCTATTGGTACCTCCCTGGGCTCCTGCAAAGTCGTCGGAGCGGATTTGAGCGAGCGCTTGGTCGAGTCGGCGTTTGGCGAGATAGGTCCAGGGACAGATGGTGTCGAGGGTGAATTGAATCTCGGAGTTGTAGGTCATGGTTATATACATGTATTTACGCAGTACTTGAGGATGCTCACAAAGAGGTAGTCATTGCTGGACCTACACGACGAAGAGGAAAGTTAGACTTGTGTGTAGGTACCTACATGTAGGTACAGGTAGGTAGTCTTTTGTCCTTCCGTCGTCACCATACCGCCGGCTACAAGGTGTACTTCTGAAGGAGGTGATGTATACATCCGACTAATCTTCTCCTCCTTCTTTCCACTGCCCCGAGCTGTTCTATAACGGAGCTTTACGTCACTGCATGCAGGAGGTCCGGAGGACGCTGCCGGTCAGCAGACGCCAAGTGACTGCATACATGTACCTACCTGTACATACCTACATCTCCTACCTGATAGATGTAATACCCGACCAAGCTATACCTGATCACTACCTGTACATGAGGTAGTCTTGGTTATTGTGTTGTCAACAAGGCATTCGCGCATATCATCTAGTACATAACTCAATACTTGCCCACACGATGGAAAATGGTTACGGGGTCTGTAAGTCCGAAGCAAGCCAAAGCAGAAGAGTCAACTCCCATGTCCTGCATACGTTGATCATCTCTGATAATTGTTCTTATTCAAAAGCAACCTTCGATGACGATCCCTGCCATCAAAGAAAAGACGGGAAGAGTCTCTGACCAGGATTTATGTGATCAAACCCATACCCGTTGCGATCTTCCTCGACAATGCCATTTTCGTGAAGCACTCTCTTCCCAGCGCTCTCATCTGCCGTATGAAGACATCCCCAGTGACTCTGCCTCTATCATTCGCCTTTTGTAGCACATACATGGCCTCCCTACAAGCGGCCTCTTCGGCACAAAGTGTCCATAATTGATTCGCTACCATAGTTGGTGCAACCAAGACTTCATCGATGGGAGGCTGTTTCTTCGACATTGCTGTATTGATCGTGCGATCGCAGGCCTGAATGCTTTGGTGGAGGATTGATTCGTTGTTGGCAAGTGCTTGTTCGAGATGTTCGAGCTGTCGGATCTCGCCGTCCAGGCGTTGCTGCATTGTCTGAATAGCTTGCTGCTGAGCTTGCAATGGAGGAATGAAAGCTAATGATTGCCCAATTTTGGACCGTGCTTGCTGTACGAGTATGGAAGAGAGGGCTTCGAAGAGTTGCTCTTTCTCGGGGTTGGGAGGTATGGGAGGCGCTGGTATGTTTTGCTGAGCGGCAATTGTCGGCATTGCCACCTCGAACGGATCAGTGAGCAAATCAGGAGCGAAGTGTTTTGGCTGGGTCTGCTGCTGCGGTTGCTGTTGTTGACCGTAATGTTGCTGCGCATACGGCTGGTGCTGAACTTGTGCTTGGTGTGCGTGTGACCCATGATGAGGAGTTGGATCATGGACTGACTGAGCCGTGCCATAGTACGTAGGTCGAGGCGGAGGCGCTTGCTGAGCGTATCGATTTGCAGGGAGTTCAGAGACCCCTTGAGGTGGTGATATTGGAGAAACAGGGCTGTTGTCCCTGGTCACCTGATAGAGCTGATGTTGACGGTGCTGACCCTGGGGAAAGGGAGGACTGATCTGATGTCCATGCTGGTATCCAGAAGGCGACGCGGCATATGGTAGGGATGGATTAATCGACGCCGGTGGATAGCGGTTCGATGATAGTGAGGAGACACGTTGATTTCGCGCCATCTCGTGGGGGAGAGGAGGCAATGGCGGTCCATCTCTGTACACATCTCGCAATGCCTGTGGCGTCTCTGCATACTCCTCGCCGGGGGCGGGTGCAACGCCAGCTCCAGCTCCAGGTTTCGGGGGTATCGGTGGAGGGCTGTTAAGGCTTGCGCTTCTCGATGGTGCCGCTACACTTGCCGCGGGCTGTTTAGGTGGAGGAGGTGGTGGTGCTCCGGGCCCCGCTTGATGGTTTCGTTCCTGGGCCATCTCCTGCGCTCGACTGACCACTGGCGGCTCCTTGCCGAAGATGTGCTGCAGATAGCCCAGAAACTCCGCCAGGCTCGCCCGGTCCCACACCTTGGCCCAATCTCTCAAGTAGGGATGATACACTCGGCCATCGACCCCTACATGCTGGCCAGGCCGGACCGCCATGTCCTGGCGCGGCGTAACGTATATGTTCGGGGCCTCCAACGGGTAGGCATGGGGCAGCCAGATCTTGAGTGGGAAATGGTACGTCGTGCCACGAAAGACCACGGGCAGAGTGCCTGCGAGCGTCAACAACAGGGCAGACGTGCCATTCACGTGGGTGTATACGTCGGTGCGCGGGGCGAACGACGGGTAGAGCGAGAGGGTGCGCGCGGCGTCGGAGTAGGTGCGTTGCGCGTCGTGGTATTCCTGGCCGGCACCATCAGATCATGTCTCTCTATCTCTTCCGTCCTTCGACCTCAGTCGGCCTGTCCACGCACATGCAGCACGCTGTACAGCCATGACAGCACCTTGTCCGGGATCGCAGCGCTCGTTTGTGCCATGGTCGTTGTTGATGGTGGTGGTGATGGTGGTGATGTCTCGAGAGCTTTTATGCTGGCGCTTTTGCCGTGTTCAGTGTTCACCTCACGTCATGTCCTCGCCGCTCGTCCACGGCAGTCCAATGGAAGCTGTCGTTGTCATCTTCCACTCCTCAGTGAAGAGAGTGTGTAAGTTAAGGTACAGTCTCCGCTGACGTCCACATTATTGAGCACGGATCTTCCCGCCTGGATTATGCTCGTCTTGCTAGGAGCCGCTTGCGGGTGTCTGTAAGCAACATCATACATGGATATAGGTAGCTAAGGTACCTCCGTAGTATGTAGCTTATCAGGTCGGTCAACACACAAAGGCTAGATCCGCTTGACCACGTGCAGACCGAGAGCCCTCACTAACGGAGGACAGACACGCTGGCCGAAGCAACGGGAATAACCTCTCTGCGATGGTCCGAAACATTGTCAAGAACCTGCGAGAAGCTCGACACTCGTCAACAGGAGCAACCAGGGAGATCTGTCACGCGATAGGAGTCTCCTGAGCTTCAGTAGGTATGAGCTAGCCTCACAATGCGGCAGCTGCATCAATCGGCGTTGCATTCGGCGTAGGTATACAAGACCACGATAGTAAAATCGTAACCACTAAAAGCTCCCATCACCTAGAGTCCTTCTTCCATGCGCTAAAATCGCGATGATTCGTTCCGTTGCGCCGGCGCCATTCTGCTACTATTACCAATGTACAAGAAAGAGATGATTCCCCATTAATGGATTGCAGTGCTCCATTAGCTTCGCTGCACACTTCGAAGCTACCTAAGAAGTGGAGTAACACCAGCCTCATCTAGTGTTGCGACCACTCAATCGTGTTTAGGTCCACGCCTTCCTGCACCAGCTCCCAAAGCGGACTCAACTCCCTCAAGAACGTGACCCTTTGCTTCACAGCGTTGAGCACATAATCAATCTCCGCATCTGTGGTAAATCTCCCGATCCCGAAGCGAATGGAGCTATGTGCCGATTCGTCGGAACTGCCGAGCGCTCTGAGCACGTATGAAGGCTCAAGAGAGGCAGAAGTGCAAGCCGAACCAGAGCTGAGAGCAATATCCTTGAGCGCCATGAGGAGGGATTCACCTTCAACGTAGGCAAAGGAGATGTTCACGCATCCAGGGTAACGACGAGAAGGGTCGCCATTACAAGATGTGTGCTCCATTGCTAGTAAGCCAGACGTGAGTTTGTGCGAAAGAGCAGCAATGCGCTTGCTGTCGTACTACGTGGACCATTAGCATCGATGTAAAAGTGGAAGAGAGGGGTCATGTATCGCTTACCTCCATCTCCTCCTTGCAAATTCTAGCGGCCTCGCCCATACCGATGATGAGTGGCGGAGCGAGCGTTCCTGATCGCAAACCACGCTCTTGCCCACCACCAGAGATGATAGGGTCGATTCTCACGCGCGGTCGTCTTCGCACGTAGCAAGCCCCGATCCCCTTTGGTCCGTAGATTTTGTGTCCAGAGATGGACATGAGGTCCACGTTCATCTTGTTTACATCGAGAGGGATCTTACCAACTGCCTGCGCTGCATCGGTGTGGAAGTATATCTTCTTGCTTCGACACAGCTTACCAATCTCTTCCACAGGCTGCACCACACCTATTTCATTGTTGACAGTCATGATGGAGACCAGACATGTCTCTGGCCGCATCGCCTTCTCCAACTCTGTCATGTCAATCAATCCGTTGGACTGCACGGGCAGGTAAGTGACCTCGAAGCCCTCGTCTTGCAGATGCCTGCAGCTGTCCAGCACACACTTGTGTTCAGTCTGGGCAGTGATGATGTGGTTCTTTTTGCCTCCCTTCTTGAAGAAGCGCGCGACACCCTTGACGCTCATGTTGTTGCTCTCGGTTGCGCCACTGGTGAAGATGATCTCCTTTGCATCAGCTCCAATGAGATCGGCAATGTGCTGCCGCGCGTCCTCAACGGCCTTGTCCGTCTCCCACCCATAAGCATGCGTCCTCGAATGCGGGTTTCCGTAGAGGCCGGTGAAGAAGGGCAGCATGGCGTCAAGCACGCGGGGATCGGTCGGCGTGGTGGCTTGAGCATCGAGATATATGGGTCGTGTGCCTTGGTCCATGACGGTGGCTTCTTTGAGGATGCCCGCCACGGGGCTCATGGCGGCGTCGGCAGACACATTGGTCTGCGGCATAGTAGTATCCTTGGGCTTGATACCCGTCTCTGCCAGAAACGCACGCTGGTCCTGGCGGATGGTGCTTTCGATATTGACTGTGGCGTTGTGTGGTTTGGACTCGGAGACATAGCTCCTTCGCCCACGGGCGGCGACGCACGCGCGAGGGACGTGTGAGGCAGAGGAGCACGCGGATGCCCGGCGGACGCACTGTCGTAAGGCGTGGCGGGGCGCAATGGTCGACATGGCGAAGAGCGCGAAGATGAGGTGGTGGTGGTGCACTGAGGGTTGACTGCTGAAAAGAGTCCCGAAGAATTGGGATGTAGGTACAGTAGACGAACGTACTAGTATGATCTTAGTGGCGGAAGAAGCTGACCTATAGAAGTCGTCGATGTGAGATAACAAGGGCAAGGCACGTCATCCACTTCAAACCTGAGGTACCTACTCTACACTGTACCCAGTGCCAGTGCCAGTCCAGTCATCTTCCACCATGTCTCCGTCGGCATAGTCACAGTCACCTGCATGATTACATACATCAAATGTGGGATTATTATCCATCGTGCTGCCATTATCATAGGCTCATAGCAAGTGCCAAGTGGAGGTGAGGTACATTATTCATGTCATGTCATGTGGTGCGATTGCTCTTTCTACCGATGGCGGTGGTATTGTTCTCATCACAGGTACCTGTACTTGTACTAACAGGAGATGCGACTCGTACCGCCAGCAAGCGTCGCGAGACTGTCGTAACCGTTCTTGGCCATCATTGCACATCACAGAGAGGCCAAGCCTATACCTAAGCCTCTCTCTCTCTCTCCTCCACTCTCCACTCCGCTTCCACTTCCACTTCCATCATCCCACCACCCACCACCCACCTCCACCACCACCGCCAGCCGCCGTCTCTGATCCCCGCACCCTGATCGCTCTCCGCACACGCCCGAGCGTCCGACATGAGCTGGAAGGGTTTCACCAAGGGCGCCGTACGGGTGGGTACAATGTCGCTGCCTGGACACCTACCATGCACCACAAGCCCAGAAAGAAGCACCGGCTGACATGTCGCGTAGGCGCCGCAACTGGTCAAGCAGCGATTCAACATTGGCGAAATCACCAAGGACCCCATATACATCGACGCCGAGCGCCGTTTCGCCGATCTCGAGAACGAGACGAAGAAGCTGCACGATGAGTCGAAGAAGTATTTTGATGCCATCAACGGCATGCTCGACCACCAGATCGAGTTCTCAAAGGCGTGCGCCGAGATTTACAAGCCTATCTCCGGCCGAGCGAGTGACCCCGACTCGTACGTGATAGACGGAAACCCGGAGGGCATTCGGGCTTGCGAAGAATACGAGCAGATTGTGCAGGAGCTCAAAGCCAGTCTGGCTCCCGAGCTGGAGATGATCGAGACGCGCGTCGTGAAGCCTGCCGATGAACTCATGGAGATCATCAAAGTCGTGCGCAAAGCATGTGTCAAGCGCGACCACAAGCAGGTCGACTACGATCGTCATCAGGCTACGCTTAAAAGCCTGCAGGAAAAGAAGGACAAGTCTCTCAAGGATGAAAAAGCTCTCTACAAGGCAGAAAACAATGTGGAAATGGCGACGCAGGAGTACGAATACTTCAACAACCTGATCAAGGAGGAATTGCCACAGCTGTTCAGACTGGAGAAGGAGTTCATTCTGCCGCTCTTTCAGAGCTTTTATTACATGCAATTGAACGTCTTTTATACTCTGCACGAGAAGATGCAGAGCATTGATATTGGATACTTCGATCTGACCAAGGGCATCGAAGAGTCTTTTGAAGAGAAGAGGGGCGACATTCAGCAACAGGTCGAGGCTTTGTCCATGGTCAAATTCAAGACCACTGGCGGCCCTAGAAAACCGGCAGCGCTGAAGTATGGTAATCGACTCGCAATCACCAACGGGAAAGCCGAGCCAGAGAATCGAAGACTGACGATCGATGGAAACGCGCCGCCTGCTTACGATACAAAGCCATTATCTACAAGTCTAGTGCAGAGGGCGAGCAGTACCGGGTCTAATTGGACGTCTGCTGCAAAGGCGAAAGGTGCACCGCCACCTCCCAAGCCTAAGCCAGGGCGGTTGAGTGTAATGCCCGCAACAGAACAAGTCACAGCACTGTACGACTACGATGCGCAAGCAGAAGGAGATTTGTCATTCAAGACTGGTGAGATTATTGAGATCGTGAGTAGAACGGACAACCAAAACGAGTGGTGGACAGGGAAAATTGGTGTTCGGCAGGGACAGTTTCCTGGTAAGCAAAATAGCAACAGTTGTATTCGACGTATACGAGGGTCTAACTGCCGCTTCAGGGAATTACGTACAGCTCAACTCGTAGTGTGGCTTGAAATGCCAATAACTAATTTGAGCCATGCTGTTGACTTTTGCACTCAATGACAGTGATGATAATGTATACAGGTCGAACGCGTGCAGAATTCTGACGTTTCCCTGCATTCGCTGATAACAAGACTGAGCTGCGCAGCAATTGAAGGAAACGTTGTAGCTACCAAGGATCGGAGATTGGTCGTTGCCAATGACGCTGTCTTTGCTCGACGCGGCTCGGACTACAAGACAGGGCACAATGCTGATATTGCGTTACTAGCTCTCCGTTCTGGAAAGGTGTGCAATTAGCAGATTGAATCTGCTCGTAGTGGTAGAGACGATGCTATATTGTGGAGAGGCTGGCAATAACCTTTGCCTTGGGCCATTGTACTACGAATCGATTCGAATGTAGATCTTCCAAGCAGCCGGCAAGCTGATCAGACTCGAAAGTAATACCACCGGTGGCAGAGTCACGTACGTCCACTTCATGTCGCCCATACGCAGGCCAAACCCGCAAATCTTAAACGGACTATGGCCACTTCGGAAGACCCGACCCTCCTTCTCCAGAATTGCTACTCACAGCTTTTTGGACGAGCGCCGAGTCCAGGTATGCCTTTGTCTGCACAATGGTTCCGCTTTTATCAAAACGCAGCAGCCAAGCGTAGCGCTGCGGATACGGCATACCTGTAGTGGGAGAGTCCGTCAGCACATGCCGACTTCAGACTGCAAAAGCGCATTCTGCCCTCCCATCACAACCGCGACGACGTCCCATACGAGCATCTCTGCCTCAATAATCCTCGGCACTCACCGTTCAAGCATACCGAGTCTGCCTTGAGCTCAACCGTAGCCCATTCTTGGTCCCCGCCACCAAAGACATTGACAACTTCCAGCGCGAGCGGCTCCTTCAGGACGGCATTCACAACGCCGAGCGCTCCCTTCTTCCATGCATCTACAGGTATGTCGTCAACCCGAGCATCCGATGCCACACTGGATATGGTCTTTCACGTGGTTTTACCTAAGCTAGTAAAGACACCCGCAGCCGGGTGCGTCCCCATTACATGCCATTCCACTTGGGGCGATACCCTGTCAAAGAACGGAGACGGATCCGAGGTGCCCAGTGATGAGGCAAAGCCTCTGATCTCTGCTGCTGTTGGGTAGGGAGCCATGTTTGCTGACAGATGCACTCACTAAGACGGGAGTTCTGTGTCGAAGATTGAGTAACGATGAAGCTCGAGCAGGGAGGGAGATATAGGGATATATCCTGTAGGCTGTAGCCTCGTAGCCCGGTTATTGTTGGTATGCTACTGTATTAGAACTCGCCAAGTACATGTACCCCGCTGCCGCTTCGCTCAGCTAGGATAAGTTCTAATCTGTTCCTTGCTTCAACCTCACATTACTTCATCGTGCACGCAGCTCAAGGTCGTCAGTCATCGCGGGTGTCTCACTCCCATCACATCCCATCGCGCGCATGGCCGAGAGTACACAAGGGAGTCCTACATGAGGCATATTGGCAATTCGATGCCATGGACGACGAAAGCACGACTACGACTGCCACCAAAAGACCCCGCTTCTTCCCGACTCTCACCGCGACGCGCCTGCAAATCGCCACGTATCTGCTCGGGATTGCGCTGTTCAGCATTGCCTTCCTCGTCTTCGTCAACAGTAGCATCTCCTTCGTCGTCACCGACATCATTGGCCAGAAAGAGGGCGTCGGCGATGCAGTGGGTACGCTGGGCTTCGCAGACGAGTGTCTGGCCCTCGTGGCCTGTCCACTCTGGGGCCTGTTGAGTGATCGCATTGGTGTGCGGACGGTGGCAGTCCTGGGATACTCGATTGTCGCAATTTCGCTGGCGTGTCTGGTGCAGAGCACCAATGTCTTCCCAGACTTGCTGATGGGCAGACTGGGCTTCAGTCTGGGCGCTGCAGCATGCACTACGATGGTCACGGCGGTGCTCCCGTCCATGGTGATGCCAGCGAGCGCGGCAGAGGATGAGGACGCTCTATCAACAAGTTATCACGTGGCAAGGCAGCAGGAGGAGCATGGCACTAGCAACGGTGTTGCCCGACACGCCGCCTCTCCTAGCATCAACAGCGAGCTCACAATCACGCCTGCGAGCTTTGCCTCCAATGCCCAGCCTTTTCCAGGAGATGGCAAAGATCTGCTGCAAGAAGGAGCCGAAGAAGGAGGCTCGAGTGCGGGCACTTCACAGCTCGCTGGCCTTGTCGGCTTCTTTACTGGAGCTGGCGCCCTTGTAGCGCTTTCTATCTTCTTACCACTTCCTGCACATCTGCAGCAAGATGGATTCGGGCCATCTGAAAGCGTGCAAGTCAGCTACTACATTGTTGCCGTGGTGGCGCTTTGCGTGGCTGTGTGTATATTCGTTGGGTTGCGCAACCTGCCTGGAGAGGAGAAGAAAAGTATCAGTGGCCTATTCCGGGCCCCTTACGACGAGACGACGACCACTGGCCCAGAAGGCCATCCCCACATCACTCTGACACCGCAGCCATCGTATGTGCTGCTAGCCAAGGAATCTCTCAAGCTTGGCTTTACAGACCCAGCGATTGGGCTCGGATATCTTGGAGGCTTTGTCGCACGAGCATCGTCCGTTGGAATCAGTCTCTTCATTCCGCTCTTCGTAAACGCGTACTTTGTGCGTACTGGTCTCTGTACCTCGAATCCAGACAATCTGACTGATATCAAACGGAACTGCCAGCGCGCATACAAATTAGCTGCAGCGCTCACTGGCATCGGCGAACTGGCGGCACTCATCTGTGCGCCTTTGTTCGGCTGGGCAGGCGGGCGAGCAGCCAGGAGTCAATCGGAGTGGCCGTTGCTCGCGGCCACAGCACTCGGAGTGGTTGGATATGTAAGCTTCGGTTTGCTTAGGAACCCAGATCCGTTCCACGTGGGTGGGCAATGGGCAATTATCTCTGTAATTCTGGTCGGTATGTCACAAATTGGAGCTATTGTATGCTCGCTCGCACTGCTTGGCCGCGGCGTGAACCAAGCCACGTCACGCACATGCAGGCCTATAGCTCGCGACTTGCTGCAGAATGAGTCTACAACGGAGGAAGAGGGCGCACCTCTACTGCAAGAGGTGTCTCGCTCTGGCTCTCCACCAACATTTGACAGAGCACGACTTTCTGGCAGTATAGCTGGAATGTATAGCTTTGCGGGTGGAGCAGGAATATTGATATTGACAAAAGTTGGAGGCCTTTTATTCGACAAGTGGCATACAGGAGCGCCATTCTTCCTCATGGCCATTTTCAATGCCATCCTCCTGGTTGCAATCGTCGTGATCAGAGGTGGATCCCTACTTCATAAGCACAGAGTGGCAGTTTGACACTACGACACTACGACACACGGTTCGTGAGAAGCGGATATCTAGTAAATACAATACATTCGACCAAGCAGCCATCTCTACGCAATAAAGACTATATGAAGGTGCCCACCAATGCACTCTCTCTGGCTCCATGACGTGCCCGGAAGGACGCCTGTATCTGACGGAACTCTTTGTATATACAGCCCACGACTCGAAAGTATTGAAATTTGAGCGCCGCGCACTGTCTCTGCCTCTTAGATGCTTGGTGTGCACGGTCTGCGCGTCGAGAACAGCACACTCTCCAGCCGGCCAATCTCTACTGTATTGTTTGCGCGCGAGCAGCTCTATCATCATATCAGCAATGCGAACAAGTGCCGGGATTTCTTTGAAGAGACTGTCTGCCCTCAGACAGTCCAAATCCAGTCGTCGCCATCAGAATCCATCCCCTCGAAAGGGTTCTTGGGGTTTCCAACCTCCTTCTTGATAACGTCCTCGATAGCAGCCGCGACAGTACCTCCTAGCCTGGGCTTCCTTGCTGATCGCTTTCTTTGTACCTTTTAACGATCACCTTCATATACTACCTCCCTTAGGTACAATTCTCACTACTCAATTGCAGGTAGGCACATGAACAAGTTCCGACATCATCAAGGTTGGAGAGACCGACCGACCATTCCCTGCACGGTTCCCGTTCTCTAGGCAGCTGTTCTCGCCATGAGCGGGTAACGTCTCGATGCCTGGGGCTCAGCCACACACCAACGCAGGCTGTCATTACTCAATTGTCAAAAAAGGGAGGTCAATTTATCCATTCAAAGCTAGATAAAAAGGCTCACAGGCCTTGCAGTCGCAGAAGGGTATCATTTTCCGAAACAATTATGCAAAAAATGCGAAAAAAGATTTCCTCAACGCCGTGTCGTGCGTGCTCTCGCCAGGATCGCCACTTACAACCCTGCAATCTTTTTGAACCAGCTTCCTCTTTTGCTATCACTCCTCTGCGGCATCGATGGCCGAGCATCGAATGAGCGCATTCCGCCTCCATACATGTCTCCATAACTCGGTGGAGAGGCATAACTTCTGCGTCGCCCCGAAGAACCATCCCCGCTGCTGCTCTTGACCCTTTCACGTCTGCGATAATCGTCGTCCACGTGATAGCCGTCGTCTCGATCTCTTCGTCGTTCACGTCGATGGCGGAATTCTCTTGCTGTCGTCTCGCCTTCTTCCAGAGGATCTGGCGCGGCGTCGTCTGCATAGTGGACTGGGGCGTCGATGATGGTCCCTTCGATGGGCGGTGGCGGAGCATCGTTGACAGAGTGGACCCAGGAAGACGTTTTATCGCCTCCGGTCTTGATTGCGTGAGCAAAAGCCTCTGGGATCGCACCGTGGGAAGAGGTAGGCTCACCATTGCGATCTTCAAGATACTCGGACTGACGCCGCGAAGTGCGAGGTCGCTCACGATCCCTTCCTGATACAGCTGCCCCAACATCAGCGCTACGCCTCAAGCGCCGCTCCTCGCGGCGGATTCGTCGAGCTTCGTCGTCATCTGCGGGAGCAGCATCCATGTAAGATGAATGTCGACGATCGGGCGTCGGCCGGGAAGATTTTGCATGCGTCTCTTCTGCAGCGCGCTGACGCCTGCGTTCATGGCGCTCAGCACGTGCTTCTTCCTCTTCCCGAGCAAGTCGTTCTTCCTCGGCCCGACGGGCACGTCTCCTAGCACGTCGCACTTCGTCTTCACGAGCTTGGCGATCGTCTTCCTCCCTGGCTTTTGCTCGACGCCGCTCATCCCGACGAGCCTGCCTATCCGCCTCCTCTGCTTCTTCGCGAGCACGACGTTCACGCCGTTCTCGCCTACGCGCTTCTCGAGCTTCATCGACCTCCGCATCTGTGATAGGAGCGGCATCGGTCAAGCCATCGCCGTCAGTTGCCTTGCGCGAAGAGCGATGTACCTTGCGGTCTTCGCGTCGCAGACGTTTTGAGCCATCATCATCATATGCCGCATCGCGTTTTCGGCGGGAAGCGCCGGCATCTTCAGCGTCGTATCTGCTGTGTCGACGTTCCGCAGATGGGCGTGAAGATGCACCAAATGCGCCAAAGATGCCACCCATGAGGCCAGCCTTCTTCATTGTAGACGCTCGTCGAGATGGAGCGGGTCGTTCGACAAAGGCACCGTCGTCAAGGTCATGATTCAGTTTGACTTGTTCGTCAACCATGCCATCGTCCAATTCACCAAGGCCGCCAGACATTTGGTGTCGCTTGGATCTGCTAGACGTCTTCTTTTCTTTAGGTTCGTCCATATCCTTGGCAGAGTCTTCAGGCGCATCCACCATGATCATGTCGTCCGAGTCTATAGGGTATGGATCAGGAATCAGGCGAGTCTTCTTCTCCCGGGTCGACTTGGAGCGATTGACACCCGTGAGCTTTGCTGCCTTTGCAGACATTTCTGGAGGTGGCGATGCCAAGCCAATGTCCTCCATCGCTGTGGAGTGGCGGCGTGAGCTCGGCTTGGTTGCGGAACTTGAGACTCTGGTCGACTTGGAACGTGATGGCTGCGGCGTGCTGAACAGGCCTCCAAAGCTCATTCCACGAGAGGTACTCGGCCGAGACTTGGTCTCTTTGCGACCCTTGTCAGAAGCCGATGACTTGGAATCCTTATCAGGAGCATCTCGGTCGCTCGTCTTCCGCGCGGACTTTGATCGAGATATCACAGCTGGCTTCTCTGTAGCCTTGGATGACGCTCCTGCATCGTTCTTTGGATCCACTTGCTTCTTGACAGGCTTCTTCACAGGCGTTGCGCCCCAGAAGCCCCATGATGCCGACTTGTCGTCACGCACAACTTTTGGTCTTTGCTTTTTGGATGGCTTGTTATCCTCTCGAGGCGTCTCTTCTTCAGGTGGTGGAGTAGGTAGCTTTGGTTCATCAACGACGACAAGCTCATCATTATCAGCATCAGCTGGAGGTGTTGGCGGGTCCGGCACGGGCTCAACTGTCGGTGAGTCCGGCACGGGCTCGACTGTCTTCTTGGAGCCTTTGGATGGTTTGCTGCTAGATTTCTTGTCCTTACTGGACTTCTTTGGTGGCGGAATCACCATCTGAGGCTCCGGTTCGATGTCATCGAGCAGATCATCGACAGGAAAACCTCCCGGTACTGGCGAAATCGATGGCGGCGGGGGAGGTGCTTCAGGCTGCTTAAGCTTCTTGGATTTCTTTTCGGCTTTTGCGGACTTCTTCTCTGGTACAACCTCCTCTGGTACGACCTCCTCGGGTGTGACCTCAATCACTGGTTCCGGATCCGGCTCCGGTACGACCTCTGGTTCAGGTGGAGTCGATTTCGAAGGCTTGGCATCAGCAACCGCTTCAGCACCCAGAGCGTTGATGCGATTCCGGACGCTGCTCCCTTTTACGCCTTTTGATTTGGACGACAATTTCGCTGCTGACTTGGGAGGCGACGTTGCTGGCATGATGTCGTCGGCAAGAAAATCATCTGCAATCTTTGGAGAATCTTCGACGACCTGATCTTGATCGGCCCACGGATCCTTCTTCATCTCGGCAGCGGCTGTGGCTTTCTTCGATGGTTTGAGCGCCGCACCCCAGAACCCCCAGCCATCTGCCTTCTTTGGCTCGTCGAATGTAATCATCGGCTCCGGTTCTGCTGTATCCACATCGGCAGCTGCAGCTGCAACAGGCTCTTCCTTCGCTTCGACCGCATTGCTGGACTTGCTCTCTACAGGCTCGACCTTTGTCACCTTCGAACTCTTGCTCTTCTTGTCTTTGGAGCCCTTCTTTTTCGCCGCGACAGGTGGTGGCGGTGGAGGTTTCGCATCCAGGTCATCCAGGAGATCTGTGGGATCGTCGCCCAAGGCAGCAGCGAAGGCTTCTTCTTCCGCAATGCGCTTGGCTTCAGCTTCCTCTTCCGCAATGCGCTTGGCTTCGGCCTCCTCTTCCGCAATGCGCTGGGCTTCAGCCTCCTCTTCGGCAATGCGCTGGGCTTCAGCCTCCTCTTCGGCCAGGCGTTGGGCTTCAGCCTCTTCCGCAATGCGAGTGGCTTCGGCAGCTTCAGCGGCCTCACGCTCCTCTCTCTCTCGCTTCTCACGGGCTCTCTTTTCCTTGGCCGACTCCTTTTTGCTGCCCCACAGGCTGCTGCCCCATGTTGCTGTCTTGGCTGCTGTGTCGGTTGTTGTTGCTGGCTCTGGAGCTTTGGGGGCTGCCGGCGTCGATTCAAGTGCAGCCTCTGTGTTGTCTACATCTACAGCCTCTGGTTCGGGGTCGTATGTAATGGCTGCCGGTTTCGCGGCAGGAGGCTTCGTCTTCACTCGGGATTTCTTGCCTGGAAACGGGTCAATTTACATATCCAACGGTGACTCAACACAGCTATGGCTTGCAACTCACCAGTAGTCCACGATGGCTCGCCCCATGGATCATCCTCGGTAGACTTCTCTTGCACGGATTCTGGCAGCAACACCGTTGCGTCAGGAGCGGAATCGGCAATCTCTACGACACCTTTACTCTTGTCACCCTTCTTGGCCGTTTTTTTCTTGGTACCAGTGGACCAAGAATTGCTCCAGCTGTCGTCTGCCGCTGCAGGCTCGACGATGGCTTCTGGCTCAAGCTCAGCGACTGGTGGTTCCGCTACGGCTTCTATGGGCTCAGCGCCCTTCTTCTTCTTCGATTTCTTATCTTTGGCAGATGTGGCCCACCCACCGCTCAACCAGTCGTCTGCAGGCGGCGCATCAGGTTCAACCAGTGGCGCCTCGACCACGGGTGAATCAGCAGCAGCAGCAGTGGCATCCTCTGACCAGTCAAACGTTGCTTTCTTCGATTTGCTCTTCTTTCCCACAGGTGCGCCCCAACTAAACCCATCGTCTTCTTTTGCAGGTTCCGCGACTGGCTCCGGATCAGGCACAACTACGACGGGTTCAGGCTGACCCTTTTTCTTGGCCTTTTTTTTGTCCTTGGCTGACATGCCGAATCCCCAAGTGTCCTCATCTTCTTTTGCAGGTTCCGCGATGACTGGCTCCGGATCAGGCACAGGTACGACGGGTTCAAGCTGACCCTTTTTCTTGGCCTTTTTCTTGTCCTTGGCTGACATACCAAATCCCCAAGTGTCCTCATCCTCTTTCTTCTCCTCTTTCGCGGGCTCGGGCTCTGGCTCTGGTTCTGCTTCTGCTTCGGGCACAACGACAACTGGCTCTGGATCGACGGCGTCCCAGGCTGACAACGCGCTTTTCTTCTTATTTTTCTTTTTGTCCTTTGCAGAAGCGAAATTTCCCCATGGATCCTCATCGACCTTCACAGGCTCTTCCGGTGTAGCCTCCACGATGGGCTCTGGTTCATCAGGCACAGCTGCGCCCTTCTTCTTCGCTTTCTTCTTGTCTTTAGCACTCATGAAGCTGCCCCATGGATCCTCCTCTGCCGCCTTGGGCTCTGCGGACGGCTCGGCATCTCCTGTCGCGTCTTCATCATTGAAGCCGAACGTGTTCGAGAACGACTTCTTATCATCTTTCTTCTTTGTCGTCTTGGACGAGAAGCTCCAGCCAGCATCCACTTTCGCTTCAGGCTCAGGCTCCGGCTCGGGATCAGCTTTATTTGCAGCGCTGCCAAAGCCCCATGTATTGCTAGAGCCCCACCCTCCTCCCCATCCGCCAAAGCTGAACGAACTGCTCTTCTCCTCGCTGGCCGTGTCCTTCTTCCCCAGTCCAAAGTCAAGATCGAGTTTCGGTGCCGCTTTGTCGTCGTCAAGGTTGATGTCGTCGAATTTCATGTCGCTCTTGTCGTCCTTGGGCGGCGGAGGAGCCGGATCGTTCTGCGTGTGCGAAATTGATCAGCATAACATACGCATTTTGCACTCGTCCTCACGATAGACGCTGGTCCGAGGCCGTTGCGCGCGCGTGGTTAGGGGAGCCTCCACTATCGATAGACACGCGCTCTGCGTCAGCCGCGTTCCCGCGTGAGATTGCGGAGGTCCAAGCGGGCGCCTCGGACGAAACAGGTGTCCCTCGGAAGGGGCCAGGAATGACTCGCCATCCGTAATAATAGGTACAGGTACATGTAATGAATGTACTGCATCGAATAGTGTACTGCAAGACAACTGAACGCGCATCACGTACCTTGCCTTTCTTTTTAGCCTTTCCCGTCTTGCTGGTAGATGTCCAGTCATCTTCCACCATTGGCGTCTCGACTGGCGTGTCTTGTTGCGCATCTGCTGTCGGCACAGGCTCTGCTTCTACTGCTGCTGCTGCTCCTTTCTTCTTCGACTTCTTGTCCTTCTTCCCTGTGTAGCGTCAGCATGTGCTGCCCATATTTCGATACCTCGTGATACGTGCCGACTGGTGGAAAAGAGCCCCAAGGGTCCGCATCTTCCTTGGGAGGTGTAGGCTCGGGTTCTGCAGCTTTAGGTGGTTCTGGCTCTACAGTTTTGCCCTTCTTCTTCTACGTGTGTGTAAGCGTCCAAGTCATGGCCAAGTTTACACGTCTTTCTTATATTCATACCTTCTTGCCTACAGTAGCAAAGGCGCCCCAACCATCCTCGGCCGCTGCTTCTTCTGCTGGAGCCGGATCGCTGGCGACATCGGGGGGAGCTTCGTCCGCTGGCGCTGGCTCCGGCTCTGGCTCTGGCTCCGGCTCCCATGCTTTGGCACCCTTCTTCTTGGACTTCTTGCCGACTGGTGCAAACGAACCCCAATCTGCACAACATTAGTTTCTCAGTATCGAGACACATCGATTGGAGGCCTACCGTCGACTGGATCAGCCTGGGCGGCGCCGCCAGCATCAGCGTCAGCGGCTCCTGCCTCCGCTTCCTCGGCTTTCTGCTTTGCCTCTTCCTCTTCCTGTTCCTACACAAATCAGCTCTGTCTCGTATGTACCTGCGTGGATGTGCGCAAACCGAGTCACCAAAGCTCGGTACGACGACGGCTGTATCCCACTTTGTCCAGGTAAACAAAAGCACAGCAGACTCACCTCCCAAGGGCTCTTTTTCTTCTTCTTTTTGCTTTTCTTAGTATTGCCAGACCAGTCGTCGCCCCCATCGTCGCCGCCATTATTGCCTCCGCCAGAAGGATCCTCCCCGTCTCCAGCTCCTCCGGCACCACCGCCTTCCTCGTTGCCATTACCACCACCACCATCACCACCGCCAGATGGCTCTTGCTTGTTGTCCTCATTATCGCTGCCTGCCCACTTACTCTGGGCTGCTGCCTTCGCTGCTTTCTTAGCCTTCTTTCCCGCGTGCGTGCGATAGCAGTCCTCGGCATTAAAGTCCACCTCGATGCGGGACGCTCGGAGCAAAGGCTGAGCGGTGGTTTTGGATGGTGTTCGTGGCCATGCGTTATTGGTCGCAACATCTGCAGTCTGCACGCAGTGCGCCTGGGCTAACAGGCCTGTCGTGGTGTATTCTGGGGGCAGATCCAGCAAGCAATCTTCATAACTCGGCAGCGCGCCGACTTCCTGCGCTGCGTCCCTGTAGGGCTTCCACAATTCCGTGAATGCAACATTTCGATTTGCAGTCAATGTCTCCCAGAAGCCCACGAGAGTCCTGATGCGCGTCCGCAGGCGATCTCTATCACCCGCTCGATGTGTACTCTGTGGCGGGGCGTCGTGTTTGTGCAGTTCGTCGAGGGTTGCGACTTGGAGTGCCATTGAAACGGCCAGTCTGGAAGTCGTGCAGCAAGGCGGAGATCATGAGAGGCGATTGGGCTCCGTCGGCGGGGTGTGTACGTCCAAGTGCAGACAGAACGTGGCCGGGGATCGCAGGGTCGAAGTTGGGAAGTTGTTGCGAAAGCTCCGCTAGTGGTGTGCAGCGTATGTCGCCCAGCCCGCCGTCCGACAGCACAGGAACCGGCCTGGTGCGCGTGTGCGAAGATGTTCTGAGGCGGGGGCTTTTCCAGAAGTCACGTCCAGGGGAGCAATAGCGATGGATCACCAGGCCTGCAGGAGCTTTGCGAGTATTGGTCGTGTTGGTGGTGTCGTGTGGCGTGCGTACTGCGTAGGCGGATGATCTGGAAGAGGTCTGCCGGGTATGCGCCAGTAAAATCAGCGCCTGGATATATGTGTGTGCGCGAGTGTGTGTGTGCGTGTATCAGATAGAGCAGGCCAACCGTTGCCGAGTGCTGGACTTCTGGCGAATCACACTCGCCGGAAGCGTGCGTGGCGTGGGCGACACCCTCGTCAGGCTGGCGTATCAAATAATGCAAATGCCAAAAGGCTCGCGCTGTCCAGTCAGTGCGGAGGGATGGATGACTACCTATGTATAACCATCAGGTAAAAGAGAGTGGCTACCTTACCTCCCATGCACCGTATCAAGTATGGCTGCAGCTGTGCAGATTTTTCCCTTGCTGCACGACACCATCTTAGGTACCTCACCTACCTACCTTAGAGGCTTGGACCTATTCGAAGACCAACCGAGGAGGGCTGCCCTGATGCTGCTGCTGCTGCTGCTGCTACAGTACAGTACAGTACTGTGCATGTGCCGCTAGAGAGCATCCCTCGGACGCAGGGCGTAGGTAGTGTGGTGCTTTGCGAGCAGAGCCGCACGTACTTACGACACCATCCTTCACCGCCTGCGAGCGATGCTGCTGATTGCTCGAGGGAACTGCCGCTGCCAACGGATGCAGCAGCGGGGGAGTGGACCACCAAAGGTCCATAGGCCCCTCGGCCCGCTCTGGCTCGAGCTGTGTGCACTGTGAGTGTGTAGAACAGACTGCACAGTGCTTGCTCCCACCGCGAGCGAGCGAGTGTCTCGAGAGGAGGTGGTGTGAAGAGTCGGGTTCGTGCCGTGGCGGTGCTCGAGCAGAGCAGCCATTATACGTCCTGGCCCGGTGCCGGACGTCCAAGCCAAGGTAACCGGAGAAGATTGCAGAGCTAGGTAACTTAGGAGGCGACGGGGCAGCCAGAGTGCCAGCCACAGTTCAAGTGTCTCGGTCGAAATCTTCCGGCCTGTTCGTACATGTCGATAGCGCACACCACCTGGCACCTGGCAGTGTTGTTATGGAGTCTCGTGCTGGCAAGGCATTACCGCTAGTATGACGACAGCTCAATTAAAGAGCCAGGATCAGGAAATGGACTCGGCACAGATGAATATTGCGTCTTGTGGGCTGCATCAAGGAGGTACATGTACATTGTCGAGTTTTGAGAGATTCAAGAAACCCCTCGACCTGCGGTCTGCTATGAATGCGCAAGAGCACTGGTACCAAAGGGTACCATGGGAAGCTCGAACGTTCAGGCAAAGATTACTGCCCGTGTTGGGAATTCTAGGGCAGTACCATGAATGAACGATGTCTGCCCGTGGTAGGTTTAAAACCACGACAAACCCTCGTGCGCTCATAGTTCCCCTCATCATACCTTACCTGAGGTATACAGTAGGCTATAGCTCCGAGGATCAAAACAAGGTCAAACAGATACCACTTACACGTATGCCGTGCGCTGTGCAAAACCCAGCTATCATTATGGTCGATCTCACTTGAATCATTCACTAACCGCTGAACTACATGTATTCAAACGAGTAGTTCAGCCTGAATTCGGAGGCGACTTGGAAAGTCTGGCTGTCCGCCAACAGAGGTACTGCACATTGGGTGTACTCCGAGGCGGCACTTTGACTGGGCCTCTCGCAAATTCAACGAGGCTCGCTACAACACCTTCCAGAAGGCTCGCTCCCACGTATTCGGCTCTCACTACGCTGCAATAGCAGCAATACTGAGGGGGTGGCAGGGGAAGAAGCATGCAAGCATGCATGCGAGCGAGCTCATTCTAGTCCTCGAGTCTCGACGTTGCCGCAATATAAGACAACGAAAGTCTGCTGTGCAGCCCACTGCTACGCTATAACAGCGCGAGTGGTCAGACTCCATCAACGTCTTGCTGTTGTAGGACTCGGCCCGAGTCGTATTGCAGCCTCTGGGCATCTTAGTGGAGATTTACGGCCATCTCAAGCCATTACAAGTCCAACTTCCACAGGCCATCGCCAACATAGTGCCCCCCCTCGATGCCTGGTCCCTTCTTCTTCTCCTTCATCTCCTTTGTTCCCACGCTCAGAACACCCACCAAGCATGCGTTATCCTTGCCCTCTGCATCAACTACGACGACCTCTCCCGCATCAATCTCTTTCCCTGCATTGTTCCAAGGCTCGTCACCCCCACCCGGTAGTCTTCCACCAGGACTCGTGAGTCCGGGAACCATGAGAGCAGCACCGCTCAACACGAATCGAATGGCACCTCGATCTATGCGTATGTGCTGAAAGCACTGTGGGTATTGGTGCACAACTTTCAGATGGGGCATAATGGGGTCGTCCATGTGTTGCCAGAATAGAGGAGTTGAGCCGAGGGTGTACAGCTGCACGCGATCTGGGATTTTCGTAACATCGAGTTGCTCCTTCTTGGGCATAATCTGATCAATGTAGGGCTCCATGAGAGGGTATGTCTCGAGGATCTTCGCGCGGATAGCCCGCTGGGCAGAGGACTTGACCTTGGACTTGGCGCCTGGCGAGAAGCTGTCTGAAATGTCAGTTGCTATGAGTGGTGTTGGTGGTGGTGGTGGTCGTGATGGTGGATGCAGTGGCTACACGTACTCTTTTTTGAACATGCTGAATGGCAGGTATAATCGTTTCAGGCAGTGCAGCAGAAAGTCAGAGACCAAGGTATAGATGTGTCTGAGGAGGGGCAGCAGAAGAGGTGGGGTGAAGGGACTGTTCCTGTTCTCGAGTCCGTCACCTGGGCTCGAAACATCTCCAATAAGGTACTACACCTACAGTACCTACAGTACCTCCTCTCTTCCACTCCTTCATCACCTCACTGCACCCACCCTCACCCTCACCCTGATTGCCTCCACCGAATTACTTCCCATGGTAAGCGCACGACGAGAAAGAAATCACACCTGCCTTACCTTACACCCACATACACGTACTTGATCGGACTCTAACAGGTGCCTTGTGATGAGCAGGCCACCGACTCTCGCAAGCGCCTCGCGCTGAGCATCTGCGACTTTCTCGCGACCAGCCTTAAGGACGGCACGCTGCAGCCCGAAGACGCCGACTCGGTCGAGATTGCCACCAACTGCATCGCCGACATATTCCACGTCGACCCCTCCGATCACGCCGCAGTCCAGGATGCCCTCGGCGGCCAGAGTCTGCTCGCCATCTTTGGCGTCTATGAGAAGCTGAAAGGCAAGTCTGCCCCTGCGGCCCCAAGCGCTGCTGCCAGCGACAAGTCCGTGGCTCCCGGGTCGCCTACCGACGAGAGCGAGAAGCTCAAGGGCATGGGCAACGCCGCCATGCAGAAGAAGGACTATCAAACAGCCGTCGATCACTACACCAAGGCTCTCGAGATCTGCCCTCTCAATCCCATCTACTTGTCAAACAGAGCCGCCGCATACAGCGCCATGAGTCAACACGAGTTTGCCAAAAACGATGCCGAGCTCGCCACTGCCACGGACCCAAAGTACCCCAAGGCCTGGTCACGACTTGGGCTTGCCAGGTTTGCGCTGGGTGATGCCAAGGGTGCAATGGACGCCTACAAACAGGGCATCGATGCCGAGGGTAACGGTGGCAGTGATGCAATGAAGAAGGGCTACGAGACTGCCAAGCGCAAGGCTGCAGAGCAGGAGCAAGACGAAGACAATGGTGAAGTCGCTGCGCAGGAGTCGACCAGAGGCGGAGCAGGTGCTGCCACTGGTGGAGGAATGCCCGATCTGGCCAGCATGTTTGGTGGAGGAGGCGCAGGCGGCATGCCGGATCTCGGGTCTCTGATGCAGAATCCCATGATGAGGCAAATGGCACAGAACTTGATGAGCAACCCAGACATGATGAATAACATCATGAACAACCCCCGACTCCGAGAAATGGCCGGTCAATTTGGCGGTGGCGGTGGCGGTGGTGCCGGCGGTGGCGCTGGAAGCGGGGGCATGCCCGATCTGAGCTCACTCATGAACGATCCCAACATTGCAGATCTTGCCAGGAACTTTATGGGAGGTGCCGGAAGAGGAGCTGGAGGCAACCAATGATGTGGGTATGGGTCCTCGATAACACTGCACGAAGCGCAGCACGACCACCCGGTGTCCCGTATGCGGTAAGTAATTGAATCCACATCGATGGCAGAGAACAGCACAGAAGCTTTCCTCCCTTTCCAGCTACTGAGTGTGCTGCTGGGTATGAGATTGTGTAGTGAAGGCGTGGAAGCCTCGTCCTTTTCGCACGTGCCGCAATACCCCCTTCACACAACTTAATGGTCGTGCTTCAGAGGACGGCATCGAAGACGGTGCTCTCGAGCTATAGCAATGGACAAACAAGGCCAAGTATTCACACACAATGGCACTGGTAACGTTCAATTTCGGGGGTTGCGTGCATATAGAAATCTACCACAGTACGTGGAAGAGGTATAGCAAGGTGAGAGCTACATGTAGGCCTGGCTCTGCACGCGTCCCCATCGCATTCACTCGCAATTGACCTCAGTGTGTGAGATCTCACCTTGCATTGAGTTTTACTCCTTCCCCTGCTGTTCCACTCACTCTTGGAGCGGTCTGAAGATGATAGCAGAGCTTCATTCACTCCAATAGCACGCTATTTATCCCCTAGTCGACATCTCATTTGACCGTTAGGTTCATTCTTCTTGACTTCACCTCAGGGCACAGGGTGACGGGCACGCCATCTCCCGAGCACAAGGGTCCACAATCCGCGCAGTCGACACCAGCGTCCTACAATCGCCATCACACATCAGGGCAGACATCTGCATCTCACCAGCATGCTTCGCTCCAGAGATCAGACACCAACGGCAATGGCACTCCCTCAGAGGGTCACTCGGTCGCGCACGTTACTACAGCTCGTCGCAACAACAGGCCGGCACCATGCCTCCAGCGGCCCCAGCACCACACCCGCAGTGATCGACTATGAGATCCTGCCCAACAAGTTCCACAAGCTACCGATTGAGGTGAGTCTGCGTGGAAAGCAGGGCCGTCCGTCTTCACAGCTAACCCAAGGGACCAGCTCATGCACGAAATCGCACATCTCCTAGAGGCGGATCATCATGTGTGCGACTTTCAGCGCTGCTTTCAGCAAGCTCACTTTGCGATCATCAATGAGCACTTCTGGCGCAGGCGATTCGTCCTGACATTCGACAGACCCCGAGCAGAGAGCTCCATCCGAACCAACGCTGATTACACGGACCAGTACAAAAAGAGGCAGGACGTCTTGGTGCGCAAGCCCACCTTTGGCTGCGGCAATACGGAACGCGAGAAGCAGTGCTTGGTGGTGCTTCGCGACTTGATACGTGATGCGTGTTCTGAGCGCACTCCGAGCAACAGGATGGTGTACGTGTCGAAGAACATCACAGAGCACATTGCGCCCTTCCTCACCGACAGCAACTTGCTGAAAGAGATCTTTGCCGCAAAGTACACGCCACGAAAGTCTCGGAACCCAGGCGTTCTGTCGGAAACAGTTAATCCGCTCATGCGCATGCTGCAGGTTGTCCTGGCGCCGAGTCTGTTCGATCCTCGACCCTTCTTTGACACGGCTGGACCGCAGATTGCCGACTTCGACACGTCTCAGTACATGGCGTACTGTAGCGCGCAGAGTCGTCCCATCTTCACGGACAGCAAAAAGACGGATATTGATTTCGACTGGTGCTTGCATCTGCTGAATTTCTGGAGATGCCATTTCCTTCGGGCCGATGAGGCTTCGCTGTACTCTGTCTACGAGGCCCTCGAGGACCATGAGCGTCCGCAGTACTGGCACAGTCAGCTCGGCAATGACAACGCTGCTGCGTGCATTGGCAAGAAGTGGAAGGGTTCGTACGCTTACCTCGACGAACAACAACTACGAGAAGTACGCGAGGGAAAGAGCGAGCTCGTCGTTGACGAGTTTAATGGTAACGATACTCGGGGTGGGTTCCAAGAGCTCACCCTCGAGCTGACGGGCGACAACGATAGTGCCTGGAACCCAACGTTCGAGACCGTTCTGCACTCTGTCACCGAGCCGCCAGAGCAGCAACGCACGCAAGCGCAAGAGGCCAGCTCGCCCGATGAGGATATCGGCCGATCTCGTTCATTCCGTTTGGTCGGCGGAGGAGAATATGGACAGCAGGAGTTTCTTGCGGATGGGTGGTTCAACCCGCTGCCATCCCAGCACGAAGTGCCGGGATGGCAGCGAATGACGATGATGAAATTTCTCCGCGACAAAGCCACAGCCCAAATTGACTAGGGATCATTATGGGCATACGAGGGCGTTGTTCTTCCCGGAGGTCAAATCATGTTGGGCCGTTGGTGGTCGCCTTCCTGGTTGATTGATGGCGAGAATCATTATTCGGGGCCATTCATCTTCTGGTCGGTGGACGATCCACACCAGCCAGTCAATGCCACGACCGACACTGCGACCGACACCGCCACCACCACCACTTGAGAGAGCGAGAGAGAGAGAGATCGGGTCAGATGAGGAATGAGAAGGTGTTGCTAAGGAGATCAGGCGGAGGGCACAACAAGGTATTGCGGAGACATTCCGACAGTCGATTTTGCATGCCCAGGCCAGGGGCAGGGGCTGCCAAGCAGCAAGCACCACAAGAGTAACCTAGGCACGCATCTGAGGAGCTACAACAGGTAATGCACTCGTCGACGACGAGGCTTGCGATATGAGGATGCGATCTAGGGACTTCACTCACGACGATGATGACAATGTGTACATTAGCTACATAGCCCGATCAAACGTTTTTGGGAAATCTTTCACCTCTACAGTCTCCTTTTCTTTTCCTTTTCTTTTCCTTTCATTTTTATGAAAATATATATATTTCCTACGTGTGATGTGACAGGCTCATCTGGAAAGGTTTGAAGAAGCGTCCCCGCTCCGTTAGGTTGCTTCCACCCCAAAAGCTTGACGTTGAGATCCAAGTCTGACAAGCATCGTGCTAACTGCTGTTGGCGATTTCTCGTCATCTAAGAACTCACCATGTATCTTGGGTTATGTAAGGTACCAAGGTACAGGTACCTTATGTATCTGTGTATGTTGATGCACAATTTCTTGGCATGAATTACCCAATGCATCTTGATAGTGTCATAATCATGCGGTTGATCATCTGATCATCTCATCATCTGATCAAAAGTTCATTGTTTGCTCGTTTGAAATTTCAGGTTGGATGAATGCGTTGTTTGATGATTTATTGGATGCATGCCCGATGCCCGATGCCCGTATTGTACAGCATTAGGTTGTACCACACAACCAACGGGCGCTTGGCGAGCCGCGCGGTTCGGAACGTCTTTAGGCTAGTCTCCACTGGGGGTACACCGCATTATTAGACAACACAGCACACTGAGCACAGACAGCAACAGCACATGCAACCGTTGGAAGTGGAGGTTTGGCCGTTACATGTATAATACTATAGCTACATGTACCTACAGCCGAACCTACAGCCTACAGCCATGTCGGCTATGTCTGGTGCATCGTGTAAAATTGCGCCCAATGTCCACGTGTTTCGGCCATTCATCTTGTTGATACATGTGCCTAAGGTACTATACCTATACTGACATGTCGATGTACATGTATGAGTACATACCTGGTAGGTATGATGATACCTACATGTACCTCCCTTATACGAGGAACGGGACAGGAGAGAGAGAGAGAGAGAGAGAAACAGAAAGGGCAAAAGAGAAACGGAAAGTGAAAAAGAAAAGCAGAAAGAGAGAGTTTGCACAGCCTCAAAGTGCTTGGCGGGGCTTGGGGCAAAGAAACAAAGCAAGAGCAAGCATTGGATGGACATGGGTAGAGCTTAGTAGGTTGGAGGCTAGAGTCTTGACCTCCTCGACTCTACATTTACCTACCTCCTACCTGACCTCTACATGGTGCATGTACTTTACCCGTCTACACTACTGAACACGGGCACCGCTCGCCTATTCATCACCACCAACTACTTTACTACCAGGGACCTTAGCTACTCACACACATACACAACAGCTACTCACCACATGTCCTCCTCCTCCTCCTCCTCCTCCTCCTCCTCCTCCTCCTCACTTCACCACCCACTCTACACCACGCTATCGTAGCTGCCCGGCCGCATGGACAACCCGGACAACAGCATCGCCATTGCTCTCCGCTTCACGCCTTCCTCCTCTCCTCTTGCTGCTGCTCCTACTCCTGCTGCCGTCGCATAGGGTACATGTAGTTCGCCTCTGCCTTCTCGTGTCCCTCTCCCTCCCCGTTGCGACCGACTGTGCAAGACCGCGCCACGCACTCAACCCAGCAGGCACGCGACGACCTCCCGTCCACCTCCACCACCACCACCACTACCACCATCGCCGCCTCTTCCTCTTCCTCCTCCTCCTCCTCCTCCACCGCCACCACCGCCACCACCAACCTCAGCCTGCACCTGCACCGATATCAAGCTACCTTACCTACCTGCCTACCTCACCCGACCTAACATCCTCTCTCCCTCCCGCCTGCCTGCCTGCCTGCCTGCCTGCCTGCCTGCCTGCCTGCCCGCAGCATCTCCAGTTGCCCCCCCACCGCGCACATTGGTGCCACCTCCACGCCGGTGCGTCTCCAAGCTACTGCACATGTTTAGCGGACGTGCATCTTAGACGCCATCCTTCCGCGCGCCACACCTCACCCACTGGCCGCCTCTGCTACCACTTCTCTCCCTCCGCTACTCCACCATGGCTGAGGGCCCTTCCGATCATGTGCCCCCGGGTACGTCTGCAGACACCTCGAAAGGAAGACCTAGGGCGCCCACAATCACTATTGACACGTCTGCCGTCCGTCGATCGAACGATGATACGGCTCGACCGGGCAACAACGAGGGCATGATGGACGCGGCTGCGGAGAATGACAGTGGCAATGGTAACGGCAATGCTGCTTCAAACTTGCGTCCGCTGGCACGAAGTCAAGCTGCCACACCAGATCTTCACGGCAAACAGAGCTTCGAGAGTAGGGACTCGAGGCCCACGAGCCCGCACAATGTGTCGTCTCCGCAGCAGTGGGGACCGCCCGGAGGTTTCCTGTCTGTGCCATCTGGCCGTAGCCGGGGAGGTAGTGTCGACACGGCAGAGACATCTTCGACCTCCGAATTCACCTATGTCAACACACAGTCGCCGTCCGAGGCTCCGAAAGCCTTCGGCGCGAAACCCAACCATGATGAAGAACGTGCCGTATTGTCTGACGAAGAAGCCCTGATTCCGGATCCTGGCACTGAAGACGACTTCTCTCGCGAAAGGAACCCCTTTGCCTTTGCACCGGGACACATGTCGAAGCTGTTGAATCCGAAGAGCCTCGGTGCTTTTCACGCCCTGGGAGGACTAGCTGGTCTCGAGAAGGGATTGCGAACCAGTCGCAACAGCGGTCTCAGTGTCGAGGAGAACAGCCTCCAAGGTGCCGTGGCGTTTGAGGACGCGGTGCACGTGGCTAGCCCTGCGTCGGACAAGACCGCCGTCGAGGAAGAACCGGAAATGGCCAGAGGTGATGTGGAAGTGCCCTCGGGGGCCTTTGGTGACCGCAAACGCATTTTCAACGAGAATAAATTGCCCGAGAAGAGAATTAAGAACATATTCGAGCTGATGTGGATGGCATACAATGACAAAGTGTTGATTGTTCTGAGTGTCGCGGCCGTCATTGCACTATCACTGGGTATATATCAGGCCATTGCGTACGGCGGCGTCGAGTGGATTGAGGGTGTCGCAATCATCGTGGCCATTACCGTCGTCGTCTTGGTCGGCGCGATCAACGATTGGCAAAAAGAACGCCAGTTTGCCAAGTTGAACAAGAAGAAGGAAGCTCGTAACGTCAAGGTCGTCCGATCTGGTACAACGCAAGAAATCGATGTTCAGGCGGTATTGGTGGGAGATGTCCTGTTAGTGGAGCCCGGAGACATCTTGCCCGTGGATGGCATCTTCATCTCTGGCCACAGCGTCAAGTGCGACGAGTCCTCCGCCACGGGAGAGTCGGACGTGATGAAGAAAACCCCGGCGGACGACGTCTATCGAGCAATGGAAGCCCATGAGCCCCTCAAGAAGCTAGATCCCTTCATGATATCCGGCGGCAAGGTCACAGAGGGCGTGGGGCGTATGCTGGTCACTGCAGTGGGCACCAACTCGACGTACGGAAAGACGATGCTCTCCCTTCATGAGAGCAACGATGCAACGCCGCTCCAGGCGAAGCTGAACAAGCTTGCCGAGTACATCGCAAAGCTGGGCAGTGCTGCCGCACTGCTGCTCTTCGTCATACTGCTCATCAAATTCCTTGCTCAGTTGCCCAACAACGATCGAACACCTGCAGCCAAGGGTCAGCAATTCATGACCATCCTCATTACCGCCGTCACGATCGTCGTTGTGGCGGTGCCGGAAGGCCTGCCCCTCGCTGTCACGCTATCCTTGGCATATGCCACCAAACGCATGCTGAAAGACAATAATTTGGTGCGTGTACTGCGTTCGTGCGAGACCATGGGCAATGCCACTACCGTCTGTTCCGACAAAACGGGCACTCTCACTCAGAACGTCATGACTGTTGTTGCTGGCACGGTGGGGACTTCTAGTAGATTCAGTAGTCGTGCTGGTGCTGGTGCCGATGACTCCAAGGCAGAAGACGTACGCGACGAGCTCGGTAATGTGACGACAGCCGAGTTCATCAAGACTCTTTCGGAGCCCATGAAGCAATTGTGGAAAGATAGCATTGCCATCAACTCCACAGCCTTCGAGGCGACAGAGGACGGCAAACAGGTGTTTGTGGGATCCAAGACCGAAACGGCTCTCTTGGACTTTGCACGAGACTTCCTTGGCATGGATCGCATCGCGACGGAGCGCAGCAATGCCGACATTGTGCAGGTGATCCCTTTTGATTCGGGCCGCAAGTTCATGGCCATGGTCATCAAGCGCAAGGACAGCAAGGGCTTCCGATTGATTGTCAAAGGCGCCAGCGAGATAATGCTTCGGCACTGTCAGACCATTATCCGCGACCCAACGCAGAGCATTGAGCCCACCAACATGACCGCGGATAACAAACAGACTCTCGAGGCGCTCATCGACACATACGCCTCTCGCTCGCTTCGCACCATCGGTTTCATCTATCGGGATTTCGATGTGGAGTCATGGCCGCCTCGTAACGTGCGGCGCTCCGAAGACGAAAAGACTCAGGCCGTGATCGAAGACATTTGCAAGCACATGACATTTCTTGGTATCGTCGGCATTCAGGATCCTCTGCGAGCTGGCGTACCAGAGGCTGTGAGGGACTGTATCATGGCCGGAGTATTCCCCCGCATGGTCACTGGTGACAACATTCTGACTGCGAAAGCCATCGCCACAGAGTGTGGTATCTTCACCGCTGGTGGGCTCGCCCTCGAGGGGCCCGACTTTCGAAGAATGAGCAAGCATGAGCAGCGCTCCATCATCCCGAAGCTCCAAGTGCTCGCACGTTCCTCGCCGGATGACAAAAAGACGCTGGTCAAGCGTCTGAAGGAGATGGGCGAAACCGTCGCCGTCACAGGTGATGGTACCAATGATGCACCCGCTCTCAAAGCTGCAGATGTCGGTTTTGCCATGAACATTGCTGGTACCGAAGTGGCAAAGGAGGCGTCCGACATCATTCTGATGGACGACAATTTTGCGTCGATTGTCAAAGCCCTCATGTGGGGTCGTGCTGTCAATGACGCCGTGAGGAAGTTCTTGCAGTTTCAAATCACTGTGAACATCACCGCTGTCCTGCTGGCGTTCATCAGCGCAGTGTCCAATGAGGACGAGGAATCTGTTCTGACCGCAGTGCAACTGCTATGGATCAACCTGATTATGGACACCATGGCTGCGCTTGCTCTGGCCACGGATCCGCCCAGTCGACAAATCCTCAACCGCAAGCCAGATCCCAAGTCGGCGCCGCTGTTCTCAGTCACAATGTGGAAGATGATTATTGGTCAAGCGATTTACCAGCTCACCGTCACGCTCATTCTATACTTTGCCGGCGCTAGCATTCTGAACTACACTGGAGAGCTCGAGCACAGACAGCACCAGACTCTGGTCTTCAATACCTTTACCTGGATGCAGATTTTCAATGCCCTCAATAACCGGCGTCTCGACAACCGCTTCAATGTCTTCGAGGGTCTGACACGCAATTTGTTCTTCGTGGGCATCTTCTTGGTCATGATCGGTGGCCAGGTCCTGATCATTTTCGTGGGTGGTTGGGATGCGTTCAATGCTGAGCGCCAGACCGGCACTCAGTGGGGCATCGCACTGGTCCTGGGTGCGCTCTCGCTTCCCATCGGTGTGATTATCCGCCTGTTCCCAGACGAAGTCGCTACGCAAATGGTTCCACCGTTCATCAAGAATTGGGCCCGCAAGCGACAAGAGCAGAAACTCATGGTGACTGATGAGGAAGGTGGTCAGAATCCGTTCGAGTTCAATCAGGCATTGTATGAGATCAAAGAGGAGTTGGCCTGGCTCAAGAAGTACAAGGGTGGCCGTATCAACAGCATGCGATTCGCAGTCACTCATCCCAAGCAAACATTCATGCACAGCCGTAGTCCGAGCCGTAGCCGAGCAAGCTCCAGTCTGCCCAGAACTCCGAACAACGAAGTCGAGGATCAACAAGACGGCCACTCTCTCGCTCCTCCTACACCAGATTCACGACGTCGACGTGGCCGGTCCCGATCCAACTCGGCTTTTGCTGGGGCCGCCATGGCTGGTATCGTGGCTGGTTCGATCGCTGGCGGCTGGTCGCCTATTGAGCGCAGAGAAGGCGATAGCGAAAGCCTCCGCTTCGGACGTGACAGATCTAAAAGCGACCTAAGTAAGGAGTATCGCCTCGATACACACCCCGAGACGTCGAAACAGGATGGGATTGTGGTCAGCGTAGAAGCGCAACAGCCTCCCAGCCAACGAAATGATACCACACCAGTCTATCCTGCAGGGCCTAATAGCGGCGAGCCTACTTCCTCTTCCAAAAAGGTCACGAAAGAACAGGATGACACTGGCGTTTGAACATGTGAATAAGGTAGAAATGCATTAGGCTCCAAAAATCCAAATCTCGACTGCACGTGCAGGCCAGCGTCACGTGTGGTACAGACCAGAAGAATGTAGTGATATGATGCCCGCTAGCGCTCTGGGGGGCATCCTGTGTTTAGTTAATGTAGCATGCATGGCGACGGGAGTTTCTGAGTAGGAAGCACCATATAGATATAAACAAAATTGCGATGGACGCGCAGAGGGGTTGGGTATGAACCTGGCCAGCGTCGTCGCTCGTCAGAGCCGACCATATTACTGTGCAGGGAGAGAGAGAATGAGAGGGGGAGAGGGAGAGAGCACGATTGCTTGGAAGCACCTGAAACATCATCGTCCATTGTCTACGCTGCTCTTTTTTGGGGGGAGACCAGCTTGATGGAATAATCACGACGACGAGTTAGCAAGCTCAATTACGCGCTTCGCAGCATCTTCAAATTTGTCAAAGGCGTCCAGTCCCAGTCCAGATTCGGCAATCGTCCGTTGTCCCACCGCTTCGTTGGTTCCGCGTATTCTCACCACTACGGGTATATTCCTCATGTCCACCTCTTTAAAGGCCAGCAAGATGCCGTTGGCAATCATACCGCCATCGGTCAGGCCGCCAAAGATGTTGACGAAAATGACCTTGACTCGCGGATCTTGGAGGATGAGTTGGAAACTCTTCTTGACCGTTTCCGAGGTGGCTTTGCCGCCAGTATCGAGAAAGTTGGTCGCGCGGCCTCCTTGTAGCTTGAGCGCATCGACCGTGTTCATCGCCAGTCCTGCGCCGTTGACCAAGGTCCCAATGGTGGCTTCTGGGTCATCAAACTTGACATAGACGATGCCGTCTTGCTCGGCCTCGACCTCTTCCGGCACTTCGGTGTCCTTTTGCCTCAGGCGATGGATGTCTTCCTGACGCTTGGTACTTCGATACGCTGCGTCGTCGAACATGAGAGTGAGAGACGGCTGGTGGAGCACGAGGTTGGCAGAGTCATTGACAGAGACGCAGCCCGACAGAATAATCGCTTCCTTTTCCTTGTACATTTTCGCGAGTGCGACAATGAGCTGGGTCATTTGTTGTTTCGCAGTGTGATGAGAGCCGATTTGCAGATGTTCAATTGCGGAGCGAATTGTAGACTCGGAAGGACCAGCTTGCCAGTCATACGGGAAGCGCTTTACACGAGCATCGACTGCAGATGGATCGGCGGTAGGTGCCACGGCAATGCAAGGACATCGTTCTGTTCGGTCGACGATGATGCCAATATAGCAGCCATCTTGGGGCGCCCCGTCCCGTGAGAGTGATAAGCCAGAGACTGTGGACAGGTAAGGGTTGAGCGGGCCAGGAGCCAAGTCAGGAGCAAGGTGTAGTCCGCGTTGTTGTTGTTGGTGTTGCTGCTGTCGCAGCGCGGGACGGGTAGAGGAGCGTGCAGGTGCATGGCGGCGGAGAGTGTGGTAGCCGCGCTGTTGAGTTGCTCGCGCGTTCTGTTGGATTTTGTTCACGTCGCGTCCACTTTGGGAAAGAAGTGTCTTCATGACACCGCCAAAGTTCTCGGGATGGTCCACCATTCGTGCTCCCGCTTCTTGTAACACACTATACTTCTGGTGGGAGTCGTTCTCGCCACGAGCCGCCCAAGCACCGGCGTGGCCCATGATTGTGTTGGCTCTAGCGCACTTGCCACCGACCAGTGCTGCAATCGGCTTGGGATTCTTCACTCTCGAGTGATAGTCCTTGATCCAGTCTGCCGCATCTTCTTCTGCCCTCCCACCGACTTCTCCGATTAGCACAATGCCTTCTGTTTCGTCGTCCTTCTCGAACACCTTCAGAGCATCCACAAGGTTAGTGCCGGCGACAATGTCGCCGCCCATGCCAATCACTAGACTCTGACCAAGGCCTGACCGAGTGATGGATGCTACTGCTTCGTATGAGAGCGTGCCGGACTTGGCAGCAATGCCAATGTGTCCCGGTGCAAAGGTAGGCAGAGGCTGGAATCCGATTCGACAGAAGCCAATCGGTGCGATGATTCCCGGCGCATTGGCACCTACCAGTCTGGACTTGGACTGCGTCTTTAAAATGCTTGCGACCTACTACTGGGATCAGTGGATTTTCCCATGAAACGGTTCCATTCACTCTGCTACCTCACCCTCAGCATATCATGAACCGGAATGTGCTCCGCCACGGAAACAATGAGCGGGATTTCTGCCTCAATGGCATCTTCAATGGCTTGGGCACATTGTGAAGCTGCAACGAAGACAGCAGTGGCATCGGGCTTGAGCTGTTCTTTGGCCGTTCTCATGTCCGGCAGGAGAGGGAGGCCAATGTGCTCGCCATGCTTGCCGGGGGTGACACCGCCCACAATGTTGGTGCCATATGCCAAGCTATCTTTTGCGTTTCCCGTCGCAACTCGGCCGGTGAAGCCCTGGTACATGACGCGGGTATGCTTGCCAATCTTGAGATGATGCACCGTGTCGTCGTAGCCAGCAGCCCTCCGCGCAGTGCTGGAGAAGCATCTCGTCGAGCGGTGCGACGCCGTGCGAGCGGTTTGCGTGAGTCGCATGGAAGTCGCCATGAGGGATGATGGGTCTACGGCCGCATGTGCGATCACAGAGGGCTATCGTTGATCTGGGAGGAGGAGGAGGAGTGGGAGAAGTGGGAGGAGTGGGTGCGGAGCGGAGCGGTGCTTGGGCGTTGTTGCAGAGCAGGGCGGGAGACGCGATAGTCTAGCGATGCGATGAAGAGAGACGGTGGTCGACATGATGCTCGAATGCTTTATACTACTTCGAGGGAAGTCTACCACCTACGCACCGCCGCATCGACGTCGATGCGCCTCTGGGAATAATACGTCAACCTTGGGGGAATAATCACTTTAAACTTCCCGTCTCATGGGAGACAACCGAGGGCCCCGAGATCGGCCTCTCTCCTCCACATTTTCCTCGCCTGTGTCCGTGCCGTGGTCGTCTGGAGACGTGGAGAGAGGATGACATAATAATTCTATTCTCGAACTGTAGACAGGTACGATCAATGCGCCGGGAATAACAAACGCAAGCCGATCGAAATCTGCATCTCCAGGAGGGTGGTGATGATTTTCATCAAGCCTCACCTGTGTTGTGGCTACTGCTTTGATGACTGCTCGTATCATCCTTTCCCACACCACCTCTCATCTGCGCCGCTGACCTTCTCACTCTCCTCCTCTTCCTCTCACCCAGAAGCACAGCAAGCACATACAACAGCCACATGAAACCCGCTGCAATTCCATATCCAATCATCGCACCTCGACTGGGAGGCCCTAGGGGAAATTTTCGCGCCAGTCGCAACCCGAGTCCTCCATTGATGATGCCGAGCGTGATGACAATCCGTCCCAGCCAGAGATGTGCATAGCTCCATATGGTTCGCCGCAGGTGTCGTTTGAAGAGGAGATGATGCATGAGGCCGAAGAAGGGCTGGAAGAAGATGACGGCTAAGAGGATGAGTCCGATGATGGGGTGAGGGTCATGGATGGTGTCTCGTGGGCTGTTGCGTACAAGCTGCATCGATGGCACGATAATGATTGTTAGCAATGTGCTTTCTTTTCTCGTTTAATTATCCTGCATGTCGGGGTATGGGAGAGAGGGAGAGAGGGAGAGAGGGAAGCACTCACGAACAATCCGAGCCCAACGGCGGCAATATATGTAATGTACGCGAACAATTGGCACAAGCCATGGACGATCCAGAGACCACGGAAGTTTCCAAGTCGGCTGTGGAAAAGAAAGCAAAATAAGTGCAGAGGTCAGTACTGTATCCCTCGCATTGACAGTTTTATGCATGCATGCCGGAATACATACATTAACATGCCACCAGCGGGGAAAAGAAATCCAAAGGCAAAGGTGGCGAGCACCGCATGTGCGACCAGTTTCTTGTGGTTCGAAGAAAGAGAGAATCCATAGAAGTAGCTGAAGCTGCTGTCGTTGTAGTCACTACTGCTATCGCTTCCGCTGCTACTGGAGTACGGGTTGCTGCTGGTACTGCTGGTACTGCCATCGTCACTACTGTCGTATGTGCCCCATGCGTGGCTGGTCGTGGCATAGACCGCTAGTAGAGTTAGCGTAGTGGTAGGCTTCATTGCATCTGTAGGAGGGGGAAGAGCGAGCGAGCGAGAGAGCAAAGGAGAGAAGGGGCAAGAGAGCAGACAGCAATGTCAACGACAGACAGTAAAAGTGGACTGACAAAAATGGATGCGTAACGACCCAGGTGCAGACACCACTTTGATGTTGACGTTTGAACATCGCAGCGAATGCAAACTTGCAGGGCTATGCTATGGTACTGTAAATATCGATTGACCCTGCAACTTGGGAAGCTGTATGTAGTAAGCTGATATAAGTATATATATATATGTAAATGTAATTGAAAATGTGTACCTACACTGCATGGAGCCGATCGGCCTGCTCGATGTAGGAACAATGTGAAGGCAATCCCAGCCCTGCGACACTTCAGTAAAATGGGGTATACAGGCGGCAAGACATTCGAAGCAGGTCTCATTGGTCCACAGGTGCATTTGCGTTGTGTTCGGAAAGTAGTAGGTCGTTCCTGGATCGGCCGTTGGGGATCCGTGATGTATGTCCAAATCTGACACAATGTTGAGACGGCCCCATATGAGAAGAGTCCAACTTGCAGCAGCAGCACTTCTTGCACAACACTACATTATACTGCATGTCGCTGTCCAACTACATGTTGCCGGCATTGGACCAAGAGCCATCCATCGCCTAGCTGGCTGTTTGGTCAAACCTCGATGTTTGGTGCGCGACATCTTCGAGCTTGGCCATGGCCGGGCCAGAGGTGATGCAGTATCAGTTTATTATTCCTGTTCAAGGGCGTCAACAGCCTCTCCCGGCGATGCGTCCTCCCAGCGCTCTTTTGTGAGTGTACACTGTCCTTCCTACGCTTATCCACGGAACATAAACTGCGCCGACGCCGCTACCAATCAATGCACCGAGAAGCGTCGTCGGCTCCTACTCTAGCAATGTCTCCAATACTAAGGCACTCTCTGCCCTACATGACTTACTTCACCACTGGCCTAAGCCAATCATTCCCCCTACAGAGCGGATGCCGCCTCCGCCCAACAGACCCTGCAAGGCTCCGCTCTGCATTCGCTGTACCAGCTGGCTATGCCTCTGACTTTCGGTCTCTTCTTTTTCTCGTGGGCAGCCTTGGACAACTTTGTCTCTTTCGGCCGGCAGCCTTCTCTTTGAGCTCTCTGGCCACATCCAGTGGCTTCTGGGCCAACAGTAACGTCAAAATAGCTTCTTCGGGCTCTTGCCTGTCTGGAAACTGTGGCAAGGGGTCCTCCAGAGATGGCTATGCAACGCTGTCTTGCTCTGGGCATGTCGGTAAATCCATGTGCACACCGCGCGGAGGCACTTGGTTCCAGACCGAACGACTTGCTGTCCCACAAGAAACTCATATGCATGCCCTGGGGAAGGAGCGTTGTGACCTCATCTCGCCAAATGCTTGTCGTGCTGCACGTTGGGCAGGTGCCCAATGTCAGGCCTGGCCTGCACAGTACCTGTAGTACGCAGGGGTACTACATGTACACTGTACAGAAAGACGTAGCACAAGGCAGCACAGGACTTGGCTGAAGTTCAGCTAGGCTCTCTGTACAAGCACGAATCACGAGCAATACCGTGCTAACAATGCTCATCAGCGCCATGACATGTTGGTATCGTCGACATGAGAGAATACGAGAGAGGGAGAGAGAGAGAGAGAAGGGGAGAGAGAGAGAGCGCGAGAGAAAGAGAGAGAGAGAGAGAGCGAGAGCGAGAGAGAGAGAGAAAGAGAGTGAACATGAAGTCCGCAAAGCCCTCGACGTTACAGCGTACAGACGACCGTGCTATCGCCGCTTGTGCTCGCTTCCACTGGCGCGCGTCGTTGGGTGCAGATGGTCCTGTGCGAGTCGACATTTGCTAGAGTCCAGGTCCACTGCCTCTGTCTCTTCCTTCTGCCGGCGACAGGAGTGGCAGGGCAGGGACCATCTTCGCTGTCTTCCTCGTCTGATGACTCGCGCTTGTCCCCTGTATGTGGCCAATCCGGACGGGAGCGATGGTGGGTCTCCTGAATGTGGTCATCGTTCATCCCCTCTGCGGTTTGCTTGGTGAGAGAGTGTGAGTGAGGAATACCAATAGTCGATATGGGCGCCTCGGGCGATACTTCATCGCTATGGCGTAGAGTGAAATGCGTCGTCTTCACCTCCTCTGTCAATGGCTCTCTGAAGGCTACTCTTTTGGTAACTGGAAATGTCGGGGCTCGAGCAAACGGTGCTCGTTTGGGTGCTCGAGGGATGGGCGAATTGATCAAGATTGACGTCGTCTTGTGGGTGAGCTTGTAAGGAACGACGCTCGAGATGGAATCAATAGATAATACTGATATCGTGGTGGTAGCCGAGGATGCAGCGGATTCACTAGTAGCGTAACGGGTCGGTATCGAAAGCGGTGGCAACGCCGGATTGCAACCCGTTTCTCTGTCTTGCACTGGCGAGTTGTGCGCATTCTGGAAGGTGTTGCGCGCTGTGGGCGATGTTGTCGACAAGCTCTCGAGTCGAAGGCTGGTGGAGGGCCTTCCAAAGACCGATGGCACGCTGTTTGTATTTAACGAGAGTTTCGGTCGTTTGGCAGCCGACGGCCGATTCGACGAGAGTGTGTTGTGATTGTTGTGATTGTTGTGATTGTTATGATTGTAGCATGCCATGTGTGGAGACGGTAGGATGGCGAGTGCTATAGTATTGCTGTCCGGAGTGGCGTGAAAGGGCAGAGTGGGTGGAGACATGAGGGCAAGCATGATGCTTCATAATATTTAGGAGGCAGTAATAGTAGTACCTGGTAGTAGTAGAGGTGGTCGGAGTCGTAGTCAAAGTAAGAGGTAAGTACCTTTCCTATGGAGGGGAGGGGATGATCAGGTAGGTATGTACCTCCTACATGTAGGAGGTAGTAGAGTAGTACAATCGCCGCAACGCAACGATCATGGCGGGGCTCCCTGCCCTTCCCTGTAGGCTTTGCCCGTCTCTCTCTCACTTTGGTTAATAATAAATCATCAGCGGGCGCCAACCTAACTTCAAAGAGGTACTTGAGTACATACCTGACGTTAGTAGTGCCTAGTGGCTATACGTAACGCGCACGACAGAAATAGAGCAACGCTGCAACGGCTCTTTAAGCGCCGACCACCCTGGAGCCGGTAGGAGGTACTACTTCCTAGGTAGGAGGAATATATAGCCAAAACAGGCAGATGAAATTCCAGGATCTTTGTACCGGCTGGCCGCTGCTTTCCCACCGGCTGCGAGCCCTAGACTGGATCCTGACCGGTAGGCCTAATTAATAATAATTAATAATTGTTGCTTTTATGGTATAATTGGTATTACGGTATCGTACCTGATGATCCTGATCGTTGCATCATTTCATCATTGTCTCATGGATGATGGGCGGCGACAGGGAAGCCACCGTGCCAAGACAATTGCCCTTCTTGTCACCCCCCGAGCAGCCGAGCTAAGTCCTCTCCGTCTCCGAGCCTCACCAGAATTCACATTCTCACATCTCTCACATCGCACATCGCACATCTCACATCTCACAACATCCTGGAAGCCATGCATCGTCGTCCGTCATGCATAGCCTCGAGCGTGTGATCATTCACTTCGATTACGACGCCTTCTACGCGTCCGTCTATGAAGCCAAGAATCCCGCGCTCAAGAACGTGCCCTTTGCCGTACAGCAGAAGCAAATCATCGTGACCGTCAACTACAAAGGCCGAGAGAGAGGCCTACACAAGCTGCAGCTCGTCAAGGAGGCGCGCCGCGTGTGTCCCGAAGTGGTCATCGAGCTGGGCGAAGACCTCTCCATCTTCCGTGACGCCAGTGTCGAACTCTTTCGCTTCATTCGCTCCTTCTCATGGAGCGATCGAGCGGAGCGACTGGGCTTCGATGAAGTCTGGCTGGACGTCACCGACATGGTCGAGCATAACCTGGACCTGCTCAACCGGAATGATCTTCGGCATTCCTTCTTTCAGCTGTCTCGGGACGATCCCACGCGCGGTTTCGCCTACGATGCCACGTCCGTTGCAGGGCATACGTATCCCGAGGATTACGCTGCACCTGCAGATGCCGACGATCTGACTCTCCGTCTTCGCATCGGCTCTCACCTGGCTTTGCATATTCGGTACGGGCATTCTCAATCGGCAAGACCCTGTACATCGACCACTCTGTGAAATGGTGCTAACTTCTCGTCCACGGCATCAGGCACGGCCTCGAGAACACGCAGGGCTATACCTGTACAGTAGGCGTAGCGACCAATAAACTGCTGTCCAAGCTCGTGGGAACTTTGTGAGTAAAGCCATTCGCAACCAGATAAGCAAGGGAATTTAGGCTCAGAGATAGACTTGTCTACCTGGGCAACAGACACCGAGGACACTGGCTCTAACTTTCGTGCGAATACTCTAGGCATAAACCCAAGAGCCAAACGACCATAATGCCGCCACTCATAACTCGAGATGGCAGACCAAGCAACGTCACAACATTTCTGGATAGCCACGACATCGGCAAGATTCCTGGTATCGGATTCAAAATCTCTCAAAAGCTGCGCGATCATTATTTGCAACGTCCGGCTGCCATTGACGAAGGTCTAGTATATGGGGGCACCAAGGACATTGTCACGATTGCAGCATTTCGAGCTCAACCTAATATCAACGCAGTCACCTTAGAGAAGCTGTTAGTGGGCCCTGGCTTTGCACATGGAATTGGTCACAAGGTCTGGAGTTTAGTAAGTACGGTACTGCCTCGATTTGTGGCTCTCGTATCCGCGCGCCTGCTACCACAATGCTAGCGATGGAGCTTGAAGATGGACTCATTCGTCGGTTGTGATACACACTCGCTTACCGCAATTCTGCTGACTGCTTCAGATCCATGGCGACGACGACACTGAAGTCAGCCCCGCGCGAAATGTTCCCAGCCAGATCTCCATCGAAGACAGCTACTTACGCCTAGATACAATGCCGGAACTTGTCCAGGAGTTTGATCGACTTGGGCGCAGTCTCCTTGGCAGGATGAGAGTAGATCTGCTCGCTGATGACGATGATGTTGAACCCGCCGATACAGTGAACGCACGGGACATGCCGAAACCGATGGTGACGAAGAAATGGCTCGCTCGTCCCCGGACACTGCGTCTCACGACGAGGCCGCGCATGCCATTACAGCCTGATGGTACGAGAATACGGTCGTTCAAGCGCATCTCGCACTCGGCGCCCATGCCGAACTTTGTGTTCAATCTCAGCGATAGCATTGATCAGCTGTCCGAGAAGCTCGTGCGAGAACACATTCTCCCCATGTTTCGCAAGCTGCACGCAGAAAAGTCGGGCTGGAATTTAAGCCTGGTGAACTTGGCGGCGACAAACATGGCAGAGACTGCAGGTAATAGCAAGACGGCCAACGGCCGCGACATCAAAGGCATGTTCATGAGACAGGACGAGGTTCTGAAGGACTTCCGCCTGTCGGAGGAGACAGATGACCGTGGAGAGAGCAGCAGTGTGTCCGATGCTGGACCACTCGACACCACGCGTCCTGCCATACTCAGCCAGCCAGAAAACACCAGTACGTTTCCCGAGGACTATGAAGACAGCAGTAGCTGGGATGAAGAGGAAACCGAGGGCACGGAACTCTGCTGTTGTGGCGAATGTGGCATTCGGCTTCCTTCGTTTGCGATGAGTGCGCATTCACGATTTCATTCACACCTTCGCGAACCGCAGTGACCTAGGTACATAACGTTGTCGGTTGACGACGTTACAGTATTGATGCTGCTGGAATGGTGACCAGTCAGGTGCATGTTCGTCGGATGTGTGGCCACTGCCAGGTGACCAACGACCAAACCCGACAGCCGCTGTCGGAAGTGCGGGCAAGAAGTCATGTAAAGTACATGATAAGGTAGGTAGGCACAGACGGGCTTTTTCTAGGAAGGAAGGCGCCTCTGAGCAGTGGTGTGCACTTGACACGACTGTACTTTTGAGGAGTGACAGACACAGTACCTCTAGGAGGTACAGCCAAAACCTGGAACGGCCCACCAATGGGGTGGAGCTAGCTGGCCCACCGTCCCGGTTGCTGGAGCGGATTATGCATATCCTCGCCACTCCACTGGGTAGGTGGATAATGGGTGAGAAAATCAGTAGCTGAAGATTGGCTGGGGGTATCTAGACTGGTTCTGAATCTGTGTATCATTTAGTAAGGTAGGTACTGTCTTCCGCCATGACATCCGTCATCTGTGCAAACCGGATGGTGTATATGCTGCTGCTCTTTCCAACCCTTGACACCCACATGCATTATTTGCTTGTCTTCTCGTGCAATGCCCCGGTGCCGGTGCCGGTGCCAGATTTAAAAATCACTCGTCGTGTACCTCCGACTTTGCCCAACTCGCTGAGGTACTTCTCCTTGTCCTCCCTGTTCTTCTCTGCACTCGCACTCTTCTTGGCTCGGGTGATCATGCCCTCTACCCACCGCGCCTTCTCCGCAGGCAGGTCTGCACGCTTGGCGGCGCTCGAAGGGCCCGAGAGACCCATCTCCACCGCGGTCGAACTCGGGCCCTGTCTACTAGACGGTCTCGAGGTGCATGCAGTGGAAGGCCGCGAGTCGGAAGACCCCGACTTGGATGACTTCGGCGTGCAGTTCGCGGCTGCCGCAGCATCGAGGGGCACTTGGACAGCGCTGACCGTGCGCTCACGTGAGGCAAAGGGACGTGGTCTCAATGGCGTGTCATCTTCGTCACTGCTACCGGGTCTGGCGTCTCGAGGGGTGGTGGGTGTCTTCGCTCTGTGATAGTCCGCTGGATTACTAAACTTGCGGATGCTCGAGGGCGCCGTCGGCAGTGCGGCAATGACTTCGAGGCTACCCTCCGAGACCGTGCGGCTGCCGTGATGGTTTGCAAAATCATAGAGATAGCTCGCCAAATCTGCCCAACCCCCACCCACCCGTACCATGACCCGCTCACCCTCTCCGACCAAGCGCACAAAGAGCTTGATGGGATCATCTCTGCTGCTATGGGTAAGATGATACAGCTTCACCTCGGAATCTGCAGCCGTACGAGCCTTCCTCGGGGAGGCTTCTGCTGGAGCGATCGTCATGTCTCCGCCTCTGGGCGGAACACCCGCAGGCGACGTCCTGAAGCCCCGTACCCGACCGACGGGGGTCACGGCGCCAGCTCTTGCCTTGAAGCGTATGGGTGCGGGAAGTCTCTCAAGAACTTCGGAAACATGGCGATCGAACTGGTCTGCGTGCATCGGTGCTGTCGCAGGTGAGTTTGCCTGTGTGCTCGAGGAGCTTGAAGACGCATCATTCAGCGTGCCAGTATGCTTGCCACTACGAAGCTTCTTCATTACGATGTGCTGCGATTCCGCTGATCTCTCGGGTGAGACTGAAGTTCGCTCCAACACCTCGTTTGAACGAGTGGTTTGTGGCGTGCGGAGTTCCGAAGAGGGCGAAGGCTCATTGCATTGTGGCGCTGGCGTCGTGGAGGAGTTCGTTGGGCCGAAGGCTGTCGCTCCACCATCTACAGACGCTCCCTCGTCTTGTTGGAGACCTAACTGGGTTCGCGAAAGCACCGCAGGTGTTTCGGGAGGTGAATTCCGAGATGAACCACTACTTTGGCGGGAACTTTTGGGAACGTTGATGCTTTTCAGTTCGGAACGCGAGAAAGCCTCAATGGATGCAACTGACGCCCGTTTGACCTTGGGACTGCTCGTGATTTCGCCAGTCGTTGCCTCTGCATCGTTGAGTACCTTTCGCGGTAAGGCGTCTGCGGAATTAAGTTGCATGGGCCTAGTCTGAAGCTGATCGATTCCACAATGGCTTGCGCGACGTGGCATTGGAACCCTCTCGATCGGCTCCGTGATAGCAGCCCCTGATGCAGTTCTAGACCTCGCTGGTGAGGCCGATGCGCGTCGTTCTGACCTGGGCATGGATGTCCACTCGGTGGACTTCGACGGAAATGGCACATCAGCAGATGATAGACGTTGAGAGGGAGGGAATGATACACGTCTCGCGCCTTTGAATATTCGTACGGCTTTGCGCTCATCATGTATTGGTTCGTGAAGGCTTGCAATTGAAGTCCCGTCCAATACATCTGTGGCTATGGGCATCGAAGCTGTCTCCAGTCCACTGCCCATATCGCAACTCTCCCCATTGAGCGGATTCAACGACGAAGACAAGCTTCCGCTTGGTCTGCGTGTCAACGTTTCTTGGGGACGACTGACGTCGAGAGGCACATCTTGTGTGCGCTGACCAGCGATCTGAGATGAGCTACCATTGGGTGTAGGGAGCAAATCTCTGCTTAATGACTCGCTGGGCTTTGTTTCGTCAGCATCTTCCACGGAGCTCTTAGAAGAGTCCGCAGCAGATTGTAATGAGTGTCGCGGGCTCATGGTGGAGCTGAGTCTAGAACTAGCAAGGGAGACAGGCGACAGCGCGCGTCTTTCGACCGAAGGGATCCGACCGTCAGCTAACTTGCTTGTTGTCCTCTTTGATAGCACCTGCTCTGGGATCTTCTCTTTCGAGAATAGTCGCGTGAAAGCATTGCTGGCGCGCTCGAAAGGCCGGACGGGGCTCATGGTCGACTTATTAAGAGATTGATTCCGCTCGATATTTCGAATGAAAGCGGCGCGCTTCGCCGCGACTGAACCTGTCGCCTCATCCTTCGGCTGTGAGTTCGTGGATGCCGACCTCTTGATGATGGGGTCCACGGTAGACGTTTGATCTTCATTCTCATTTCCGATAGCGATCGGCTGGAAGGGTGCCGACACTGCTCTACTGGTGTTCTTCCCCGATTCGTTGGCGCTAGGCTCAGCGCCCTCGGTCTGGGTAGGAGCAATGGATTTGTGAATGAGCAGAGAATTGGCCAATTGAGCCTCATCGATACTGGATCGAAGGCTCTGCGATGGCCTGCGAACAACATCATTGTCAGATATGGGATCTTCTGTTTCAGAAATCGACAGCATGCCAGTGGGGTCTATAGAAGACTTTGGGGAGGTCTCTGAGCTGTGGCGTTCTGTCGTTGAACGAAGCTGACTTCCGCACTCATCCCGAATAGCGGTCCTCTCCGCTTGTACTGCCCACATAGAATAGTTCGCTTCGCATGACTCGAAGTCGTCAATCCAAGAGTCCGGCACACATTCGTTTCTGGCCTCCAAAGAATCGAGGAAGCGGTCCAATCGACGTCCCAAAACTCCCAATTGAGTTTCAATGTTCACTTTCATGGCCGACAGGGTAGCTCGGGTAAATGTCTTGCCATCATTTGCTACAACTGCATCATCTGGAGAAGGAGCAATCGCTACCCAGCAATTCTCCAAATCCGTCTGGACTCGTTTCAAGTCGCAGAGAAAGCGTGGTGCTTCTCGTAGTATGATCAAGCGCATCGTCCAAAGATCCAGAAGCTGATTTAAGCGCGATAGAAAAGGCAATGCCTGCAGAATAGTAGCAGTAACCAAAGCCATGAAGTCGTCCAACTTCTTGAAGTCTAGGGTTGTACTGCTATTTCCGCCCGCAACAGTCCCGCTGAAGGATGTCTGTGAGTTGAGCCGATAGTGCGAGTTTAGTACATAGCTCTTGAGCTCCTCTACGTCGATGTTATCGAGGCCTTGCCCAATCTCGTCAGCACGCCTCTCGTATTCACGCACCAGTCGTGCGGGCAAGCTGCCCCAGTACTCTTCATCGTGTTGCGAGGTACTTCCATCAGAGCTGTGGAAATCCCGGCCATCCACCGGTGTCACCAGCTGCTTTTGTTTCCGCGCGAGCCTTGGTTCCTCGAATGTGCCCGGCCAGTCCCAGTGCTCAAGCTCCCTCGTCCAATTGCGCAGGTCAAGGCAGGTCTGGGCTGCCTTTGCGCCCAAGCCTCGCTCTGACATGGTGGCAGATCTGATGCCGGTGACGAGAAGGTCGGCGCTGTCGTTGGGATCGGTCACGAAGGCGCGAAGCGTCGAGGTGGGCGAGAGATCGCGAAGGAGGGAATCGAACTCTCGTACATCTTGTCGAACAGGAGACCGCGACACCTTGCGCGCGTGTGCGCGAACCTTTGAAGGCGCAGGCAGCCGAGCCGGGTTCAGGAAAGGATTGTCGGTGGTCGACGCCATGGTGGTGATGGCGGTGGTGGTGGCGGCGGCGGCGGCGGCGGCGCCGTTGCTTTGTAGGACCCGACAGCCAGCTCGGTCGTATAAGTGCTGGTCACACTACAAGATTGAGGTGACGGTGATCTCAGCAGGAGGTGAAACGACTTCGAACGAGGGTGATGGATGTCTTACGGTAAGTTTTCCTGATAGGCATGCGCCTGCCGCTCGTCACAGCCACGCTACATCGAGCCTGCCTGGCAATGCATTGGTGGTCGCCCGACTCACCACGAGATGAAGTGGGCACAGGCGCAGGAAGCCACAAGCGCGAACATCGATTCACTGCTGCTTCAACGCAGAGGCCACTATAACGGCGACGACGAAAGATCATGTACAGAGACGGGACTAACTTACTGAGGTCGTGATTGCCGGAAGTCCGAATGCCGGATCTTAGATAATCCGCGGCCAGAATCGCCAAGTGGACCTTCTCGACTCCTTAATCCCTTGCGATCTCCCCTCCCCCTACTTTACCTCTTCTACTGATTGGCCAGGCCCGCCCATGCACTATTCTTGTCGCAGTACCTCCTTGGAGGTACCTCTAGCTACAATATGCTGGTTGTAGGCTTGTAGTGGACACATCACCCAAGCTGCCTGCAAGTGCCTGAGTGCAGCCACAGAACAACAAGATCGATCAGCCACAGAAAGCGGCACTGTAACATGAGGCTGTTCAAATGGATCATTCAATGCAGCTTGATGCAGACGTGCCACACTTGAGTTGTAAGGGCTGGAACATACTTCGGAAGACCGAAATGCCCATTTAAAGGTACACGTAGCTCGACTTGTACACCTAAGTCAGCACAGCCCAGACGTTCCCCAATCCTCTTTGCCTGATTCATTGTAGCCTAATGCTTTTGCTTCTTTCTCTGCATCTGGACATGGTCATCGAATCGTCTGTAAGCAAACTGTCCCTCAATCACCACGGATGCTCTCGATGAAAGTTAGCACAGTTATGCTAGATCGTTTGTCCATTTCCACTCACGTCCACAGCCACCAAATCGGCGACCTCACGTTAACAGAATGTTTGGCCAGTTTGAAGTATGCGAACACCAGTGCCTCGAGAGCGTGAATTGAGATCAAGCCACCAAATAGGTATGGTTGAATCAAGTATGAAAACCTGGCAAAGGTCGAGCCGAAGGCGCGCTCGACTATAGAAGTGGGCAGGCACGCAATCATTAGCTCTGCGCGCACGACTGCATACAGTATGTTGAGATGCTTCTCACCTAGCTGGCCTTCCGCATGCCAGTGACGTTGGCTGTATACTAGCAACGTGCCAAGGATGATCAGAAATGGCGCCATGTACGATCCCGTAGGCGGCAGGTATCGCTTGACCGTGACATCTGAGACTCCCAGTGCTTCAACACACTCCTTGTCGAAGATCACTACACGCTCGCGAGCTTCACGCCAAGTTTCCATCGGAGGTACAAACGGTAGTGTGACAGTATTGCCGTGGCACGAAAGCTCAAGAGCTCTCATGCTGATGTCCACGACTTTGCCATCATACGCCTGAAATTCCGTGTACGATCAGCAGATATCTATATATGATATAGCAAGGGCAGTTTATTCCCACCTTCCAGGACGGTACCCGGGCATAATGTTGGAGATAGCGAATTACCGAGTCGTGATGGTCGTTGTTCATGTGCTTGATAATCCGATCTTTGGCAGCATGTTCAGGATCTATGTCTGCAGTCATGGTGCGCGTGTATGTTCGTTGCTGGTGCACGCTGCATAAGGTATTGTACAGTGCACCTACTACATGTAGTATTTACTGTACCTTGAGGTAAGGTAGAGGTATACAGCAACTGAGCTCCTGACTCCTTAGATACGGCTGAGATGCGAGTACGGGCCGAGAAGGAGGATCGCCGAGCAAAAACTGGATTCTTAGTCATCAATTTGTTGCCTGTTCTCTTCTCAAATTCCCGAGTCTCAGCTCAATAGGAGGTAATACATGTGCCTATTGCCGCTTGACTATCACCCACCATCGTCACCAGTGGTTACTTGTAGCTGGCTGGCAGGACAAATGGACTGAGTGAACAAGTGAGCAAGTGAACAATCGAATGACATCAGCCCCGCAGGCCGCAGGGACAGGAAGAGCCACGGCGCTGTGGATTGCTGGCACGATACCTACCAAAGATGCGACACGAATCACACGATGATCAAAAGCTACATGTAGTCATTCTCCGCGTCTCTGGCAGATGCAGTCATCGTCATGCAACAGCGCAACGACGAGGATATGAATATGCGCCACGCAATGCGGCTCGCTTACGCTTCACAGTGAACCTGAAATGTACCCCTGCCAGCTGTGGCGGCTCTGGAGCCTATTGCGTCAGGTGGGTACAACATGAGAATGGATCAATGCCAGGAGAAACAGGTTTGGTAGGTACTTGTTGCGGTGGCCTAAGTGCACCACTTGACCTATCTCGCAGTTCCTGACTTGTTGCATCTCAACCTCCCTCGCGCACAACCACAAGCACAACCACCACACAAGCTCTTTTACCCTCGCACACTGCACACAGCACGAAAGAAACCAGTATGTCGTCTCAACAGGAAGAGAGTTCAGCCAGCTTGTCGGGCCAAGGTGGTGCGAACGCCGGACTGAACGCATCTGGCAGCGCAGAAGCCAACAGCAAAAGTACGAAAAAGACGCCCAAGAAGTTGGGCCAAAAGAAGCCCGAGCAGCAACCCACTCCCGATCACACGGAAAACGAAGTCGAGGCCGGAGCAGAGCAAGAGGCATCAGCAGAAGCCGGCGCCGAAGCTGACGGCGACGGAGAGTCTCAAATGGAGCCCGAAGTGGCACAGTCTCGCCAACAGTCGCGCCGCCGCCAGAGTCGAGGCCGCGGCCGCAAAGGAGGGCAACAGGAGAGTGACACGGAATCTATTGCTCGCAGCGATCAAAGCGCTGCGGGAGGACGCCGCCAGCGACAGCGTCAAAAGAAGCAACAGCAAACCAAGAACTCACAGGGCGGTCCGCTGGACGGCATCACGGAAGACCTTCCTGGTGGCGAAGTCGTCAACCAGGCGGGCGAACTCGTACAGGGGACCGCTGGCAATGCGGTCAACAGCGTCGGCGACACTGCCGGAAAGGCACTGGGCGGCTTGACGGGCGGCGGCAAGCAAGGACAGGAGGAAGGCGGAGGCGGGAAAGATGAGGGTGGTGGTGAACAGTTGCGACTTCGGCTGGAACTCAATCTTGATATTGAGATTCAGTTAAAGGCTAAAATCCACGGAGACCTCACGCTCGGTCTCTTGAATTAGATACATGTAGAGCAGAGCAGACCATTGCGCTCCAGTCCAAGTAAAATAGGGGGAGTTTGTTGGTAATTCCGTTGAAATTTTGGATTGATGATTTTGATGGCGAGACGTGCAAATGTACTTTACCTACCTTACCATCATCTACCTATCTACATGTACCTCCTAGTTGATGAACTCAACTCGAGTACACACCGACCCTCTGAGATGGAAGACCTTCAATGTCAATCCATGAAGCATTATGACATGGATGAGAGTCCCCAAGTCTCGGGCCGTCCGCTCCATAATGGCGTCAGCTCAATTCTTGTCATCCTTGATCCTAGCAAATTTCTTTCCCAGTTGTACAACCGCACCTGCATGAGTGTTCCATTGCATGTGATGACTGACGACTTATGACGATAGACGATCTTTGTTAATGCACCCGACACCACCACCTCCTCCGATTGTACATGATTAGGTAGGTGTTCAAGGTGGATACTGTGGCGGTGCGACAGGGGTGTGTGGGGTGGGTGCCTTGGATGAAGAATAGGCAGGCACGGTACAGTAGCGCGATCGAATGGAAACAGGTTTCGTTGCATGTGCTGACTGACGGGCTGACTGGCGACGAGAGCCGTATTCTGTAGTGGGTAGGTGGGTACAGCACGCAGAGGGTGAGCCTAGGTCCCTCACACACACTCACATACACTCACATACACACACACTCTGTCCCTCTCTCTGTAGCTTTCACTCATCAATCATCGATCAAATTCAGGTCTATATATCATTCAGCTCAAGGCGAGAAGGGGAGCAGCAAGATGGCAGACGCCGTCAACAACGAGTCGTACCGGAGAAAGTACATCGAGGAACCCAAGTTGGAGCACTTGTCAGAGGAGACGCAAAAGAACCCGCCGAAGCAGAGGACTGTACAGCAACAGGAGAAGCAAGACAAGCTCATCAAGAAAGAAAAGCGCGAATCCGGTCTGGAGTCTAATCGCTCCCGATCGTCCTCACGCCGCGAGCGTAGGAAACGAGTACAGCAGGCCATGGAGGATGGCAAATACATGAAGACGGGCTCGCTCGAAGCCCTCGAGGAAGCGGACGCCAACGGGGATCTCGAGCAACAGCGACCATTCGAGCGAATCGGGCCCGATAGTACATCCATGGACGGTCCCGTCACCCACGCACGAGCGATGCGAGGTGAAATTCCCGTCCGGGGCTCCAATCCCAATCAGCCCTACTACATCACGCCACAAGAGGAAGCAAGCAGTGGAGTAAGTCCGGCAGCAGCACCACGCCCTCAAGAAGTCTTCGGAAATGCTAACACTTTCAAGTCAGTCCTAAAAGACCAAGATGGTCTCAAGCTTACATTAGAAGCCAACCTGGACATTGAGATTGAGCTCAAAGCCAGCATTCGCGGCGACTTGACCCTCTCGTTATAGTAAGTATTTTTCCTTTCCTTTTCTTTTCTTTCCCTCCCTTCCCTTGAAGGCTCGAGGCAGTTGCATCAAATCCTCGACAATAAGTACAGTGACGGCTGCTGTTGTCTGGGCATCAGAAGATCACACAGTAACAGTGGTGAACTTCTAGTGCATGAAGTCACGATCGTCGAACGCGACCACACACCTACCTTAGCCCTCACATTACGGCGGCGCGTGTACCGGGTCAGACTTGCTGACAGCTCTTGTCCCGTAGCGAGTAACTTTTTTCCGACCGAAAGGCACAGCTGCTGGCTGCTGTCTCTGAGAGAGTATTGCAGCGCATCGGGGATTGTCGATATGGAGCACGGAGCTTCGCCACCGGGCGGAGAGGGCAGAAGAGGCTGCTCTATGGTCGCTTGTAATGTGGCTGTGGCGTAAGACATGAAGGGGGCATACCTACTGAAGGCAAGATAAGGAACAGTACCACTCATACACACTACAACCATAGTTGGTCTTCTTGCTGGAGCATGTCAGCTGAATCAAGGCGTGCACTCGCGGGTGTATGTGTATGCCTGTACGCGAGCCCATATTAGTGGACAATAGCGTGCATGAACGCTTCAAACGGATTGACCAGGCGGCAGCCTTCACGCCGCTACGTTTGCTCTCCGCGCGCTCAAGATCAGGTCTACGATTTGGTCCACGCCCTTTCCATTCTTCACCTGCGCGAAAATCGTTGGTCCTCCCTCCCTGTCACGAATTGTCAGTCTGCACTATGCGAGGACGAGCCCCTTCGAGCCAATCCGGGCGCCTCACCTAATTTTCCGGGCGTCCCTATCCATGACGTGTAGGTCGGCACCTATGAGCTCGGCAAGGTCTGTCTTGTTGACGATGAGCAGATCACTCTGCGTGATGCCCGGTCCTCCCTTGCGGGGAATCTTGTCACCTCCACTGACATCGATCACATATATGATGTAGTCTGCCAATTCTCGTGAGTAGTTCGCAGCAAGGTTGTCTCCCCCCGACTCGATCAACAGAAGATCGGTCTGAAACTCCTTTTGCAAATCTTGCAACGCTGCGAGATTCTGCGAAATGTCCTCGCGGACTGCGGCATGCGGACAGCCTCCCGTCTCGATTGCTCTGATTCGTTCTGCGGGGAGTGCTTTATGGCGGGTGAGGAATTCGCCATCCTCGCGGGTAAAGATGTCGTTCGTCACCGCGGCAATGCTGTATTGATCTCGGAGGGCGAGGCAGAGAGCGAGCATGAGGGCGGTTTTGCCGGATCCGACGGGCCTGCGAGTTCAGAGCATGATTAGTGGGCAGTTCCAGTCCCTCGACAGCGTCACGGCTACGGCGATGCCGACTGCGACGAGTACGGCCATCGAACCACTGGGCAGAAGACATACCCACCGATGCCGACCGTGAATGCTCGGTCTTTCCAATCTCTGCCTGCGATGATGGGCATTTCGCGACCCAGAAAGGAGCCGGGGCCATCGAGAATTTCGTGCGTGTGGCCATGGTCTACAGCAGCGTGAGAGTGTGATGCTGCCGCTGGCCCTTCGTGGGAGTGAGAGTGAGCATGTCCCGACATGGCTGCCAATGGAAATGAAGTTGAGCCAAACTCCGAGTCAGCAGTTCTAGACTTCTACAGGTAGGTAGGTAAGGTAGTTGGGGCACCCGACGGAGCGGGAGGAGCTCTTCCTAATCCCTATAGGTACAGGTACACTACCACTTACCTTAGTTACTGTTCTACACGTACCGTGTTGTCCGCTATACTCAATCTATAATTACGTGTGGGGGGTATCATGGTATGATATTCAGCAACAGGCTAGGCTTAGAACACTTCAGGTTAGGCTGAACTGATCATCACCGTGCACCTACTTCTCTGAACATCTGCCGGAATACCTCCTACTCCACGGCGGAGGTCTGCTTGTACAGAGCCTTTCTGTGCGTCTTCTATCATGGTTACTGCCACGAGTGGCTGCTTTGGTCGCGTGACGCCCACAAGTGTGATGGCTATATCCTCTTCTGGCATGCAGACACGATGCAGTGCCATGATCATCCATCGGCGCATCACGGCTGGGCCAGTCTGGCAGCAAGCACATCGATACGAAGACTCTGCATAGCATAGCCCAACCCTACGGCCAAACGGACGTTGTGGACGGCGAGCTGCTGTGAAAGGAGCGGGTCAGCACAACGGAAGTTGAAGGAGATTAAACACTGCAGTGCCCGCAGTGAGACTGTCTGTACCATATGAACTCGGGCTGTGTCTCCATGCTCGAGCACGAGCGCTGACGAGCCTGACGTAACTGACTGACTGTGCTGAGTTGAGACCGGTACGAGCAGCCGTGCGCTTGCATGCAGTATTGTGTGCAACGCGCCCGACGCAGGCGAACGAGGACTTGGCCCCCAAAAAGACCAACACCACTGTTGCATGTGAAAGCAGGGAGAAGGATGGACGGATGGACGGATGGACGGATGGTTTGACGTGGCTGACCAAAGAGGTCAGACGTGGTCCGCGACACCAGGCTCGCTCTCCCTGGGACAGTGTAGCAGTCGGATGGCGGCATGGACATGAACGAACACGTATGAGCCACGCGAGACGGCCTGCGCGTCGGGAAGCGGTTTGTTTGTGCATGTATGACAATCGCCGGCTCATTGCAGCTGTCAAACCCCATCCTGGGTTATGGGAGTGCTGGATGGAGGACGGATGGCCGTGGACGGCGACCTCCAAACAGGCCCCAAGTACCTAGTTTGCAGTCTGTGATGGGCACGATAATCGGGCTTGTGCGATGATGTTCCACAACACGTTTGCAAAGTCGCAAGTATGTGTGACCTTCCACTGTGTCGGTGTCTCGTGTCGCCATGGCATGGCCAGGATTGCAACACATCTATCGGTCATCCCAGCGTGCGGGAGACCTGGCGAGGCGGATCACGATGAGGAGGGTATGGCCCATCTTCATTCACGATTCGCATTGTATTGTGCGTTGTGAGCATTTCTTGGGAACCGCCTCCTTGCATGCTCACCGCCCTAGGAATGTCTCAACTTTCATTCACACACGTCTCGCCGCTATGGCTGGGCCGCTTTCGGATCCGCGGGTTCCAACAAAGAAACAAAGAAAACACTGCATACACATCCATCCCGCAACAATCGCAGCATTGCGCGAGGCAGAAGAGGGCCGTGCTCGTCATTGGACAAAGGAGCGCATGCCACCGTGGGCGTGGAATAATAGACACAACGATAATTCTTGCGTTTCTTTGCAATAATGGCACGTCTGGACCCGTCACGCGCCTCTATTGGTGCGTAGGTAGCAGGGCTTTCATTGTCGAGTGGGAATGCCAGTGGAACAAGAGGACGGTGAGACCCCGCTGTCTCGTCTCCGATGTCTGCTTCACTCCACGATTTACCGCTGCCCCTGCTTCCTCCGCATCGACAGTGGAATCAACCGCATCAGCCTGTGCAAACGCTGCACTCCGCCAATGCTCCCTCACACATCGTCTTCACGAGACAGCTGTGGCAGAGAACCATGTCCGGCGGCTCCCACCCAGCTAATGACGCTGTCTTGAACCAGTCTCAAGCTCAGGATACACGAGGCAGCAGCCATAATATTACTACAGGTTCCAGTCGGCGCACGTCGTCCTCCGTCTCCTCGCGCTCCCGCCGACGCTCTTCAAGTCCCTCTGGCCGAGATCCAACCAAGACTCCATTGACGCCTGAAGAGAGCCCCCCTTTCAGTCGGACAACAAGAAAGCGGACCGCTGGCATTGTGGAGGCCGAGGACAAAGACCTCACTCTCCCCAACGCGTACTCGGCGCATCCGACTTGCGACGGCGGCGAAGTACACGTCTGCATCTGCCAACCAGAGCCCAAGATCCCGAGACCCAGGAACGGTGCGTCAAGTCGCGCGCGCATGCTGAGCTTGACCCGCGTTGCTAACGTGCTATATAGCCTTCATTCTGTATCGCCAGAACCAACAGGCCCAAGTCGTCGCTCAAAATCCCGGTCTCGCGAACCCGGAGATTTCCAAAATCATCGGCGAGCAGTGGCAGAACCAAGCTCCAGAGGTCAAAGCAAGGTGGAAAGCGCTTGCTGAAGAGGAGAAGGTCCGCCACCAACAGCAATACCCCTCCTATCGTTACCAGCCCAAGCGCAGCAATCGAAGAGGCAGCGTGTCATCAGAGCCAGCATCGGGAGTTGAGAAGGCTCGCTGTCACAAGTGTGGCGGGAAGAGCATATTGGCCCCATCGACACCGTACACAGCCAGCAATAGTCCAGCGACAGCCAACACACCGGGCCCCCTCGCTACGCCGGTCACCAGAACACTGCCCGTGTTCCGGGACCTCAGTCTCCAATCACCAGCAGCAAGACGGTCTGGCCGCTTCCCCAGCAGCACCATGTCTCCTAACCATCACGACGAGCGCGACGATCTCGGTCCTCTCAGTCCCGAACTCAAGCGGCGGCGGTATAATAACATCAGTGAGCACTCCAATCCTATGACTTCACGCCCACCGCCACCACGGTATGTGACTGCACCGCCTCCGGGAGTGCACGTTGGCCCTGGCACGCCATTTCCCTTTAACCAGACACCTCCTTCGCATCCATATCCACCAGCGGCAGCACACGCGCGGCGCGAATCGCTCCCTGGACTGCGCGGTGTGGTGAGTTCTCCTGGACCCATGGCACCACCTCCCAGACCTGGACCAGGCTATGCGCAACACCGCTTGTCCCAAGGACACGTAGGAGCACATGACCGATCATTGACACTGCCACCATTACAAACCAACAGCGCTGGTGTTGCTCCTGGTCCGATGACATCTAGCGGCGGTGTCAAGAGTGTGAAAGAGTCCATCATGAGCCTGGACTTTTGGTACAAGATCAATGTGTTGGGTAAAGTTGCGCCGCCCACACCAGTCAGAAAGTCAGCGCCTCGGGGACCTCTAGTCGCCATCGAGGGTGACAATCTCGAGGCTGTCAAGACTCTTGCCAATTGGCTGAGTAACACATTGGGCAAAGGAGAGGATCTGAATGTAAAGCAGCTCGACGGGCCTGCGGTGAGCTGCGAAGGCAGTAAGCAGCAGATCATGGCGCGATATCACCGCCTGGCAGCAGATTGGCTGTTGAAGAGCAGCAGTATCACAGAGTCGCTGATGATGGGCGCGATATCACCGACTGATTCTGTCATGGTCGACGCTCCTTCCACCCTGCCCAAAGCCAAAGGCAGAGCGCCCATCGATGAGAATTACGACGACAGCAACGACTCGGAGGCCAATACGAACAGAGCGTCGCCTGATCGAGTAGCCGCACGCGCTCACGGTGCGGAACCCTCGGAGACTGATCGATATGGCGACGAGGCTGAGCAGGTGGAAGGAGGACATTCATCATCCACACGCAAAGCCTCCAGCTCGAGCAAAGGCTCGTCCGCGCCCAACAGCAGCACTAAGCCAGTGGGCATCATCGCCAATTACTCCCTGCACGCCAGCAATTTCTTCGCCTGCCATATTCCCATTGAGTCCTATGCACAGTACTCGCCCAAGGATCACTGGGAGTGGACCGCCACACACTGGCGCGGCATCATCAGTCCCGATTTGACCATCTACGTCAAAGACAGTGCCGTGGCCGAGAGTGGCAAGCCCACGGTCGAGATCATGGAGCCCGGTAGCCTATTTGTGGTGAAGAGGAGCAAGGGGGAAGGTAAAGACACGTTTGATGTCGAGGCTTCCACACTGAGACGTCTTGGCTTCGAAGTCAGCGAATGGGTGCGTGGGTTTGGCGAGAACGCTCTGTAAGAGGAGATACAGATACACAGACGAACAGTATGTGGGCTATGGTGTAGTTACGGTATGTACGTGTTTCGTGTAATACCTTACCTAGGTAGATTAGATGGCGACACGCCTGGCCAGTGAATCGCATTATACTCGAATAACCACGCCCCCCCCGCCATTCCACATTATCTTTACCTGACCTCCCTTCCAGTACCGTAAAACTGCACTGTACTGGTCAGTCCCGTCATAGTCGCGCCTCGTTGATGGACGTCGCAGTCGATGGCGCTCTGGCTTCGAATGCTGTGGCTGCTATGGTTGTAGTCAATGGATGTCCCCGGCGTCTCCCGCTAGGAGGTACCGTACATTCTGGATCCGTGTTGCTTGCACACACCCGCAATTGCTTTGCCATTCGGTCCAAGTGGAAAGACGGGACAATGGATTCAACGAAACCTCCGAGGCCTGAGAAAGTGCCACGACCTTTCTGCCTGAAGCTTACTAGAGGGATGTGCTAATACACTCCCCCAACTGTAGACCAGATCCGGTTAGTCATCCCGGCGCGGGATGGATTACAGAGACGGGCCGTGGTCTTTCACATGCCAAAGCCACTGTTGAGTCGTCGAGTCTCGTGGCCGAATGACGAACGGTCTACGGATCTAAGGTCAGGTTAGGTACAGTACCTACCTTACCTTACATGTAGGAGGTACGGTACTTAGCCTTCGTCCACTCCACTGCCGCCATGGCACGGCGAGCCTCTCTCCCTCCCTACACGTAGCCGTCGTCCATCACCATCACCACCACCACCACCGCCAGCACCACCTCCGCCGCCGCCACCATCATCACCACCACCATCGTCACCACCACCACCACCACCATCACCACCAAGACTCATTCCGAAAGTTCCTTTGTCTGCTTGGGTTGTCTGGATGTCTGTAGAGCTGCTGGGCTCTTGCGGCTTCTGCTATGATAGGTAGGTATGCGGCCCATTTCGATACCTTGAAGGGGCACACTCCACAGCCTAGAGGCCGACAGACCACCGGGAAAAGGCACCGCTGACGGAGTGAACAGACCACATCCTAGGGCGGCCGTCAACTCGCTTTCGCAAGTACCAAGTGCTCGCCGTCGTCGTCTTCTGGAGCCTCTATCTGCGCAAGTTTAAGCGACATGGTCCGCCCGGCGTGGACCGCCTCTCGCGATGGCTCTCTACACGCTTCAACATGCACCAGGCGCTCGTCGTGTCTTGCATGGCTCTGTACGTGACGCGCAACTTTGCTCGAGTGGTGGGACTCGAGTCGCCCGAGCCGTTGGCCAATCTGTACGATAAGAAGTTCTTTCGAGCCACCTGGGTCACGACCGCACTTGATGCGGGCTTTTGGACTGCCATGCATCTCAGGCCAAAGTGGCTCAGACATGTGTGCGAGATCGTCTTCACGCTGTACTACTTGGTCTGTGCAGAGCAAGCAGACGAAATGGTGCGCAGAGTCAGAGGCGATCTGCGCGTGGAGCATCTGCGCGTGAGCTGGAACAAGCCAAATACACCCATACTGAAGTTCTTTATGGGCTTGATGAGGCCCAAGCTTATGAAGTATGAGCCAAGAAAGATCAAGATACACAGACCCAAAGACAGCGACTACACGGAACCAATAGATGCGTGGCTGTACTTCGATGGATCAGATACAGAATTGCGCCGCCAACGCGAAATCGTGCTGGACATTCCCGGAGGCGGTTTCGTGGCCATGGACCCACGATGCCACGACGACAAGCTGATGTCGTGGGCCGGCAAGCTGGGCTGTCCGGTGCTGGCACTCGACTACAAAAAGGCGCCAGACGAGTGCTACCCTTACCAGCTTTATGAGTGCTACGACACATATTACCAGCTAATCATGACACGTGGTCGGTGCATCAACCTATCTGGAGAGCATGTGCCCAAAATCATCATCAGTGGAGACAGCGCAGGTGGCAATCTTGCAGCAGGCACAGTACTGATGGTCCTCGATGAGAAGTCCCAGCACTCCACTTGGCACACGGGCTTTATATCGAACACTCTTCCTCCGCCGGAAGCTGTCGTCCTCATCTATCCAGCTCTCGAGCTCAACATCGGCATTTGGATGTCCGATGAGCATCTCGCGCTGATGAACTCTCTGAGACGCAACAAAGACGACAAACGCGTGCTTGACCGCAAGACCGAAGACTATCGTCGCATAGACCGCACCACGCCGTATACATCTGATGCTGAAGACTCAGACGATACCGTGACGCCTAGACCCCGGCGCAAGTCGTCGGTGGCTCAACAGCCTGAGAAGCGTATGAAGACACGGTTAGCTATGAGCAGTGTAATCTCATATACGAACGACCGCATTATTAGCCCAGAAATGCTCCGAGCAATGATCATTGTCTACATTGGCCCGCATCGAAGACCAGACTTCACCACAGACTACTGGCTTTCCCCCGTTCGAGCACCGGAAGAGCTACTCGCAAAATTCCCGAAGACATTCTTGATATGCGGTGAGCGCGATCCCCTCGTGGACGATACGCAGATTTTCGCAGGGCGGTTGCGACAGGCTAAACTGTTGGAGTTCAACCGCCGTAAAGAGGTCGGCCTCGTTAGTGAAGAAGCAGTCTTCAACGACGAGGACCATTTCAAGAAGATCATTGTTCCACAGATCAGCCACGGATTCCTTCAGTTCGTGAGTCTATACCACGATGGCTGGGAGTGGATTCATGAATGCAGACGATTCATGCAGCAAGCATTCATTGATGCTTATACACGAGAACCGTCCTCTGTCGCATCGAATGGCGGCACTGACTACTTCTCGAATCCTCGCGGCAGCACCTCTCGACGTGGATCAGATTTCGAGCGACCGCTCGAAATTCCTTCAAAGTTTAGAATGACTAAAATTGATGCTGGTGGTATCACTTCGCCACAGCAGCGTCGAAGTAATCATTCGAGGAGCGGAAGTGGAGGGGGACGGCACTCAAGTCAGGTAGGCTCGTCTCTGACTTCAAACTCGAGGAGGAGCAGTACGAGGGCGCGGAGAACACATTACATGTCCGGAGCGATGAGTCCAAGTGCCAATAGGAATGCTGTCAATCGACTCGCCAGTAGCGAGGATTTGCTCGAACGGCGAATGAGAGTCATGACAGGACCATTGTTTTCAAAAGATGACAACAACTGACATTGAATGTGTTTGGGTGACATGGTCAGACGCTGGCGTGGATTCCCCATCGGCAGGAAATACAACGAGAAGTTGCAATTGTCGTCTTCGGATTTGTCTTCGCGAAGGTACCCCCACAGCTTGTGGTAACCCATTGCCGGAGCTTGGAGATTAGGTATGTTTGGACGATGTGTAAACCAGCGGGAAGTGTGAGAACATGAGGAAGTTGGCGAGCATGAGTCTTTCGAGTTGTATAGAACAGATACAAGGCACTACGAATGCCCGTTGGCCAAAAGTGCCATCCCTGACGCCATGGTGTATATCTCGCTCGCTCAATCCTCGCACACGCTCGCAACTTTTGGAATAGTCAAGCCCTTTTACGCAACAGCCTGTCTCTCGTCAGCTCAGCCAGTCGCAAGGGTATATCCCACCACCATTCCTCCTCGCCAGAGAGGTATTAGGTATATGTGGGTGTTCAAGCAATCATACCTTCACGGCGAAGTTCCTCTGAGGGAAGTGTCTCTGCTTCTTCTTCTGCTTCTCGGTGACGCGTGCCGCATCCTCTGGAGACAGACGGCGGCGGATGGCGCGAGTCTGCTTGGCACGAAGATCGAGTGGCAGGTACTTCTTCTTTTGGTAGAAGAGACGGAGCTGGGCGCGTTGGTTGGCGTTGATGATGGTGAGCACGCGAGCGATCGATTTGCGGACGTCGTGGCTATTGAGTATTGCCATGTCAGTGACTGGCCCTTTGTTCATTTCTGGGTGCGAGGGAAGGTGTGAATGGGTAGAAGGTGTCGTACATCTTGTTGAGCTTCGAGGAAGCGCCGCCAGCAATCTTCTGTGTGCGCAGCTGCACCAGCTCGGCCTTCAAGTCATCGAGCTGCTTCTTGAGCTCGTCCTTGTTCTTGCCCCAAAGCGCAGAGGCCTTGACTTTTCCGGACGACTGCACGCAGGAGTGTTGTCAGCCGCGTCCTTGTCCGTACGGATGATGTCGTAGGACTAGAAGTCTTACCATGCTGACTGAAGTTCCTGTGGGTTAGTGGTCGAGAGAGAGAGGGATGTTCCAGCGGCGTCAATGAAGTGATAAGAGGTTGTGAGCCGTAGGAATCTTCATTTCGTATGCTTGGCGCCTCGGTGTGTGGGTTGCTCCTTTCCCCGAGCTACCTGCATGGCGGGCCTCGCCCTGTTCCGCATGCGGCCTCTCCCGGTGATGCTACAACTGTAAGGTACCTACCTCCTACCTCTTACTACCTACAACTATGTGTGCACCCCCTGGAGCTGGAGCAGAGAAATAACAGCCATCGAAACAGAAGAGAAAAGAGAAGCTTGGCATCTGCACTGTGCCGTGTGTATTGCTTTGAGTTGCGAATTGCCACCTCTCGAATTCATGAGCATGACGGCAAATATGGGCAGCTGGGCCCAACTACGGCAGCAAGCACGATCGCAGGAGACGCAGACCGAGTCTCTCTTCCATACTTACGCGCAATTTGCCTCCAAAACCGACCTGGACCCGCAGCCTAGCGAGGTTGAGCGGCGCACCGAAGAGCAGCTCATTCAGCTATTAGAGAAGGTCGTCCTCTTCCCCCTTTCACTTGACACGCGGCGAGCGGCGAGCGGACCCGCTGGGCTTGATACTACGTTGCAATGCACTGTGCTGTACTGACGGTGTCCCTCAGCGTACTGCAACCCTCGCCTCCCTCCAGAGGAGCCTCGACTCAGAACCTACGCCGTCAGCTCTCAAATCGACAAACTTGGCACGCCACCGCGAGATTCTCTCCCAGCACCGATCCGAATTGTCGCGCCTCAAATCGCAAATCTCGCAGTCTCGCGATCGCGCCAATTTGCTTTCTAACGTTCGCAAAGACATTTCCTCGTACCGGAATGCGCAGAATCCGGAAGCACAGGAGGCCGAGTACATGCTACAGGAACGAAACCGGCTTGATCGTTCCCACAATGTGGCCGACAGTGTGCTCAGTCAGGCATACGCCGTGAACGAGAGTTTCGGTCTGCAAAGAGAGAGCTTAGCCGGCATCCAGAGGAGGATCACTGGTGCAGCAGCACAGATCCCTGGCATCAACGGCTTGATGCAGAGAATTGGTAGCAAGAAGCGAAGAGACGGCATTATATTGGGCTCCTTTATCGCTATCTGCTTCTTGGTGCTGTTATGGTTCTGGTGAATAGTCATGGGATACGACGAGAACTTCCGTTGCTCGGCATCCTTATGATTTCTCCGGTGTATCTGCGCACTTGCGCCTCGACACTCGTGCCTTTGGAACACTTACCACTCGCAAAAATTGCGTGGACAGGAAGAGTCACTCCGACCAGACCGAGGGCGTGATCAAAATGGACGAGCTGATTATGCTTGAATCCATGCCACCACGTTTGTATCTGCAACAGCAAGCCGATCGACCCGACGAAGCCAGGCTCGGGTTCAATGCCCTGCGCCTTCAGGTGAAATCAACGCTGGCCTCCCCTCCGAGGAATTGTTCTTCCGAGTGCTCCAATCTTGGCCACCAGCCTACTATAATGTATCGATTGGATACACTGGTGCGCACTCGTTGGACATGGATCGAACATGTTGAGGGTGCGAAGAAGAGTCCCGGGTTCTCGGCAAACGTCAACCTTGGACGTGCTACGACAGCGGCACTGCACAAAGGGCTGGAAATCTTTGCTCGGGTCGTTACTGAGTAGCATGATGTTGATGATCTCGCATTGAATTCCATTGTTTACTGAAGCAACACACGTAGGAGACCACAGAGTCTCAAAGGAAGTCTATAGTGGTATAGTGGCATAGTGGAAGCTAAATTGAGTCTATCAAAGGAAGGTGGCTTTCCGTTGCGGTGTGGCTGGGTTTACAACGTTCATCAAGGTGCTTCAATCGAGTTGCGAAGCCTCCAACATCCGATGTTGTAGTGTTCTCTTGATCGGGATCGCTGTGTCGTCTGAGGGCATTGCCAGCGGAGAGGCAATGCATTGCGGGAAGGCTGCGAACCGTAGCAAAGCACAGAGCGCCGTTGCGTCACGGCAATGAATACGAGACCTTCGACTAAGGTAAGGTCCATGAATGTATGGCGTCGTCCATAGATTCTTCATGCCATTCCAAGCTCACCCTACCCCGAGCAACGTATATCGAATTTTCAACCGGATGATCTATCCGTGTTACTTTACCTAAGTTTCCATTTCTTATAAGTTCTCCAAAAGAAAAAGATAATTGCTGGGGCATGCTTCCATGGTTGCCGAGCCAACGGTGTCTCAGTCCACGCCAAACAAAATATCTGCTCGATCACGCTGTCAAACGTCGACCAGCAATTGTAGTAAGGTCCCAGCGTTGAGTATTTTTTCTTTCGTTGCTATCCGTTGTCATTCTTGTCTTTGTAGCTGTCAGAACATTCAGCATTCCGATCATTCTCATGCCCGGTTATGGGCTTGCTCGATATTCACGATGAAAGAACAGGTTCCGAGTCCCACTTACTTTTCCAAGGAGCAAATAGGTGCGTGGGTTGCATTTCATACTACTGATGTGACAACGACTAGCATCACGAACGCGACCAGGTACATGTACATGCACTAGAGTCTAGAGGCTGATCGAGCACCATCACAGCTTCATATCTCTCCGAGCTCCGCCAACCGCCACCTGCACGACCATCCGGCTCACGACCAGCACCTCCATCTAAATTGGGCAGCTTGCGGCGAACCGACACGGTTGCGCCAGCAGAAGCAGGACACAGCGACCGGCGGCAGTTGTCCACCTGCGCCAGCCTGCCAATGATGGAGTCGACTACCAAGCCATCGGGCAGTCGCAGTCCCTTTGCTGGACGACCACTGGCACGAGCACCTTCCAGATCTCCCGAGCCATCTGGGCCATCACAATCGCCAGCACTGTCCGCGGCGCCCTCAATGTCAGCTCAACAGGCGCGTCCTCGACGGACTCCGAGCATGACATATATGGAGAATGGTCTGCGCTGGATGGAGAAGCAGGAGACACGGTCATTAAGCCAGGCACTGGCGGACATGGATCTGGAGGCGGAGCGGAAAATGCATGCGGCAGCACAAGACGAGGCGGCCATGCTGGTGTGGAAACATCAGAATCCAGAAGCAATCAGCGGCCCTTATGTCAACCCGGACCTCAGGACGCGAGACTATCGTTCGCATCTACGCAAAGGCAGTTATCATCGTAGCCACAGCCAAGATGCACACTCGTCTAGCGGCTCACATAGCGCATCGGACGGCAGCCAAGCATCACCCACAGGCGAGAGCGCCATGCTCCCCACAGGTCTCAACAATGCGCAAGTGCCTCGCAAAGTCAGCCCTCCAACCGGCAGAGTGTCTGTGCAGAAAAGGCGAGGTTCGAGCAGCAAGAGCTATGATGAATTGGCTGAAGTCGTGGCACAGGACATCGCGATCGCGCATCGAAGGAGCAGTAGCGGCAGCAAACGCATCATGAGTGGAGAGAAGAAGAAGTTCATGAGCCCGGACGATCGAATTTGGGAAGATCCAGAGGAGGGCGCTGCGCCGGCGATGCAACAAGATGGTACGAATCAGCAAGTCAAGGACTCAGGCGCGTATGCTACTCAGGCACAGCCATCACATGTTCGCAGAAACCCTTTCGCAAGAGTCAGAGCACAATATGAGAAAAGTTTGGAGCGCTCCAATTCAGCGCCGGCTCTGCAAACCCTTAACGGCATATCGCCGCCGAGACATGAACGAGTCGAAATTCAGAGAAATCCACCGAGTCAGAGTCGGAATGCTTTCTACACCTCGAACGAGGTCGTGCTTCCGCCAACTCCACCTATTGAGCTTCAGCATGAGCCAGATGATGTGGCACCAAAGACCACAAAAATGGCCGACGGCAGGGAGATTCGAGGAGATGATATACGGGCCGCAACCAGTAAGTCGAGGAGTGCATACAGCCCAAATTTGCCTCGGCCGACAATTGTCAGTGACAAGCCTGGACGACCGATTGTCAGCTTTCAAAAGGATTATAAGCCGAAGGAGATCGTGATGGAAGAGCAGCATGCGACTGCCTTGCCAACAGAATCTCCATCTCCCAGTTCCCCTCAAATGGGGAACGTGGATACCTCGCCATCCAGAATTCCTACCAAGCCTGGAAGTAGTCCATTCATCCAAAGAGCATTTGACGAGAGCCCCGTAAAATCTCGTGTGTCACCAAGGGGTGAATCGGAGTCGCCCACGAAGAGCAGGATTCCGAAAATCAACGTGAGCGATGTCCCCAAATGGACGCCGTCTGTTCAACCATCTACTTCCCCCACTCGACAGTCTGTTCTCCCTCCCGTGCCAACAATCCGCGCGCCACATATCCCACACATACCTACGATATGTCCGCCAGAGGAGGAGTCGACACCAGTGCCTGAGGTGCGGACTGTCAGCGTCGACGTAGAGACGCCTCCAGTCGGCGAATCACCCACCAAGTCAAGTAGGATGTCACAGCGACCATCGCAAGCGGCCGTTGCACCATCGCCTGGCCGTCCGCTTCCTCGACATGCAAACACCACTCCCATCCCACAGAGCAAGTCAACACCCCACTACACGCCGTCGATTCGAGCATCCAGTACATTGTGTGCGCACTGTGCACTTCCGATTGCCGGTCGAATTCTGAGTGCAGCAGGGGAGCGTTTTCATCCTGGATGCTTCGTCTGCCACCAATGCAACACAAATCTAGAATGTGTTGCGTTCTATCCAGAGCCTGAGCGACAACGAGCAGCGCGACTCGAAGATCCGGACAGTGCTGGGGAAGACCCGACACTACGATTCTACTGCCATCTTGACTTCCACGAGCTTTTCAGTCCTCGGTGCAAATCCTGCAAGACTCCCATCGAGGGGGAAGTGATAGTGGCTTGTGGAGCGGAATGGCACGAAGGGCACTTTTTCTGCGCACAATGTGGCGATCCATTTGACTCGAGCACGCCATTCGTGGAGAAGGATGGACACGCGTGGTGTGTCGGGTGTCATACGAATCGATACAGCTCCAAATGTCGGAAGTGCAAGAAGCCGGTGACGGACGTGGTTGTCAAAGCTCTTGGTTCGGACTGGCATAGCAATTGCTTCACATGCATGGTAAGCCTTCGTGTAGGTATCTGAGCTACGATGATGATGATGATGCTGACGGCTACATACTGCAGGAGTGTAATGGCGAATTTGCGGACGGTAGATACTTTTTGCGTGGCGATAGTCAAGACTGCCCAGTATGTGTGAGTTGTGAAGAGAGGAGGCTGAAAGCAGCTTAGTGTCGGCATGGTGAAACCCTAAGCTCGAGATTGCAATAACAACAAGGTAATATACCTCCTAGTGCCCTCGCGCAGTCATAGCACGCACAGCGCCTTCTGGGTAACAGAGAAACAGTACCGACGTATGGACGGTACTCGTGTTCATCATGCAAGCTATTGGGCAAATAGGTGTGCTCGAAACGTAGCCGAGAGGCCACTGCTAATGTCCTACCTCCTAATACAACGTTAGTACAGGTACCTATGTTGGTCGGTACAGGTACCTATCGTCTGCACCGCTCCTGTACCTCATGGACAGCACAGGCTACCTCCTGTGACGACGGAGTCCAAGTCCGTACGATCAATATATCTTACGTGATAGACGTGTGATATGCTGATAGAAATGTCAAACTTATATAGTAGCATAAATTCATATTTATCCATACCTACTAGTACCTATTTATCCATATTGTGAGGGTGTGAGCACAGGGGTACGGCGGTGTTTCTCCTTCGAGCTGTGTAGTTCTACCGCGCCACGTTGCCGAACGACGCCAGATCTGCCGGGAAAGCTGCTGGGATGGGAATCTCACCGCCGTAACGGCGCCGTCAGGGTCTGCAAGGACTGTCTACAAGTATAGTCCATGTATCTGTACTGTAGGTAAGGTAGAGGAAAGTCATGTTATACTCATGTACCTATGTATGCAGTCTCATACACGGAATAACCAGGCGGGGTAGAGGTAGGCGGTATAACTATCAGGTAGAGAAAACATGATGTTTATTGGCCATGTCGTGGCATACCTGAACTGAACAGTGAAAGCTGAATGATGCACGCCAGGGCAAGTTTGAGTTGCACGTAACCTGGGGGCTCTTGGGCGGCGGGCCACTTCGCAATCATATTTGACCGACCCGCCTACCTACATTACTACCTCTGTACGTGCCCGCTTAGTTTCGCGCTTCGCCTCCCTATTCTACTCCAGTACTAGTTCGAGTAGATCGCAGTGACGCTGCTGCAGTGCTGTGCTGGACGAGGCGCTGCCGCCCAACGCACGAGGCAACAAGAAACCAGGCACCCTCACCCTCATTCTTGTCACCAGCGGGAACAACAGCAACAGCAACAGCAATAGCAACAGCACCGGCACCAATCCCAGCACCAGCAGTACCAACACCACCTCCGCTACCACCACCACCACCATCACCACCACCACCACCGACGACGACGAGACGACGACGGCGTCGGCGTCGACATATACTATCACATTGGCCGCCGCTGCGTGACAACCTCGTCACACGAACTTGGCATCACCAACCGTGAACTACCTAACGAGACTGCGAGACCAGCGACGTATGGAGGGCGGACGGACACTGCCACACTTCACCACACCACATACACCCCACCCACGCCATCTTAATCCGAGCATTACTTCATCCCGACTTCCCAGTTGCGCAGGTCGCAGCTGATCTTCGTGCGTCGATTACCACTGGCGACGCGGCGGTACATATAAGCCGCGCAGTTCCTTCCTGATTTCTCCCATCTTGCCTGGAGCATGATCTGAAACAATAGCCCTGGACTGCGGCACATTATATATGCGACACGGCACGTGAACCCTACACACGGCTCCCAGGCCATGGCCATACACCGCGGTATACAGTCCGCCCTGTTCTACTACTTGTCGTGCGCGCCGTGCGCGGATGTTCGCTACCGCAAGCGGAGAAAGCAAGAAGCTGCTTTATCCAGAGCCGAACGCCTGGCGCTCGATGCGGAAGAGTCGAACGTATATCGACATCCCGGGGAGCCGTCGTCGACGAACCCTCACTGGCAGTCGGAGATCGAGTTGGGCCCGACATTCGTTCGCAAAGGCAAGAAGAAAGCGAGCACGGGGGACAGCCAACGACAACTGAAAGTAGAGAGGGCGAACAGTAATGCCAGTCACAACGCGACTTTGCCAGACTTTGATCCACGAAGTTGCAGCAGTGCGACAGCCGATCGCAGATGGAGGTCAAGGAGTGATGGGAGAGGTGATGAGCCGTGGTGTGGCTCATCGAGCTTGTTGCAGAGGCCAGCGACAGCAAGGACCAATGGATCGACTGCAACCATGTATCATACCAACTACAATCCTGCAATCAACGAGATGCATCCACCCACAGTGACTAAAGTCAACCGACGGGAAGATGTGATATGGATGATGCAACCAGTGCCGATTTCCAACGTCATGGGTGGCAGTGAACGAGGCATCAGGGGAAGAAGCGACAGTGGTGGCGGCAGTCGACTTCGCTTATCCAGTACGGGACTGTCAACACAAGTGAGCACCAGACTCCTCGAGCCGAGATCTAGAACTGGCACTCCATCAGTATCGGGCGTGTCTCGCGAGAGTTCTTTCCGATCGGTCGCGGGACCCAGTGAGCAGAGGCGCGAAAAGTCTGGCGAGCACGATTTTGCCTCCATGCCTCCACACTCCACCGATGGCAGCAATGAGTCTGCGCGCAGCACGTTGCGCATACCAGAACTTGCTGCCATGAGGCATCCACCACGACGTGCAACATCACGGCCACAGCTTTCCACCGTCCTTTCCGATGGCGACTTACCATCCCAGATGCAACGAAGTACACCCAAAGAGAATAGCATGCCGACCTCACTTCCAGGTGTCAACGGCATCATTGATATTTTGGATGGGCAAGCCGTACGCTCTGCCAGGGCAGGGCGCGAGAAGCCTGTTGGCGCCGTCTTTCGCCACAAGCACGATGATAGTGAGGTGAGCATACGTCCGGAACTCTTCGATAGCTGGTATACGCCTGATTTTGAGCTCGGCAAGTACATTTTTGAGCATACGAAGCGAGAGGTGCATAAGAGGTGGAGCATGGATCTATAACACATGTCATTTTCGGTGTCTGATTCCTGGTTAAGTCGTTTTGGAGCGTTCAAGCGTGGTGTTTACTGTGGAAGTCCGGCGGCGGACATTCGGGTTGCTTGGATGATACGTCCGCATGGCAGCAAAGAAGATGACCTGTTTGTACATGGCTAGATGATGAGCTGGCCGAGCCATTCATCCAGCAACAGCAGGTGCACAGTCACGAACACATCGGTCTATACAGGTAGTATAGCAATCAGAGAATGAAGCATAAGGTACTACCTTACCTCATCCATACTGGTGACATTGGATGAAAGATGGTACCTGGCCTGGTAATACCTCCTAGGAGGTAAGGTACCTGTACTTTGTTGGAGGTCGCTTGGCGCGCCGAGGTTCATAAAGTTGTACCGCAACCTACCTTAGCCTTAAGGTAGGTCCTTAGGAGGTTTGAGGTACCGCCGGTCCGCCATCATAGAGACTCGATCCTACGTCTGACGTCAAGCTCCTGGCACCTGGTCACATCTCCCGCGGAAACAGTGGCTTCGGTACAAATACTGTAGGAGGTACCTGTAGTAAGTGCTCTGGCCACTCCATCAGAAGACGCAGCGACAGACGGTACATAGCACATCGCCTCTTGCACCAGACCAGACGTATCATATCCCGCCGAGATGATGACTACCTGTATCCGCGCGTTTCAACCGATCCTACGCAGCGCCCCTCGTTTCGCTGTCCGAAGCAGTCAGCAAGTCCGCTTCCTCAACAAGGACACATCACCATCGCTGTATGCTGCCCACGCTGCGGTCACGGGAGCTCGGAATGGCCACGTCACAGCAGAGAACCTCGATTTGCAGCTTGGTACCCCCAAGGCAATGGGAGGCAAAGGCGGAGCAACCAACCCGGAGGAGCTGTTCGCAGCCGGCTATGGTATGGGCTGACTTCTTGGGAGGCGGTATCATGTTGGAAATATTCGCTGACTCATATCCACTAGGCGCATGCTTTCAGAGCGCCATGTGAGTACCTAGTGAAGCACTCCTCATACACTCTCGTCGCGCTGTCTGCGAGAAGGATACCGGCTAACCTGTGACCGACGACTACCTTACTCGTAGGAACGCTGTTGCACCCAGCCTCAAGGTCAAGCTACCACAGTGAGTCCCAGCATGGCCCTCTCTCTCTCTCTCTCCCTTGTGTCGATGTCTACCACGCTCGATGACGGCGGCACCTTTGGGAGATGGTTGCTGACCGGTCACGTACCACTGCACAGGGACAGCGTCGTGGAAACCACGGTGCACCTCATTGGATCTCTCAAGGAGCTCGATATCGGCATCAGAGTAGACATGAAGGTGAAAGTCAAGGGTGCCAAGAAAGAGGACATCGAGGCACTTGTAGCCAAGACCAAAGAGGTGTGCCCATATAGCCGAGCGACGCAGGGCAACGTAGTGACCAACGTGGAAGTCATGGTTGAATAGATAGGAGGTACGAGTCCCGTTTAAATTTGGTTGCAAGTTGTGTAGTAGTACGGGATTTTGGCAAATGGATCGGGTCGTTGCCTGAGTTACCGCGTGCGGGTATATTATACGTACTGTGTACCTCCGTACCCTTATGTACAATGTAAGGTACCTTTAGGATCCCTGGGCACAGGACGCTAGTGCTGTGCCTTTGGGGCAAATCCTCCGTTGTCCAATGAATCAAATGAATGAAAGGAACAAAATGAATGAATGAAAGATCCATTTTGGACCACATGCAGCGACGCTATCCCAAGGCCAATTTCCACCTGTCTTCAGCCGTTCAGCCTGTCTGTCTTGTCCACGCGAGTCTCTCTCTCTCTCTCTCTCTCTCTCTCCCTGTTTGCCTGTTTCTCTCTCTTCTCCACAGTCTGCAAGGGTTGTCAGCGTACCTGGTACCTATTTGCTTGGTCTGGTCTAGATCTCCGCCGACTCTGGCACTCCTCATCACATCCTCTTCTTCTTCTGCCTCCTCCTCCTCCTCCTCCTCCTTCTCTTCCTCCTTTTGCACCTCCTCCCCTCCCCTATGCTCTCCTCTCCTGTCCTCTCCTCTTGTTCCTCCTCCTCCTCCTCCTCCTCCTCCTCCTCCTCCTCCTCCCCCCTCTGTCACCAGCCCATCGTTGATTGCCTGCAATGTACCGCGTAAGGCGCAAAGTGCGATGACCACATGCCTCTCGACCACAAGCTTCCCGCCTGCGGTTGTGCAACGCCAACCGCTGTGGAATGAGCGCCGTTTGGTCGCACGGCGTCCCCACCGCCCACGGCAATCATCCAGACTCAACTGTCAGGCATGGATAACAACGCTGGTGTGCTGTCTGCTCGTACTCGTTCGAAGCACCGATGCGCATCAACTCACTGGACTTACTCGAATGCACGCGAGGAATGAGCCTGCGGACCTGGCGTCAACCACTATACGCCCAAGTGGCTCTGCCACTGCCACAGGAAGCGTACAAGTCGCGAGTGACATATCGACCGCCCTGCCCAGGCCATTCGATTCCAACATTGGCAACAACTTCACGACCGCTTCTTGTCCGGCTTTCTTTGACCGCTTTCTCGGTCATGGTTCCTTCATCCAATGTCTGCCGTTATCGCTTCTCCTCCAGGTGAGTTGATCAGAATCAGTAGTGCGAGCGTGCGTGCGCGAAAAAACAAATGGAAACTGATGACCACCATCATCAGACTTCCAACGGTTTCTTCACGGCGTCCCGATCCCTCGTGAGGCTCACGACCACTTTGGATGCCACCTGCGACATTGATTTCCCCCAATGCTCCGCTCTAATGGCCCAAATGGCCCAAGACATCCGGCAGACTTCCACTTGCGGCTCGGACCTTGCAATGGGCAATCCCACCGTCGTACAAGCCTACAATGGCTTGCTGGCATACGACACTCTGTATCACGCGGGCTGCCTCAATGATGCGAACGGAAGCTACTGCTATGCCAACGCCGTGACCAACACGTCGGCTCCCACGAGCAGTTACATCTACTATCTCCCCCTCGGTGTGCAGCTGCCGGGGGGATCACGACCGGCGTGCACCACCTGCTTACAAGACACCATGGCCATTTTTGCGCAGTCGTCCGGGAACGTGAGCTCTCCCCTCCATGAAGACTATGCTTCGGCGGCAGAACAGGTGCAAATGAGCTGTGGACCATCCTTTGTGCAGACTTCGGTGCAGCTCTCCTCGTCGTCGTCAGCGCCTACCATCAGCCTGGTCTCTGGTGGTGGTGGGGTTTCTCTCGCCATTTTTATCGCTTTTCTCACATTTTGTTTCCTAATATAAAAAGAAGAAGAAGAAGAAGAAGAGGCAGAAGAAGATCAAGCGCTGATCTTCTAGAGTATCTACGCTACACCTACCCGACCTAGGTTCTAAGGGGTTCATCTTTTTGTTTTTTCGTGGTGGAGCCTCGGGGGTTTTTGATTTGAATGAAGGGTTAGCGTGGAGTTCTTCTATTAAAACTTCCTGTTGCTTACGTGCTTGCTTGAGGTGGACTTTTCACACAGCGGGAAGTATCATATAATCAAAGATTAAAGAGGAGGAGGGGTGGCAGGCCTGCAGGGAGGGTGTGTGGTGCGCAAAGCCGCAGATGATGTTACCTATTATTATGATTATGATCAACATCCACACTACATGTATTGAAGACCTTAACACCTACCTAATGTACCTACCTCACCTTAAATATCGACAGTATCTGACCTATTTGATAACTCGCACACGTTTCTGTTCCAATCAATCACAAGATATCTAAGGTACCTGACCTGACCTGACCTGACCTGACCTGACTTGACCTGGCGATCTGAAACTCAGGTACGTACATGTACATACGACAAACGGTCCTCATGAACAAAAAAGAAAGGGAAAACACAAAGAAAATACAGATAACTAGGTGCAGTGTATGTGATCATACATGTACCTTCCTAGCACCAGTCCTTCTTCACCACCGCCATCTAGCCATGTTTTCTCTCTCACTCTCTCACTCTCTCACTCTCTCTCACTCTCACTCTCACTCTCTCTCACTCTCTCACTCTCTCTCTCTCTCTCACACACACACATGTACTTAAGTACTTGCCTTGCGTATCTACTACTACACGAGTTATACATGATCTTCCTAGGATCGGCATGGGGAGAAGAATGGGGGGACATGCTGCAGATTAGTCGTTTTTCACAAGCCACCCTAGCACACACAGAGAGAGACAGCAGCAGCTACATTCTCGAGAACGGTAAAGAAGATGAGAGCGAGAATGGAAAGCAGTATTGTATATAGGCAGAGCTGGAGCATTAGGAACAAAGGATATCATACATGACTCAGTCCAGCATATCCGTACGGAGCGAGAATGCCCGTATTTCTTTCTGTCCCTGATCAGATGATTCCTTTGGCCTACCCCGTCGTACCATCAGTGAGTGCCAGGGCATTCAGGTATCCCCCAGCCTCCAGCGCGAGTTGCAGAAGATGTTTTGATGCTCAGCTATTATTCCACCAGTAATGGTGGATAGCCGTGCCATCATTTTAGCGTGACCAATACGAACGCTTCGATCTCTTCTTCTTGCTGCTAGGCTTCTTCACAGCAGAGCCAGGCGCAGCGGATGTCGCACTGGAGCTTGCCGTCTGTCGAGCATTCGGTGGAGCGTCTGCCCCGGTGACTGCGAGCTCGGTGAGAGTGTCTTCGTCCATATCGGAGAGTTCCTCGGACATGGCACGCAGCACCGCCCTGCCGGTATATCTCTCCTCGTGAATCGTGGTGCCAATCGGATCGAATGGTTCCAGGTACCAAGGCACCCCACCCTGGGCGAGGAAGTCATGGGACTCGCCATTGAGATTGCTCGAGTCGCCACTGACCGAGGCTGGAACGCCCGATGGCCTGGACGACGAACGAGAGATGGGAGGCGACAAAGGCTCCGTGGGCCGCTCGTTTCGACCCTTACTGGAAGAAGGCTTAGGGTCCGACGAGGTATGACTGCCAGCCTTGGAAGCAGGAACCGAGGACTCATTTGCGAAAGGAATCATGCTGTCCCTGCCCAGACTGGGGTCTGAAGTTGCATCGTCGGGTCCGGCGTCCAGCATATCAACCAAGCCAGTTTGGTCTTCAGCACCTGCGGCGACTGAAGGATCAGGACCGGTGCGAAGATGCGTGTGCTGTTTGTCGACTTCATCCTCACCATCTGCATCGAGCGATTTCGACTTTGATGAAGCAAAGATGCCCATCGAGTCTAACTTCCTCAGTTCTTCTTCATGCTCGAGCCCCCTAAGCTCGGCTTCTTTCTTCATTGCCGCCTCCAATGGCTCCTTGACCGCCTTGACGATGCGCTTAGCAAGCCTCTTGAGATCCTTTTGTTCTTGCGTCAGGGCCATGTGAGCGGCAGAGCCTGGCTTGACTTCGTTCAGCTGGTTGTGAATGGCTTCAATGTCCGCGTCGGAGGGCGAATCAGGATTGCCAGCCGATGCCAGAGCTTGTGCGAAGATTCTCGACAAGTCGCGCGAGAAATCGGACACGGACGTGTAGTAGCGTTCTCGCAGTCGCTGTGCAAGCATGTCGAAGCCGGCGCGAAACGCGCCTGTCTTCTCATCCAACCTGTGAGACTCGTCAGTAGAAGGTCAGCATGAGCAATGGGGGGGTCTCGACTCACTTTTGCGCACGAAGCAGGATGGGTCGCAGCAAGGGAGGGATGGGGAAGTAGACGGTGTCGATCAGCTCGCGGAGCAGTTCGACCTCCTTGAGGCGCAGTTCCTCGCGTTCTCGCACCTGTCTCGCCAGCGCCGTCACGAACTTCATCTCTTTCTGCAGCATTGCGGCAAACTCCAGACGTCGCTGGAGTCGGGGACCACCGGCAGAACCCATTGCTGCAAAGTTGCGACGAGTGACTTCCATGCTAGAGAAGCCTTCGAGCTGAAGCTGGAGTCGCTTAAGAAGCGCCGCGCCGCGCCGGGCCTCGCGCTTCAACGTCCAGTACTTGCACGCCTTCTCCACAAACTCCTTCTTCCTACGAACGGTGAAGCGTTGAAGGCTCGAGTCGACCGTGTTCATCACCACCTGCGGCACCACGGGCGCACCGGAGGGTAAGCGCCAACTGCACTTCTGATCTTTCTTGTTGTTGCGTCGCTTGCTCACGGCAATCGTGTCTTCCGCGCCTGCGAGTGCCTCGTTCCCGGCATCACCATCAGCAGACGGCAGAGCAGCAAGTTCGAGAGCTGCACTCTGACTGTCTGCCCACTTGCGATCCTTGAAGGCATGCTTATACCAGCGCCGCGCCTCAATCGTTGCATTCTCAGTGTCATTGATCCGACGCCACTCCTGCGGAACATGCTTGTCGCAGAACGCTTTGAGCGCAGTCGTGTCGATGCCGCCTTGACTTTGCGACTTCATCTTCAAGAACAATCGGGCCCGCCGCGCACAGGTAACGTGGAAGGCTTGGTAACAGTTCTTATTTCCGCATTGGATGCAAGCGCCCATTTTTTGGTTGCAGATGTAGCAGCTCAGTTTCCATCGGTTCTTGGGAACCTTGTCCACATCTTGTATAGGCTCCATGAAGGTCATATTCGCAATGTTTACCTCCGGGATCCATATGGCACAGAGAAGGTGGCTCCATCGCAAAGTGCTCGTTTGCTTGAAAGCCCCGTCGACGTTGGGGCAAAAGATGCACGTCGGTGTGCCTCGTCCTATCTCCTTGCACTTCCGACAGAACCACTGTCCTTCGGGGATAAATGGTACCCCATAACACTCTTGGTGGACTGCAAGGTCACAGCCGTCACAGAATATGATGGCATTGGCGTTCTCACAGTCCCCATCATCACATATGGAGCATTTGCTGTCTGGCTCATCTCCAGGGGGGTTAGGGTCTCCATTCACGGCAGCTTGAGAGCTCGATCGTGGCCGATGGGTTTGTGCATGACGCGGTTGGGGCTTCGGGATTCGCTTCTCCAGTGCATGGTACTCCTTTTCGATCTGTGTCATCGTGATTTCGAAAATGGCGGGCTTGATCGGTTCCGAGCCATCGGCCTTTCGCTGTTCGTTGATCTCGTCAAGCCATGCTACATCTTGCTCATCCATGTCGTACTCCACTCTAGCCACCACGGCAGGACCAGAGCCAGACTCCGCCGGTCCATCGACCGCCAAATGTAAGCCAACGTCTGCTTCATCCTCGGCATGTTGATTTTCAGTTAAACGTATCAGCACTGCGGGAGGCAGCTCGAAGTAGTCGCTCTCCTGATATCCGACGCCCGCCATGGTCCGATCCACGTAATTGACCTTGTTTTCTCGCTGATTCTCTTCATACTGCAAGAAATGGTTGTAGTGTCGATACGAGGGCTTGGGTAGATTCAGACGTTCCTTGGGGTTGTGGGTAGGCAGGGGTAATATACGTGGCGCAGGCGGGGAGCCCAAACCACTCAACATCGACTCTGGCCTGCGAGGCGGCCGTCCAGGTTTCCGCCTTTGCGGCGTGGTCCCTCCACGACCAGACTGTGAAGGGCCTTCGTCGGAGACATCCTGCATATCCACATCGCCGTTCGGATCGAGGCCATTCAGCTTGAGGTTCTGCAACTTGGGATCCTGCTTGCTCGTCCTCCCATCCACCTCGTCTGCAGGAAAGACCAGAAGCCCAGCTGCCAGGTCAAGCTCCGGGTGGAACTCGTCCCAGCTTCGTTCCTCTCGAGGCTTATATCCATCGCTAGCCTGACTGGCGGCTGCCGCAGCTGCCGCATTGCTATATCGAGGACGTGGTGTGCTGGGTGGTGGGGCATATCGTTCTGGTCGTTCACGGCGGGGTCGCGTCGTCATGACCGACCGCGATCGAGTCGGAATCTCGCCGTCAGCAGCGGCGAGCACGCGGTGCTTCGGCGCTTTGGCCACGATGTTGGGTCGCCCGGTGTGCTCTCTTCTTGGCCGACTCCTGGGCGCGTTCGTGATGAGGCCGCGCTCGACGGCTTCGGCGCGTGTCATCTCGGTGCCATGCTCATCGATGTATCGTCCTCCGCCTCCCGGTCCTCCTGGCTCGAAGCGCAGTCGTCGCTTTCTCGGGGGCTCCGTCGATGGCTCAATGGACGCTAAGGTGCGTGGAGTGCGAGCTGGACGTCGGGGAGAGTCGTCGGAGGCCGCCATCGTTGCCGTCGGTGGCCTGGTGGCTAGTCCCAGTCCTAGAGCGCGCGCGGGTGCACGTGCCGCGTGCGTTCGTGCTTGACTGCTTCAGGTCGCGGGTTGATCAGCCGCTCACCAGCATGCGGGTCGGTGGAGGGGGTTGACGGCACGGCGCTTGAGTGGGGAGAGTGAGACTGCACAGCGCTGTGGAATCAAGAAGCTGCGTCCGGGAGTGGTGGCGTCGGTAGTCATTCGTACACCAGAGTGACTACACATAGAGGAGGTAGTTCAAGGTAGTGATTATTGCGATTTGAGACAAGCGACATCAACTCAAGCGCGCCAGCTCGGTGCCTGGAAGCCAGTGGAAGGACGGCAGGGCGCGGCCCGGGGCGGCTCTGCATGCAGTGAGTGACGAGGGTTATGTAAGTGAGAGAGACGGGGAACTGGGAAACACGTTCTGATACCGATAGACCTATCCCACGTGTTGAGGCTCATATCATTATACACCATGGCCTCGAGTACAGTACAGTGACCGGTCGAGGACATCGAATCTTCATGGTTGTCGACGACGATGGGCTGATGCAAGCCCTGCGCGTCATCTCATGGTATGCTCAGCCCACTAAGACATCGTTGCTGTAGATGACTTGCATTCGCATCCGAGTCTGACTGCTTCAGGATCTTCGGGTGGTCAAACTTCATCGCGTGGACCATCTCGTTCTTCCCCCAGGCCATACTCAACTGTCGGCGACGGACCACTCATGGTCTGATGCCAGACTTCCCCTTGCTCAACTGCTTTGGGTTTTTCTGCTACACCCTGTCGACGGCCTTGTTTCTGTATTCGTCCACCATCAGGCGTCAGTATGCTATCCGCCATCCGGCGTCTCCTGAGCCTACGGTACGCTTCAACGACCTGGCCTTTGGCTCGCTCGGGCTCGTCATGAGCGTAGTGTGCTATTCGCAGTTCTGGCCTCGTCTCTGGGGATGGGATCCCGGTGCCACGATTCATCGACGCATCACGAGAGTCACGCTGGCTTTGATTTATGGCGGCTTCTTTGCCATGTCCATCCTCGCTATCATGGTGCTGGCAATGGGGAATGACACTACGGGCAAGGGCTGGTCGTGGCTTGACGCCGTATATGGTAAGTACTAGTACGATCACCTGAAAGGATGCTACGATGTCTACGCCATCCTGCTGACCTTCTACCTCTTTGCCTTTCAGGACTGAGCTACGTCAAACTTGTATATACCGTATTCAAGTACGTTCCACAAGTTGTGTCCAACTTTCGGCGGAGGTCAACGATCGGATGGTCTATCCAGGTAGAGACAAGCCACAGCACTGATGATGCTCGCGCTAACCGTGTGCCAGCAACAACTATTGGACTTTACTGGAGGAGTTTTGAGCTTGTCGCAACTAATCATCGACAGCAGCATGCAGCGAGATTGGTCAGGGATTACGGGCAATCCTCTGAAGCTGGGTCTGGCTAACATATCGGTGATATTCGATATCATCTTTATCGCGCAGCATTTCGTGCTCTACGGCCCTGTGGAGGAAGAAAGCAGCAGATGCACCTTTGGACAAGCAAGAACTTCCGCTTGTGCGACATATGGTATTCCTGAAGAGACTACAGCTGCAAAGCATCAAGTCCGGACGGGAAGTCTGTCTGAGGATGCGCATGAACCCCTACTTCATAGTCTGCAAAGATAGCGCACGCTGCAAAGCGGGCCGGAAGGATGTTTCGAGTATCGTGATCTGTCCTGTCCGGAGGTAGATGAGGAGTTTGCATGGCGCCGCTTGGAGTGGCGCCAGTACTGCTATTAGGTACCTTAGTATCGCTGGTAAGGAAACCAGATGCAACGAATCGTTGACTGATGTGGTCACTAGTCCCTGGCGAGCTACCTCTACCGACAGACAAGAGCTAGCAACTACCTAGGAGGTATAGTATCTCAGATGAATATCTCGATGAATCACGCAGCACCTCAGCTCCCCGGGCCGTCGAACGCTGTCCTCGTCTACCGAAATCTCGGCCCAGCTTGTCGGTCGTACCTACCCATTGGCCTCCATGCCTTGAATGGCACTTGGCACCTTCCTCGGGTCCTGGGCTGGTTCACAGAATGATCGACTTGACAACCTGGTACACGTCAGATGACATATGAACACTTCTCTACTTTGGAGATCAGAACTGATGCATACCTGTACCTCCTACCTTTACAGTCTTTACTACTGCGCAGACACAATGGATTTTCGGGACCGCCACGAGATGTGCGCTAGCCCTCGCAAAACGAGGGAACGCAAATCGGTCCGTTGGCGAGACGCTTGACAGGACATCGGCACTCACAATATGGACATCGGTAATGTTGACACTCGGACCCATTCTGATACGAGGGATGCCGAGATAGCGATTGGCGAGGTCGAAAGGAGGAGACATCGTCCAGAACCATGTGGTGGTAGGAGACTAGGAGTAATAAACTGCCTCGCGTGCGGTGGGAGGTAGCTATTATTATCTGCATACACCACTTGCCACCAGAGTGACCAGCTTCGACGCTTGTTAGAGCGTCCGCTTCCATCTAGGAGGTAGGAAGCCTCTAGTAGAGTCCTTCAGATAACCTCGTGTTCGCTCCTTTTGGACCCTTTCCCACGCCGAGTTAGTCGCAACGTTCTCTATACCGTTGTATGCGTGTTCAGTGTTCAAACTCAATGTGTTTGAGTTTATGTACACGAGTTGTGAAGTTAAGTTTTCGTGTCTAAACGCTACCTCCCTCCTACGGCTATGGCTGGCAATGGCCCAATATCGCTCGGCAGCCGACAACGAATGCTCTAATGAAAGAGTGGGAAGATCCGTCCTGGGAGTCATCGTTTTGACGCTGTACCTTTCGCAAATCCCCTGGAAGCACCTCGGAAGCTCACCTCTCCGGACGCAGTGTGCGCACAAACGAATTGCTACCTTTTAGGTAGGTAAGGTAAGAGGTACAGGTAAGTAGTAGGATCGTACGGGAGGGACCGAGTGAGGATGGTTTGTCCCCGACTCTCCGGTGGCGTCTTCACAGTAAATTGATTCACACTCGAGAGTGCGAACTTGCGCTACCTCCTTTTACCAGGCGGGCAGAGGAGAGGAGATACTCCCAGTCCCAGAGAGAAACAGGAGGTATCTACTAGGCAAATACGTACGTTGCACCCCTGGGTACTAAGCAAGTACTTGTTAGATGAGCTGCGCAATTTTCAATTGCTCATATGCCGGTAGATGATCCCGCAGATCTTGCTGTATGACAGCAATCGGACGTGTGCACAGTCCTTTTGTGGTGTTGGACTTTTTTTCTCCCGACCAGGCCCCGCGACAATGCCTGCTAGAAAGCACAAAAGCGTTCACTACAACAATCCCGATACAGTTGATGCAACCCCCAATAACTCACAACAACATCCACTGTTGGTGCAAATCAATAAACCTATTCGTCGCATGCGCATGGGACATTGTGGGACTGTTGTAATAACATCCACTAGGAGGTACCTTATTGAGGAGTACCTCCTACCTCCTACTGCGGACGAACACACCGGGTGTCTACCGTGTCTTACTTTACACAGTTACACTCTCGGGAGCGTCGGTTCCAGGTGTGGTCTTATCGGGTCTTATCGTGATGATCGACAGGTGGGAGGACAGCAGCTAATAAACGACCACGCCACGTTTGATGACATTTTGTGATTTTTGCGCGAATCCATGCCCATGCAGGGAGGGAGATGCTGCACGACGTGCAGTCCAGTCGTGGTGTCTGAGTCTCGGAGACAGTGGGACATTCACTGGTGTCTGTAGGTGCAATGGTGCATCGACAGATGATTTGCGCCGGGATTATATGGAGTGATGGAGCACAATGTACTACAGGTAGGTATGTACCGTACGAGGTTGGTCCTAGTGCCTGCGAGAACTACTGTCGCCCGGGGGCATGCCATCAACCAGGGCAAAGCAGGGCTGCCTCGTCGGTCTTCACCTCATCATACATGTATACAAGTCACTCTGCATACCTCCTAGGAGGTAGGAGGTACATGTATGGAGGTACCTATGAAAACAAAAAGGACGAGCTGCAGGGGACTTCACCACGTCGAAGAACATGATTCGGAGCCCACAGCATGCGACGAGTAATTCATAGATGATACCTACCTAGTCGTGCAGAGGCTCTGGGCCCTCGATTCATGACCATCGTCGCCGTTTGCACTGCGCCTGTGCCTGTGCCATGTCGCCGCCGACGCCGCCGTCGCTCGGGAACGCCCGCAGAAGGCCACGACGCGAACCAACAGCAGTCAATCACGTATAAAATTACCCTCCAGAGACCCCTTCTGACTGGTTGGGCACGCAGTGGCCAAGCCTTTGCGCTTCTGAACGCAGAGCTTAACCATATGCGGGACAGTTGGAGGTACGGTGGTAGCAGTGTAGCACTGGAGTGAAAGTCGCCGACGATCGCTCGGGCGAGCTCGAGGACGGGGCGCATGGTGGGCACTGGGCCAGTGGGCTGAGGTGGACATGCAACAGCAAGGAGGCCCTCGACTCGTGAACAACACATGTACTGTCAGCAGTGGTGGTTGGCAGGGTCTGACAAGATGCCACAATGCCATGCAGTACCTCCTAGAAACTAAGGTACAGTACTACTGTACAGACGGTACCTGACCACGAGTCTACGACCTACTACCTCCTAGATCATACTCGCCGCTACAGCTTCTTTTGCGTTGGCGGCCTCGGCCTTTGAGAGGGCGCATCTGGTGTGTGCATAGTTGATGTACCTTATGTATATATATATACACATATACATATACACATGCATATATACCGCTGCGCCCCCGAGAGCTCTGGAACCACCCGGACGGACATGTTTGAATAGATGCACTCTGCGCGCCCGTCGGTCACGCAGCAAGTCGTGCCGCAGCCGTTGATACTGGGACAGCAGTCGATGTCGAAGGAGGCCAGCGGCGCGTCGCAGTCCAAGCGGGACTCTGGCATTGGAATCGGGGGCCTGGTAGAACTAGGCAAGATATCCCTGAAACGACCAGCGTCCGATGCTTGTCGTTGGAGTCGAGAGGTTAGGACGATGGCTGTATACCGGCTGGTACGTTTCGCCCTTTTCTTTTCCCACTTTCAGCCCGCGCTGCCTGCCCAGTGCCAGTGCCAGCGCCAGCGCCAGCGCCAGTGACTGTGCCAGTGCCAGTGCCAGCGACACTACCCTGGTGGACTGGTGGACTGGCGGACTGGCTGGTCTCGCGGCGGCGCGCTGCCTCCTCTCCGCGCTATGGTTCTCATCGCCCGCCAGGCAGGCATTGTGCAGTGGTGCACTCCCAGATCGCGATTCCGTGCCCCCATCCCAGCGTGACGGGCTTCAGGCCTGCAAGGCAAGACCGAATAGGCTTTGGAACAAGCGCAATCGAGGGAACTCTCTGCAGATTGAGCGAGCATTGCAGACTACTGTATACAGTAGTCGTTACGTGGTATTGCTGGCGACGCTACCTCCGCTGTGCAACCAACTTTCTGCTGGCTCAGGCTGCTGCACATCCCACCAACCCACCAGCCCACCAACCGTCCTGCCTGCGCGCGGCCAATGCCGTCGTCACCCACGCGCGACCTGCGCCCTAAGGCGTTCAGTTCAGCTTACGATTATGTGAAACAGTATCCCCATCAGTCGTCCAATGGTCGCCGCGAGCTGCGCGCCATGGAGAAGGAGAGCAGCTTCAAGGACGGCGAATCCTCGTTGCCCCGTGACCGCAGCAAGATCAGCAGTATCGATACTGTCGACACGGCCATCTACGCACCCGCGCTGACCAGCGAGCGGTCAAAGGGGACCTCATTCGGCGCGAGCGTGCATGAAGCACTCCGCACACCAGACTATTCTCGCACAGAAGATGCCGTCTCCCGTACCAAGAGCATCCACAGCCTCGAGGCGGATCTGCCTCCTCGCTCTCCCAACTTCGCCGACCTGGATGTGCGGCCGGGCCAGCTCCCTCAACGCGGTGGCATCATTCATATTCCGGCCCGAACGAGGTGGGTATCAAGGCTCTTCACACAGCGCGTGAAGGTCTGCGAGCGAGGCTGACTTCGAGAAACCATCCCAACAGCAGCAGCAAGCCTACCATGTCGCAGCCCGATACTGACCTCCGGAGAACGTCGAACTGGCGTCTGATGTCCCAGGACGTCGCCCCTCCATCGCCACTCTCTCCAGACGACGCTGCCTACGATGTGGGGGCTCATAGCAGTGCAGGGTCGATTTTCTCCCAGGACACAGTAGCTACTTCCGTTCATACACTGCCACCACTTCAGACCAAAGCTCCCGACACGCTCGACTCGTCCTTTCTCGAGCCCGTGCTTGAAGACGATCCCCGGTCGTGGGACCTTGTGGCACCGGCTCAAGACGATCAGGACGTTGGCTCATATGCGCTGGAGAAGCGCTCGGACCAGTTATTTAGCGCTGAGCATTTGCGGACCATCTTTGAAGATCCACGACTGCTGCTCAAGTTCACCGGATTCTTGAACTCGCACAGGCCTCAGAGCATTCCCATATTGATCTATTACCTGGATGCGCTGAAAGCCCTTCGCGCTATCAATTATGCCAACGCGATCGCAGAAGCGCTAGAGCCCATCAAGGACCAAAGTTTCACGAACGAGCCATCAAAGCCGACCATCAATGCCACGCTTCAAGAAAAGTCAGACCGTGCCTTCAAAGTCTTGGTACAAGAAGACCTGCCTGCGTACATCGCACACACCTGGACGCAGGTTGTTAGCATCAGCATCCAGCGTCGGATTACGGGCACGCTTGCTCCTCACCTCAGAGAAGCTAGCGAGGGTCTGGCCGAAGTCTTCTGCTTGACGGATCCCAGCCGAACGGACAACCCCATCGTGTTCGTCTCCGAAGAGTTCACGCGAACCACCCAGTATGGCATGAACTACGTGATAGGTAGAAATTGTCGCTTCTTACAGGGGCCCAGATCTTCACCGCACTCTGTCCGCAGGCTGGCAATGGCCACATCCGAAGGCCGGGAGCATTCTGAAGTGTTTGTCAACTACCGTAGAGATGGCAGCCCTTTCATGAACCTGCTGATGACGGCACCTCTGTTGGACAGTCGAGGCAACATCCGATACTTCATCGGGGCGCAAGTCGATGTGTCTGGCCTGATCAAGGACTGCAGTGAGATGGAAGGTCTGACACGCATGGTAGAAAAGGAACAAGCCAAACGTGGCGGAGCTGGCGAGGACGAGGAGGACCACAAAGACGAATTTCAAGAACTCAGCGAGATGTTCAATGGCGCAGAACTGGACACTGTTCGTCGATATGGAGGACGTATGCACAAGGAGTATGTGGACGATAGCGATTGTGAAAGCATACATCGACCTCGTTTACTACTGAAGGACCCTAGTCAGGACATTCTGGACAAGGAAAAACGTGCTATTTCTGAGACTGGAGCTTCCATGATCAAAGAGCGCCTCAATGGCAAACTCCAGGGTGTATACCAGCATGTGAGTTTGAGACCTGTTGCCATTGGCTCGCTTTCCGCCAACTGACCAAATGTAGTATGTGCTTATCCGGCCTGCGCCCTCACTACGTATTTTGTTCACATCCCCATCTCTGCGAGTACCGGGGATTCTGCAGTCGCCTTTCCTCAACCGCATTGGCGGTTCAAGTCGCGTCCGTGCTGATCTGGGCGCTGCGCTATCTGAAGGGCGCGGTGTGACAGCGAAGATCAGGTGGCTCACCCGGCCTGACGAAGACGGGGAAGGAGAAGGGCGACCACGCTGGATACACTGCACCCCTCTCCTCGGACACTCTGGTACAGTCGGAGTATGGATGATCGTTCTCGTGGATGAGGAGGGGTCCATGGCAGGTGGATCGTCTGGGAGACGCTTCCGACAAGCGCCTCCTGTCTCGAGCAACATTGGCGGAAAGGAATGGGATGCGGTGGCGTCCACGGAGCGACGAAAATTGAATGCGTACGACCAGACAGACGAGCGCAAAGGGAATCACAGAAAGGTCGAGTATTACATGCGGCCAGGAAGTGAAAATAGCCAAAGTGCGAGTGGAAGTCGCAGTCGCGACCGAGGGCCAGAGCCACCGCTCTTGACAAGCGCGACTGCCAGCGAGTTCTCGTTCAACCTACGTGGATAAGGCAAAGAAGGCCACGTGCTCGGCCAATATCGGCCATCGGGCGTATGGGTGGGTTCCCGACGGACATCACCGGATTTCTGGATATGTATCATACATGTACCAATCAATATTTTGGATATCTCCCAGTATGTGGGATAATGGTGTAAAAAAAAAGAGGATGAGATGCACACTGCAACAAATACCCTGGAGTTGCGTATCACGGCTGCTTATGTACATAGCTGTCGAAGAAGTTGTCTTTGGAAGGCGTTTGATCTCCATGTCAAAAATTGCCACCCTGTTAACCGAATCTCATAGCACATAACCTGACGAATTCGAGCATGCCCTCCGAAAGCTCAGGATGGCTCACTTCTTGCAATTTACGAATGTACCCAGTACCCTGTTTGTCGCCTTTGGCTTGCGTCCATGGACCATGTAGTCTGTCCTCCACCACAGGCAGCTCGCCAGCCATATCGCCATGGCCGCCTCGATGGCCACCACACTTGAAACCGCCTCGACCTCGTCCGCCACGAGACCGTGAGCCCTTAGATCGCGGTTGGGCGTTCCCATCATCCAACCACTTCTGTTTCGCCCATGTATGGGCGTCATCTGGTCCGGGTTCGATAGTCACACCATAGACCAGCTGCAGCTCGTACTTGAGATGTGGAAACCGGGACAGAAGTCTTTTGAGCTCTGCATCGTTCTCGAACCCTTCAAATCCCGACTGGCTATTCACCGTCGTCTGAGCAGACTCGTTATGCCGAGCTGGGAACAGCTGGCCCGGTTTTTCTGCAGATTGTCCTGGCTGTGATGCAGTATCTGCGCTCGGGACGACTTGGACGGGGGTGTCTTCCTCATGCGAGGTCTTGTGTACTTTGCTACATGGCACCGAGCAGCTAGGAAACGGTCAGTATTTGTTTTTTGGTATTAATATAGAAGCTCAAGAAGAGCGGACGGACAATCTCAAGTCGCATTTGGGGCAACGATATTTGGACGGATTTTCGTGGCAGACGCCACATATTGCCGACATGACTGCAGTGTCATCGTCCGAGTGTGGAAGACGCCATATGCTGGAGGCAATATGTGAATGTGCATATGCTTGTGCTTGTGCCAGTCTTGTGAAAGACGGACAGAACGACGGAAGACTGCCGACGCGGGCCGAGCGGGGCGCACCGATCCTCACCTAACCCCAGAGCATTGAATGAGCAGTGTATACTGTGTCTATGTTTTGTTCAGTGGTAATTGAAAGCACACTGCATGCCATGGCACCCCCACGATACAAGAGTCTGCTGGATCTGGCCATCAGGAGGGGAAGCTGGCTGTGCTCGGGATGCGCAAAGGCAGGCCCCATGCCGTCTGTGTCGGCGCGGACGACTCGAGGCCTGCGGACGGCGAGCCAGAATACACGCCCGAGCATGGAGCAGATGCGCAAGCCGTTCGCGCAGAAGAATGCAAATACCGCCTACTACACCCTCTCCATCATCATTGCAACTGTGGCCTTGAGCTATGGCAGTGTGCCGCTGTACAAGACCATATGTCAGCAGACGGGCTGGGGCGGAACACCCATCAAGTCCGCTGCGCACGCGGGGCCTCTGACCGACGACGACGATGTCGCCGCGCGGCTGACCCCCGTCACTTCGTCGAGACGTCTGCGCATCACATTCGCCGGCTCCACCTCAGACATTCTGCCATGGAAGTTCACGCCGCAGCAACGAGAAGTCCGAGTGTTGCCGGGGGAGACTGCATTGGCATTCTATACGGCCACGAATAACAGCAAGGATGAGGACATTATAGGGGTGGCGACGTACAGCGTCACTCCGGCACAAGTTGCGCCATACTTTAGCAAAATTCAGTGCTTCTGTTTCGAGGAACAGCGGCTGAATAAAGGAGAGACGGTGGACATGCCTGTTTTCTTCTACATTGATCCTGACTTCCTCAAGGATCCCACGATGCGGAACATCGATACCATCACTCTGAATTATACATTTTTTAGTAGGTTGCCCTTTGTGGGGGTGCACTGAGTACATGTACTTGGCGCTAACATCAACGCAGAGGCGAAATATGACAAAGATGGTCATCTCACGCCCATGCCCATGCCATACTAGAGCGACTGTCGCTTGAGTGACATCGATGATTGATGAGCAATAGAGAGGGTGGTGATGGCAACATTTCTGGCATATTAGTAACATTATCCATATAGTGACAATTACTTGTACAACAATTAGACTCAGATTCGTGCTGATATTTGAGCTACCGAAAGAGACGTCCAACGACGCTTACGCTCAATTATGTGCCTCCTCTGCTTAATTTTCTTTTGGGTCCAACTGTCGTTAAATCCCGGGGTAGAAATCAGATGACAGAAGACGTGCGATCAAACTCGTTGTTACTATGTACCTCGCTGTTCGCCTTATACAGATGCTAGACTGCTATTACGTTTTGCAACAGGCGTGCATCCGCTTACTGATCCAGAAAAGATTGGTCTGATATAATACTATCCTTGAGACATGTTACCAGCGATAAAGGAGCAGTTGATACCTGTTGCCAACAGATAAACATTCCTAGGAATCTCAACAACGCGCTGGACGCGATAAGTTGGCTGAGACTTATGTAAACTACAGCCGATGGGCGAGACTGGTCTCTGGGTCCGTCTGTTGTCGTTCACGGTCACGCCATCTCCCCTTCCTTCCTGTTCGCTGGTCGATTGGAGCCTCAATTCTCTGGTCTTCCCACTTCTTCACGGGCCTCCCTTCCAGCTTCGGATTAGCAACCCCCAGCATTCGCCATTTCTTGGGGGGCTTCATGCCCAATTCACTCATCTCTTGCCACTTCTTGACACCTCGAGCTTCCCACCTTTCCATTCTTTTCTCAATCTCCTCCGGCTGTGGCTTCCACTTCGATTTCAAAATTCTTCGAATCGCTTCGGGCGTGATCTGGAAGTGCTCAGAGAGCATGGCGGTATTATATGTCTCGGGATCGGACTTGTGAAGGGCTCGAATACCTTCGAGTGAATCGGGAGACAGGCGTTTGTTGGGCGCCCAACCTTTGGCGCCGAATTTGTTCTGGAGAGCGGCTTTATCTCGCATCCAGGGTTCCATTTGCTTCCTGCGCTGCGCTTCTGCCTCTGCGGTAGCTCGCTGTTTTTCTTCGTGTTTCTCGGCAGCTATCATCCGCGCTTTGCGGTTCTTCTCGCTGGACTGGGAGGCAAGCCTTTCAGCGCGTTGCTGTTGGGCTTGGATGATGGAAGGGCCGCCCAGTTCTTGATCAAGTTTTGCGAGAACGTGTTGCACCTGGTTGGAATCTTCGCTGTGCTCTTCTGCAATAATTTGTTGTGTCGGAGTCTCTCTCTGCCCTTCTCTTTGAGCCATTCTCGCGACACTGGTCGGCTTGTATTTTCCTTCCCACATACGCCGTTCTTTGCGCAACCTCCTAGCCTCTGTGGAAGCATTGCGCTGCACCTTTTGATCACGCGGAAGAGACTTTTGCGCAGCTGGCTTGACCAATTCTGGCAATGTTTCCTCATCTGCGAGAGGCGATGGAACTGCGCGATGTGTGCTCGTGTGACCATTCGCTACGACTCCGCCATTGGTATCGATGTCCGCGTGCGACTGCGGATTTACTGACCCATCTTTCCCATCTGCGCTGCCGGCAACAGTCTGATCGCTCTGCTCTGCATCTTTTTCCTGGACCACACGGCTTTGCACAACGGATTGCTGCAGCTTTCTAGTCATCTCCGAAGGGACGAAGCCAACTTCGACAGTTCCGGCATTGGCGGTCTCCACCTGGCGCAGAGGTGCTCGGGTGCTGAAGGATCGATATCGTTGAAGAACGAACTGCGCTCGTTGTTGATGGACTTGGAGACCGGCGATGTTTCTAAGGAGGGTTTCCAGAGCTTCTGTTGTACAGTAGCATTTGACCATCATGACAGTGGGTTCCGATGTTCGAGGACTAGGTATCTCATCGACGAGAGTGGAAGTGCAACACGCCCGAGGGGTCTGCAAGGGACTGCGGTTCATGTCATTTCTTGGCATATTTTCACTCGACATACGCCTCCTCGTTCACGTCGGGAGGACCATGATTATATTACATTCCCGGATAGTATCAACTGTGATTGGAAGCTGGCCGCGTGAGGTAAATTTGGGCTTTATACCACAATTCATCTACAAATACATGGATCGTACATCTTTCTCCTTACAATAAGGCACGTCGTAGCACGCTGTACAATCGCATCTCCTCCTGCTATGGACTGGAACCCTCTAGAGTCCAGAATGCTTTATTCAGATTCGTGAACTGTTCGTGCCAGACAAGCCGTCGGGATGTTCTGCTATGTTCTGCTATCGGCAGAACTGAAACTGCAACTTGCTTTCACGGACAAAAGACGTACTAGGCTTGTGGCCTGCGCGTCAGAGTTCGGGTGGAGCGGTAAATCGAGGTCGTCGATTTAACGTATAGCAGGGTTACCTGACCAGGGACTTCAGACAGGTCGAAACTGGAAACAGAGTTGCTGTATAGCTGAATACGTGCGCAGCAGCAGACACTGTTACCTGTACTGTCCGCGGCAAAGTAGGATCAAGCGCCAACTCTGACAGAGCTACTGCCTCCGCTTGCAAACAACAACAGTCCAGCAGCAGCTTCCTTCCTAGCAGCCTCTTCGACTGCAATTCTGTTCTTCCTGGCAGCAGCACTGCGTTCCACGAAGCGGTTCGAAGGCCCCTCATCGACGAATTCGATGCTGTGTATCATGTATGACATGCCATCATGTTTCTTCTTCCATTCTCGCGATGCTAAGTGGTGCTGGCTGGTGGCCGCATAGAATTCCAGAGGAGGCAGTATCAGGAGCGTAACATGTGCATCGTATCCTTCTGGAGCCTTGATTGGTCGCTGGGGCCGAGTGACCAATGACAACGGTGTTTCACCTTCACTGCCATGCTCCCAGGCGTTGTCGCAGATATCACGCAGGTCGTTATTGTATTCTCCAAAATCTCCCTTGATCCAGCCAGAGTGTATCGCTGCTGCGATCACATCAGAATCATCAGTGTAGATCTCAGTACCCCAGATTTGACGTCTCTTGCAAATCTCTTCTAGGCTGTGATTCATCGCCGCACCCCCTTCTCCAGATGTCAGGTAATACCGTGGAACACGGATGGTATAAGTACAGTTCTCCTGGCTCGTCATCACTGGAATCGGCTTCATCTTGCTGCTATAACGAATTTTCGCATCTAATGGGGTATCTGCCGCTGGTGCAGGAGATAGTTCCGTCGTGTACAAGTGTGTCCCCAGATGCTTGCGAGGCCTGCCTGCAACCTCGTCCAGAACCTTTTTGTTGATGATGGTCATAGTTGGCTTCCGTGGGGCCGGAGCCGACCTTGGGGGGTGATGGTGATGGTGTCCGATGGGATGTGGATGATGATGGTGGTGGTGATGCGTTTGACCGGTCGCCAAGTTGGGCTGTGAGAGAGCACTGGAGGGATGCCGTGAGACGCTAGCACCGTTGCCAGGTGCACTGCCTTCGACGTGATGGTGGTGATGGTGATGCGCATGCGGATGCGGATGCGGATGCGGATGCGGATGCGGATGCGCATGATGGTGATGATGGTGATTCTGGGTGCCGGTCTTGGTTCTCTTGTTGCCGCGCTGGGCGTCAGGGGCGTTGCTCCCTTCCGCGTCTTCTATTTCGTCTCTCGAACGCCGGCCGTTGTTACGCCTACCCAGCCTAGATCCAGCTTTTCCGCGCCCCTTGTGTGGATCGACCTCGACGCTCCGTCTGAGATCGCCTCCATCAAGAAGGCGGCTGGCGGGGCTCATTCGGGAGGGCGTACTGACTCCATTGGCTGGGTGGGTGGGGTTAGGAGTGCTTCCGACACCGGATCCCAGCCCGGAAAACATGCGACCAAATTCCATCTTGATGCCCGGGTTGTCGCCACCTGGGCCAACGTGTCTAGGCTGTGCTCCCTGAACAGCTTGCGGGAGTGGGGAATTGCGGCCTCGGCGATTCAGCTCAGGACTGATGTTCAGTATGGCTTTGTGGACGGAGCTGTCGCTCTCTTTGCGCTGCTGGTCTCTTTGCAAGGTTTCTATTCTCTGATGGTCCTCGAGTGTCACAGGTCGGTCTAAAAGTCCGGTTCGTGGTCTGTCATAAGCGGTCAAGTCATTAGGCGGTGGCGAGGCTCGAGTGTGCTGTCGGCGCATCTCTTGGGTCCTTCCTTCGATCGATTCTCTGGCAGCATCTGCCGCAGGATACGATACATTGGGATACCCCCCTGCTCGAAACAGCGGGCTTGGATCTTCACGAGCAGGGGCTCCTCCAAACATTCCGCCCGGTGGTGCATATCGCACTGGGGCTAGAGCATTTCGGTTTCGTTCCATCTGAGGGCTGTTGAACACTGGCCTGTCCTGTGGATGCGAGGTAACACCAGTGTGGAATTGTGGACGCTCGTGCCTAAAGGGGGGTTCACTGGCAGCAGGCGATGGTGCTTCTCCCATGTATCGAAGTCCTGGCACTCTACTGCCAAACAGACTCTCACGATGCGTCGCCTCCTCCAGGCCGCGCAACCGATCGGCTTCAGCGGGTTGGCTACTAGGTCGTATGGGTGCGCCGTTTCCATTTGTGTGCTGTGATTGTTCTTGCATTTGAGGCTGATATGCTCTAAAATTATGAGCGGGCTCACGTCGAAATTGCGGCGATTCGAAACCCCTTTCTCGTCGTGGTTCAGAGCCAATGCGCGAAGGCCCCCCCAAAGTCCTTGGTGGGCTCGTGCGCCTTGTTTCACGATCACCACTTTCACGCATACTCGACGATCTAGCTCTTCCTGGCGATGGGGGCTGCATCGACCTCGATGTGGAGGAAGGTCCATGGACAGAGCCATGTGGAGAGCCAGGCGGCCTTCGTTCGTCGCCACCACCGCCGAGTATTGCTGATATTGACATCCCAGGACGGTGATGATTGCTCGCCAGATCGCGTATACCGCCGAATGGAGAGGCGGTTGGTGGTCCGCGAGGCGCGGATGTCAAATGTGCAGAGGAAGGGGCACTTTGGGGCGAAGATGGCGGAGGCATATTGCGCGCAGGATAAGAAGGCGGCGGCGGCGGCGGCGCTTGACCTACGAAGAGACTTCATCAGTATCGTTTCGCGTTCCCCAAAATCAGCACTGCTCACCCCCATACTGCGGGCTGCCAGCATGGCCTAGCGAGCTCCGTCTCGAACGATCGTGATCATCATACGGCGGTCGCATGGACATGGACGCAGCTTGTGAATGATGCTGGTGCTGTTGCAGTGGTTGTGGTGGTGGTTGAGAGGGGTGCTGGAGCGGTGACTGGTGGGCGGAGGTGTTGCCTGTGGAGCGCAAATGCAGTTAGCCAAGTTGAGATCGTCTGATGAGCTCAGCAGCTGCCAGTAGCTCGCGTCCTGATAGAGTTCACTAGGTGCGCAAGGTAGTGGTCCTAGTGGACCTCATGGTGGGGGCATCATAACCCTGCTCGAAAACCTGGCAAGCATAAATATATGTCCAGAATTCGGCGCGCGAGACCACCGACGAGTGAGACAATCTCGGCATCATGCTCGCTCGACGCTCGCATTACGTGTTGTTTGTCGCACCTCCTCGACGGCCTGTCATCACCATTATAGCCAGAGAAAACGCATCGGACCACGCGTGAAATGGTTCGAGACCCCCCGTCCGTAGTTCTGGCAAGCCGTGACAGCTAGCTGTCCGGGGTGAACAGAGAGCTACTGCCAACGCCGGGCGCAGATTGTGTCTCCCATTGCCGTTGTGAACGCGTTTGCTGCACCCTGATTCCGTGGCGGCACCGTAATGATGCGACTTTGCAGAGTGAAGCTCCGGGATACGATGGAATGCTATCAGCCATCGAGATAGCAACCAGGCGACTCATGGACGACGGAGGCGCCTCTTGGCAGTAGTAGTTGATAGTGCATCCGGTAGTAGAGCCATGTTTTCCAACTCGGATCTGTCTTGCGCCGTGCATTGTTTGGCGACTGAAGCCTCGGCGTGTTGCGGTCTCTTCCTCCGTGTCTCCTGCTCTCGCGCGCGCGCTCTCTCTCTCTCTCTCTCTCTCTCCATCTCTTGCTTGTCCATCTCACAGCTCTGGGGCTGCAAAGAAATACGACATACCTTGCGATGGCGGCCATGCCCGTGAGGGCACTCCTGCGCTGCCTCGTCGATCGCCGCCTGGCAGAAACGGATCTCTATTCGCCTGGAATGGGTCGAACGGTACCTGAACTGGCGGTTGGGCATATGGCGGGGGGTGAGTCGACGATGGCGGCGCCGTGTGTTGGTACTGTGCTTGCAGGCGCTCCGGAGGACGCGCATAGGATGGTCTGTCCATGCTCACTCGCTGCGGTTGGAAAGTGCGAATTGTGTACTCGCGTGACTGATTGGAGTATCCTGCGATTGCTGCAAGGGCATTTTGATTGTGGCGGAGCAGAAGGCCAACATGTCAATGCGAATGAGGCATGCGGGAATCGAGGTGGACGGTGGTCGGGATCGAGGAACGGTGCTGGTGTCAACAATGGAAGACGGCGAGGACGAGGACGAGAGAGTGAGCAGCAGCAGCAGCAGCAGCAGGCACACAGCACACCGTAAACTGCCCTAGTCATCAATCAAAGTCGGCCTGGTTTGGGACTGCGCTAAATGTGAAACGGGGCATGCATGGGGAACCAAGGTACACACCTTATCTTCCGTGCATGCATGCATCTGTGCGTGTGCGTGTGCGAGCGGCGTGCACTGCGCTTTGCCATGTCTGATCTGCCCATACCTTACCTAGGAGGTAGGAGGTACATGTATCACGCAAAAACATCGTTGTTGACTTCAGGCATCATTGATGCCGCGAAACCTAATTTGTTAGAATATCTCACCACCGCCACCACTACGACCACCATCAGCGTCACCACCGTCACCACCGTCACCACCGTCACCACCACCACCACCACCACCACCGCCGCCGCCGCCCGAGCCCAAAACGACCCACCTGGTACACACCTGTATCCACCGCCTTGTAGACCATTGCATCTTCTCATCAGCGGAGATGCTCCCCATGCACTTGCAGCGGGCCAAATTGCGTTTGATGTCCAAGTTCGACGGCCTGTCCAGCCGCGTCGTAACAGCCTTCTGGCTCTTCGGTCAGTAGTACCTCCTACTTGTACCTTAAAAAGTACCTTACATACCTTAAGGTAGCCTTCGAGCAACAGCAGCGCGGTGCTTTGTCAACCTTAAAAAACAATCATCCAACGACCATCCGGCCGTCTGGCATCGTGATACCGATGAACTGATGACTCCCGTCTCCGTAGGCCTGATCAACAACGTCTTCTACGTGATTATACTGACTGCCGCCCTCGATCTGGTGGGCCCGTCGATACCAAAGGCAACGGTTCTCGCAGCCTGCATCGTGCCCGGCCTCGCCACCAAAGTGGTCACGCCCTACATCATCCACCTCATCCCATACTCACTGCGCGTATGCCTGTTCGTGGGACTCGCATCATGCGGCATGCTCCTCGTGGCCCTCACGCCCAACAGCACCGACGCGGCGAGCATGACCAGCAAGATTGCCGGAATTGTGCTGGCCAACATCAGCTCGGGCGCGGTAAGATGACACTTGAAATACACGACCCCGCAGCTTAGCGTGCCTGAGCGGTATAGTACATGATGTAGGAGGTACATGTAGTAGGATGTAGTCGCTGACTTTTCATCCACCCACGGGCTGGTTTAGGGCGAGGTGAGCTTTCTTGCTTTGACACATTTCTACGGCCATAGCAGTCTCGCCGCATGGGGTTCAGGGACTGGTGCCGCTGGACTTCTTGGCGCTGGAGTCTACACTTTGGCGACCACCACTTTCGGGTTTAGTGTACATGCGACGCTGTTGTCCAGCTGCGTCCTTGGCATTGTGATGTTGGCTTCGTACTTCATCCTCCTGCCTCTCGATCCGCTCCGCAAGGGCTATCGAAAGGACCAGTACCAGCGCGTTGCGGCCGAAGAGGAAGACCTGCTCAACAGAGCTGCTGCTTCGTTGCATCCCACCTTACTCGAAGAGCACAGTGAAAGATCTGCCTCCCCTGCCTATCAGCATGGCGGCGGCGCCAAGAACTGGCTGTCTGAGGGTCTCCGCGACCTCAAGATCAAGTACATGCATGCTCGAGGTCTTGTCATTCCCTACATGATGCCGCTGTTCCTGGTGTACCTCGCCGAGTATACAATCAACCAAGGCGTCGCGCCTACGCTTCTATTCCCGCTCGAACACGCTCCGTTCAAGGAATATCGAGAATTCTATCCCGTGTATGGAACGATCTACCAACTGGGCGTGTTCATCTCCCGCTCCAGCTTGCCTTTTGTGCGCATCAGGAGCCTCTACATTCCGACATGGCTCCAAGTCCTCAACCTGGGACTGTTGACCACACAGGCCATCTGGCCCTTCATCCCCAACGTCTGGTTCATTTTCCTCATCATCTTGTGGGAAGGCCTGCTCGGCGGCTTGGTGTACGTTTCGACATTTGCAGCCGTACGCGAAGATGTGCCCGAAGACGAGCGCGAATTCTCTCTGGGCGCCGTGACCGTGTCCGACAGTGCGGGCATTTTCTGTGCGAGTCTGCTCGGTGCAGGCATGGAGACGGCCTTGTGTCGATGGCAGGTAAATCACGGGAGAAACTGGTGCCGTCAGCGATGAGTCCACGTTCTCTGGTGTGGTGCGATGAGACTATATACCTACCTACCTCAGGAACTAGGTCGACAGACAAAAATTACTTGGACGCTTCTGCTTCCGGCATACTGTTTGTTGACTACCTACCTAGCCGGCGTTGCGAGCCCTCGAACTGAGTGAGAAGTGTTTACATTCTCACTGAGATATCAACCAACCTTTGCAACAGCAAAGCACTCGGCCAACCCGATGGAGTGACTTCCCGTGCTGAACGACGCAGAGCTACCTATACTACAAATACAAACAAAATAGCTGCTATGCAGAGAATGCGAGGGGGGGGGGGGGGCTTCGCGGGCTGTACAGGTGGGACGATACAGCGGCCGCGGACATCTCGCAGCCACGATGGGGTTCCTCTTGTGGTACGCAATCGGAGGACTGGGACGGAGTGCGTCTGCCCGTACTGATGCACTGCCTACCTTACTACATGCACCGAGGTGACAAAAATATTGAGTCTGGCTGATCATGGCAATACTGAGCTGGCTTCGTGCTGAGCAGATACCTAGCTTATGCTTACATCGGCAGTGGTCCTTGCCATCTTCGTCATTTACCAGGTACCTACAGGTTTCCATGTGACGTCCCCTTCGATACGATGCCAAAAGCGACTCGGACGTCACCCCTTGGGCCCGCTCCATCATCCACCATGAAATTATGGGTGCAAGCACACACCTATTCTCGCAGCGCACCTTCCGCGTGTGACAGAGTTTTCAACAAGGCGTGAAGGTGTCGCTCACATGCTAGAGGCATTCTTGTACCTTCTTCTAATTACTAGCTGAGCAATCGGAAATGTATGTCCCGTGCTGCTACGCTGGCTGCCAGGAGAACGTCCGCCAGTGTCATACATGGTACGCTATATGCTGTCATGGCACTGGGGGATACAAGATCCCCAGCTCAGATGGCAAGCCTGCATCACCGTAGGCAGCCACCAAAGCGTCTCGCTTCTTTTTGTAGAACGCAGTCGCACGCTGAAGCTTGACGTCGCCTTTCGATTTCCACAATCCGTGCGGCATAGATCGATCTGGAGTCGCGAGGTACACCAGGGATTCATTGCGGAGCTGGCATGCAGCGGCCATAGACGTCTTGGCCTTGTCAAGCATGGTCTTGTCAACGTGTGGCACGACTGCAGGTGCCGCAGTCTTGGGACTCTGTAGATCCTGTAGCCCCTCTGGACGGACTTTAGGTTTGCTGAGACTCGACTCCGAAAACATAGGGTAGACTCTAGCATCCTCCACATTCAAACTACCGCCCGGCATGAGCATCTCGAGCTCATTTCGTCGCTTCATATACGCTTGGGTGGTGGTGGCTAAGACCTGAGCACCTTCGAGCGAGAAATTACCTAGAAGCCTTGCCCTTGTTGACTCTCGTTGTAGCCATGCGTGCTTGAGAAGGCCACGGGCTTGTTTTCTCTTATCTCTTGCTTCACGCTTGCTAGTCGTCATGGTGTCCTTGACCACAGGCTCTCCACCGTCTGCCACAGGACCATGGTACACTCCAGCAGGCACATCCTCTTTCCCTTCGGCCAGTGTCAGTGGAACGGAGTCCTTGGCGGCACACGGGGAGCTGCTGTCTGGCTCGAGATCGTTGAAACCTGACTTGTCCTGGGCTTCAGGCTGTCCAACAACGTTGCCAGCATGTATAACTTGAGGGACGAGGGTATCGAAATTGACGGGTTCTTGGTCAGTCGGTCCAAGTCCAACGCTTGATGATTCAAGCTCAGTCGAGCCGGCACTCAAGGCACGCGTTGAGGACCAAGGCGTTGACGTGCAGTGAGCATGTAGTCCCAGTTGAGCTGCTTCTTGGTGCTTCGGTGGCGACTCCAACTCGTCGAGAACTGCGTCCGTTGTCACATCGACCAAGTGGCGCTGTTGTACGGGCGTTTCAACAGGAACAGCACTCGCTTCCCATAGACGTGGCTTCGGATCGTTATCAGTGGTAACACCATGTCTCTCTGACGCAGCAGCTTGCTGGAAATTCGCACTGAGCGTGTTACGCTTATGCGGAGGGATCCATACATCTGGCGGTGCTGGTTGATAGAGGGGCATCGATACTTGAGCTGGAGCTTCGTTGGAGAGCACAGTCCTAGGCGCTATACGTGACTTGTGAGGAATGGGAGCTTTGTTCGGTCTATTCGCCTTCTTCGGGCCTCGCTGGACCAGCTCAGAAAAGCTTCTTGCCTCTGCTAGACTCTCTGGTGTAAAAGCAAAGCGAGTCGAGTGTGACGAATCTTGCAGAGTTCCACGCCCAGTATGGATGGTGGCATTGGGGACCCGACGAGTACTCTTGGCCCCATCCGCGTGGTTCAGCATCATGTTAACAAACAACGACTGCTCGTCACTGTGTGATTCCTGCTCGAGCGCTTCGGCTGTAGCTAGCATATCATTCTCGCACGAATCCTGGAGGACTTGCGGATCTGTAGCTAACAAGTCGATCGAGTCGCCAGAGTCGGGAAAGTCTGGAGCTCTCTTCGGCTGCTCACATACGATCATTGGATGGTCGGCATCAATGATGGACTGGCGGGATCGCTCCTTGTTGTCCGTGACGGACTTTGGACTTCCAGTCTCAGCCTTAGCTCCTGAGGTCTGCTTACTGACATCCAACTGGGAATCCCGCATGTGGGGTGGCTGGGAGTTTGCGCTGGGCAACGGGTGGTGAGCGGAAATGCTGATGCTGGAGCTGAGAAGCTGTGCGGTGATCAATAGGAGATGGGCCTGGAACCATAAGAGGCCCAGCCATGTCAAGGTGAAGCAATAGACCACTGCGAGGGCCCCGAGTGCAAAAATGAGCAAGGCGAGACTGGCGATGTGTCGGACCACCGCGATGGCAGCGGCGACCTGTGTATCGGTCAGTGGGTGAGCGACTGCAGTCAAGAGGCAGTCAGACGTGCCGGTAGCTTGCATTTGTTGTCGATGCAGGTCAAGACTTCGGCCCAATCCACACTGGGCGTGTCTGGCGTCTCGACGGGGCGGGTGCTCATGGTGGCGAGCTGGCAACAGTGGGCGGGTATCTGATCTGGCCTGGCCTGGGCTTCGATTGTGTGAAGGCCACGGAGGAGGAGGAGGAGGAGGAGGAGGAGGAAGACAATGAGGTGATGGTGGTGGTGGAGGAGGAGAAGAGGAGGAAGTGAGCAGTTGACGAGTGTCGGCGCGTCTTTCTTCGAATGAGCCGGTACCAGCTGGCTGGCGAATGCCTAAGGTGGTACCTGTCACGCGTCGTCACCTGCGCAGGAAGGAGTGAATGGACTTCACCTTGTGCTCCACAACAGCGACATTGAATATATACTGGCAGCAAACAGGAACTAGAAGATATATGCACAACCTAGTTACATGTGGTCCACTCTTGATCATTTCCTGTATATCACAACACACCGCAGCTCATGCCCGACCTGTCTGACCTCGCTACTGCTTCCAGTTACGTCTTCTCATGCCGACCTGTAGCCCAAGAGGCTTGCGCAAGAAGCCTTCGCGAGTTTCCAGGGTACTCTGGCGCAACTCAAATTCATATCTCCTGAAAACAGTCGCGACAATCAAGGCCAGCTCCATCTCCGCCTGCACACGCCATGTTAGCAGAAGCACATCAGTCGGCGTTCGCACCGTTGACTTACCACATTGCGCCCCACGCACGCGCGAGGCCCGTATGAGAAGGGAATGAACGCAAGTTTTTGTCTGCATACCGTCAGCTCTCCGTTTGCCCATCATCACTACTACCCCGGGTTGACATACCTATCCGTCACCTTCTCCCACCGCTCGGGGCGGAATTCTTCGGCGTCTGGACCCCAGATCTCCGTGCTGTGATGCATCACATATGCCGGCACACTGAGCACGACGCCTTGCGGGAAGAAGCGTCCACAGACCTCGGCACCACCGACTGGCACCACTCTTGGAAGACCTTGGCTGGAAGTGGAGTGGATACGAAGGGTCTCTTGGATCACCCAATCCATATATTTGAGATCCCTTACTTGCTCATACGTGGGCACATCATCAGATGGAAGTGCCTGATCCAGCTCCTGTTGGAGTTTCTTGACTACGTCGGGCTTGGTCAGACAGTGATAGAGCAGGGCGCAGGATGTATTCGAAGTGGTGTCGGAGCCCGCGATGAGTTGGGTGAGGGCTTCGGCAGTGAGTTCTGATTTTCCGAGCTTGTTGCCATTTTCGTCTTTGCCTTCCATCAGCCTCGCGAGCAGATCCACACGTTCAATCTCGCCTCTCTCGGCAGCAGCCAAGCGTTGATTCACACGAGCATGGGCGATTCCCGCAAGATTGGCAATGGCCTCCATGCCTTTGCTGAAGAATGGATCGGGCAAGTATTGGGCGAAGAGCTTGATGGTGGGCCAGCATCCGACGGCATTGGAGACTTCACCTCTCCTGTTGAGGACTTCGATGGCAGGAGAGTAGGTCGGTGGTCCATTCGGCGTGAGCTGGACCTCGGTGATATCGGCGCCCTTTTCGAGCATGCCAAACGGTGCACCAAAGGCCAGGTCGCCAATAATGTCGAATGCGACGTAGTTGAACCACTCGAGAGCGTCGAATTCGGTGTACTTGCCCTTGCCGGTCTTCTCGTTGATCTCGTCCCATCGCTTGGCCAGCAGCTCGAGGTTGTGGTGCATGTACTGCTCGAACTGGCCAACAGACTTGGCGCTGAAGGTGTGGGAGACGGTCTTGCGCTTGCGGGTGTGTTCATGTCGATCTCTGGTGTTGAACAGGCCGCGCTGGATGGAAACAAAGGCATTGTAGTATTCCGACTTGAGGAAGCCGGTGCCGTGGCCGTAGACGACGGGAATGGCATCGGGATCGGCAATGGAGACGTGGTCGGGCTGCACACGGACGAACTTGCCGAGCTTCTTGTGCAGGTCATTGACGGTCAGGTAGCGTCTGGTGCGACGGCACTCGTACATGTACCAGAGGTTGGTGAATTTGGCCAGGAAGGGGCCGGGGATGTCGTGGATGGACCAGTTGCGGAGGTAGGGCAGCACATAGAACAGCACGGGCACGACCAGAAAGGCCCATGGGGTGAGCAGGAACGACAAGAACATGGTGGTGGTGGTGGTGGTGGTGGTGGTGCAGAGAAGAGAGGAATGTGGGGGGGAAAAGGTGATATTCAAGCACTGGCACAAGCACTGGTACTGGTATAGACCCACAGCTGGAGGAGGAGAAGATGGAAGTGTTCCAGTCGAGGAGCGAAGAACAGAACAGACGGGAATGGAAGAGCAGAGAAGGGAGTGGGTGAGTGAGTGGGTCATATCATCATCAATAAATCTTCTCTTCTGTACCTGACCTACCTGTACCCTCCTACCGACCTACCTCCTACCTCCTACCTACCTACCTCCTAGACCAGCTTCAGTAGTAGCAAAATAAGGTAAGGCCAGAGTGTTCCAGACGATCCGCAATCGTGCCCTGCCAGGGAAGTGTAAGGTAGCTGGACTACCTCCTAGAGTACGGGAAGGTCCGAGCTGAGCTCACAGTGTGAAAATGCCCTCGCGCCGACTGGTCGACCCGGTCCCAGTGACCAACATTGGACCCGGACGGGAATCACGGGACGAGACAGCGCGTCTGGACGCTGTGGACGCGCCAGAATCAAGCACAGGCAAGCCTCTTCCGTGCGGGGAACTCGGACTTTTCTCGCTCTCTGCCACTCGGCTATGGCTCACGGCTTGGCTACTTCTGCTGAACTTCGCCGAACTTCCTAATCGTGGAGAAGTGGGGTGGTGGGGCACGAGAAATCGCGCACGGGGCTGCTACCTCCTCCCTGACTTTCTACCGCCTATGAGCTACCAGGTATTACTACCTCCTACCTCCTAGTAGGAGCCTAGGAGCTGCCTCCTAGCTCGCTCGCCGCATTTGCTCAAACAGCGAGCGCGACAATGCACGTGCACACGGGAGCATAAGCCATGTATAAGGTCAGGCAATAATAATAATGCATTCATCATCTCGGGCGACGACAACGCGCATTCCCTTCCCCGAGTAGCGTCCGACTCTCTACGACCGGATATATAACTACCTCCTGCCTGGTACCTACCTACTACCTAGGTACCTACCTACCTACCTTACAGCACCAATACAGCACCAAGGTACGGGCGGCCTCAATCGTACAGATCCTCCGTCTCACCAGCATCGTTGTGATGCTCCCACTCCGGATCGCTGGCTGCCTCACGCGACTTTCCCTTCCCTTTTCCCTTGCTGGACGATGACGTGCCTCCGCCATTGCTCGTCAACGACAGCCCGTCAGTGCGAATGATATAGTCGCTGTCGTCTGCATCGGCGTCGGCGGTGCTGCTGCGCAGAATAGGGCCATCTCCACTGCCATTGGGACTTCCCGACGCTTGCGCCCGCTTCATGGCCCCCATGGCCTGCTTGCGGCCACTCAGGTGCTCACCATTCTGCACGCTCCGAGTCGATGCGCCGTGGCCATTGGCCGCGTCCTCTTTCTTGCTCGTCCCCTCAAACATGTTCCTGACACGCTCGTAGTGTTGCAATTCGTCCACGCTGACACTCGGTATGAGATCTCGACGCGCCAGCGTGAAATCATCCTCGGTGACCATCACATTGATCTCGTGCTCCGTATCGTAGTGATCAAAGTAGTACCCGATAGAAATCGTGCTTTGTCCACGAGCCAGCCGGTCGTGATTGACAGCAGCGACACGCTCGTCGACTTCGCGAGCCGAGCGTGTTACTGCTTTGAGCATAGCGTCGGAGCAGAGCGCGTAGAGATCGGCACCTGTGAATGTAAAAGGCAGAGCTTGGGCGACGCGAGACAACGACACGGACGGATCGAGAGTGAACCTGTTGATTGTGGTCAGTGCAAAAAACTCAACCAACCACCGCCCGAATGAGCACTCACTTCCTGGTCAGCGCTTGCAGAATAGTGGCCTGCTTGTCATGAGTATCGCTGATGCCCAGGTAGAGCATCTTATCGAAACGTCCAGGTCGCAAAAGAGCTTGATCGAGCAAATCGGGGCGGTTCGTCGCCCCGATGACGAAGACTCCTCCTCCACCATCACCGCCATCACTCATCCCGTCAAGCTCGGCAAGTAACTGTGACACAATCCGGTCCATGACACCACCGCTGTCGCCTTGGTTGCCACGTTTCGGGGCTACCGAGTCCAGCTCGTCGAAAAAGACACAGCACGGCCGAGCATCACGAGCTCGCTGGAAGACACGTCGCACATTCGCTTCCGACTCACCAATGTACATATTCAGCAGCTCCGGTCCTTTCACGGAGAAAAAGTTCAAACTGAACTCGGTCGCAATGGCTTTGGCCAACAAAGTTTTCCCCGTTCCTGGAGGCCCGTAGAACAATATGCCACTCCTTTTCTTGAGGCCTTTGGCGAATAGCTCAGGTCGCGACAATGGAAGCTGGATCGTCTCAACCACGGCGTCTTTGACGTGGGTCAGGCCTCCGACGTCAGACCATTGGACATTGGGTATCTTAGGTGCTCCAATAGCGTCTGCAAAGTTCTTCCGCGCGAGCTCTACTGCCGCGTCGAAGTCATCAGGAATGACTGACGTCGCAGCAGCACCACCTGCCAGCTGAATATCTCTGATCGTGATTGCATCTCCTTTCACTTGAGCGAGAGCCTCGAGCCGCTCAGACCGAGCAACGATCGCACGTTCTACCACATCGACAAGGTCGCCTGCTACTAGAGCAGCGGTCTTGACTGCGATGGATGCTAGGTCGACCTGGGGCGCGAGTGGCAGACCAGATTCCGCTGTGACATCCCTCAAGATCCCTTCTCGTTCTCCCTCGTCAGGAGCAGTCATTTCCAATTCGTGGGTGAATAAACCACGCACCGAGTCAGGCACTTTGTCAATGTCTGTCGTGGTGGCAACGAGCGCCCGAGCGCTGTTCAGAACACCCTGCAGGGACGCAGCTGCTTTATCTCCGCTGAGTACTTCCAAGTGCGTGATACAGATAGCTGTGAATTCAGGTCCACATTCAAGTGCTCGCTCGCAACGCGCTTCAAGAAGGCCTTGCGCTTGAGTGTCCACGCCCGTTCCACTCTCCGAAACAACGTCGTGCGCATCAATCGAGAAATAATGTAGTCCGAGATCCGCGCAGGCACGTGCGACAGTGCTGGCCTTACCGATATTGCGCTGAGTAGATGTGACTAGTACTGTCAGAGGCGGCATTCCCAGATGGACTGCACGAGGACTGACAGAGACTGATAGCAGTTCACGAAGTCGTCTCTGAAGTGGCGAGATATAAGGCTGCGTGAGTGGAGGGAGGCCACCTGCTGGGTTGGCCACTCCTGACTTGGCATGCCCTTTACGCACGCCGAGGTAACGCTGCCACGGGATGCTTGATGCCGGAGGTAGCTTGCGCCTGTCATCGCCAGACTGTCGCATTGTCATTTTCGAAGGATCAATCGACGCTGCATCTCCCCATACATCTGTGTCTTGTGCGTCCAAGTCTTCAGCATTGGCGACGTTAACGGCTTCAATAGTGAACCATGCCACATTCGTTACGCCGCCAAGGTCTGGTTTGTCGTTCAGGGGTCCTAGTTGGGCCAGCAGCGCGCTGGCGCTGCTCCCCTCTTGTTCCACCTCCCCTTCATATATGGACCGCCCCAGAGACTCGTCGATTCGAACAGCTAGCAAATCGCCAGGCCTGACAATCCGTTGTCGCTCCTCGAAATATTGCTTCAGGTTCGCAAATAAGGTGTTGTTCAAAGAGCGCTCTGTCGAGAGGGGAGTAATCACTTTGCGCAGGGTGACGTCGGAAGCTATGGGCGGCATTCGAGATGAGACGGACAGTGGCCGTGGGGTCATGGGTCGCTTCAGCGTGGCTCGTTTACTGATCGCGATGGTCGTCATGCTGACATTCGTCGGGTCTCCAAGATTCGCCAGAAGAATGGGTGAAAGATGTATTGTAGCGACGTTGGTCGAGTTGGCCACCAGCGAGGAGATACTGTCCCTCCGACCGGCCCTCGCATTGACTTGGTATCTTTGCGGCTTTCTCGACAGACTTTCAGGCAGAGTGTAGACCTTCACGGGCCGCCAATGTGCTGCGGAATCATCCAGCTGCCCGAACGCGCTGAAGCTTGGCAAGATGTGACTCTCGGCGGGCTCAATCTTGACCCAGTCGCCAGAGAAGCAGCCCAATCGTGCTAAGGCTGTCGCTTCCACGTAGACTCTCGCTTCCTCGTCCTCGTCGACTGCGGGCTTCGGGTATAGCAGATCGTTGGAAAGGCGCTCGAGCAAGGCCTGTGCTCGGAACACTTTGTTACGCACGGCTTGTCCTCCTCTGATCGTAGTGGCCGTCATGTTAGAGAAGACGGATCCTGGAGTACTAATTCCACGATTTGGAGCACCAAGAGGTCGCGGGGTCGCCGAGGTAAGCGCAGAGCTGAGTCCAGAAGGTCCATCGGCAAGTCCTGGCTTGACAAGGGAGATCATATCGTCGGAGTCATCGGACAAGTTGCTCTCCTCAGCGCTTGAATCGAACATGTCCTCGGAATTTGACATATCAGTAGTGGACTTTGATATCACAATGGGCTTGGCGGGAGAGTTCTCCTCGGTGGCAGAGAAGAAGACTTCTGCGCCCTCGTCACCAGACTCTTCATCGAGCTGCGGACTCAAAACTGCCTTGTTTCCAAAAGCGTTAGACCGTTTGTCCACAGACGGCACGATCACAATTTGAGTGGACTCAGATATGATACCTTGGGAAACGGGCTCACATGCCAGGATCCGCGCGGGAGGCGCTGGGATGTGCGCAGCTGGATGTGCCATTCGTAAAGGCAACAAATCCTCCACGTGCACAACCTGACCATTGGCTAGAGCTTCATTGACCAAGGACTTTGCCCGCTCATCTGCATCTGCCGCTGGTGCATCGTCCGGCGCTCCTGTGACTGCACGCTTGTCTGGCCTCCGAGCCACCACTTGGGCAGGACCATTCGTCGAGCCGTCCCCATATCTTTTATACACGTGGTCTAGCTTTTGTATGGCATCTGTCGCCACGGACACAAAAACAGTGTCCAAGGACAGAGGTACCACATCGGTAATTCTGACCTCGACCGCGGTATTCTGGCGCAGAGTCTTGTTGGGTGCCAGAGCTTGGGCAAGCCTCACTAAGCTCTGAGTCCCACGCGCAGCGACTGGAAAGCGGATGGTCGATGGAGGCAAGGCCTTCTCTTTGGGATGCTGGCCTCGCACGGGCAGGATGGTCCAGCTCGACTCTGATGGAGAAGGATTGGGGGTCCATGGCGTGAAAGCAGCATAGTAGGTCTCGGTCCCGGCGCCGTCGGTGTTGGTGTCGGTGTCCAGCGGACGTGCGGGAAACAGGTCGTGCTCGAGGTCTGCAGAGACGACTCCCAAATCGCCTTTCAGAGTGCTGTCGAGGTAGAGCTTGGCGGAGAGGGCGGGCTTGTCTGCTCGTCGGCGCCGCTTTCTCTTGAGCGAGCGCGGCTGGACCGCGTCACAGGCCATTGGGTGCCTTAAGGCGTGTCTGTTGTTCCAGGGCTCGCAGATGGCCAGGAAGAGAGAAAGAGAACGGACGGGAGACACGACACGCCAGAGTTTAGTAAGGAACCCTTTTGCCGACACCTTATGCAGGTAGGAGGTAGCAACAGCACCGAATGGTGGTGCTCTCTCATTATGCGGGAAGGCTTCAGCAGCAGCCGAGGTTCGTGGAAATTTGAGCTGCAGCCATTCGTCAACAGGTACAGTAGGTACCTGTACTATGGAGGTACCTAATATGTACCTTACCTTACAGAACATGTACCTCTACATGTACCTTACCTAGTACAATAATTCAATAACAACCAAATACATCACGATGCGCACTTCACGCATCTCGAGAGACACGGCCCACATTGTCGACGCTCTGGCGGCACGACCAAGACGAGCAGCTGCACAACAAGCCTTGCGCACCATTTCGCCCGCATTGCCGCCCGCCGACACCGATGACAGCGAGCTCTCCGCGCCGCCTGACAGCCCTGACGCCGCCGCCGAAGATGACACTCGTCGTAAGAGAAAGCGAGGCGCGCAGACCAGGGGCAAGCAGAAGGTGAAGAAGGAGAAGGCAACAGCTGAAAGTGGCCGTGGTGTAGCTCCCTTCAATTGGCAACAGATGTACGAGTGTGCCGCTTTGATGCGCAAGAAGGTCATCGCTCCCGTAGACACAATGGGATGTGAGTCGCTCGCCGAAGCTCATTGCTCGCCTGTCGACCGGCGACTGCAGACCCTTGTAGCGTTGATGCTCTCCTCCCAGACCAAGGATACTGTTACCGCTGTGGCTATGAAGCAGCTCCAGGAAGGCCTCCCTGGTGGCTTTAACCTAGATGCTCTCCTGCATGTCCAGCCTGAAGCCCTCAATCGATTGATTTATCCCGTTGGATTTCATAACAGAAAAACGATCTACATAAAGCAAGTTGCTGTGATCCTCAAAGAACAATTTGATGGCGATGTGAGTATCAATAGGCCCTTCTGCTCGACGCCTCACCCAACTTCAGTGGAGCCGCAAACGGTGAGGACAAGACAGGCGCCTCTGAAGTCGGTGCGCACATTCAGAGGTTCTTGCTTACCTTCCACCCACTACTCTTCAGATACCCCAATCGATCGAGGGGCTCATGTCTTTGCCTGGCGTCGGTCCGAAAATGGCATATCTCACCATGTCAGCAGCATGGGGACGAGACGAAGGCATTGGAGTTGACGTCCATGTGCACAGGATCACAAACTTGTGGCATTGGCATAAAACGAGCACACCAGAGCACTCGAGAGTGGAATTGGAGAGTTGGCTACCTCGCGAGAAATGGCATGAGATAAATCATTTATTAGTGGGGCTCGGACAAACAATTTGCCTACCAATAGGTAGAAAATGCGATGAATGTGATTTGGGCAAGCAAAAGCTGTGCCCATCTGCGGTTGAGCGGAGCCCCAGGAAAAAGGCAAAAAAGGAGATTGAGATCAAGGTAGAAGATGATGAGGTTGTGGTTGCGAAGCCTGAAGCTGACGACAGAGCTGACACTGTTCAGATCAAACCTGAAAGTGTGGAAGAATTAGGTAGAGGTGCAAGACATTGAAGATTCGGCTTTTTGCCGGCAGCGTTGAAGCCGGCAATGGAAACTCAGGTACCTTACCTTATTCACCTGAGTCTATGCCAAGCCGACGCTAGCAGTAAGGTACCAACCCAGCTACACGTCACGAAGAGGTACTAAGATGTTTATACATAATGTAGCTGTATAAACCACAATGAAATTTGCAACGGAATATGCAGAGCACTCGCCGCATGAGACAAGAGCCGGCACATGAAATATGGCAAATTAATCATCTTCATCATCACTGCCAAAGATGGCTCTAAAGACGTCCTTGCCCGCCTTCACTCCCTCAATAGCTTCGTTCTTCTCGACGTCAACCACCGCTCGTGGTGTGACGATCTCGACCACCGTCGACGGTCCTTCTGTGCCTCCAGAAGTGAACTTTGCATCTCTCATCATCCTCTCTATGCTCGCCTTTCCCACGAGGTTCAGTCTCTCCGTGTTCTCCGATTGTTCACTCTCGGTAGCAGCACTACCAGCTGCAAGATTTGCAGGTGGACGAATGTTGAAGCGCTTGCAAATCAGCCTTGTAGGATAGAATGGCTCGCGTCTCCGCGTCAGAGGACCATACATTCCCATATTCGCTGCCTTCTCTGCGGGATCGGTGTCTTTGGACGAAGGCTTTTGTGTAGGGGTGGGCACGTCAGAGAGAACTTGTGGCGCTGCGGAACCAGAAGTAAATCTGCTGGCCATATAGCCCGACGCAGGTTTGAAAATTTCAGCTGCCTCGGCAAACTCCCGTAGTTCGTTGGCCCAACCTTCAAGACTGGTGCCAGGCGAGCGCGATGGAATTATGTCTGCCTGGCCCGCAGACAGCTCGAGAAAGTACTTGTACCTCTGTCGCTTGTCCGGATCATCGCCATATGGCATCCAGCCCGTCTTCCCACGTGCCAAAGCTGCAATGGCAGTTTCTTTGGCTAGGGACGGCACGAGATCCCAGAGGGTGCGGCTTTTCTCTGCGGCGCTCTGCGCATAGCCTTCGGGTGCCCTCTCGCCCAAAGCGGCAGGTAGATCATTGCGACCGCTAGCTGATGCGAGCTGATCACGTTGTGCTGGGGTCAGGAAGTCGAAAATGGACTTACTCGGCAATTGCTGTTCACCGAGCAGCGTAGCACGGGACTTTGCGTCCAGCGTCGAGGCTTTTGCAGCATCGGCTGTTGACATATATAGCATCTTGGGAGCAGCAGCCTCTGAGCGTTGTTTTGCCGGTTTCCAGCCTGCGGGAACCTCAGGTGGTGGATATTCGTTCTCCGATATGGTCAGCGCGGCAGTGGCGAGGACAAAGCCATCAAGTGGTAAACGCCCATCGTGACACTTGCGGAGACTGTTGACCTTGCCCATTCGTTGTCCTAAAATCTTCGATGCCTGAACGGAAGGCTTTACCACATTCATGACAACAGGGCTTGCAACGATTCCTCCCTTTTTGGGTTTCTTCTTCTTCTTCTGTCCAACGATACGGTTGTAACTGATGCTCGGGCCGATGGCGTATGGATCATCATCGTCGTCACCGTCATCGTTGAGCACCCCAACCCCAAAGCCTGATCTTTTGGATGATTTTGGTCTTCGCACCATCATTGACCTGCTGAGGATCGTGCAGTCGTCGCCGCTAGCCTCGTTATCGTCGTTGGCAGGAGGGCTATCGCGGAGCTTGCTTTCGCTAGCAAATCCCAGGCCTTGCTTAGCTGTCTTTCGTATCAGGGCGACCATGCGTGTGTTCTCCGGTGCGAAGAGGTGGGTGCCGCCCGTCTTGTCCCCTTGTGCTCGTCGTTCGACTTTCGGGCCAATGCCTTGGCCTTGACGCCAACCCATCTTCTGCAGCAGCTTCACGCCTACGGTTTCGTCCGTGGTGGTGAACAGATCGGAGAAGATGCCTCGTACTCCGCCATCTTGCTTGCTGCTTCCGAGCCCTGCAAATCCATCTTGAGTGTCCAGCTGCTGCGCTTCGGCCTGCTCGGCCAAATCCTCCTCGTCCATAAAGTCTTCGACGCGCTGCTGGTTTCCATGATGGGCACGATTGCTGTCTCCGGCGCGATTCGCCCGGGACGAGATGAAGGCACTAGGCGTCCAACCCTCCTTGGAGCCGACCGTATTGAAGTAGCTATCGGCGGTCGATCAGCCAAAACGATGCTCTCACCAAGTGGTGGTATGGGCAACATACCCTGCGCTGAAACCACCAGTGAATGCGCCATGCAGCCTCTTCCTGCCGCGCTCATCGGTCACCTCCTGCTTCCAGATGGGGACATAACTGCCGTCATCTCTCGTGTGCTCGTCCAAGGCCGGGAGGGGAGTGCCAAATAGGGCATACGGTGCGTGGCTTGGGGCCGCATCGTGCTGCTCCCGCTCCTCGAAGGCGGCTCTGGTGCGCTTGTAGGACATGCCCCAGCAGTGAGTCTGCGTTTCATCACCAGCAATCATTCAAACGGGCTGTCTGTAGGTTGTACACGATGAGTGTGCATGCGCCGACCTACCTGCCTGCCTACACAAAGGCCTCTGCCCTGGGCGCTGCCTCTCACTCGGCCTCTACCTCTGTTTCTGTATCTGTGTCTGCCTCTGCCTTCTGCAACTGCCACAACATGCACCCTACCGAGAGTCCGAGACCAGGTGGACACGTATTCTGAAGAGCGCGCGAGAGCATCCACGGCGAAGAAGTCGTTACTCGTTGAGCCCGTGGGGTGCAAACGAGAATAGCAGCACGGTCCGAGCCCGTTTCGGCAGCATTTTGTGCTCGGGCTAGGGTACCTCTCTTAGGTAACTTCGACATAGGGAACCTTAGAGTTCAGTCCGAACTCCTACGGTTCCTACCTTAAATATCCCACTACTACATTACTCCCGTACTCTGTACACGACCTGGTACTGGTACTGGTACGGGTACTGGTACTGCACGCGGCGGAGATTACGTCCGTCGCGCAGGCGGCTGGTCACGGGCGCTGCCTCCAGCGATGGCGTGATGACTGCGCTGTCCTCCTGTGGTGCCACTGATGAGGACTCCATGCTCTGGCTGGTATAGAGAGGGTGCACTGTCAGTCGGTCGCTGTGCAGTGCTGGTGATGAAGGTGCGTGCTGCGTGGGGCTGCGTCCGAGGAGTCAGTCAGCCGAGATTGTTTCCGCGAACTTAACTACCACACTACTGACTGGAGATGAAGGGAGAGGACGACGATGACACCCGCGACAGGCAGACCAGCAGGCCGGCGGGCAGGCAGATTGGCGGAGGAACAGGACAGCAACAACCATCTCATCACGATCTCTCACACTAGTTCTGATATCCATGGCACGCATAGGAGGTAGGTATAGCACACACGCAGCAGTTCGGATTGAGAGGACCTGGAGTCCAAGGGGGCTGTTCTCTGCTCTGCGTGGCCGTGAAGCGTGGGCTAGAGCTACCCCAGGCCTGAGTACATTCTAGACAGTAGTCATGCCGTGCAGTGAGAACAGCGGACTCCCTGCGAGTCGGCGTTTCAGTGCTCGACTGCCATCCAGTGATACCTTGCTGGCATCCGACTGCCGCCTAAGGTAATGTGAAGTACCGTGATCATAATACAGAACTGGCAGTCGACGTCCACTATACGCCTAGAATTAGCACTGTGGCACAGCATACCTACCTAACCTACCTCCAAGGTAGCCACTATGTCGGCTGCCGCGTCGCCAGCATCTCTACCTCCCCGAGCCCACTCTACACGTCGCCAACAGCAGCAGCAGCATCAGCAGCCTGCACACTCCCCCTCCTCCTCATCCCCGCCAGCTTCCACCACCGACCGCGATAACACTCGGCTGCCGCACCGTGCACAGTCGACGTCGAATCGCTCCGCCGCCCCGGCCTCGCCTCGACGGTCAATGTCCACGTCGCAGGCGCCTTCCTCGTCCGCTGCCCACGCTCGGCCACCCTCAGGAGGCAACGTCGACAAGGCCGCGCGCCATGACGTGGAGCAGAGCACCGTGAACCAGCCGCATGCTCCGTCCTCCTCGCGAAGGAGCGAGTCGCACGAACCTGGCATGAACGGCAGCCGTGCCCATCCCCCGCGAGGAGATTCAATGCGAGCAGCGTCCGGCCACGCGCGGACGCAGTCGCGCTACAATGATCAGCCTACACCTGCACCCAGCACCAGCGACGCTCGCTCTGCGCAGCCTGCGACGAACTTGAGGCGGCGCACCACGATCGACGCGCAGACCGGGCACTGGGAGTTGGGCAAGACTGTGGGAGCTGGCAGCATGGGCAAAGTGAAACTGGCCAGAAATAAAGACACTGGGGAGCAAGTTGCTGTGAAAATCGTGCCTCGGACGAGCCAAGGGGAGGAACATCGCACACAGCAGGAACGTGAACGGGCAGAGCACAGCAAGGAAATCCGCACAGCACGAGAGGCTGCCATAGTGACGCTGGTCGACCATCCTTATATCTGCTACATGCGTGACGTGGTACGAACGCACTATCACTGGTACATGCTATTCGAGTACGTGAATGGAGGACAAATGCTCGACTATATCATTTCCCATGGCAGACTGAAGGAGAAGCAAGCTCGGAAGTTTGGCAGGCAAATCGCAAGTGCTTTGGATTACTGCCACCGAAATAGCATTGTGCACCGCGATCTCAAGATTGAGAACATCCTCATCAGCAAGACGGGCGATATCAAGATCATCGACTTCGGTCTGTCTAATCTGTTCAGCCCGAAGAATACCCTCAAGACTTTTTGCGGCAGCCTATACTTTGCTGCTCCTGAGCTCCTTCAGGCCAAGCAGTATACCGGGCCGGAGGTGGACGTATGGAGCTTCGGGATTGTGTTGTACGTGCTGGTCTGCGGCAAGGTACCATTTGACGATCAAAGCATGCCCCAGCTGCACGCTAAGATCAAAAAGGGTGTGGTCGAGTACCCACCTTGGCTGAGTTCTGGTAAGATATTGTGTTCGAAATTGAGGACAGAGCATGTGGCTAATCGAGACATAGAGTGTCGACAGCTCATTGCGCGCATGTTGACCACCAATCCGGTCGAACGTGCGACATTGCAGGAGATCATGACCCATCCATGGATGACCAAGGGGTTCAATGGTCCTCCAGAGAGTCATTTGCCGGAGAGGAAGCCTCTCACTCTGCCTCTCGATCCCTCCGTGGTCGACAAGATGACGGGATTCGATTTCGGGGAGGCGGACCTTATCACTTCTCAACTCACCAAGATCATAGAATCCGATGAGTATCAACGGGCCATACGAATGCAAGAGAGACGCGCACAGGCGGGGCCTCCAGAAATCGATCAGAAGCGTGGGGTTTTCAGCTTCTATAAACGACGAAGCTCTACCACCAGTCGAGACACCTTGAACACCCCATCTACAGAAGCAATTCAGCTTGGATCTGACCCGCTCAATGCCTTTCATCCGCTGATTTCTATCTACTACCTGGCCATGGAAAAGCAAGAGCGTGAAGCCAAGGAGAAGAATCCTGGCGCGTTGTGGATGCCACCAGTCCCAGGCGAGAAGCCATTGGGCATGGTCGACTTAGCAGCGCCAGCACCTGCCCACGTCAATTCTTCTGCTTACGAGATGGCGGGCGAGAAGCCGACTGGAGGCCGATCGCGTCCTCGCGCACGCACGCATGGTGAGGACGAGGTTGCGCAAGATATGCGTTCTCTCAGTGTCAATGCTGCCTCCAACCCGCAGCAACCAACCATCGTAGAGCCAGAAAAGCCGACATCACACGGGCGGAAGGAAAGCGTAGCTGGAGGTCTATTGCGAAGATTCAGCAAGCGGGATAAGCCAGGGCGCCCAAGCCATCCGCCCTCCTCACTTGATAAGTACAACCCGGAGACGCCCCGGAAGAGCTTCAGCATGCGTCGTGCGCGAGATCGTAGTCAGAACCGTGATACCAGTCAGACGCGCGAAGGGACGCGTCCCGAAACGGCCGCCAGCAAGCAGAGTGAACTCCTAATACCACCTCCTACTGGTGATGCGGCGAATGACCGGACGCCACCAGATTCAATCTCATCAAAACGGTCACATGGATTAGGACGATCAGTCAGTGTCAACTCTAGCGACATCAGGAGACGCTTGACCCGCCGAGGTGTATCGGAAGGGTCGTCAAAAAGACCACCGCTGAAGTCCACTGGCAGTACAGAGATGCCAAAAGTATCTCTTGATCGGACCAGCAGCATACGAGAAGCTCAGTCCGATGTCGAAGGACCGACGAAACCTGCCACCACCTTCGCAAACCGCGCAAGGTCTATGGGGCACGCTCGTAAGGAAAGTATGCAGGTGCGGCGTGCTCGTCGTGAACAGGCCCGAACGGGACAAGCGGACGTGCCAGAAGAGACCGACGCAGAGCTACTTGATGAGGTTGACGCCAAAGAGGAAAGAGGAGGTTCGAGCATGAAGCCGGTCTACCTGAAAGGCCTGTTCAGTGTCAGCACGACGAGCAGCAAACCCTTGAACTTCATTCGCACTGACCTGATACGCGTGCTGCAAGATCTCGGCGTTGAGTATCGAGAGGTCAAAGGTGGGTTCTCTTGCAAGCACTCGCCGAGTATACTGCCCAAGCCGGGACCAGACGAGACGATACCTTCCGGTGCACAGCCGTTGTCGCCACCACCAGAATCCCATCACAAGCGCAAGATCAGTTTTGGAGGTTTTCGATCACAAACAGGTGACGAGGCAAAGCCCCCGCGACAGAAGCCTAGCTACGCCAACGGCAACTCAGATGAGGATAGCGAAGAAGATCCCCCTACAAACCAGCCGAGACAGTCCATGTCGCAAAGAGCCGCCGGCGAGACAAGCACGCACGTGCAAAATGACCTTGGAGAAGGGCTGGCACTGAAATTTGAGATATTTGTCGTCAAGGTCCCGCTTCTCAGCTTGCATGGAATCCAGTTCAAAAAGGTCGACGGAGGTACGTGGCAATACAAGGCGATGGCCCAGAAAATCCTGAATGAGTTGAGACTGTGAGTGTGGAGGCGTAGATTGAGCTGGAAACAGCCGGAATTACGGAGAAAGAGTTCTGTTGGAAGCAGAGCAGCACGAGCAGGTCTTAAGCTGCAGGGCAGGAAGGGTAGGAAAGACAGAGAGCGTTCTTCGCGATGTGCCCCCGTCTGTGCATCAAGAATAGGCTGTCATTAATTTGAGTATGTTGACGCATTACTTCGCGGAGACGCGGATATGGACATGACGATGGATTGTTGGAGTAAGTATGAGAGGCCATGGCTAGCGATGATGTTGCAAAGACCAGGTACATGTAGGCATGCCGCCGATGTGTGGTGTAGGACGTGGAAGTGCGTGCAGGTGGTCGGAATCAGTGGCGGACTGAGCACCAGGTGAAGCGGGCTAATTCGACCTGGAGCATTGGAACGATAGATAGATGAGCCAAAGCAAAGTTCGCTCCGACCCATGTCCAGGCAGTGACGGGATGTGACTATCTAGGGGTATGTCATGCCCGCTCGTCGACAGGTACATGTGATGCACATTGTAGTTTTTCTTGTGCATCGGTATACCTCATCATCCATCCTCTTGTCAGTGAGATGTCAGCAGTAATCAGATCATCACCAGCATCATCATCATCATCATCCGCGTGCCAGCACAACAGCATGCATGGTTGGTTGGTTGGTGGACTTGGTGCCTTGCGTCTGCCGTCTGGCTGACAAGGTTCCGATGTTGTCTCCCGCCTGCTGGTAGTAACGAGGTCATAAAGCTGGTGTAAAAAGTGCAGAGCAGCGGGTGGAAAGTGGTCAATAACCTAGGACGAGCGTCAGGAACAAACCCGCGATGCAGCCAGCGGCTAGTGTCCGCGCCTCCGCGACCACTCAAATCCTCCCGTGGCCCTTGCCTAGTTGCGGGCAACTTCCCTCCAACGTTGTACTCGCCCGAGGGAAGGTAGGACCGGTAGGTAGTAGGTAAACGCCGTGTTCCTGCCCCATCGAGGACGACCGTATTCTTTCCAACCAACTTGAAACAACAACATCGACCAATACATGACACCTCCCTACCTACCTTACCTTCCTGACCTGCTTCGGACACCATCATCACGACCACCAACGCCACACGAAGCAACTAGAAACAGTGCACCATGTCCACGTTTGGCGGTCCAGGCGGGCGGACGACGTTCAGCAAACCCACTCCGCCCGAGCGTGGTTCTTTTCCTTTGGATCACGAAGCAGAATGCCAGCCCATCATGAAGCAATATCTGCGCTGTATCAAGTCGAAACGAGGCGTCAATGATGAAGAGTGCCGCCAGTTGAGCAAGGGTTATCTACAATGCCGCATGGATCGCAACCTGATGGCACCCGATTCCATGCGGAACTTGGGCTTCCAAAGTGCAGAAGACCAAGCACAAGATGCGATGCGAGCACAGGTCAAAGCGGACCTGGACGCCGAGCAGGAGGCAAACAAACGCCGCGAGTGATACGCGTACAGGCCCTACGTATTGAGACAAACATCTGCAAAAAAGTGCACGAGCCGTGGTCAAACTTGTCTTGCCGACACACTCGTCGTGCGCGAAAGGTTGTGTACCTACCGGCTTTCCCAACACCTGCGCTCAAAGCTCAGAGCCAGATTACTGTCTGAGAGTCATTACAGTATTCTTTGAACAGGACGCAAGGGGCGACGGAAACAGCAGAAACAGTCTCACCTATGCGACGTGGCAATGTCTTTCATGATAAAAGCGCTCGTGTACGCCACAAGCCAGCGCTAGCTGCAAGCTACACTGCCTTTTTACGCCAGACTTGCATATGGAGATGATGACAGGCTCTGGAGGTCTCAGTAGGGCTTGGGCGCTAGAACTCGTCTAACCTGCCTCTATGAATGACCCTGGGAGGCGCAGCTCCAGCAAGCTAAAAAGCATTCGACAGCGCGGAATGACTACCCTGCGACTGTCGATCGCATTCCGGTTTGTTGCTCACTCCACCGAGTCCACCCGGAGGTGTCTCAACCGATGTAGGTAGGCACCTTATACTTGGTTAGAAAGTGATAGTCCAAGACATGGTACGCCTTACTGCTCAGAATGAAACAAAATCCATCCACCGCCTCAGGGTGCTGCTATACACTAACCGCTACCTCCTACTCGAGTACTCTACCTCCGACGACTCGGTGGTATACTCGCTTTACGTAACTATAGTGGTCTAGCAGAATAGTGGTACTGTAGTGTTAGACTGGGATTATGTTGCTCTGGATGAGAATCGACTTGCATGCGGGTTCACGTTTGATCACTGGTCAAGTGTTGAAATGATATCTCGGCTATCCATTAGGTGTGTGAATGTGTGAATGTGTGATGATGTTGCATAATCAGTCCTGCCAGTCATGCCGTTCTCAAACAAAGTCATCGAAATCTTCTCAACCTTCCACCCCAAACAGTCTCCGCGCTCTACTACGCAGCTGTTGGTCCGCCAGCTGAGTAGATCCAGCCAGAGACATGCAAAAACTCCATTCATAATCCATCCATCATCCGTGTAAGGTAGTAGATCAGAGAAGCCAAGGGGGTGTTCATCAACATCGTCATGACGACTCAAGCAGACTTCTGCAAAATGCCTCGTTCCGACCAACGAAGGCTCATAGTTGGCAGTGTCATGATCTCGCGCGCGCCTGGCCCTGTACCTCGCTCCCTCCCTCCCTTCTCCCTTTCTCTCTCTGAACGCCCAAATATGCAAGACCCCCAGAAGTGCATTTACTGGAAAGAGCATGAATCGCAGCCGTCGCAAGTGTGTAGCTGAAACACGTGGTTCAGCATTTGATAGGCCGAGAAAACCAGTCGTCGAAGCAAAAGCAAATGGTATCATTGGTGCTCAAGCAGAATCCGAAAGCCCCAAAAGATTGGACCCGGTTGAAACCAAACGCCGCTGGTATAGTGATTGGTAATTGTCAAAAAAAAAAGTCCGAGAGGTGACATGAGTGTCGCAAACAAGTGGTGAGGGCAAGAGCAGAGAATGCTGGTCCATGAGCGGCTATGCATGCTGACACAGCAGCTATCGCATAATGGCACGATTGGTCACAGCTCTGTGGTGTTGTGCCGCAGGAAAAATAGCTTCAGGCTAAGCGCTCAAGCAGCTGCGGCCACAATCAGCCTAGATTTCGGTAGATGGCAAACCTTCAAAATTGGCGGGATAGAGGTGTGCATCGAAGTCGAATAAAGGTGGCGGTGACTGTGGATAGGTGAGGGCAGGGGATTGTGGCTGGTAGGTGAAGTTGCGACCCTATTGCATCTCCATACCAATTCCAAACTCATCTTCCTCTTTCGGATCGTTGGTCCAATTGTATCCGGTGGAGTCATGGGACATCCCACTCGACATGCCGCTACCGCCGGGGTGGAAACCTGGGCTCATAGCTGGAATGGTCAAGTTTGGTAGTTCGGCAGTGCCAATGCTGTCACCATTCAGATTGGTGAAGCCAGGGACTCGTAGGCCAGATCCAGGAGCGCGGGTATACCCCGAGAATCCACCATGTTCATGGTGCTTGGTGAGGACTTCCAAGAACTCGGAGGTCATGCGCACCTCCTCCTCGCTTTGTTCGAATGGCCACTTGCCGCCAAGGTCTTGAACGTACTTCTTGAGTCGCTGTTCCTGGTCGAGTTTCATGTGGATGAACCAGACCATGTCGCGTGTCCAAGCGACTGATCCGTTCAATATGTCACCCTTGTTCGGGCCTTTGTCCTTTTCTTCGAGCGGCAGCCCTTGAGTAATGTTACCAGCAGCTCGGCGAGCTGAGGTGCCAAGCAGGGAGGCATTTGGCGGCGACATACCCGAGTTGGCGATCGATGGCGACAATGGTGCATTAGTCTGCAAGTGCTTGCGCACCTTTTCATCCTCGAGTCTATGCTGCGGGACTAGTGTGCCCAGATCCTGGATGCGTTCGTTGATGTTGTCGCGACGACGACGCTCAACCATATTGTGAGACTCACGTCTCCGGCGACGCTTAGCTTCTTGCGTAGTAGAGGGCGCTCCAAAGCCCGGCTCCATCTTGGTAGGAAGGCTCGATGCCACTTTGTGGTGATGAGTACCTCGCAGTACCGCCTCAATCTGCGGGTGCTGTGGTTGGCCGTTAGGTGAAGGGTACGGTGAAGTATCGCCCCAACTGTGACCACTGGGAGTGCTTTCCCAGCCGTTGCCAAGAGAGTTGTGTTGTCGGTGGCTAATTTGTTGCATGCCAGGATGGATATCGTCGTTGACATTGAGGTGCTGGATGCCTGGTGTGTTGGGCGTGGCAGGTGACCGCGAGTCGGACACTTTGCGCTCGCCATTCATGTGAGGTTGTCGAAAGCCCTGAGTTTGCGCTGGTAGGCTGTGACCAAACTGGTGCTGCTGCTGACCCGGCACTGCCCGAAACTGCCCGTAGTTGAAGTCGCCATTGAACGGTGACTGTATGGGAGCGCCATCGGGTGTGTGGGAGAAGGTGTTCGAGTTAGACATGGTTTGTTGCGTCGGGAAGTAGTTCTGGAACTGTACGTCGGCGCCAAATTGGGGAGTGCTGTCGATGTTGAGGTCGGCAAGTTCGTCGTCTGCGATGTAAGAGGATGACATGAAATTGGCACCGCCATTGGTCAGGTTCACCGGGTTCACGTTCATGTTGCCGCCTGCCTGGTTGTTCATGTGACCGTGATTGGGGGTGAACGTCATGTACTGATTAGAGTTGAAGTTGTTATAGTCGTCAGGCTCGGATTTGATGAATGGCGATTGCGCCATCTCGTCCTCCTCTAGACCACTATCAAATGTGAATTCAAGGGGTGAGTCGCGCTTGTTGTCGGTTTCTTTCGCTTGGCTGTCAAACGGCGGAACTATGTTGAGACTGTCTCTGGCTTTACGGGCGCAGGTCAGCATGGGGGCCTTCACGTTCGGGCATTGTCGGTGCAAGCTCGAGATACGGACGGCCGCATTGTACAGGAAGCCGTCCATTGTGGCAGAGTACGTATGTCGAGCGCATTGTCGCCGAGTGAAGTGAGGGTTGGGCAGGAACGAAGAAGAGATGTAGGCAAACGAACACTCACAGGATCCAGGCATTCCTTGATTCACCGCTCGCTTGCCAGTAGGTATTCCCGGCGCTTCTCCTCACTGTCCAACCTAGTGACAGTGCGATGGTGTCGTGTCGTGGCTCCTGCGTGGAGTGATAGGATGTGGTGTGTGTCTCTCTCGGCCTTATTTCTTGGCTGCTCGCCGAAGGGCGCAAGGCTGAGGTGTGCTGGCAGAGTTGATAGGACCGGGCGAGAGCGCGTCGCAAGTACAACGGCCTGATGTTGTCCAATGGTCGATCGGCGTTGAAGTGCACCGCAGCAGGCACCTTCGTGCTCTAAAATGACGTGCGATGTATGTTCGAGGAAGGAAGAGGGATGTATGTTCTGAGGACCTGAAGGAGAAGAAGAAGAAGAACGGTCAGCGCTGGGCTCACGCCTCATCAATTGTGGTAGGCTGCAGTCGCATTAATTCCCAGCCGTGGCGGTGCTCAGTGAGGTGCCTAGGCACGCACAGTGCAGTGCGGTATAGCAGGCATTGACGTACTCGTCGCGTCGTCGGGTAGCCTTGCCAGACGGTGTGCTTCGCGCTTGCTGCTTTCTGTCTGGGGCACGCTTGCGCTGGATCTCGTCATCGCCGATCGCAAGCGCGGGCAGTCGTCCAGGACTCGCGAGATCGCAACGACAATCATGCAACCAACTGGTGAGGAAAAGGCAGGGCACTCACCGGCACGAGTCGTTGCAGGCTAGTCGAGGCAACGGGCTGCCTGCAGTGTTGAGAGAGAGCGGAGGAGTCGTGGTTGGTATAGCTCGCGCGTGCAAGCGGATAGGTGCGTTGCGAGCTTTTGGGACGAGCGGGCGGGCGGGCGTGCGTGCGAGCGTTCGAGCGTTCGAGCGTTTGAGCGTTTGGGCGTACGTGTGTGGTCGGCCGTAGTCGAGGCTGGGCTGGGGGTTTCGACGATTTCGGCTTCCTGGAGGCTAATCGGTGTCCGGAGGCGGAAGGAGGTGTGCAGTCGACCCCGATCCCACTACTCCAGGCGCTTCAAGTCGGCTCTCGTGGAGAGAGAGAGAGGTCGGTCGAGCGTGCTGTGGCGGCGCGAGCGAGGCGGTGCGACGTCGAGAAAGTAAAGTGCGCTAAAATGGGGGGTACAGTAGTGGATCTCCGAGGTGGCCGCTGGGTGGGGTGGGCTCTCTCGTGCACGACCAGTCTGTCAGGCCGGTGTATCAAAGACGGGGGGCTCTGTGCGCCAGCAGACGGAACGGCCACAAAGAAGAACGGAAGAATGGGAGACAAGACAAGCGTCGTGGCGGCGGGCGGTGTGGGTTAGCAGTGCGCCGGCCTCGTCTGTCCGCGGTGAGCAAAGGGCGGTGCAGCAACGCAACGACGACGGCGACGAAGGCGGCGACGACGACGACGACGACGATGATGATGATGATGATGCTGTCGTCGCTAGCTAGTCACTAACGTGTAGCTTATATGGGAAATGGAGGGAGCGCGGCTGCAGCGGTGAATATTGGGTTCGCTTATGGTCAGGGTTCGCAGCGCGGGAGGAATCCAGCAGTAGTGGCAGCGTCCAATCGTCGAGAAGTAGCGCAACTCCAGTGTTATATCGATTGTAGGAAATCGATCCGGACAAGTAAGGTAATAAATAGTGCGAGTAAGAGCAGCAGGACGAGGACGAAGACGAAGACGACGACGAGAGGCAGCGGAGCCGCGTCCTCTGTACATATACTTGTACACGAACTAAAAAAGGGCATCGCCCCTCCGGCGCGGCAGAGCAGTGCAGTACCTCCTACAGTGCAGAGCAGAGCAGCGCAGAGCAGTGCAGACCGAACGGCTGCCATCCTGTTCCACATTGTCGAGCCCATGCTGCCCATCATGATCACGGCCAATGAGTCATGCTATAGCCTCCACTACACTACACGACGCGCACGACACTACGCTCCCCTACCTACCACTCGTTCTGCATGTTGCAGATGCTTCGCGGTGGTCAAGGCCCAGGCATTCGGGTTTCGACCTCCCCGTCGCGTCGCCTCTGGTTGACTGCTTGACTGGTTCTTCCTCGACGCCCTCGACCTGGCCGGCTCTGCCTGCCGCCGCCGGTCTGCATTCTTTGTGCTGTACCGCTGGGCCCTGCTCAGACACACTGCGACTTTCCTCCTCCATCAGGCCATTGCACTCGCGTGTTGCGCTCGGTGTGCGTTGCAAGCGGGCTCCAGGCTCCAGGCTCCGTCATCCCAACCGCCACGCCGTCTGAAACACACAACACCTGCGACCTCCAGGACTGGCGGTGGAGGGTTGGAGGCTTGTGCATGCACGTAATTCTTCTGGCCCTGCATCTCAAGCGCGAAGTTTGCTGCCCTGCTAATGCTTGCCCTCAGTGCCCTGCTCTCTCAGCCCTTCCCACTCCGACAGTGGGAGTGGTGCAGTGCGCACGGTACTTTCTCCGTACAGTACCTTAGTCTGGCTGGTGCAGGCTTGGCTGGGTGGTGAAGGCATGTTCTAGTGCAAGACATTAGTGCACTATGCACGGTTGTCGGAGTGACAGATGGTGGACGGAGCAATCCCCCGACCTCCGGCTCTGGTGTCCTTTCTCTCTCTAGGAGGTATCTCTCCGCATCTTCTCTGGCTCTCCCTCCCTCGCTCTCTCGCTCTCTCTCTCTCTCTGCCTCTCCATTTTTGTGTGTGCGTGTGTGTGTGTCTCTGTGTCTGTGTGTGAGAGCGTCTCTCTCTCTCTCCGCGGCGCGCTCGCTTCTCCTGGTCTGCGGATGCAGTCGCCCGTACCGTCGTCCACCGTCGCCACACCAACAAGTTGGCTGCCTCGGAGCTGTGAGGTTGGCTGCCACCATCATTACTATCGCGCCTGTTTTGGCTGTCGCCCGCTGCACGCTTGCCGCGACGCGACGCGACGCGATACACGGCTGAGCTGACAGGCAGCACAATACCTCCTCATTACCTACCTTACCTTACCTTAGGAGGCACCTACCTACCTTACTCACCTTGTTTGCTTCGAGAGTAACTACCACAACACAGTAAAGCACAGCACAGCACAGCACAGCACAGCACAGTACAGTACAGTACAGCACAGTACAGCACAGCACAGCATAGCACAGCACAGTACAGTACAGCACAGTACACCCACTGCGCCAGCTATACACACCTACCTACCAGGTACCTTAGCTACCGAGCTCTCCACCAACATCAAACACGCTACTCTGCACCGCACAAAGACGCGCAGTCGCGCACTACCGATACGACATCCTCGAACATGGCCTCTTCGTCCTTCCGCGATAGCATGAATAGCTTGGGCTGGTCACGCCGCGCAGATGAGCCCGTCAACACCGCGCCGCAGAATCCGATACTGGGCACTCTCTCGAAGCTGAACCCCTTCGCAAGTGCGGGTTATGTCAGGCTGCCTACAACAGAGGGCGAAGGCCCTGGCGCACCGCTTCCGGCGCGGACAAGGAGGGAAGAGGAAGAAGGATGGTTTGCGCGTAAGTCCACAATAACTTGCTGCTGCATGCACACTTCATCTGGGCACGCAGGTCACTCATTCTCGGCTATGCCCATTCTGGATCGTCCGCGCGCTGCATATGATGGCAGGGCCGTGGGGGTGCATGTAGCTAGCATGTCTCTCTTCGATGGAGATATTGCAGTCAGGCTGGAACTCTGCAAGACATTCGCCACTGGCATGTCCGGTCACCGCAACAGCTCGCGCTGTGTGATCAGATGGAGTTCCTGCAGTGTGCTTCCGGCGCACACGCGCCGTTCAGGTTCTCACCTAGCCTGTTCATCCTGGTCATGCACCAGGCTTGTCTAGCCATAGCCAACCGGGTCGTCCAGCCGAAACATTGGCTAATTCGTGCTTCACAGTAAGTCGATGGGACCGTCTTCTACTTTTCGGTGGCTTGAACCTCGCTGCCATCGCCTTGTTTGTCGTTTGCTTCACCCTCATGCCCATCCTCAGCCTGAGACCACGCAAATTCGCAATCCTGTACGTATCAAGTCTCCGTCTCGCCCCCAAAGGATCATTGCAAAAACACTCGCGTTCAGAGCCAGTTTCTGAACATCTCTCTCTCTCTCTCTCTCTCTCCCTCCCTCCCTCTCCTGCCTGCTCTTGCCTGCTCTCAGAAGAGGGTGTGCTGCTGTGGGGCATCGCCCATTCGGCTGAGCATTCACTTGATCACCATTCGCATGGTCGGTGCGTCAAATGAAGTTCCGTCACCACTGCCACGAGGTGGCCTTCGCAGTCTGCTCAAGGCGCAGGCACTTATGCAGTGGGTGTGCCCGCCTGACCACAAGCTTAATAGAGTGTATGGGCACTTTGCTGCAGCTCGAACGCGGACACCTGCAGCCATCCGGAGCAGAGCTGCCAAGTCGCTTGCGGCGATCTCCTGCAATCCTCCCAATACTAGATACGGGTGTCGATGAGCTTGAGCCCGTCGAGAGTCTCGTTTACGCTCGCGAAAATTGATGCTTTGATCTGCGAGAGTCTGCGCTAATAATGTCGGGTCAGTTGGACAATGGCATCAATGCTCTTTCTGGGCTCGTGGGCGATCTTGATGGGCCCGATGGTCTACGGTAAGCAGCCACACCAAGCATGTTGCTCTGTTGCCACAACTTTCGTTGCGTGCGCCTCGTGCAGCTATCAAGCAGCATAGCAGGGCCACCTCTACGTCTCGCACAGCTGCATCTGCCACTGCCGATTGTGTATTGGTATCACGATGGTGGTTTCTTATGGCTGATTTGTACGAACAGTGCGCCATCTGGTGTCGCAAGAGCGACTACCATTTACAGCCACATACTTTGGTAGCATAGCGCTGACGCTGTACTTTGCGGTCGGAGTAAGTCGAGCATTTCTTTGCCAAAATCCGTATTCGGGGAGTTGCGGAACTGTTGCCGCACCACCAGCATCAAGATCAGCCACTGTGACCAGGAAGTTTGACATGACAATGTCTTTGTGATATGGATGCGACGTCAATCGGGAGCTCGAGCAAACTGTCTACGTGAAGCACTAGTTTTCAAAGCCACCACGGCACTCCCACTCCCACTCCCACTCCCACACACACACACACACACACACACACGACCACACACACTACACTTCACCTTCTGATCCGAACCCCGCCCGCCTCCCCTGCCTTCTTCGACGCCACCGTTATTGCCTCGTCAAACTCGCACGCACTCACTCCATCATGATACCCTGCGGCCGCCCCAGCCGCATTCATTCGTCAGCTCGAGCGATGACAAGCCAGCTAGATGAGAAGATGTTTGCTGACCTTGGCTCCCACGCCCGCCCCCCCCTATATGCAGCTGCGCAGCACTATCCTGACGCTACTCACATCGATTGTTCAAATTGTGGCACTGATTTGGTACCTCGTGAGCTACTTTCCCATGGGATCACAAGGTCTGAGATGTGAGTGCGATGGGGCCAAGCTGTCATCCGACATATGAGACATGACACTTACACATTGACAGTGGCTGCCAGGTTCGGAGGGGGCCGTATCAGTGCTGCACTCAACGGATAGACCGGGTGGGCAACGCAATGGGATCGACGAGACTAGCGAGTGATGTGTGTGGGTGGGTGGGTTTCTGTGTGTACATGTGCTTGTGTGTGTCTGAGTGTGGGTGAGTGGGTGTGTGTGTGTCTGACGTACATATCGGAATGGATACATTTCCACTCTCGTGCTCTATGGACACCTCATGGAAACATGAAGTTTGAGGATTGTCCGTTGGTGGATGGGTCTAATGATAGCATCATCATGCAGTGGGTTCATGCCATGATTTGCGCGCACTTTTTTGAGTCCCCTACATACATACCTAGGTACAGTAGGTACAGGTCGAAGCAGGACGATCTACTAAGGTACTAGCAGTAAGTCAGGTAAGGTCAGGTAAGATCAGTTAAGGTAGTGCGACAATCAATATCGGTAAGTTTTTGTGTGGCTACATATATATATACCTCTCTCTTTACAGTGCTTACCTATGTAGGAGATATGATCCATACACGTTTCTTCGGTGGTTGAGATTGTTACCTATATAAAAAAAATCAATCATGCAGTGCAATGCAATGCAATGCATGCATGTATGCATACAATCGCGGTTGCACTGGAGGAGATCGCCTCTGCATGAACAGCTCCCGGATGAAGTACGGGCATATCATCCCTACCTTTACCTGGAATTCATCCCTATCAAGGTACCTCTTTACCTTACCTTACCTTTTGTACTGCATGAACTGCCTACATGTAAGTATAAACTTAGTACCTTACTGTAATATGACCGCGATGATAAGGACTTACAGTTACATACCTCATGTACCAGGTACCTTACCTTACCTATGTAGTCGTAGTAGTAAGGCCTCTGTTCTTGTTTGAGGGTATAGCTACCTACCAGGTACCTGAATAACAACAGTACTAATTAGGTATTGAACTATATACCCGAGGTACCTGATGATGATCGAGGGAGGGTATACCTACAGGTACCAGGTATAGGCGTAGAGGGAAGAAAGGTCAGGTCAGTACATAGGTACTCAGGTCAGTAGGAGAGGTGTGTGTACGTACAGGTTGGGAGGCTGGAGGGGCTTGGGCTAGGCTAGGCTAGGCTGGGCTAGGCTGGGCTGGGCTGGGCTGGGCTGGGCTAAGGTACATTATGTAGTCAGGTAGAAGGAAGGTACAGGTACCTAAGGTAGGTAGGCTTGGCTTGGTGGTGGGTCCATCCATTATTACAACCTCCTACTTGGAACTTTTTGACTATGTAGTATTGTGCCAGTAAGGTACATGTAGTCATGTGTGCCACACCCTTTCTTGTTTTTGCCCAGAGTTTTTCCAACAATCATGCCCTCCTGGATAATAATGTCCATACAGTAGGTACTTGGCCGTATAATAATACGTCGGACCCGAGGAGCGATAGAGTGATGAGGCAAAGCACCAAGTCTGTGTACCTACCAGGTACCTAAGGTAGTTCTGAAGCCACGGCGCTTAGAAGAAAAACCAAAATATAGTACCTCCTACGCAAAAGACGGTTCGGAGACGACCTCTACCGTAGTCATGAGACTCGAAAAAGAGGGAGGGCCTGCTGCACAAGTACTGGTCAGGTAGGAGAAAGGAGTCAGGTAGGTATGTATGGACAAAGAACGATGGTAGGTGGGAATGCGGACGTGGCCGACGAAGATTACATCACTCTGTCGGTGACCATACCGACATCAACATGTACCTGTAGTGGGTTACATGATTGTTGACCATGGTTATAGGACCGAGTGTCTCAGGTCCAATTCATATAACCAATCTTTGAGGCTTGCGACCAATACCGCGTTTCAGCGAATGATTTTTCATTGGAACCTCCATCTTGGAGGTACTGTGCTTTGCTCAAAACCGCGGTACAGCCAGTCGATCACACTGCACTCTTCTACCCCGAGCCTTGGGTCGCCAAAGAGCTGTGTCGCCATGAAGGTTGTCCCTCCAGTATGGCTCATGGAACTGGCCCAACACTTACGTACCGAACTCACTTGGTCATGGGCGAACACGCTGTTTATTCTGCGAACAGTACTCGATTCTCCGAGCTGGCAATGTCATCATCAATCGACTCTCCCTCCAGCTTCTTTCCACTTTTTAATCCTCTTCTTCAGGTCTCCCTCACTTCTCTGCATGTAATTGATTTTGGTGTCCCGAGCCATATTCTCGATATCGTCTCCGTATTTCTGCACCAATTCCTCAATGAACTGCACCTCTCCGTCTGGCTGCCGCCTCTTGTACTTTGCGGCAGGTCTCGCAGCTTGCGCTTCTAAAGCCCGCACAGTGTCCGTCTTGGCTGGCGTGCTCTCTGCTGTGCGACCCGTATTCGCGTGCTGGTTCCGTATCGACACGGCCTCGCCCTCTTCGTCACTATCGAACTCAGCAAGAGGGTCGTTCAGCGGGTTCGCTGGGGCGACCTGCTGCTCGATAACTCTCAATATGGCACCAGTCTCCGGATCGCGCTCAATCTTGGCCTCGGTAAGGTCGAGTTGCTGTTTCTTCCTCTTGCTCGAGGTGGTAATGTTCAGAGGATCGACGTCGTCCAAGCGCTGTGATTCCTCGCTCTGTCTGAGATCCGAAACCTTCTTCTCTGTGCCGCCGGTGAATTTGTTGAGCTTTGCTGCGAGTCCCAGCCGCTTATAGTTTTGCGCAAGCGTGAGCGATTTGTCCCAGTTCGCAGCGATGATCGGGTTCGCAAGCTGGCGCTTCTTGGACTTGGGCTTTTGGCGCACTTTCTGCACACCCGATCGATTTTTTCGTTTCTGCAGTTCACGTCCCATGGCGGCTGGCGGAAAGGATGTGTTTGGAGGAGGAGGAGGAGGAGGAGGAGGAGGAGGAGGAGTAACGCTGTGGGGGAGCGCGCTGTGGAGCGTAGGTTGCGATGGATTCGATCTCGGAGTGCGGTTCGAGGTGGCAATGGAAGATTTTAGTAGGAGAACTACATGTACGAGAACTAGAACTAGAACTAGAATGTAGACAAAGTCTGTGCGCTGCGCCGCTGGGGAGGCCCGATCCGTGACATCCGCATCGATAGTGGTCGCCCACCGCCTCACACACCCCACCTCAACCAGGTACATAAGGTATATATGCGTTGTGTATTTTCCCTGGAAATAGAGAAGAGAAACCCCAGAGAAAACAAAATAATAAAATACGATACAACATGATGGCCCGACGCCATAACAGCTACCGCAACGCCGTGCTGGCCGTCATCGCTTTGCTGGTCTATACCGCATACGCCACAGCACTGGGCCACGGCGACGGCGACGGCGAAGGCAAGAAAGGGGTTGATATGTCGCTACTGAGCACTCAGGAGATTGAAAAGGAGCTGCAAGTAAGTTCAGTCACCCTGTAATCTGTATTTCATTCTAGAACAGTAGAAGGTTACCGGATTTCTACCTAGAGCCGCCCCTGCTGCTTCGTCTGGTCCCTTTTATCAATTAAACCTCACGTCAATATACCCAATTGCCTGATATTGACATTCTTGTCGTTGCAGCAATGCGATGTCCTCCAGCAGTTGTCCGCGCACGCCGCGCTCCACCAACCGCTCTCGGCTTCCTGGCTGTCGAGGGCCTTTGCCCGTCTCTTCCCCTTCGCTTCTCCAGCCCTGAACGCTCTCATGGGCACGCTTTACATCTCTGGTCCTCCCAACTGTTAGTATCCCTTGGTGGTAGTAGTAGTAGTACCTTTATCCGTGTGGCAAGGCTGCGCGAAAGGCAGCACTGCTAACAAGGACCTCGGTGTAGTCTTGCTCGCTCTATGCCCCCCTAACATCGACCCGGCAAGACTCAATGTCATGGTGGCGTTCGCTGTCGGAGGCTTGTTAGGCGACACGCTCTTCCACCTCTTGCCTGAGATTTTTCTTGGCGAAACACCTGAGGGGGAGGTCAGAGCGGTGCTGGTCGAGCCAAACAAGAACCTCCTCTTAGGAGTATCCATCATGGTGGGCTTTGTCACTTTCGTGGCTATGTAAGTCAGTTTGGGCTAGAGTAGTGGCTACAGAGATTCCTCGAGCTTACCCGAATGTTCGAGATATTTGCTTACCCGCGATCTATTACTCTAGGGACAAGGGGCTCCGCATTGCCACTGGTGGTGCTGGCCATACTCACCAGCACAGCGACCACGAACCGAGCAATAATGGACAAGATATAGCCAGTGCCACTGGTATTGCTAAGCCTACTGAACAAGAACTCAAGAAGCGTGGCGCAAAGCCAGACCAATCTGCTGCTGTGCAGCCATCTCCCGAGCCGGAAAAGAAAGAGGTCCAACTCAAACTCTATCTGAATATCATCGCAGATTTCACACATAACATCACTGACGGCTTGGCTATATCATCGTCCTTTTACGCCAGTCCGACTATCGGAGCTACGACAACCTTGGCAGTCTTTTGCCACGAAATACCTCATGAGGTCGGAGACTTCGCGTTACTTATCCAGGGTGGCATGTCCAAGAAATTGGCCATGAGCTTGCAGTTCGTCACGGCTCTCGGAGCAGTGCTGGGAACGCTGATCGGTATCGCTGTGCAAGAGTTGGGAGGCAACGCAGCGAGCGTGAGTCCAGAATTTGGAATGGGCAACACTGGTCTGTGGGGTACCAGTCTTCAATACGGAGACCTGCTCCTGCCTTTTACGTGCGGAACGTTTCTCTACGTGGGCACGGTCTCTGTCATTCCGGAAATGCTGGAAACTGGGCCCAATGTGCGAAAAGAACTCCAGGGTGCGTTGTTGCAGCTCGTGGCCATGGCTGCCGGCGCTGGAATCATGCTGGGAATATCTTGGGACTAGGGTAGAAATTCTCCTCGGAATCTCTAATGGAGAAAGAGTGGCACCCTCAGCATCATCAAGAGATGCTGGAGGCACCAGATACGATACTCTAGCACGAAGGCTACAGACGCGCTCGCTTCGAGCGTTCACGATGTTCCATACTTGTATGCTGGTCCTGCGAGGGGGCATGGTGCCAGACAGGCGACAAATGATCGATCAACAAACAAGCAAGGATTAGGTAGACAAAGAGCAGTCAGGCCATTCGAGGAGACTGACAACAGCGAGTAACGGAAGCTGGCACTCTCAAACCTCGACGACTCTTGCAAAGAGAGCAATCAAGTTTACACTCGGTTCGGAGGAAGTGGCTGTTCATCACTTCAATAGGTACCTTACCTAGGTATACCGCGGCAATGTGCAGACAGTACCTTAGGCCAGAAGGTTCGCGCAGCCTGGAAGGTATAGACGTGGAAATTTATTGCAGCTGCCGACTCACTTTATGACTACCTAGGTACATGTACCTTAGGTACGTGTTTGTCAAGTCCGAGATCGTCGGGTGGTGCGATCGGATCTGCCTGTGTTCCCTCCATTTCATGCCCGGTGATGGCAGCCAGCCTACATGTAGGTACCTAGATACATTATCTGTGCTGCATCAGAGTGACCATATTGCGCAAATTCAACCCACTCTCGATAGGTACACAATACAGGCTGCATAGTGCCTACTACTGTAATCGATAGGTGTGTTATGCCGCTACCAATGATGATGCTAGTTCATGTAATGCCCAGTGGCTAAGTTCCTGCCACCCACTTTCTCCGGGAATGACCCCCCAAAAACAAAACCAACCCCTGAAACCCAGATCCAGTGTTGATACCTACCTTAGGCACCAATATCTATAAGTCTTCGACGTCGGATTCTACTTCCTCGGCATTCTTATGCATTTCCTCCTCCATCTCCTTGTAAGTGAACCAGCTCAATAGGAGAAAGGCGGCAATAATGAGCAATCCGCCCGTAATGGCAGCCGAAGTCAAGGGGCTGTACAGCGGCGGAGGAAGTAACTCATCGCAGAGAGCGACGAGGAATATCGTCAGCAAAGCCGCCACGGAGCTCAGCACGGGCGACGTAAGGGAGATCAAGACCAGGAATGAGCCACTGAAAGTGGCATTCGATAGCACTGAAATGGCCAGCATCCAGGCCGCCTCACCACTCGGGAGCTCGAACGTCTCGATCCCGGTATAGTGTAGAATAGGAAGTGGGATCCAGAGTACGGTCAAGGTGAAGAGTCCAATCATGCTGCCAAACGTGTTGGCAAACAGCATGCCACGAGTCGGCGAGCATCCATTTGGTGGACACGCCACTCGCTTGTACAAGACCTCATAGAAGCCGTAGAGCACACTACCGACCCCAATGACGAGATTCCCCAGAGTGCGACTGCTTGCTGCCGCGCTGTCTGGCGCAGAAGGTCCTCCGGCACCTCCTCCTGACTTGCTACCGTGCTTAGGGTGTGCCTGGTCTCCATACGCAACTACAAGGACACCGATGATCGCCAGCACGACGGATGCAATCTTGTTGCATTGCAATCTGTCGCCTAGCAGTGGAATAGCAAAAGCGTATGCGAAAAATGCGGAGCAGTTATAGATGGCAGTCAGATCAGAGGCTGTTGTCATGTCCACGGCAATGTACCAGCTGGCCCCTGCCACAGTCAGAGCACACGTCACATATGCCGTCGTTCTCGCAAAATACGGCCACGGAGATTTCTTCTGCAGATGAAGAGGAACGTTTAGCGTTCGATGCTCCACCATCTGTGCCGTGGATGTGATGATGGCCACGTGTCTCCTCCAAAATGAGTCCCACGGCTGTGACCACTTGTGCATACGGAGGATGGCAAGCTGGACAAACCACAGCACTGACCAGGACCCATGCGTGAAATAGAGCATGCAATACGCCTTGTTCCAATGCAGGTCATGTTGGATATAGACTGCGGTCTCCGTCTGAACTGCGAAGCTGACCAGACTCAGGAGCAGGAATGCCGCAGCATACGTATACCTTCGTCTGGTGTCATCTACAGCTTCGACAACCTCCGGATCCCTCTCCCGGAAATGCGATGACCGGCGAGCTGCCAGACCGGCAGGTCGTGTCGGGCTGTCATGGCTCGTCCGCTTGTCTCCTGCCAGCAGCGGTTGGTGCTGGTAGCTCTTGGGCCGTGAACGCTCTGGCCGCAAGTCCGAGGGCATATCGCAGTCCTCCTCTCGCGGCCGCTCCGCTTCGTCCCACGCGATCGCGTCGGGTCCGCCTCCTCGTGGCCGTCGTGGCCCGCTGTAGACGACGGCGTGTGGGTAGGTGGGCGGGTGTGAGAGAGCAGGAGGGAGAGAGGGCGTCGGTGGGTGGAGGAAAACGGTGTTGCTGAAGGGAACAGCAACGAGTAGGGCGTGAGCAGAGTGGTTGGTGGTGGTGGTGGTGGTGGTGGTGGTGGAAATAATAATAATATGTCGACGGGGCTGAGGAGTAGCGATCGCAGGGCCCAGGCTGGCTGCATGGCATATCCGTGTACTAGACTACTGACTACTGCACATGTCAAACCTGCGGCCAAAGCCGAGTCGGGTGATCACATAAGGACAGGGGCAGGGGTGTGTATAGAGCTAAAGAGCTGTAGATGCGTATAAGGAGGTATGTGTGGGGTAGAGTCACTACTGTATACTATTACAACAGGCGGGTCGATACCTACATGTACCGGAGCTAATTATGCCTTCGCTTCCTTATCTCCGTCTTGCTCCCATACCCATACCCATACCTCTACCAACACCTCCACCTCCTCCACCTCCACCTCTACCTCCACCTCTACCTCTGCCAACACCCATATACAGGTACCTGCTCATACTCATCCCCATTACCACACCCGAGCCTCCTCCTCTCGTTCCTCCACTGTCGACACCACAGAACCATATCGTGCCCCAGCAGCATCTCATATCCCCCCCACCAAAGACTGCCACAATGCCCCTCATCAATGGAGGAACCGGCAAGCCAAGAGTCATTCTCGGCACCATGACCTTCGGGTTTGTATCCAAGACGCACCACTCGGACCGCCAAGCCCACCGCCACTGACATCTGCTAGACCTGACGAGTCCACTGGTGCTCGAATCACCTCTCTTGACGACTACAAGTCTTGTTTGGATCACTTTCAGTCGCGCGGCTACAATGAAATCGACACTGCACGAGTCTATGTGGGCGGCAAGCAAGAAGCGTGGACTCGCGAGGCAGGGTGGAAGGATAGAGGTCTGATGCTGGCCACGAAGTGGTATCCGCACACGCCGTACGTGGAGCCTGGCTCTGTTGATCAAGACAATTGCTCACCGTCCCGTCGTGACATTTAGTGAAGCGCACAAGGCGGAGAAGATCGAGGAAATGCTCAACAAGTCTCTGGCCGAGCTGGGCACAGACACCGTGGACATATTCTATCTTCATGCAGCAGACCGAAGCATCCCCTTTACAGAGCCTCTGAAGAAGTTGAACGAGCTGCACAAGCAGGGCAAATTCGTCAACTTGGGCTTAAGCAATTTCACAGCTGCCGAGGTTGCTGAAGTGCAGATGCATTGTCACTGTAAGCACGTCCTGACGTCGCACTCATCGTTCAGTTCGGAAAGACGACCACATTATTCGACCGTCGCTGACTACCTCCCGTTGCGCTAGACAACAATTGGGTGAGGCCTACTATATATCAAGGAATGTATAACGCCATTCAGCGGAACATTGAGCCAGAGCTTATCACAACGCTCAAGCGATATGGCATGGATCTGGTCATCTACAACCCTATCGCCGGAGGATTGTTCTCGGGCAAGATCAAGACAACCGATATCCCCGCTGAAGGCCGTTTCAGCGATACATCTTCAGCCATGGGCACGAACTACCGGTAGGTCCTGGCTGCAGCGGTCTCCCTCCACAAGTACATACTGTGGCCACTAATGCCACATCTGCCACAGCAAGAGATACTTCCGCGACAACACCTTCGAGGCGCTGAGACTGATTGAGCCTGTTGTGCAGAAGCACAACTTGACGATGCTCGAGGTGGCCTTCAGATGGCTTGTCCATCACTCTAAACTGAACATCAAGGATGGAGGCAATGACGGTATCATCATTGGCGTATCGAGCCAGGCGCAGCTCGAATCAAACCTCACCGACATCGAAAAGGGGCCATTGCCGGAGGAAGTGCTCAAGGTGCTCGAGGAAGCCTGGTAATTCCGCCTGCTTGAATGAACACCCACGTCTGTACTAACATGTGTGTGTGAACTTCTCGTAGGCTCATTACCAAGCCGACCGCTGTCCCTTACTGGTTAGTCACTTTCCTCGCCCAGAGTGAAGTATGACGCTGACGAAATTTGAAAAGGCACGGTGAACTCAAGTACACTTACGACACCGTTGATGCTCTCTTTGGCAAGCATCAGTGAAGGCATCTCGACCTTCACCCGTTTACCACCACAGGTGCTCGAAGCTGAAAGTTCTGGCGACGCCAACACGGCTGGTCACATGGTTCAAAATACATATCACATGTCGAATATTTCAAAACAAGCTCCCACGCGAGCACTGCCACCTCTCACCTCTCGAAGAATGCAGTGATCATTTTAGAAACAGGGTTCACTGTCGATTCCAGTCATGCGAAGACTATGGTGGTCTGTTCCAACACCTGCTACATCCCACATGCAAAGAAGCCCCGTGTAACCACCAGGAATATTACCTTTGTCACCCTCGAAGTGTATCCTCTCTTGTTGGCCCTCTTCCCTCCCAATATTCTGCACTGTGGCGTCCGTCCCTGTAACAACCACGCATTTGCAACTCTTGCTGCTCGTATGGCTCATCACTTCCGAACCACACACAATCCTGCTCCACCAGGTGGAATGCCACGTCCGACCCCTCCAGCACAGTCGTATCACTATGCGCAACCACATTCATACGCGCCATCTGGCACAAGCAGCAGGAAAGTCCGCTTCGAAGACGATCACCGTCCTTCAGCTTTACAACTCAAGATCTCACTAGGTCCGAAAGATCGACCCACGTGTGAAGTAAAGATCAGCGTGCATTTTGAGGAAGGGAGGCTGCCCAGGATCAAAGTGAAGACCAAGAGACCAAGAGAGCATACTCATAGGAAGAGGAGGAGATCGTATGTGGATGAACAAGACGGGGAAAGGCGGTGGTGATGCGATGGCACCGGCGGTCAGGATTGCGAAGAACCGGTCCTGAGAACGTGGCCCACTGATCGATCCTCCATGAGGGTCGTGCTCCATTCGATGCCAAGAGTTAGACTGAGGCCAACTTGCAATCCCCTCATTAACATATGGGTTGCGTTCGCCACAATCAGCGACCCGTCACACCATCTGTCCTTGCATCAGCGCCGCCATCGACAGGATCTTCCTGCTGAGCCCCAGTCAGATAGTCTGCGCGTTCGGCTTCCTCGTACTCGTTGATCAGATCCATGACCACCTCCCTAGACGTATCGAATTCACCTAGGCCGTCCCGAAAGGTGCCATGCTTTTTGTACGTGTCCACGAAAGCATTACGCTTGCGTAGCCGATCGTACTGGAATACTATTCGCTTGAACAATGTGGCTATGCCAGTGTGGTTGGCCAACATCAGACCTGACACCCGAGGCGGCGTGCGCGTTGTGTACGGAGGTTGTGTGTAAGGAGATGTGCGAGATAGTGCGACCTGTATGCTGGCGGGGCCCCACGGGATGAAGGATGCAAGGTTTCTTTCTCGGATGCGAAGCAATGATTTATGCACCTGTTAGGCGTTAGTGAGGTCTGATGATGCATGGAGTTCCCGACTTACATCTGTGGGGTCAGCGTCACCCATGATTATGTTCAATATGGAGATATAGCAGCTGTTCTTGCTAGGCTTCGCCGTTACCATTTGGTTCTTGGGTTGTAATAGTCTCCGCATCACGTCCAGTACTGTGGTCTTGCGGACGGTCCTCGCCGACTCGACATTGTTACCCGTAAAGGGCGTGTAGCTGGTTTGCAAGAAGTGACATCTTGGGGTGGGTATCAGACTGGCCACGATGCCGACCAAGTCGTTGTGCATGTATCCAGGATATCGAAGAGTCGCGGTCGATGCAGACATGACGGTACTAACCAGCTGATTTGTCTGCTCGAAAGATGGCTCCTGCACGTGTAGCGTATCGGCAGCTATTCTAGAAAGCGCGCCGTTGTCCAGCACTACGACAGCGTCGGCATTCTGCGTCAGCCGCCGCATGGCCAGCAGCGAGTTGTACGGCTGTACAACCACATCTCCCGCATTCTGTGTATCTGGGAAGACTGAGTAGGTCTGAATGAGCTTTTTCGGAAAGCGATCATTCAGTTGTTCTAGCAGGAAGGAGCCTAGTCCAGATCCCGTTCCGCCAGCGATGGAGTGCAGTAACATGAAACCCTGCACACCCGTCAGCTGCTATGCCAGGACTCATGGGACCCTACGCGCATACCTCCAGGCTGTCACTGCCATCGGCCTCGCGGTCGATCATGTCCAGGACCTCATCTTGCACCTGGCTGCCCATATCGTATCCTGCGGCCCAATTGTTTCCCGCTCCGGTGCCTTCCTTGTGCACGTAGAAGTTCTCTGGGTTGTAGATGTTCTTGTATGGGCCGGTCTGGATGCCGTTGATCACTCTCGGCTCCAAGTCGAGGAGAATGGCTCGGGGGATGTAGCGCGTGTCGTCGGACTGGTAAAAGAAGACATCCTTGCGGTCGCCTCCCTCTGTCGCAAAGTCCTCGAGGTTGCCGTCCTGGTTGATGCCGTGCTCCAAGCAGAGCTGGCGCCAGAACTGCGAGCCGACTGTGAGCCGCAAAGGTTCAGTCAGCCTCTGCTATAGCTACCGCGTTCGGCGGGATGGGTTGCGATGTTGGACTGACCGCTGTTGCCGCACTGGCCTGCCTGGATCGTGATGATCTCACTGCAGAGCACGCACGCATCAGATCATCGACACGGGGCGGAGGAGGGACGCGCAAAGGGCGTTCAGGTGCACATACCGTGGCATCGTGGAAAGGCGAAAGGCGGCCGTCACGCGGAAGCGGATGTTGTTGACTTTGGGGGGACGCGTTTTGGACGACGTGATTTGACGAGGTCCAGGTGGGGTCGATACATCTGCCGCCAAGACCGACTCTGCCTCTGCCCAGTTGCCGACAGACACCTTCAGCTTCTTTTTTGGGTACGCCGTGCCCTTTGGTACCTTTCTGTGTCGATACATTCTGCACTTGCCGTGCCGACTAGGTGGTACACAATAGCACTGCTCGAATTATTCACCAAGCTCCACACCATGCCATGACATGCCATGCCATGCCATGCCATGCCATGCCATGCCATGCCATGCCATTCTTTGCCATTTTCTTTGAGCCCACGGTCCTTGTGCCCGGGAGTCAGCAGGCTGCCTGGCCGTCAGTCAAGTATTTATTGATCAACAACACTCGTCTCATCATGTTATTCCCCAAACAACTTCCCGTCTCCCAGAGCTCTGAGCGACCACGTTAGACGAAGTCCGTGGCGTGGCTCCAGGTGTTCCAAATATCGTAAAATCGACAGCAGTGTACTGTATGTACCTAGGTAGGTAGCGCTTCCCACGGCCGCCGGAACAAAATACCAGTATCTCCACTAGTGCAGTTGGTTCCGCGGCCTGGCGCATGGATTGCAATGCGATCGATCTACGAACTCCCCCACGGCTGCGGCTCTCGCATGCTCTAGAAATCTAAATCCATCGCGATTGATATAAGCTTACCTGATACCTAAAGCGTGGTGTCCACTGGATGTCGAAAAAAAGGAAGCTGATGTCCACAGATCTCTGATGAACGGATATCGTTCGTACCTCCTACCTCCTTCTGGTATACCCAGATCTGAGGCTATTGTCCAGTAACGAGCGGCTGAGAACTTGAGAAAGTCGAGCCAGACCGCAGATCTGGTTCGACACCACCCACCTCCGAGACTGTTTAATTTTTGGGCACATGGGCTGGTGTTCATCGTGGTCGTGCCATGGTGGTGTCTACAGCCACTTTCTGCAGAGGAAAAAGGAAAGAGGCAGTATAGTGAGACCTGCGGCAGTGCGGCCATCTTCTGGAGCCGCTGTGGATGCAAAGGACCCTAGTGCCGCTCACGTTCACGGCGTCGTGTCCGTTTCGTCCGATCTGGCCAATCAACAACCGTACAGAGCATCGCGATGAGGCTGCGCGCCCATCGACGATATGGCGCAACGCATGTAAGCTTCTTGGGTTGGTCTCGTATCTCCCGTTAAGCCAGCCCAAGCGATCATTTGTTTGGCGGCGAATCTGCGCAAAATCAGTCGAGCTCGCCCTGGCTGATGCACCAGACGTCTGCTGGCTCCACTGAGTTCTCTGCGATGAGTGATCTGATCTCCGATGCCCTGGCACCCCTTCTCTTCATATACTGGACTGCAACCATGTCTGGGGGATGGAATTGCAGTCGTAGTGTCACTTCGCTCCCACTTCGCTCCCACTTCCCTCTAGATTGACACCCACTGGTGCATGAGATGTATAATACCCTGGACGACAACTTCAACTTCATGCACTTGGGAACCTCAACGCAGGCATCAACACCACTCTCTGCGAACGATATTCCATCCAAACCAGACCACCCGCTACCGTGCGATTTGTACATTTCGGGTCAGGTTCTTACAAGAATGGCAAGCAATTTAATGTCAATGCAGACCTCTGCTGCACATGGCCACACGCCCACCAATCGTCCCGGTCCTATGCCCATGCAGCAAAACGTTCTCTGGACAAATGGCGACAGCTCCAGCGATTCCAGTGACAGTGGACAGTCTCCAATAGAAATCCCACCACGGTGTTCGAGGTGCCAGCGTACTCCCAGCATAGACATTCAGACCGGCAAAAGCAACATGGTGTCATATGGACGTAAGTAAAGTAACTATCGAAGGCTCTTCATGCACATTTGTTGACGGTTTCCCAATTCAGTGAACAACTGGTACTGCAGTCGGTGTGCTGCCCTCGTCGGCTTCAAGCGCTGAGTACTAGATTACGAAAGACGTCCCCAAATGGACGCCTTCCACAAAATCGCCATCCAGGCGCATCGCGAATCAGGCTCACGGGCTTCGGAAAAGAAGATGATCCTCTCACGGGCCGTTGCAATGTCTGTCTTCCACATTGTGTCGACACAGCATTCCCAATACATGCCCATGCGCTATTCGGATCAGTCACGAGCATGTATGTCTCGAAACTGCCTGGATCATGAAAGCTGCAGGACAGCGCACATGAAGAGGTTGACCTGACGAGACACAGATGAGGTACGAGTGAAACATTTGTGCGACCGCGAATTGATTTGACGAGAAAATGTTTCGAGATACCCCTGTTCTTTCAATGTAACATAGCCACAACTGTATAAGGTACCTATATATATTCCACCACCAGTGTACCCAAGACGTGCGTGCCCATGCACAAAGTCAATATTGTTTCGCTTCACAATTGACACTGCCCATTGATAATTTGTAAAATTGGCGATGGCAATCATGGTATGTAGTCTCGACTTGATGATTCAGGTATTGACAGCTACAACCATGCGTACCTGAGGTACATACACCTCCCACAGCCGTTCGATAGTCCATCCGCACCCCCCTGTCCAGCGTATAGGAGGACGTGTTTTTTGATTCCCACCGGGGTCAAAATCGCGAAACACCTTTATTTCGCCGCTTGCAAAGTGCAATAACTCCACTTTCTTGATCCTCGCCAGGTATTCTGCACCTAAAACGCGGGAACTTATACCTCTTGGGTAATTTTCAAGGTGCGGATAGACTATCGAACGGCGGTGGAAGTTGTGTGTACCAGGTATTATTTTGTGATTGATTATTGGCAATTTGGCATGTCGGGGATTTCTTGAGGGAAACCCACAGACCTACGAACTGAACCCTTGATCCTAGTGGAACGTGCCCCGCTGATCCAAGGATGAAGTTGACATGTCGCCATCCCGGTCGACTTTTCCATCCACACCATTATTACCTGTATCACGGATACCTACCTACCTTACCAGGCTTACCTTAGGTCCCGTACCTATTAGCCGTTGCGGCGGCTCTTTTCACATCACCGCCACTCTCTCCCTCAGGCCACCACAATGCGTGGAGGAAATGTAGCAGGTCTAGTCATTGCGACAGTGTGCGGCGTGGCCACCGGTATGTTCCTGTCTTCTCTGTTGCCGATGACCCTACCTAGCTAAGGTACTAATTCGTATGCGATGCACAGCATACACGACACTGCAACCAGCCCTCGAGGAAGAAGCGGAGAAAAAGGCCGGAACTTTCAACTCACGGCAAGAGAAGGACAGGACTGCCAAAGACACGCAGCTGAGCAGGGCGATCATCAGCGACCTGAAGGAAGCAAAAAGAGAGGTCATTGGCGAGGACAAAGGCAATGGCGGGTTCGCCTGGGGCATCAGAAGGTGGCTCGCTGGAGAGGACAAGCGTAATGAAAAGTGAACAGAGAGAGCTGAGATAGAGGCCATCGCAAACACACGGCGAGATGTCTGGCTCGCGCCGCCCATCTTCCCAGCCAACATTGCGAGGCACCGGAATCTCTGTTCGCAGGCACGGCCCGCATGGAAGAACATTGGGTGTCAATTCGACAGTGTGCTCGTGCCCGTGCCATTCGACTTGCTGGTTCCATACCACATCGCCGACACCCTCTAATCACGCAAAATCCTCCTCTTGGCTCTGGATATTGTCCTTGACCTTTAAGAGGAGAGTGGTCTTCCATTTGTCCAGCTTCGACATCTGATCGTACTGAAATAGCTTATCCGCGAACTTCTCTTGGTCACCCTCTTCCACCGCCTCGGCAAGATCGACCAATAGTTGGTGTTCTCGTGTTTGCGTGAAGCCAGGATCGAGGTCGCGGTATGATTCAAGGGCGCGGTTTGTAGCCACGGTATCGTTATTTGCAAGGTGGCATATACCGGCTTTGAGGAAGTATTCCTTAACGGACCACTTCATGAGATTATTATTGATGGCGGATTTGGAGATTCGTTCGTAGTGTGAAATGGCCTTCAGGTAGTCGCCGTTGAGAGCCGCAATGTCCGCGAGCTTGAGGTAAAGTTTGTTGGCAAGTCTATAGCACACGAAGCGTCAGGCGTCAGCAAGTCATACCATAGCGCACCCAACTTACTGCTCCGCGCCATCCGTTTCAAACCATCCTGCTGCCATCTCGTACGCTTCCTGCGCTCGTATTTGGTCTCCGAGATCGATTTCGTATAATTCTGCGAGGTTCTGCTTATGCGTGGCTGCTCTTCGGAAGTTGCCCTTGGTTGTGTAGTGCTGAATCGCCTGCTCGAGAACTCGTGCGGCGTCTTCTGGTTCGTCTTTCTTGTACGACTTGTACGCCTCGGTCAACGTATTGGCAGCATCGTCGGGCTCGTTCAGCTTCTGTTGTTGGATCTGCGCAGCTTTCTCAAACGCCTGCCCCGCAGCCTTGCCGTCTTTCTGCATGCGGAATGCATTCGCAGCCTGTGTGTATAGCTCGGCGGCCTCTTCCAGTTTCTGCGTCTTTCCGCCGAAGAACGAGAATCCACCCGATGCAGCCTGAGCCTGCTTCTCTGCCTTTTGCGTCCTGCTTAGCATGTGCGGGCTGGCGCCTGTACTGGTTGCGGGGCTTACCTTTTGCAGTAGCACGCGCGGATCCTGGGCCATGATGGAGGCGGTTAGATACCGGGACAATCTGAGGTTTGCGGTGGGTAGCGCGCGCCACTAGCGGAGTTGAAGATAGGTGGTGGAGGCGAGAAGGTGGTGGTGGTAAATGTATAGCTGGAGTAGTGGAATTGCTACTATATGTAGGTAGTACACAGGCACCTGGGTCCTGGGGGTGTTTCGTAGCGAACTTGACCCGCGTGACGTACGAACGGCCCAAGCTCGAATGGAGGCAAGGCGCGTCAACCTAACTCACAACCCGACGCGGCTCCGTTCGACAACGTGAATACCTTCATACCTACCGTACCTACACACACTCCCACGCCCGAGCCATATGCTGCATTACTGGCACTCAGCGCACTACCGAGCCACAGCTAGATATGCCCGATATACCAGATGAAGCGGTGGCAGCATCGTGGCGAGGTCGAGGACTCCGAAGACGATGAAGACCTCGCCGCTCTGAGCACCAGTCCAAGTCCAGAACGGCCACACAAACGCGCCAGAGCCGACAAGAGCATCGAGCACACTGTGAATAATGGCCACGAGGTGGAGGCACGCCCGAGACCCATGTTGGCCGAAGAGGATGAGGATGAGATTGCCTGGCGTCCAGCGCCGGTGGCGGCTACTTATGGGAGGAAGGGAAAGCTGACACGACCCACGAAAAAGCCACGGCCATCAGAAGTGGAGGCATTCGCAGGAAGGCGTCTTCGAAGCTCGTTGCCAGCCAGCATCCATGCCGCCGAAGAACGCGCTGTGCTGGCCAAAATCGCTTCGATATCAAACCCTCCTGCGCGTGCCGAGGCCGCAACCACAACACGCGAACATGACACTGCGCTACATGCCGCAAGGGCAAGCAGCGCTGGTGCTCCAGATATGCCGAGCCCCTTCGTTACTAGGCCCGAGGCTGCAGTGGATCCATCTACATTGGACACGGCATCAAGTTCTTCGAAAACGCCCCTCGATCTACCACCCTCGACACCTTCGCTACATGAAATTGCCATCAACACGAGCCTAACCTCCACTCTTGTTAGTGATGATGAGAATTGTTCAAAGGTACGGGACGAGTTCGCCGCTGTGAGTCGAAGAGCTTCCTCTACTGCATCTTCCTCGCTACTCAGTGAACGTGACGTCTCGCCGCCTGCGTACTTCGAGACGCGAGACTCCGCAGCACTCACGCGCAGACCCACTGCAGACACAGAGCAGCTGAATGATGACTCCGTGATCCGCGAGAAGGTGATGGTCCTGGGTCCATCTACAAGTCACCGAAGTCTACGCGCCCGCAAGGAGATTCAGTTGCATCCGTACCTGATCGATAAAGCGAAATACCAGAAACAATGCAAGGAGCGTGGAATCAAGCCAGTACGTCTGGTAGATGTGGAACCACCAGATCTGGAGAGTCAGGAGAACCGCGACAGCAGTCAGCAGTTGGTAGCAGAGCCACGTACTTGCAGTTCAAGCGCCCCGGGCGACCTCTTGGATGGCCGTCCACAGGCGTATGTCAGGCTAGCTCTCACAGGGACAGACTTATCTGATACTCATGATCACTTTGGCCTCGAGCGGTCGGCGAAGCGAAGGAGAGTCGGCGAAGGCAGTCATTGTGGAGCGGGACAGGATCTTGGGGACGTACTTAGCTCGGACGCTGAGACGATATATGATGAGACTTCATTGCCTATTTCCCCCCCGCCAACGCTGAGCGGGCCCAGCACTCCCAGTCTACTCAAGCACCCAGGTGTTCTGACAACTTCTGGATTCCGAAGGCCCCGTGGCCTCAGCCCTGTTCCGCTTCCTGGCCCTCGTGCCTCGTCTGTTGTGAAGCAAAGATTGCCGAAAGCAAGCCCCTCGTCAGAAGACGTCGAAAACCCTGGAAGACAGCTCGCGCGCCCGCACAGAGATAGCAGTACACTCCGCGACGCGCGAAGTGCATCTCCAGATCCAATGACCGAATCAGATAGCGAGCCTGTGTCACTTCGACTGCAACGCGAACAGAAGCGTATCAGAGGCGTGTTGCCGGCCTCCTGGCTGAAAATCGACTTCCGTGCACAAAACCCGCCAAAGTCTCCTGGCCAAGCGGCTAGACGTCGGCTGAGCGACGTCCCTTCAAAAAGATGTACTTCGCAGCGAGGAGTTGCGAAGAGAGTGGCAAGAAATCGGAAGAGCAGTGTTGGTGCTCATGACACGGCTCCGATGTCTGAGGATGATGCCGAGTCGGACGTTTCAGTGCGACATTCGCGAACTTGGTCACCACCGTTGTGTTTGAGCCCTGCTGCCAATCGCCTCGCCCTTGCCCCTAGCGAGACCGTCGATGATGATAGTATGGAGCATGACTCTGTGGACGCAATGCTGGCTGGTCGTCGTTTTCGGCCGAGATCGAGCAAGCCTAGCATGCGTCAGCCACGCATTACTGACAAGCTTCTCAAAACTACGAGCCAGATTGACTCTGCCCTGAGTGACCGAAAGGTCCGTCAGCAAAGTGGCCGAGACCCGAGAAGATCTCAGGAGCGGCAGGCGAGGCGTGCGAGGGGTCCGCGTCGCACTGTCCCCAGGATGAGTATAGTTGATGCCAACAATTCACCGTCGATATCCACTGCGGCTGTGCCCCCCTTTGTTCGCCTTGCATTGCGACAAGCCCGCCATCTGCCGGATGAGGGACGGCATTCACCGTCTCGAAAGTTCATTCGTCTCCATACCGCTGATGAGACTCGCGAAGCGACATCAACTCTGAATTCGTGGCGTGCTGGCACTCTAGCGGTCCAGCGAAAGCAGAGAGAACCGCGACGCTCGACCCAATTTCAACCTCATGAAGCAGTACCTGCTTTTGGATCTGTTACCGACGACAGAGCCACTTCTGACTCCAATCTTCACCAAGGCTTGGAAGATGCCACGAAGACGCCGGCCAGCAGGGGGGAAGCTTTGAATGTCGTCAGAAGACCCCGGCTTCGCCAGCCACAGTTTGAGCAAAAGCGCGTACTCAACTATGCTAGCATCCGACGAGCAGGACGCCATCACGAAACCTCAGAATCAGGCGGCCCACGTGTCGCACAGGTCGAGTCTCTGCAGCGAGAATTTGATGAGGGTCGCAGGGCACTTGTGTTCAAGCATCGGATGCAGTGCCTGACCGAGAGTGTCACGGAACGCGGTCGTCATGCTCAGCCGTCTGATTTCCAGCTCGCAAGATACTTCCATCGAGGACGTTCGGAAGCTGGGGACGACCATGTGACCCCAATTCGATCCGAGGCCGCTTCCGGCGCGTCTGCAGCAAGGGCGATACTCTCGGGAAACGGACAGGTCTTGCCACACAGGCCGCGAAAGCGACGAGCTAACAGACTTGATCTTGCATCACTTCAGCACTGGCAGGAAAACGAGATCAGTTTGGGACCTTCCGATGATGATGTTGACATCCAACCATTGACCGACATATCAAAACCTGTACTGCTAGGATTGGGCGCTTTCGGTGGGCACTATGCTGTTGATTTCGACGTGAAGCCATTGCCACCAGGAAACTACTTTCGTCCAGACGGCTTCATTGGCAGCGGTGACTTTCATGATGCTATCAATATAGCATCTCACGGCCTTTATGCTCCGCGTGGCCAGATGAACGTGCACATTGGTAGCGATATGACAGCATGGGCAGCCTGGAACGAAGATGTGGCTGCTGACTTTCGTCGTATCCCTGTATTCATCGCAAGTGTCTTGCAAGATCTACAGAAGCACAGAGCTTCGGATCAGGACAGCTGCTTCGCTGCGTCCAGTCGGCAGAATATCGAGTACCTTCTGCGCTCCACGGTCCGCTACTGTTCCAACTGCCTATTTTTCGTGGACCCAGTCGATCGCCAAGCATGCGTCGATGGCCTAGCACGGTTTATTATGGACTTGGAAGAAGTGGTCAACGAAAGGAGTGCAGCTGGTAAGATGGATGCGAGCATGTCATCATCAATACTGCAGTTCCAGCTCGTTCTAGCTTACCAGGCAATTCAACTCAGCAACCACCGGATTGTATCTACGGGAAGTACGCAGGAGCTTGAACATACGCTACTGAGGTTGGCAAATAGCCTTCGCCAATTCGCCCTCACGGGCTCACTTCAGACACTACGCGACTGGTATAGAGATGTGCAATCGAGCTGTTTGCAAGGAACCGCTGCAGATTGCTCGGCCGCAGCCACACTCGTGATATTAAATCACATTGGACGAGGCTATAGACCCCTCAAGACCTTGTTGACCACTGCAAATGCGAGTTTGAACACCGACATAACCGTCATGTGCAACGTCGACGAGATGGATAGGGTATGGCAATATGTGTTCTCGATCCTTCCAGCACTGCGAATAGATGCGAGAGGATGCGTCGAAGATGATGCTCGCTCTTCTCGAGTCGGGCTTGAAGAGGATTGGACCATGGTTAGGGCCTTGATGAATCGCACATTCGAGCTGTACGAGAATACTAGCCGTGTCCGTGGCTTCACAGTCAACGCATACCTGCGCACGTTGCTGCATCGTTGCTACAGGCTGATAAGCATATGGCACTGGACAAGGTGCGATCCACTACTTTACACTGTATACGACTTTTTCTCGAAGCAAAGCCGAATGCTCTTGAACAATGAAGAGACCCATGGCTCATTCACTGTATTGGAAGATCTCAGCACTCGGCCGCTCCTGGATGTTCTTCCCTGCGACTTGTCATTTCACATTTTCCTGAAGATGCTCGCCACGGCGCTGACAGCGATGCGCGAATCGGGAGTTTACCCCGATCGCAAGATTGGCGCCAGCATCGCATATCGCATGATACCAACCCATGGGCGCACGTATCCGAAGGAGAAGGATATGCAGCAGGACGATGTGGATGCTCTTCGTAATCACCATGATCTGCTCTGCACACTGTATTATGCATCGCCACCCGGCTACCGGCCAGGAGTCGTCATACTCCGGAATCTTGTTGACCATGCCAACTGGCATCGAAAAGCATGTCAAATCAATGTCAAGGCGTGGACAATGCTCACCATCTTTCAGTCTTCCACCTATGAGCCGGTCAGTGAGCTGCAGCCACTTGCGGCATGGTTTTGCGACATGCTCCGGTCGACTACCACCCAATACCGTCTCGCAAGGTCAGAAGCAGAGCACGACTTTCACCGTGCCAGAGGCGTCGGTGCGGACATCACAGAAAGCTTCCTGCATGCGACAATTGCCAACAATCAAGTACAGATTGCATCAACGCTTGTTGATGCTCTGGCGGGCCTCAAGAGAGCCTTTGCGGTGGCGACCAGTATTGCTGGACTGCAAGCCCTGGTGCAGCCCACCGGCTTCTGGAGTGTACTCGAGCTTTTCGACCCTTCGCAGCGCCGCCTCCTTGGTGCAACCAGTGAAGCCTTGTACGCCGTCCAAGCTGCACTGGAGGCAGAAGGTCGCCTTCGCAGACACGCGGAAAGTCAGATCAGCAGTACTGATAGCCAGGAGTTCGGTGACTTTAGCGCACTCGAAGAGCTCGATGCGCCAGACGATGGTTACAGACGGCCAACTCCGACGATTGCAAATACCCTCCTAGCACCGATGAGCTCATTTCTATCTAACATTCTCGGAGCAGACTCTATGCCGGATGATTCCCTCCTTGAGAGCAGTGTCAGTATATGGGTACGCCTGGCACGGGACCTGGTCGACGATCAACAAAGAACCTGGCTAAGCTATGTCGACGACTACTCGCCGAACAGCTGGATGCAGATGCGTGATACTAGGCAAAAGCGAATGTTCACGCCATTCTATATGTCTCGCGTTGTGGAGCAGCCAAATATCAACGAACAAGTACGGCAAAGAATCCTATCCAGCTGGCTCATGTCGTTGGTCGAGCGAGAGGCCATGCTGAGATTTCAGCACGTCCTGACCAGCGCGCTCCTGCATCATCTCGAAGAGGAGCCGTTGCTGGAAAACCTGCCATTCGCCAAGGATGTGAAGTCTGGACGATACATAATCTCGCTCCATGAATTTCGGCAGCGTAGGCTCTCATTGATTTCATCGGTACTCAGCAACATGCGTCAGAACCTGGCACATCTGAGGCATTCGGCCCCCTCCCAATTCGCCGAGATCAAAAACGCATATGCAGAAATCCTCCGCCAGCTCATGCAAACCATGAAGAGTAATTATCAGGAGCTGCAATCATATCAGAGCATTGATGTCGCGGACAAGAATGTTCAAGGTGCGTACGTCGAATTCGTGCAGCACGTTGTTTCCTACCTACAGCAGCATACAGCCGACTTCTGCCAGGTCGATAAATTCTTCACAGACTCTAGTGCGTTTCCACTGCCGGCGACAGACCCTACATACGTTGTCGGCAAGCTCAAGGGCTGCGCTCTCAAACTTACTGAATCGGGACCACGAACGGAATTGGCCGTCTTCATCCAAACGGTCAGCGAACGTGCTGCAGTCGACGGGCAACAGCAATACCTCGCCAATCAACTGGTTACAGCCATGTGCGGAGACCCTGAAATGGGGAGTAGCGGAGCACCGATACTTCGCCTTGTGTTATTGACGACAATTATACCAGCATATATCAACAGTGCATTAGGCTCAGCATGTGGGTGGATCATAGCACTTCCGCTGCTCCACGCTTGTGAAGTGGTTGCCAAGGAGATCTTGTACGATGTCCAAGTCCAAGATGCGGCTACTGCGGCGGCAACAGCGGGAACGTTGACCACTGTCTTGAGAAGCATCAGCGGCCAGTGCGACAAAGCATTGGCGTGGCCCGCGGTGTCCAGTAAGCCCGCATCTTTGCGCCTTCTTGGCACCATGTTCAGTGTGTCCAGAGCCTCCCTGACCTCCGCAACCTGCATTCAACGCCACCATGTGGCTGGCGATGAGTTACTCAGCTGCATGCGAGACCTGTACGCTCAGTGTAACAAGCTAGAAGGGCTGCTCAATGATTCAATGCCGGTTGATACCTTGGGCGGTACTCTCGCGGACGTAACACCAGCATGTCCATGGCCAGACACAAGAGACTTTGCAGAGAAGCTCGTACGAGACTCGATGAATCATTGGTATATTGCAGATGGCAGATACTATGTACGGAGGGGAAACACCTCGAAAGAAGTCCCAGTGCAGCTTGGCAGTGTTGCGCAAGAAAGAGGCAGGTTGCTGCAAGTCCTCACTTGCTTCCGTACAGCATACAGAGCGTGCTTTGATCCAAGAAGAAGAATACGGCAGCAGGATGAATACTGTCATTACTGTGACATGTCCAACCTGGTTATATAATAATAATAAGGTCTTTGATTAGGTAACTACTACAACAGTTCAGTCTTGCCCAAGGTACCTTGAGCACTGATCTCTCTCTTTTTCTCATTATCTCTCTCGCGCGCGCGCGCGCGCGCGTTCCAAACTCAACTGACCTGGTTGAATCCAGACCCCCTGTATACATGCCACGTGTGAGAGATCTCCTGTCAAGCAAGAATGCTGCAAACATTCAGACCATGCGTCACGAACACGACTACTATTGTAATTTTTTTTGCGCACCTTTGCCAATGGCGATGAGTGAACACGGCAAACGAACAAGATGCAAAACATGGAAGAATAAGAAGTGTGCTTGAAATTCAGTGCAATGAAGCTCGTCTCATATGTTCCCCCCCCCCCCCCTAATCGACTACCGACCAGCACATGCATCGCGCGGTATGCATGTCTCTGCTGCTGTCATACCACGAAACTTCTCATCAGGGCTTGTTTAGACAATACCGATACATTGCGGTCCCCTCCAGCCAGTGCCACGCACTCATCCTGCGCCCACGTGTCCGACAATCTTGCCGCTTCGATCCAAATGCTTCGTGATTGGCCAAAAGCGCAAAGAACAGAATTCAACTTCCCGCTCCCGCCAGCTAGGTATTGTGCAACAGGTACAACAACACTCATCACCCTATCACTGGCTGGCAGGCAGGCAGAAGGAGAAAAGATAGGCGAGAGAAGCTGAGCTGCGTGGATGACTGTCTTCTCTCTCGAACGCTCCCAACGTCCCCCAAAACGCCCGTGATGCAAATTATTGAGGCTCGACTTTGTCCTCGATAGTCCTTCGATGCCGATGTATGTACGATGTGGCCGTATGCAAAAAGTGCTGAAAGGCAGATATCCGCCAAAAAAGTCTATATTACGTCCATTATGAATGTGTCACATTCTTGGTCGTCCTCGGACTGCGAGATGTGATAACATAGAAATGCCGCGAATGGCGATGAGAGATCGACGACACGCGAAACCGTGGTTGCGCAACTCAAAAGATGCCATCAGTTTATTGCGAGGGCACACGCAATTGTGGGCACAGATGTGCGATGAAGGCCGCGTTGGTGCCACGTCCAGTGCTTCGCGAGGTGGAAGATCTGTCTAGACGGCGCCTTCACGCCTTCACCGGACCCCAACTTGCAGTCTTGGGCCCAGACTACTGCTGGAGCTGTGCGCAGAGGGTTCGGAATCTATAGGCGCCGAGCGGTTGCTATCACCACTCCCCGCGCTGGCAGAGGCAGAACCTGTCAGAGACCGCACTTGATGAGGAGGACCGCTTTTTGGTGGGTAGAGATTGCTCACCCCTGTTTGTTGCTCAATTTGTTGTGGCGCGACGGCGTTCCCATGACCAGGTGGATGTCGGGGCACTGGCTGTCTCATTCCGGGCGGGCTCGGACGACCATTGCGATCGGGTGGTGGTGGCCCGTAGCCATTGGGGGGCGATGGGCGTCCCGGCGGCGGTCTCTGGCTGGGACCCAATGGATTGCCTGGTGATTGACTGCCACGTCTGTTCATGGGATACCCATTATGCTGCGGGTGCGGTGCAATCATACCGCCATTCATTTGAGATTCATTCAATCGCTCTGCTGTTAGCGAGTTGGCCCTTGACTCGTGGCCCATGTTCATTCTGTCAACGCTGCCAAATCTGTCTGATGAGTAGCCCATGAGCGGGTTATTCATCAGTTCCTCGCGCAAGCCTGGCATATCGGCCATGATGGCGGCACTCGTTCGAGCACGAGCTCCCGGGCCAGGTCGTCGCATCATGTTGCGACTGTGTCGTACAGCGGCATTAGGCACTCCACTTAACTGCTCAGGATTGGTGCGCAGTTGGCTTGCGCTTGGTGCCTTTCGTGTTCTCCTAGAAGTGACGCTCATCATGTCGAGATTGTCAACGTCAGCAACAGGCGCTGCTCCAGCTGCCATCGGATCGAAGAAGTCCAGGCCATCTTCGTCGTCCTCGTCGTCGTAATCTTGTGGCCGGCGAGGCGGAGGGGGACCTCTACCAGGCGCACGTCGCATGTGGTATTCTCGTTCCCGCATTGCAAGCTCTTTCTGTCGGAGAGCTAGTTCACGCTCTCGCAAAGCCAGGTCACCCGATGCGGACAGAGGTAGCCCATTGTCATACACGCCATCCTCGGCCACGTTGTCGTACAGCATCAGATGGCTGAATTCTTCCAAGTCGTTGCCATCGAATGATGGACGTCTCTGCATTGGAGGTCCTCGAGGAGGTGCATATCCATTGCCATTCATCCTGCCATGCGGAGGGTAACCACCGATTGAAGGTGGTCCTCTTCGCGCCGCAGGTGGTCCGCCATTGGCACTCGGAGCTCGACTCGCCGGCCGCATGCCATTGGGCATCATGGGTCTGCCGTTCATCGCTGGTGGCGGTGGTCTTCCATTGCCGTATCCATGGTTGGGAGGGACGATCGGCGCGGAAGACATGCGTGGAGTCGGCTGTGCTGATGGAGAGGGTGGACCGACAGGTTTGCTCTGGTTGACAATGTTGAAGTTGTGAAGAAGAGCGTACAGCGTCTCGATGCGTGGGACCTGGACACCGACCTCCTGCGCTAGCTTTATAGGTGAGCCCAAGTAGGTCTCCACTTCCATGGGTCGCCTGGCTGTAAAATCCTGATACATGATACTGTTCGTCTCCACTGGCAAGATCATCTGCTCCATAGTGTATTCACGGAAATCGGGCTTGAAGTCGCAGCCTTGTTTACGTGCGACAGTGATGAGTTCGTCAACCACTCCAGCGATGAGAGCCCGCGCTCCCGTCTTCTCGAGAAGCGCTGCATGAGAGGGCGTCTCGAAAAGCACGCTGGCAGGATGAAAGGCGATTGGTCTGCTGTGGTCAGTTCACGTCATCGTTGAGGGCATGCTGGCAGGCTTACCCGATCATCCGTTCGTACTGCTGTTGACGAATATTATGGGAGACCTCGCAATCCACCTGACCAGACTTGAGTGTCATCGACAGCGCTTCTGCCATGTCCGTCTGTATCGATGCGGGTATTGATGGGTTCTTGTTCGCAGCGCCGACATGCAGCTCCGTTGACCCTTTATGCTCGAACTCGCTGGCGCCCAGCTGTGCGATTGACACGCCGGACACGAGTGACAACACCACGTTGGTCGGAAAACGCTGCTCCAGATACGACTCGATGCCAAGGGTGTGTGTAGTGTTGACGATGATGCAGGTATGCTGGGGCGACACGACCGACTCGATCACGGAGGCCAGGTCATATACATCGGGCAGCGCCTTGACGCAAAGCAAGACATAGTCAAAGGAGGCTCGTGAGGCGCCGGCAGCATCTTCGGGCGATTTCACCACTGATTCACGCGCAGTCAGTATTGCCGAAATGAGAGGCGAGGAGTGAGGCCAGGGGGGAGGGGGGATATCTCACCATGTCTTGGCTTGAATCGTTCGTTGCCAAACCGGTCAGATCTAGATGGAGGTTGTCAGCGAAGGGCGGCCACAGTGGCAGTGTGTGGTGGCGTACTTGAATGATATTCCGTATTGATACACTTGCTCGAAGCCATTCTTCCAAACTAGAGTGACGTCGCACGCCTGTGTTGCTGACAAGCGCCAGGAGAGAAAGGCAGAGACCGCATTGCCGCCAACTGTGCACATGGTTAGCTGGGATGCCGTTGGCGTGCTCTCTCACGCGTGGCACAGCATCGTAGGAAGCGCTGCGGCAGCGGATGTTGCTGCTGCTGCTGCCGCCACCGCCACCGCTACTGTTGTCAATGTTGTAGTTGACGTGGATGCTGCACCATACTCCCCTGCGAGCTCAGACGCGTGAAGAGAGCTTCCTCGAGCAGGAACGGGACTGCCAACGCACCTGATAGAATCCGCAAGCGCGGCGTCGTCGGAGGCATTGTAGCGGTGATGTAGTAAGGCACGCCAGACTATCTGGTGGCCGTAGACGGGCGGTTGTGACTTGTATTGATTCTGCAGCTTCTGCGGCGCTTCGCGGTGCGAAAGTCGTGGTGTATTGTGAAGCCGCGTCACTGCGCCCAAGGGTTGTCGGGAGTCGCGCAAAAGCGTTGCGTGGGTGCGCGGGTGGTGGAGTCGGGTGGTGAACAACAAGCGTACGGCGGTCGGCTCGTCGTCGTCGGTGCCGGCGGCGTCGTCTTCGTCGTCGTCGTCGAGGCTCGGTTAGGACTCGTTCAGGGCTCGTGGGCAAAACGAGCGTGGTGGTATGCAAGCAACAGCGGGAAAGCAAGGCGACCGTGGCGGCGTGCGGTTGGTGTTCAGTTCAGCAAGCAAGCAAGCAGGCACGAAAAGTTGATGAGCAAAGCCCGGCACACAGCACACAGCACACAGCTCAGCACAGCACAGCACAGCACAGCGTACAGCACAGCAGAGCACGGCACAGCACGGCACGGCGCGGGCACCAGGCAGGCAGGCAGGCAGGCAGGCAGGAAGGAAGGAAAGAAGGCAGGCAGGAAGGCAGGTTGGAAGGCAGAAAGCGCAGAAGGAGCAAAAACAGGCACTGGCGTCACGAAACGCTCGCTTGGGCTGGGCAGCGCAGTGGGTGGGCTTGCGCTGCTTGGCTAGAACGAGAGCTAGTTGGATTAGGACGAGAACTAGCAGGCAGGTCCGCTGCTGTCAATTAACTGGACTAGGCTCTTACTACACCTCCTGGGCCGCTCCTTCGCAGTTCCAGGTTGTTACTGACTACCGTATGTATGTCGTCCTCTCACCACCTCTCACTAGTAGGAGCTACATACTCGCCAAAGGTAAGCCCGAGGCGAGGTGCGGTGAGTGAGGTAAGAGTAAGATTGTAGTACAGTACGGTACCAGGTAAGGTTAGTACTGTATGTACCTGAAGTACCTACTGCTGCAGTGCTGCTGATGCCGCCGCCATCACCACCGCCACCACACCCACCATCATCACCACCACCGCCGGTGGACATGCTGCCGGTGGCGGCGACATGAGGGCGGGCGTGTACGTGTGTGTTGCTGTGTTGCTGTGTTGCTGTCGTGAACGCGTGCGCTTCCCACTCCCACGTAAGCGACAATAATAATCTCTTCACCAACGGGACGGTACCAGTGCTACCACCACCACGTAGACAGCAGTCACAGCACAGCGCTGAGCGCTAGCCGTCCCGACGACGCACACACCATACCTGTACCCGTCCGCACTCATCACCGCGCGCTCATCCCGTCGCAGCAGCTGAGTTGAGTGGTTTACTGCTCATCATCACTCTCACTTGACACTACCTACTGTACTTCATCACCGGCCACACTGCCACAGGAGGTGGTGACGCCCTACTGTATGTACCAAACGTTGAAAGGGTTTAATTGTATGATCTGCTGCAGGTGGTCCAACTGTCGACGCTGCTGCCGCCTCATTCGTCAGCTGCTGCCGCACCTCTCATCTCCGCAAGCGTACCAAGTAACGCTGCATCTGCTGCTGCACACATCATCCATTCACCACCACCTCCACCGCCGCCATCGCCGTCGCCGCCGCCGCCGGTATCGCAGCAGATCAAAAACTCAATTAGCGACGAGTGAGGCGCTGCTCGTGGGAGCGAAACTGTCCGAGCCCTGGCTCATCTAAAAGAATACCTTACAGGTACATGTAGTTATGCAGGTGCATACCTACCAGTAGGTACATAAATAATAATGCATGTACATGGGAGCCAAACGGTCCCTCCCGTCCTAGGAGGTAGGAGGTAGAAGCCTTTGGGAGGTGAGACCTGCGATGCGAGGTGCTAAAAGTGGTAAGATGTGCGCGTGAGGTGGCTTTGGTCAACACTCCATATCATTCCAGGCAAGCAGGTGGTGATGATTATCGCGGAGATCTCCATGTGCGTTGTTGCAACCCCTACTTGCTGCAGTGTAAAGGCGGTCTTCATCTGTTAACCACCCTATCTCATTGGTTGTTGTTCTCAGCAGACTTCGTCCATCGGGTCGTCCGAACTTTCTCAAGCCATCGTTGGGGTTCGGAAAAACCAGGTTTGCGCAGAGAAAATCTGTGCATGCGTGTGCGTTGTACCTTATGCAGGCTAGTAGCACTATGTACCTCCTACTCACAACCGCCGGTCCGCCGCGTCGATCATTCCGACTTCATCGCACGATTCGTTCGCAGCAACGACTAGGTACGGAGGTAATTGGGAGGTCCATGTACCTCCGATAGTCCTGCTGTGGTGGACTGGTGGTGCAGTACGTGTAGTATGACATGTACCTCTCTTCGCACACACGGAGACACGGAGACTGACCTGCCGAGTGCGACCACTCGTGCCATACGGTAGGAGGTACTGTTCTCGTCCGATACGGCAACTTGACTGCAGCTACATTAAGGTACAGCTACCTTACTCTTTGCTGCCGTGTAATTCGTGTGGCCACCGCTGTGCTACGAGACAGCGAACGCTGTCCCACTCAGGGATATCCTAGCCACACCACGCACACATGGCGGAATCCCGCAGAAGTATATATCTGCGCGAACCGGACTTGATGGTACCACGACACTACATATAGTAGGTACAGGTACTTATTACGACTGCCCCCTCGAGGGTAGGCTGATGAGGCATAATAATAATAACAATCACGTCGCATATCCAGCAGCTCAGCTCGCATATGCGGTACATGTGTTTTCCCACTCTGGGCTTCCGTGGAACAGCAAAAGAATTAAAGAATTCTTCAAGAAACGTTGTCCACTCATCTCAATATTTTCATCGCTGACAGAGTTTACTGCAAATACCTACCTACTTGGGAGATTGAAGATGAGCCACGTGCTCGCCTTTCCGCGAACGACTCTCTGCGCGCGCTCACGACTTCAGCGCTTCGAGCAACAAAAGTGCTATGGCATCGCAGAGATGACTCGTGACGCATTGATCCAACGAGACGCCTCATGCTAATTGCAGAGTCTTGCCTCGTGGGAGCATCTGGTCCGTCCTAGACTTGCAATGAATCAGCGTGTTTCACGCTCCCAGGTGTGAGAGAACACAGCTGCAGTGTGCTGGCTGTGTCTGTGGCGCAGATGCACAGCAGCTTATTGCAAGACCTGGTATTCGTTATCACAAGCTTTACCGAAAATAACACCATATATCCCTGGTCGTCACGCCCCGCCATTGACATTTATCCCGTCATTTACGATATTCTCACAGGCCTCGACGCGTCCAGAAGCGTGATGACCATGATCGTTGTCATGTCGGCAAAGTCTATCAGCTGACTCCCCATCACCGCACTCGTGAGACTCACGAACGCCTTTCTTTTCCTTCTTCGAGAGAAACAGCAGTCGAGCTCCGAGTACGCTCTGGTGCACAACAAGCCAGTGCAGTGCAAGAGGCATGAGCGTGAGATTTGGATACTTTGCTGCAACATCGTGAAAGCATTGATAAGGTGCCGACCCATGACTACAGGCAGAGCCTTGCGTGGCACTGCTGTGCCCATCAGATCCTGACGCACCGCTCATCTCGCCTCAACAAGACTGAGCGCCTTGACAACTGCACTGGCGGCTCTGCCTATCTCACCCCCCTCCCGTTTGGCCTCCTGCACTCCAAACTGGAATGCGCCATACAGGTTCAAGTCCACAAATACGTTCATTCTCTCTTCTGCGTCGTCATAGACTTCGCTCTCGAGGTCGCGCGGCGCCCCGAACAAATTGAGATAGCCATACGGGTTGCTCTTCTTCGGTATTCGGTGGGCGTCTGCATGCCAGAGGGGGAAGAGTGCTGCAGTCCTCCATGCTTCGGACTTGAAATCCGGTGGTGTACGGGACAGACCAGCAGTCATGAACCGTGCCAAGGTTGTCAGCTGATGTACTAAAAGCTTGTTGCTGCCAAGATTCGTCGTCGTCTTTGTAGCAGACCAATTTCCATTTTGAATCGTGCCGCTGGCAGTCGTGCCTTGCCATGATAGCAGGTTCTGGAAAGTGCGCAGTGTCTTCACCCACCCTCCTGCTTGGCTGACAACTGCCTCTCCGCTCGTATGGATCAACCAGTCCAGTACGTCCAATGCCATCAGGCGGATATCACTCGAGAGGTGCGTGAGACCAGCCCTGGTGTAGAGTACTGTTTGTTCCAAGCTCCCCAGCTGCGCGATGGGTAACACCTTGAGGAGTTTCAGAACTTGGCTACGGACCGTCGAGCTTCCGTCGAGTATTAACGGACTGGCCTTGGCCAGGACCTCAGACGCTGGCTTCGGTAGAGATGCGCTGGGCGCAGATGCGACAGCAGTAATGAGATAGATGAGCGCATCTCTCCTCTGCGTGTCATTGCGGCTGCTTAAAAGGGAAAGATTGTGGGCGAATAGCGCAGAAGCGTCGCGCGGGCCTTCACGCAACGACTGCTGCTTGAGCACAATGGACTTGGCCGCGAAGTTGGTGTCGGTCGCATTCGTGTTTTTTGGTCGTGCTTTTCCGACTTTGAGCTTTGGTTTCGCAAAATCGGCCTTCTTCTCCCGCTTTTTCTTGGCCGAGGAACCCATCAGTTCTCTTGGGACCCGGACTCGTAACAGACTGCCGCGATGTCAAGGGCCTCGCCGTTGGGCAGTGCGTCGAAAGCGAGAGTGATGAATGCGAAGGGCCGCACTAGATGACAATACCGTACGTCGGCGTATGAGAAGATGTAGGTACCTTAGCGCTTTGCCGCTAGGATGTACCTACCTACTGTAGGAGGTACCTCTATGTACCTACGGGTACCGGCATCGAGAACTAGAACTAAAGCGGCTTAGACCGCTTGGCGACACAGCTTAAGGTACCTCACACTGGCTCACAGCAGACAACAGTTCCAGGTTGAAAGCGAACGACCTGGTCCCTATGTAGCTGAGGTGGTTTGATGGTACCCACCGGAGCATGAGCAATACGATGGCAGCTCCAGCGCCAGCGCCATCTGCAGAGACGGAGAGTCTGCTGGCGCGTTTGGCGCAGCGAACCGGCGTGCAAGGCACCCTCATCCTCGCTCGCGACACGGGATCTATAGTGCGCTCATCCGGGCTGCTCACTCGCGACGACGGCGCAGACGAAGAAGAGGCGAGACCGGCGACGTCGAATGGTGCCGAGCCAGACGGCAAGAAGAAAGGCACCAGACAGGCCGAAGAGGTGGCACGACTGGTGTACAAGTTCGTCCAGAGCGCGGCTGAGATGGTGGAGGACCTGAACGGCGAGCACGACGAGTCCAAGCTGCTGCGCGTGAGGACGAGGAAGAACGAGGTCGTCATAGTGCCCGGTAGGCGCGAGATATTTGTATCGGAACCTAGGGCCACAACGAGCTAACAAGAGGACAGATGCGAGATTCTTGCTCGTCGTCATACACGATACTCCGCCTGCGCCTTGAACTCGACATGACCCAAAGCTCGTCTATCAGCACTTGAATACGTTCTGGCTTTTCGTCGAGCCTATAGCTGCCACATTGAGTCTGGCTCATCGGCCACCACCAATGAGCGACGCCTCAAGCTGCGTCCGGAGAACAACAACATGAGCCTCAGACACAGACACGAGCGGCCCAAGGACCACGAGCAGGCCACCGGACGACCCATGGTTTTACTGGGCATCGATGAATGTAGAGCAGCAGGAACAAGAAACGAAGAGCAGGCATGTCGGTTATCTGTCGACATCAATTCGCGAGACATCGGTCTCCCTTTGCTTTCTCACCATAGTTGGTGCCACTCATATGACGCTCTCGCCGCCCTTATTAACAACCTAGTCTTCTCAGCCTCAATACCTATCCCACCGCCTTTTGTCGTGAGAATCCTGGGATTCGTACCACTAAAAGTAGCACTTCGAAGGGCTCAATATTGTCAACTTGTCATCCCTGGCAGAATTAAGGTCATGTATCTGATTTCCCATAATCGAAATGCTTGGTTGGGGTCAGTTCTCAAGGGTGTCTCCTGCTGGCAACACCAAACGCTTCTTGGACTTTTGTACATTGTCTGGTCTACCTCATTACAGACCACATAGTTCTTCCTCACAAGTACAGTGTGGAAGCCGCAAAGCTCTATAACCATGCTGTGGTCCACAGAAGCTTTTATGGCGTTTTTGTTTGGCCTCCCTTTCTGCCACCTTCCATTCTCTTTTGATAAGAAATGCTCATTCTCGGCCTCTTTCTCCTCGCATGTTTTGCCATTCTCCTGGGTCCGCCCGTAATGTACGCATTCATAGGCCTCCTGATACCAATGAACTTGCCCTTTGGACTGAAGACTTCCACCTCTGGCAATACATCATTGCTCTCCACATCTCGGCCAAGCTCAGTCGAGAGTGCGTCAGACAGCAGGCTTTTCTTCCTGTTTCGCACCTGACACGCTATCTCGACCCAGCCCACACCCTCAATCAGAACATCAGCGCTGTAGACTATGAAAGGCAACTCGTCGGCTTTCTGCTTTCCTGCAGTGCGATCTGTTAAAGACCCAGTTCGCTTCTTGGTAGCGTTCCATTGGATTGTGAATACTCCAGCACTCTTGATTCGATTTTTGGCAGTGTCTGTGCCGATGTTCTCTACAGTACCGTCATAGGGGCTGCCATCCTCATTGATGCCAGTCTGTATCGCTACAGCTTTGTCGTTTCTCGTAGCATGTGGCGTTAGCTGCGTAAAGGGATAGACCAAGAAAGTCACATTCTCAGTCTTGGGTGTGATGCGAATGATGCCACCTAGGACTAGAGAGCGGCCAGAATGGAGCACGAACTGCTCGGGAACTATTCTTCTAGTCATCACGAGTGAGCTCCTATGCTCTGGTTTGATGTGGGTCTCCATGGAACTTCTTTGAACCCCAGGTAGATCGACAAGTTCGCCTTTGCCTTTCCCGAATGGTATGCGGATTGGTGCGGCTGTCGTGCCAGGTAGTGAAGACACAATTGGCATATGCGGGTATTCCGTTTCTGGCTGCGCTGGTGGCAGCATCGAGAGGGTTTCATCCTCATCTTCGTCCCAAATTTCGTTCTCGGCCAATGCAGACTGCTCAAGTTGGTCGGGTTGAGAGTCAACTTTCAGCAGAGCATTTCTCTCGCAAACGACAGGAGATTGCACCTGGGATTCCAGATTCTCGTGCAGCCTCGACTCACTTGCTTCAAGCATGCTGTCACCAATACCCGCCACATCTGACTGGTCCAGTGCGTCCAACGACTGGCTATTGCCAATAGGTGGATTCAACGCTCCACGTTGCCGCACCTTCTGCAGCTTGGCCTGAACTTCCGGATTGGCAGACCTGCCCTTGGGATACACAACTTCGAACAGAGCGCTCTTGCCCACGTTGACCTTCCCCACCACCCATCCCGCTCCGCCCCTTTTCCATATTTCGTCCTTAACCGAAGGCGTCCACCAACCGCGTTTGGCACTAACACATCGCACGTTGCCCAGACGCAGATTCTTGCCAGCTCGACCCAGAGAGTCACGCAGCACCTCCTGCAGGTATGGCATCATGCGGTCGACGTCTTCCTTTCGAGGAGCAAGCAGATCTGATCGCGTAATGATAAACGACACATCAGCAGTGCGGCCTCGGATGTACTGGCGGCTCTTCGACCGCCGGTTCTGCGTGCGGAGACGTGGCAGGTCGAGGGATGAGACGAGGTTGGGAATAAGCGACATAGGAAAGTCGGCAGCGTCGAGAACGTGGTAAATGTGGTTGTCACGGTGCGGGCTGGACTCGATGATGGCGCGGATCGAGTCAATCGAGGGATGCAGGATTGGCTGGCCTCGAGACTGGTGAACCAGGTCATGGCAGCGGTCACAGAGCAGCGGTCCTTCTGTCTTCTCTGCTTTCATCGATGTCGATGTCGTCTCTACAGTTGCAGCAGGAAGAGGAGAATGGCCCTGTTGTGCCAGCATCTCAACGGCCTGCTGCCACACGGCCTCCTCAGCCTCCCTCTTCTTGACGAGACTGGTGGGTTCCCGTGTCTGCATAGGGCGGTTGCGCTTCTTGGGGCTGTAGAAGCCTGCCGCATCGCTGTCCACCGTCTGGCTCAAGCCGCCGCATCCTGGACACACCACTGGCAGCGTCCAAGCAAAATCATCCGCGGGCTCCTGCAACGGCTGTTCGCGTGCGGCGGCGATCCCAGAACATCCTCTCGAGCGCGGTGGTGGACATGCAGATGCGATGTAGCAGCGGGGGAATGCTGCTGATGCTGCTGATGCTGCTGCTGTGAGCACGGCGGATCTGGCTGCTGCATGGCGTATGCCCGCCCGTGTCAGGCTCGTCAACCTCGTCCACATACATTCATTCAGCATGAAAGCATCACGTGCGCCGTCTCGAGGATGGCGGCGGCGATGCAGATGGAGATGCAGATGAAGCTCCCCGTTTCTATTGGAGTTTTAAGAGCAGCATGCGGCGGAGGATTAGACAAGAAGATTAATCGGATGATCTGCATATCCTCCCGTCCTCCCTCCCTCCCTCCCTCCCTCCCTCCCGTCTCTTGTTTAGCCGGCTCCCTGCATGAGCGGGTCACGCCACGCTTAGTACCTGAGACTTTGGGAGTAGTCTACAATTCTACAGCCTCGAAATCTACTTTGTTGGGGCCGTGTTAATGTGCATGCGACATTCTCGCAAACGGTGAGATTACATGGTCGATTGATCCCACATCGCGTCGGACACCATGCAGCAATTCCCGTATCCTCGGAAGAGCTCCACGGCACACGTCTACGCGACCAACACACGCCCCTCGACCGACCACAACCGCCGCCGTCTGCTGAAGCGCTATGCGCCTCCGTGCCTCGCTGTCCTGGCCATCCTCTGGCTGCTCACACGTCTGTTTCCCGGAGCTCCGCCCTCGACGTATGTTCCGCCTGGCACGCCGCCCGTCGTCGTAGTCACCACCCTCGATCCCAAACTGCCCGAGTCGCACCGCGAAGCGATCAAGGAGAACCGCCGCGCCTACGCCCAGCGACATGGCTACGCTACATTCTTCGCCAACACCACCGACTACGATCTGATGGATAAGACGCCGCAGTCCTGGGCCACCATTCCTGCCCTCCGTCACGCCATGACCACTCATCCGCACACCCCATGGCTTTGGTATCTCTCCTCCGAATCGCTCATCATGGTTCCCGATCGATCACTTTTCACCGCGGTCCTCAACCCCGCCACTCTCGAGCCCCTCTTGATCAAAGATCAGCCCGTCGTGCCCCCAGACAGCGTCATTCGTACCTTCTCACACCTCGCGCCCGACGCCATCAGCCTCATCATATCTCAGGATGCCGAAGGACTTGCCAGCGGATCCATGCTCATTAGGACGGGAGAATGGGCGAAGTTCTTCTTGGATGCTTGGTTCGATCCTCTCTATCGCAGTTACAACTTTCAGAAAGCAGAGGGACATGCATTGGAGCACCTCGTCCAATGGCATGGGACTATTCTCGCCAAACTCGGGCTAGTACCGCAGAGGGTGATGAACAGCTACACCAAAGAGGCCAAGGAGGGACGGGAACAAGGTGGGTCATGATCAACATTCATGGTTGTGGAAAGAGCAGCGGGAACTAACTGGATCTTGTTTTACTAGGACTATACCAAGAAGGCGACTTGGTCGCCAACTTTCATGGCTGTCAAAGAGACCATCAGAGGAGCTGTCAAGAAGAAATGGCCCCACTCATCTCGAGACAGAGAGAACTCAGAGAGCTAGAGAGTGGGCGGTAACATCATCTGTCGAGAGACTCAGGTATCCGATGTGATGTAATTGCCCGCCTCTGATTACCTATATGAGAGTTTGCGGCAAGACGATATCTTACAGGACCTGCTTGCTGCGGCACTTCACACGATTCCAAGAAGGAGGTGGTCGAATTGCCAAGACATGAACAAGCAGGTCGCTTCGGCGTCTTCACCACTCAGCAACAACAGACGAGCGCATGGGCTAGTCATTCCGCAACTAGCTAAGCCCCACTACCACCAACTGCACATTTTGTGCTAGGCAAGCCGAAGAAAAACCGTCATCTTGTTTCGTTCGTGAATCACGAGGTCTAGTTGGGGCCCCTCTCAAATATGATCATGATTCTCAGGGAATTTCTCTGCAGCAATGCGCGCCATCATCCATGCCATCCGTTTGGGGAATAGTTGTGCCCTAGGATAATATGGGCTGGGTCGGAATTTCGTAAAGTTCCACACCCCGCTCCACCGGAAAATCCAATATACTACTCAGGAAGATGAGAGGGCCAAGAGAGCAGTGTAGAAATATATCACGAATCGTCCGGACTGTCCTCGTGGTAGAATTTTCTCAGCAGTGTTTCGGCCTCCTTAAAGTCCTTCTCCGCCTGCTTAATCGACTTCTCACAGCTCTTCAAGCTTACTTCATCATCTTCCACGTCTTTGTTGCCAGTTTCATCCTTTCTTGCACCAAAATGTTGGATCTTTTCGCAGGAGTCCTTGACTTTCGTGAGGCCCAGAGTCGCCGAGGATCCCTTGAGAAAGTGTCCCAGCGCGGAGAGCTGTCCAAGATCCTTGTCCTCGCTGAAAGGTACGCGTTAGTGGGTGTAACCGCGGTGGTGACAGTGATATGATGATCAATAACAGGAGGCTGTCGTGACGGCATGCTTTTTGCGTCAGAGAGGGGCGCTGGAGACTCACAGGCTTTTGTACATGTTCTTAAACGTTTGGCCCGCTTGATCGAAGAAATCGTAGACTATCGATTTGCTGAACTCGCGCTCCTCCTCGTCGTCGTCCATTTCGAGAATCTTTCACCAGAGGTATTCCATCAGCCTATTGCCATACGACGCCCAGGATCGATCGAGCCAGACCCGGCACTCACCTGCTCAAAGGTGGCTTGGTCGATCAAGTCGCCAAAGTCATCGATCGAGATAATCTCGTCCGTCTGTTCATCGAACACACCATCAGCACCACTGCGACAATGAACGTTGCTAAAATGCAGGCTAGAGTATTCAGACACAGCATTGCGACTGAGCTGAGGCCGACGCAAGGGCGAGCAGCAGTAAGCCTGACATGTCGTCGCTGCGGACGGAGGTCTGCCGAAGTCGACGCTGAGGCGCTGCTGCGGCTGCGGTTGCGGTTGCGGTTGCGGTTGCTGTCGCGGTTGCTGTCGCTGTTGCTGTTGCTGAGAAGAAGCAGTAGGGGAGGCAGAGTATACCTTCGGATCCACGGCAGGCATGGCGGGCAGCTGCTGCTGAAAACAGCGGTAATGGGGGGTGGGGGCGGTGGTGATGGTGGTTGAGATGGTAGGAAAGGACGGCTAGGGTCGATGGGCGGGTAGTGGGGTCGGAGGATGCACTCCGGCTCTTGTCTGTCGGCGCAAATGAGGTCGCCGGGCGGCCGAGAAACAGCGGAACAAGCGGTCGACGATAGGCGGTGGGGGGGTGTGGTCGAGTCGAGGTGAGTGCGTGCCGGGGCCGGTATAATGTTCGATACCTTACAGGTAGTATCAGGGAGCAGATTCGCAGCGAAGAGTGGGTGGGATTGCAGAAGCGGAAGGAATGATGTCAGGGCACAAAATGCGCGATGTCAACAGGTTCCGGCGCGGCGGGGGTGCCGGGTGGCCTGGCCTGGCCTGGCCTGGCCTTGCTCTGCGGTGCTTTGCCTCTGCTGTGCTCCGAGTCTGCTCCCAGGTCTGCTCTGCTCTGCTCCGCTCCGCTCCGCTTTCACTGGTGACTGGTGTGGTGTGCTGCGGTTCGGTGCGGTGCGGTGCCGGAGAAAAATACGGGATCAGGTAATGCTGGGCCGAAGTGCTGCGGACGGCCCCAAGTGTCAAGCGGGAGGACGATCTGAAAGGACACTCGGAATAACTAAGCGGATGTGTGAGTTATAGCTCGGCGCGGATTAACCAGCGTTCCGGTTAACCTTACTTACTATAAAGACTTTTCCTACGACGCCGTCGATACGATATCTTTACTCGACATTCCGATACGTATATATATACCTCTCTAATCGCTTCTACGTACTTATACTTATATAATACTACGGTAATTACCAAATTCGGACTACAAACGCGTAAGATATAGTACTAATTCGGCTCTTAGTTCAATCGAGTACTATAATATACTACGAAACGATAGCTATAAACGCTATAAATACTACGAACGACCCGAATAATAGTCTCGTCGACGATACTAATATAAGCTACTATCTACTAGAGCTATCTTTACTGTTTACTATACTGCCGAACGGCTTCCGCCGTATTAAGCTATTAGAAGAGATATTCCCTAATTAAGAGCTATTAACTAATTAAGAGGAGGACAGTTACGATCTAGCGTAGAATAATACTAGTATACTTAACGAGTTACCTACGCCGGACGCGCCGGACGATCCGATTAGTCTACGGCTATAGCCGTACTAAGGTAAGCGTACCTCTAATACTATTATAATCGACAATACTATAGTCGACGACAACGCCGGTACTAAGTTCTTACTACCTAAATACCCTACTTTACGGTAGTAGCAGCCGGCTACTACCGCTATAGAAGTAACTATCGGCAAAGGATATAGCGGCAAGAGGTCTAAGATTAACCTACTATCTATCTTCTACCTAGAACTACCGGTACTACGGCTACGTCTAACGTAGATTCTGTATTTACTACTCGCCGAGAGCCGTATACCGGCTGTCCGCGAGTTTATCGATACTATAGATCTATACTATTACGAGTATCTATATACCGGCAAGATATTCCGAAATCCCGACTATTATAAGGCTAGACTATAGGATTATACGTTTAGTAAAGGATTTGCGGTTGTCTGTACGTCTAGTAATATTAGCCGAGCGATATATAAGTGTATTTACTATAGCGTCGCTACTAAGAATACCGACGGATTCGACGATTATATAGGCGATAGCGACGACGAATTACTTACTCTACGCGTACGTAATACGAAGAATATCCGATATAAGGGGTATAGCTAGAACTATCGATTAAGTTACGTATAGATAAGGTAGGGTATAGTAATTAAGCAGTAGTAGTTAACCGTTAATTTACTCGACTATTTGTATAAGTTAGTACCGAATCTGTCCGTTTATATAGTCTACGAGATACGAATGCCTAGCTTTAATAAGGCTATAGTATAGGCTACGCAATATTGACTTACAAATAAGTTATATAATACTATATACCGATAACTGTTACTATACGACCTCCGGCTTAATCGTAAGTAAATTACGTATTACTATAATCTAGCTAAGGGTAATACCTTTAGCGGCGCCGGTAACGCCGAGACTGTTATTAACGCGCTACTCGGTATACTTGTTATACTCGGATTCGAATATAAGGGCCGTTAGTTATTTACTACTAATCTATAGACTAGGAGTACTATACGGGCATTACTTAAGCAATTAGTATATTAGTAGCTACGTATAGCGCGCTTTACTATACGCTTTGTCCTAGATTTTAGCTTTTAGATTAATACTACATTTAGTACTAACCGCGCTAGTCTATTACTCGGCGTATTTATAGGGGTTACGAATACCGGACGTTCGTTCCTAATATACTATTTACTAATAAAGTTAGAGAGTAAGGAGGATTGGTTGTTTATACTACTAGCGGTATTCAATAACTATCTACGTAGCTATAAGCTTAATAAGGTTATTATATCCGACGCCGGCGCCGGCCTTATCGCAGCTATTCCGGAGTTACTATTTTAGTACTGTATTTAGCAATTCTACTAGTAGTATACTGTCTAGAATATTTATAAGCATATCGATAGAGGTACTATATATATAGTACGTACCGAGGCAGCCGATAGTAAAGTACGCTAAGCTGCTATTGTAGCTATTAACGCCGACGAATCGACCGTACCGACGGAATCGACCGTACAAACCGACGTACTAAGACATATACAAGCTCGTAAACCTAGGTATACTACCGAGCAGAAGACGGAATTGAAAGCGCTTATATAGCCGTAGTTATAGGCAGAATCAACCGAGGCCGCTAATAAACTCGAGGCAGCTATTATCGACAGATTGATAGCGGAAGATACCGAATACTTCCGTAATACGTATATCGTTATTAAGTAGCGACTAGTTACGTATTATATTAAGTACCTACTAAACAATAGGGCTTGCTTGTTATAGCGCGTAGAAGGCGGCAATCGTAGCGTAAAGGGGTATCTACTACTATACTTATTACTAGAATAGTACGTTAAAGGTATTAAACAGTATCTAGATAAGCTGTTTAATAACTTAGAACGATTAGAGGAAAATATATATATTAGCTTACTATTACAGGCCGTAGCGGCCGATAATCTTGGTTATTTTATACAACTGAACGGCTAATATACTATATAGACAATTAATAGACTACTAGCGTTATAGTATAACGCTCTTAGTATTAAACGTACGGTTAACAAGGCTAATTATACGCGCTTAGCAGTAATAGTAGAGCTATATCTAGTACGCGATTACTACGCGGAATACGGTAAAGTTAAACAATACGGCCTACTATATACTTATATACTACTGCCTACAGTAATTAAACAGAAGCCGATTGCTCGGAGCTTGTTATACCTCCGCTACTTTACGAGTAACCGAAGCGTATATACTAGTAACGCAATTTAGTAGACGCTATAAATATAATAGTAGAGCCTATACAACGTAGCGATAGATAGATTGTAAGACGTACTACTACTACCGTAATATACAGACAGTTATAGCCGAATCTAGGCTTCTATACTACGGCAATTAAGATATTTACTATCGCTACAACCGGCGGATTGCAATAATTACGCAGATAAGCTAGAAACCTTCGAAGCCGTAAATTTAATAGGCCTATAGGCTACTTAACTCGACTGTTTAATACCTAAGGCCGTTCTATTTGCTATACCTACGAAGCCGGCTTAGTATCTATAGCTACCGAAGCGTAGTACTAAGACAACGGATAGGCTAATAACTAGCGTAGAGGTAGCTAGTAAAGATATAGTAGCGGCCGAGAGGGCTATCGCTATTACGTTATACTCGGGAGTCGGAATTCGTAGCTTAATAACGCACTATTAAGGCAGACGTAGTAACAACAGCCGAGCTTAAGACTATAGAAACAGCCGAGCTTAAGACTATAGAAACAGCCGAGCTTAAGACTATAGAAACAGCTAAGGTATATATTAGTACCGAACTAGCGTATAGCTACGGACGTAGTCGTCCTTATAGTCGTAGTCGTAGCCGTAGCCGTAGCCGTAGCCGTAGTACTACTTATAGTACTATATAGTAGTCTAGTAACTCGGCGTTATATAATACAGTTAAGATTAGTATAGCGGAGCCTATAGAGGGTCGTTAAACGTAGAATGCCGGTTGTAAAGTAGTAGATTATATAGTTTTAAACGGTAATACGCGTAGATAGTAATTAGATATATATGTTTAGTAAGTAGGTAAGGTTAGCCGGAACGTCGGTTGATCCGCGCCGAGATGCTTAGTTATTCCGAGTATCCTTTTAGATTGTCCTCCCGCTTAATACTTAGTAGACGGCCTACCTACTATATAAGGTACATAATATAGATAGACTGCATTCGTGTACGACGTTAGTAACAAATTAATAATCGCGTTATAAAAGTACCTTACAAGTGTATTAGATAACTTATATAAGTTACCTAAGGTATACCCTTATATATATAGGGGTATACCTTAGGTAAGGTACGGTGTACCTTATATACACACGTTAATACCACCTTACTTAGGCTTACTACCTCCTACCGTTAGTAGTTACTAAGTAAGGTACAGCCTACAGGTACCTACATTACCTTAAGGTAGGTAGGAGGTAGGTAGCAGACCGAGAAGCTGCCCCCGGCTGCCCGTTGGTTGCGATCATCACCAATACGCCAAGGTAGGAGGTACATACATACATAAGGTACTCACCTACTTAGGTACCTCATGCGTCAAGCTGTCTGATGCGCTGTTCACCAAAGGCTGCTGTCCACTGCTTGGATGCTGACTCCCTTACTTATTTTATACATGCACTCCCATGTCCCCTGGGTCCTTCGGTACATCTCACACCTTCTACTTGCAGGGCGCATCTTCTCGAATTCACTTGCTCCTAGAGCTGGCCTGCTGCTTTGCGCATAAGGTACAGGTATTTGTTGGACTAGGTACATCACGACTCGTCATCAACAATGCCTCATGAGAGTCTTCTCAAGGCACCCACTGATTACTATCTATCTACCCGAGTATTACAATCTTGACACAGATCGCTGATTTTTCTATCCTCTTGCCGGATGGGTCAGGCAACCTTGACACGCTGCTGTGCGCCTGAGTGCTGAAGCCCTGCACAGTGCTACATGGCAGCGTATGTAGGTTGCAGCTACATAGATACAAAAAAAGCGCCAGGTGCGTAAATGGACACTCAACATCACATCCTCTTCGCAGCAAAACTCAATTTTTCGTGGGAACATTCGTGTCGTATGGCGACCTAATTCGTAACTTTGAATATGGCTTCAGCGAGCCGACCAACGTTCTCAGACGTAATGCCAGCAACGCTGATGCGTCCATCCTTAGTGGCATAAACCGAGTGCTCTTCGGCGAGTTTGGTCATCTGCTCTGGCTTCAGACCAGTGTAGGCAAACATGCCAATTTGCGAGGTAATGTGGTCCCAGTTGTGCTTGCTGCCGAGTTTTTCAAGATTGCTCTTGAGGAGAGCTCGCATCTTGATAATGCGTTCCGCCATGTCCTTGACTTCACCAAGCCACTGCTTGTTCAATGCAGGGTCGTTCAAGATAGCGCTCGCAATACGAGCACCGTGAACTGGTGGGTTTGAGTAGAGCGGACGCACTAGGATCTTGACCTGTGAGTCAACGCGCACTTTTTCCTCTGGCGACGATGTGACGATGGAGAAGGCGCCGACACGCTCTCCATAGAGACCCATGTTCTTGGCGAAAGATTGAGCCAGGCATGGGTAGTGGCCCTGCTGAATGAAGTAGCGAAGGGCAAAGGCATCCTTGTCGGTATCGCCAGACGCGAATCCCTGATAAGCCATGTCGAAGAAGGGGAAATGGTCACCCTCCTTGACGGCATCGCTGATGGCCTTCCACTGCTCCTGAGTGGGGTCAACACCGGTAGGGTTGTGCGCACAGGCGTGCAAGAGGACAATAGAGCCCTTGGGCATCGCCTTGATGTCTGCAACCATGCCCTCAAAGTCGAGGCCAATGGTGTCCTTGTTGTAGTACCGGTACTGCTTCACTTCGAGACCGCTGTCGGTAAAGACTGCCTTGTGGTTCGCCCATGATGGCGTGGGGATGTAGATGGTCTTTGCGCCTGGATAGTGGCGGTGCAGGAAATCACCTCCTATCCGCAGAGCACCAGTGCCGGAGATGGATTGTGTGATGGCAATGCGGCCCTCCTTGATGGCTGAGCTGTCTGGGCCATATGCGAGCAGAGCAGCCGCTTTCGTGAAGTCGGGAACTCCAGTGATGCCCGCGTATTCCTTGTCCAGATTCTGCTGAATCACCTTCTGCTCCGCGGTCTTGACCGATGGCAGGACGTACGGCTTGCCCTGGTCATCACGGTACGCGCCCACACCCAGGTTGATCTTTTTGGTGTTGGCGTCCTTCTTGAACGCCTCGGTGATGCCCAGGATGGCGTCTGGCGGGCCTTGTTGGACTTGCGACCAGGCAGATACGCCGCGGACGCACTGCTGCTGGACGAACAAGACGCGCGCGGGAGCCGCGACCGCAGCGCGCTGGAGGGCCGACTTGGAAATCATCGTAAGGGACGTGTGCAGTTCGATGTAGGAGAGTAGCTGGCCAGAAAGAATGTGGTGCTGGCGGATAGTAGTATGCCTTGATAGTTCCAAGCTGCAAAGCTACGTGTAGGTTAGGTAGTTCTAGTTGCATGTAGGACCAGGCCTTGCCTCACGGTAGGACTACGGGCCGAGGCGCGGACAAGATAAAAGTATTGGGTCGATCTCGAATTTCGATTGGCATCACAGCTAGGTACCATCTCATGCCCCTCGCACAGCCACGGCCGTCCATGGCCTCGTCGAAATTTCCGTAATCATGGCACCACGAGAAGGACGCGACAACCGCGCGGGGCAGCAGTCAACGACAGTGACGACGACGACACCGACGACGACGAACAAGAAGGCGGGGCCCACGGCGCCGCTCACGCCGGAGCAGGCTGCGGCAAAGAAGCTTCAGAAAGAAGCGAGCCAGCAATATGGACGAGGCCAGGCAGTACAACTGCGCGGCATCAAGGACAAAAAGCTGCGCGGAGTGGTCAGGGCCCAGGAGGAGCGGCTCAAGGATGCTGTGCTGAGGGCCAAGGCTGCCGAGATCCTGCTCGAGAACGACTCGGGATTCCTTGAACCGGAGCACGAGCTGGAGAGGACGTACAAGGCGCGTCAAGATGATATTCGTGGCGCTGTCGGCGTGGAGACGGCGAAGAAAGGGTTTGAGCTGAAACTCACTGAGCTGGGTCCGTACACCTTCACATACTCACGTAATGGCAAGGAACTCGCTCTAGCTGGGCGCAAAGGCCATGTAGCGTCCATGGACTGGAGAAGCGGCAAGCTCAACTACGAGCTCCATCTGGGCGAGACCGTCCACGCTGTGACGTATCTGCACAACAGTCAGTACCTCGCTGTCGCGCAGAAGAAGAATGTGTACATCTACGATCATCACGGCGTCGAGATACACAATCTGGATCAGCATATCGATGTCACACACATGGAGTTCTTGCCGTATCACTACCTGCTGGCCACCATTGGAAGAGCGGGCTGGCTGAAGTGGCAAGATACGAGCACGGGCAAGCTCGTTATGCATATGAGCACCAAGCAGAAGACGCCCACTGCATTTGCGCAGAATCCACACAACGCGATTCTGAATGTTGGACACCAAAATGGTACTGTCACCATGTGGTCCCCTAACAGTACTGCGCCGTTGGTCTCGATGCTCGCACACCGCGGTCCCGTATCAGCCATCGCAATTGATCGCGAAGGAAAGTATATGGTCAGCACTGGCCTCGACAAAAAGATGTCGGTCTGGGACGTGCGTAATACCAAACCAGTGCACGAGTATTTTCTGCGCACTCCCGGTTCCAGTGTGGCCATCAGCGATCGGGACCTCACAGCCGTGGGTTGGGGCACGCAAGCCACGGTGTGGAAGGGCCTGTTCACGAAGAATCATGCCGATGTGGAGCAGGTCAAGGTGCAATCACCGTACATGGCTTGGGGTGCACAGAACCAAGCGGTCGAAAGAGTTCGCTGGTGTCCCTTTGAAGATATTCTTGGAATTGGACACGACCAAGGATTCTCGTCCATCATTGTCCCGGGTGCAGGCGAAGCGAACTTTGACGCTCTCGAACTGAACCCGTACGAGAATACCAAGCAGCGACAGGAAGCTGAAGTCAAGTCTCTGCTCAATAAACTGCAGCCAGAAATGATTGGACTCGATCCGAATGCCATTGGCACTCTCGATAGTGCGTCACATGAGCAAAGACAACGCGAGAAGGATCTCGATCGCAAAACAGGCGCTGAGGCGGAGAAGGAGCGTATCGAAAACCTCTCAAAAAGAGGCAGGGGTCGTAATAGCTCTCTTAGGAAGTTGGCCCGCAAGAAGGGTAACAAGGGAATCATCGATGAGCATAGGATGAAAGTCATTGAGTTGCGAGAAAGGCAAAGGAAGCAGGCAAAAGAAGCGAGTCAAGGGAAAGCACAGGAAGAACTGGGCACTCTCGCCAGATTCGTCCGAAAGGGCACTTGACGGAGACAGAGCTCGACCACTCACCAAGAATCTTCCAGGTGCGTCAAATCCCGGTCAACACATTGAAGTCAGATCACCCTATCGACGTTGCCCAGTCGGCTGGGTCGGTCATTTCGTGCAGACTCTTGGGACAAAGACACTGGTTGCCCATGTGTGTGATATTACACATTGTTGTCGTGTGCACACATCTAAAAGTTCAAAGCCAGCGTAAGCACCGGCGCAGGATTGATACCTTACACAAGCCCGTGAACTTGAGCAGCCAAGAACGCCACTTGACCTTGAAGCCAATCTCCTCAGGACAGCAGCATATCAGATACAATCTGCCGGCTTCTTCAAATCTTTTGTACTCTCCACACTCTCTCTGCCGATTCTCTCCGCATGATGCGTCGCGTGCTCAATGCTTCCGCGGGTTCCACCATTGGAAACTGGTAGGTGCTGTCCACGCTCGAAGTCCGTCTCTTGAGCTCGCACCTGAATGTTTGACTTATCTACAAGTTCGGTAGCACCCAATTGCTCGGTAGTACTATTATCGCCCATCGATTGGTAGGGATTTTTCAAAGAAGTTCCGCCACGGGTTGTCGGCCGAGAGAATTTCCTCATGGAGAAAGCAGATCTACTGCCTCCTCCAGAAGCTGATCTACCCCAGCTTCTGTCTGTCGACGTCGGATGAGATCGGCTACCTCCTAGAGAGGTGGCTTTGAGAAGTCGAGGCACGAGCAATCGGATCGTCGGTAGACACGAAGCGATAATCGCCGTGTTCATCTCGGCGCTTGACCATATGGCGGCCAAAGGATTATGCCTAAGAGTAGCGGGTCGAAGAAGGGTCAGTTAATATCTCCGAAAATATGGACCTGTTTCAGCAAGGTCTATCTGCAAGCTCAGCACTAGCGCGTGAGATTCGTGCGACATGGGAGGAGGAGGAAAGCCGATGATCTGCCTGGGAATTGCTTTCTTGACCTACCAGCTGACGTCTTCGGCATTTGCGATCACGTATAGGCTCTGGAGACGCAGAATGGAGAGGATACCTATCACACGTTGGAACATGATCTTCACATAGGTGTCTGCCATGGTAATGTCCCACTTACAAGTCATCAAGCCGAGGGTGAAGACGAACATCAGCGCATACTTTTGACGTTTTGGTAGCTCCAGCTTGTTGAGCACAGGCAGGGGAAAGATAGTCGTGGCAATGTCTGTAGCCTGCAAGAATCATCGGGGGGAGAAAACGGGTCAGCAAGGGCCCTGATATCCATCTTTTCTGAGTGTTACGCCTTGGCAGGCTCCAGTGTAGTGAAATGGTATTACTGCTCAAACTTACCATGTTCATGCCAGCGCTACGTACACGGCATTAGCGCGCTCTTCTTTCCATATCGGTCTCCAAAGATACCGAAGACTGCATCGCCTTTTCAATTGTACTTACTTGATAAACCTGCAAGCCATTAGTTTCTTTCGCCACTCGTCATCATGAGCTTTGGGATGAAACTCGCATCAAAGACATACCAGATAGTAAAGCGATCCAGGCACTTGCCGCCTTTGATCGTAGAATCCCAGAAAAAGGCCGCCGGTCGACAGAGCCTACATAAGGTATCGTAGGTACGAAAATAAGCAAAGCGTCAATAATACTCGGCCGTAGCTCATTCCACAAAGAAGACAGACGGATAGACAGATGTATTCTTCAGGTACGTCTTGCCCTATACGAAAAGTAGGTAAATGAAAGGGTAAGGGTAAGGTAACTCACCAAATACCTGTACAGAGCACATAGACTCCATACACGGCGATAAAAGCCATCAAACCCCACGTGGCACGGCGAAACCATCGTTGCGGGAACAGGCGAAGATATTGAAAGAGAATGGAGAATTTGGTAAAAGTCAGAGAGAGGTTGTAGATCCACGTGGAGATCCAGAACTGTAGTTGTTTTGAAGAAGATTTAGTATTTTCTTGTCAGCCCAGCCAGGCAGCCAGCCAGTGATCGGAGGGGGGGGGGGGGGGGATGGAAGTAGTAGTAAGAGAGTGAAGGCAAATGAAAAAAGAAAGAAAAAAGGCCGACGAACCGCAATCAAGTTTTCCTGAATGTCATTGGGATCAATGTCTTTTGTATGGCGACCCATACCCTAGAAGAAAAAGAGGTGATACATTTCATCAGGTAAGCCAGTGAATCTTGAATATTGTTTTTGGCATTGCATTGTAGGTGGACAGGTGGATGGAAAACTGTTCAAGAGACTCTTTCCTTTTTTTTTGTTTCCCTTCTTTTTCGCCTCCACCAACCACCAACCACCAACCACCAACCAACGCCCACCCACTCAGGCAAACAAGCACGCACTGGACGCTCTTCGCGAACGAACAAGAACGAACGAACGAGCCGGCAGAGGAGGAAGGAGGAGGAAAGGGGAGGAGGAAGGAGGACGAAGGAGAAGGAAGGAGAAGGCAGGGGGAGGAAGGAGGAGGAAGGAGGAGGAAGGGGGGGAGGAAGGAGAAGGAAGGAGAAGGAAGGAGAAGGAAGGAGAAGGAAGGAGAAGGAAGGAGAAGGAAGGAGAAGGAAGGAGAAAGAAGGAGGAAGGAGGAGGAAGGAGGAGGAGAAGTTGAAAAAGAAGAAATCTGGAGAGACAACTTGACAAGGTCGAAGAATGGGGCGGGAAGGAACTTCTTTGTTTTTGGTTGAGTAATACTGACAGTTTTTGCTTGAATGACCATAGTGACGGTCGTTCCCAGTGCGAAGAACTATAAAAAAAGCCATTCGAATCAAAATCTAGTTCATGTTTCTCTCTCACGCACAAAGTACCAGAACTTTTTTTTTCTCGCAAACAGAGACAAAAATGAAAATAAAAAAATAAAGGATAAAAAATAAAAAAATAAAGTGCATATCATTCCATGCGCGGGAAACGGGGAATAAAGTGGGGAAAGGGCAATGGTAGTAAGTGGTTGTTTGTTTCGAGGTAGAGGGGAGGGGAGGGGAGGGCAGGGGAGGGCAGGGGAGGAGGGACAAGCATTTCTTTTTATTAAAATATTTCTTTTTTTCCTTCTTTTCCACATCAACGTTTAAACCAACCCAACCCCGGAAACCGACCGAAAAAAAGAAGGGAATTCAGAAGAGAAAAAAAGACAGACGAGGAGAAAAAAAAGAAAGGAAACATTACCATGGAAATCCCAACGCACAAATCATCCATTCCAGCAATCCGAGCCATTCCCAATCTCGCGTATAGTTTGAGTCCTACGAATACGCATGCCAAGAGTGTCAAGGATATTACGATCGCAATCACTCCGTCGGGCTCGACATGACCGGAGGCCACCATGATGAGTGATGGGTTGGATTGGGATGGATGGCTCTTGAGTGGGCTTCAGAGATGGTACTGAAGACGGGAAAGTTCTTCTTTTTTTTATTCTTTTTCTTTTTCTTTATCCTTTTTTTTTCGTTCCCCAGATTCGGTGCGTTATGAGCTCACAGTAGTAGTGTCCAGAAAGGTGTTGTCGTCGTCGTCGCTTCGTTCATCATGAAATTGAGAGATAAGACAAAAGAAAGTGGGGGTGTGTGTAGACCGGAGAGAGACAGAGAAGAGAGAGAGAAAAGGGAGAGAAAGAGAGAGAGAGAGAGAAAGAGAGAGAGAGAGAGAAAGAGAGAGAGAGAGAGAAAGAGAGAGAGAGAGAGAAAGAGAGAGAGAGAGAGAAAGAG